GATAGCTTCAGGCGTCAGTTGTTTGGCTTTCCGGAGACGCACTCTGATCGGACAAATATGCCCTGATAACAAGAGCCGGCGCCACCAGAGTTGATCTAAGTGAGGACCCCTTGAGGCGCGGTCGTTGATTTCCTTGCTTGCCCAGAGTGATGCCTTTCTTTTGGGCGCAAAATTTTGATATGACTCCTCCCTGTCGTCCTATTTTAGAGAAGATCCTCAAGAAACACAAAAACTCACGGCAGAGAAAGTGTCCGATAGGCCAAGATATCATCCTGATGTATGCGCCACTTTTTGTATCAAAGACGACTCGTAGTCCTAGTGAAGTGGAAGGTTTCTTGAAGGGCGAAACTGGGGCACAAACAATCGTCTTACTTGCACCTAGGAATGATGAGAGCACTTCGAGACCGTGCTCGCATGAGGAACTTCAAAGATTGTGTGGAGATGCCGTCGAGGCTAGTCAGACTATGCTGTGGGTTCGACTCGTGACACTTAACAGAACGCAACAATTCGAGGGATCCACTTCAGGAGGAGAAGATCTCTGCTAGCTGGCTCTATTAGGGAACAAGTGGTTGCAAGATTCTGAGTCGCGCTTCAATCTTCCATTCGAGGTGTTGACAGCCTCTCAGTAGCAGCTCCCCATCAATAAACCGTGTGACTTGTCAATAGTGTGTTGAGATGAGCATGGACCGATTAGAAAATGTGTTTCTCGAAAGCAGAGAGTTGGTAAGACGACTCCTGGCTAGTAGGCAGTGAAGCCACATTAATTGCATGACCTGTTGGTCACATATACGGCCTGGCCAGCACCGATATTTGTGACGACAGTCCGTTGTTGATTCTGCTCGGTTCCTATTGGCGACTGTCGTCACGACCTGCTTTCGCCTCGTGCTCGTAGGAAGATGGTTTAGAAAGATACAATAGAAGTGCAACGTGCTTCCCTAGATGCAAGTCGGCGATGTCGATGACCTCGGCGAGAAGATAGGTGCAATCAGGATGATACAACGAGACACCAATAATGGAGAGTTGGAAAAAACCAGGTACTGGCCTGTTTGGCGAGTGTCCAGTGGTTTTGGTCAGGGCGGATCTTTGGGACAAGAGATGGTGGTATTGTGCCAGTGAAAAGTGATTTCATTCAAAGCAGGTGTCTTGCTGAAGCCATCTCGTACCAGCTTTGGGAGCCAAGTGCAATATTTTCGCTGCGATCTGAAATTGACACTGGGCAGGTCATGGTTAGATGAACGAGGCCAAGGTTCATGGCTCCCTCTTCTACTCTACTGGCCTTCAGCCGTGCTATGACGTGGCGCTGGTGTTACAGGTGTATCCTTTGTCCGACTTTGATGCCCAAATGGGTGGCTTCCCTGTAAATGACCGATCAGATAGCTATGTATGAACAGCATCCATGTCAATCACATCTGACTAGTATTAGTATCCAGCAGGCCCATGAATAATTTCATGCACTCTCAAATGAGTTTGACCGAAGGTGGGCGGGCTCCCTGAGCGGTGAGGACGCTTCTGCAATAGCAGTGTCAGTCCACCGGTGAGGCAGCTCGAACCTGTTCCAGCAAAGATATGTAGCAGGTGATCAGATGATGTACATTATTGGCCAAGTTCGTGGGCGAGGCCTTGTTGGCGGCGCCTGTGATACTTCCTAGTGCCTGAGGGAGCCTCTATTGCTTCCCCAGACGACTGAATTGTCAAGGATTGTCGCCAGTTCACTAGGACCGCGGAAGGGAGTATGCTACTTGAGCCTGCATGGCAATATGTGATCTGTGAGTGGATGTGAAGGTGGTCGTGAACCGGCCTGGCCGCAACGATACCCCTGGCAGAGCCACACCGGTACATGGGTCAACAGAGGCTCCACTTTACCATGAATGCCATACCCCGTCGTACTTTTCCAGGTCAAAGATGGGTACCATGACCCTGGGATTGAGAGTTGGTCTTGGAACTACCGAGTGCTCCCGTGATATGACGGATGCGACTTGAAGTAGAAAGCGATGCTGATAGCCCCCTCGGCCCTACTAGCAAGGGTCTAGGGGCTGGTTTTGCTGAAGCTTGGCCTCTTGGAGACATAGTAGCGGCATGAACGAGGTGAGGCGGAAGGCTGCTGTCCAATAAAGCTAATTCCATGGATATCCAGGTTCCAAGGGGAAATATGGCGTGGGGGGTCAGGCATGGAAGCTTGTATTCCATGAGGGATTGCTTCACAATGTGGATGATGGGAGTCGACGCCAGCGCCCATGAGCAGTGGTGTGAGTGCACATGGATCATGGTGCGTGTACTTCGTACGCATATTCTTATGCATATGGAGTTTCTCCCATCGCTTCGAGCGTGGAGTAGGTACTGTACATACTTAGGCGAGAGCGGTCTGGGCCTACCGCAACGGGAGGCCGGATAGGCGGGTTAGATCCAGCCAGGCTGCAAGTCGGCTCGTTAATGACGCCACACTCAACACGAAATTTTGAATGCTACAAGGCCCGTGAGTCTGTATGCATTTGGGTACTGTGGTGCTGTATGGTCGTCAACTGATCCCTGTTCCTTTGGCTCCAAAAGCGTGCTTAGGCAAGGCCGCAGACAAGAGTTCAGCACACTCTATCATGTTGGTGATATTGGTGGCATGCCGCTTCAGACGCATATGTAGATGCCAACTAGAACCGTATGGCTGAAGGGTTTTAGCCCAAGTGTGGAGCACGCCTAGGTCCAGGTGGAAGCCTGATTGAGGCATCGATCACGATGCTGTGCGACGTACCTGTCTCTGTTGAGGGGCTTCAGGCAGTCGATATCCAATTTTGGACGTATTTTCGGCGTCGGCGCCCCGGTTGATGTGCAGGGCACGTTGGTGTAAGCGGAGCCAATGCAGGGTTAGATGGACATCTAATTTCTTATATGCTGCGGTGGAATGCATGCGAGAGAAGCAGCAAGTCAAATTGTCGATCTGATATCATATATATCTGGATCCCGAGGTAACGGGAGATGCCATGTATCCCCAACACGGTCCGCGAACACGGACAGAAGACCAAACACGTGGACGACAAACGGTGTTAAGCCAGACTGGTTTTGCCAGGTAGGAGGCGGTTGTGTCAATGTCGGCGGCTGTCAATTTACGATATGGAGGCCTCGACTGCTCAGGCTGTGGGCGTGGGGTCTGGGATTGTGTCTGGATGAAATGCATACACCGTAGATGGAAGTCTAGATTGGTCTAATCTCTTGCTGGCAAAAAGCATTGCGAGCCCAACGGTGAAGCCATGTGATGTGCTGCCACTATTGAGTTCGTATCTGCCACTATGGCGTAGGTGGCGCCTCCTTAGCAAACAGAGTGTCGACAGAGCCGTCGATATCATTGAACCATTGGTCTCCTCGGCAATGACAGTACAATGGATGTGGACGAGACCGGCGATGCAGACATGTCTCACGAATGCGCCAAGTGAGAAGCAAAATACTAAGCTCGCTCTTTAATTGCAAATTGCACATAAGCAGACACTGGGCAAAGTAGAATTCCCGCCTGAATCGGAGGCTTCTTATGGCTATTCCTTGGAGCATTTTAAGTGCGAGTGAGTGGGTGCGACACAAGGCTGAGATGAGCCAGGCACTTGAGGTTGACGACGCATGCCTGATACTGTGGACATGTTGTCAAGGCCTAGTCCATCGACATTCGATGCATGACCTTTGCTCTCAATCAATCAACCAATCAATCAACCAATCGATCAATCAACAACACGCCCTGCTCGAGGGTCAACGTCGAGGTGCCAGCCGAGAAGATCAGAAGAGTCCATACAAGACTTGAAACAACAAACCTGGGCTGCACAATTGCTTTTTATCGATCGTACTTGCTCTCTGTTCTTCAGGGCATTGCATTCAGCATTGTAGATATGTTGGTTTTCTGGACGCATTGGTTCTCCCAAGTCTACCTCCAAACCACCATGGGTGGCTCATTTCCGAACCCAGCCATTCGGTCGAGCAATCTCTACCAGTGCTTTACTGTACAGACAGTCAACGCTAGAGTGTTCCTCGCGAAGCCTAGGCCTAGGCAGGACAAGCCCGCCCAGTGCCGGCTAAAATGGCGCGTGGAACCTCTAAAAGGAGGTACTCAGGATCGAAGCCGGTCGGTGAATCTGGGGTATCCTGGCGGTAGCTCGTTAACATAGCCACTGGCAGACAGGACGTATGGCGAGATACGATAGGTCCAAGCCCGGTCGTCTCTCTTTTGGCGCCACGTGCTCATGGCCTGAAGTGTGGCGATGAGTGACCATGGGCTCCCTGTGTTCGAACCCGTGTTTCGTGCTAGGAGCACCTGGAACCCGCCAGGCAAGTATTTAATTCTGGTGGGGAGAAGGTATTGCTCATAAATATGTTCTTATTTTTGCATCTTAGGACACAATGAAAGCCCGAGCTAAAGAAGGATATATGATTCTAAGCACGGCTGGGGAGGGCGATCACTAGACAACGACGGACGACCAACAGATGGACTTGTAGGACAACAGCATCTCGATCGCAACTTATCGAGAATGCACTACTTCACATGAGGTATCATAGGTCTCTATGCAGGTGTAGGGTTGTACCTATAGGCTATAGTGCCACAGTGCCACAGCGCTTACCTACCTAGCTATCTACAAGTACAAGTCATGGCTGCTTCTCCTACTTAGGTAGGTTCCTAAGCTATTGCTAAGAGATGAGCTCCCTCGCCACAGCACAAAAGTGCACAGTCGAGACTTCGGAAAATGACAAACTACTTACTGACTTAGAACCCTAGAGGGATAGGGAGTCAGCGGTGCCTAGAGAGACGAATTAGGGCCGAGGGGGCGCCTATGCATGTGCGGCTATGCCCGAGGGACTCTATGATAAGGGCGGATCGGCCCCTCGGGCCCCCTCGGCCCCTTTACATGGGTCAAGTACCGCCAAGAGAATTGCAAAGACAAATTGTGACTTTCAGGCTTTCTTGCTTCTCAGTCACTACCTCCCTAAGGATTAGCTATGCGGCTACTTTACAACACTCGGTGCGTGAAAAAATGATCCATGCCAGGCTTCAGCAGAAACGACCATTCGTAACACTGTTCCTGGTGTTTGTTTTGTGGAAGGCTATTCTGATCTTGATTACCCTCGGCAGCCCTGGAGTGGGTTACGACACATCGACGTCTCTCCTCCCACTGCAAGGTCATAGTTGGACATTGCAGACCTTACCACCCGCTTTTCAAAGCCAGTGGTTGAGATGGGTTCGATGGGATGCCATCTATTTCACTCATATTGCAGAACACGGTCATGTTTATGAACAAGAATGGGCCTTCGGCGTCGGCTTCTCAACTGCGACTTCATGGATTGCAAACAGTGAGCCGTGTCACATGATATCTCAAATGATCCACCACTTCTGATACATGCATCATAGTTCTCTCAGCTTGGGCCGTAGTCGACGAGTCGGCGTCCACAATCATCGCAGCCATGCTCCTCTCTCACACCGCCCACTTGCTTTCGGTCGTCCAATTGTTCTTTCTGGGCCATCTTCTCTCTGACGGCGCAAGTCACACCCAATCTCCCATTCCCTTCCGAGCTGCCCTACTACATATACTGTCACCAGCCGGCATCTTCCTCTCCAGCCCCAATGCTGAAAGCACTTTTGCTTTTCTTTCCATGTCTGGCTGTGTCGCCTATGTCTATGCGGTCCATCGCTTTCATCGTTCCCAGCCGCTTGCCGGCTCCCTTGCCATGATTGCCGCTGGACTTGCCCTGGGTGCCGCCACCATCTTTCGCAGCAACGGACTTCTCGCTGGCCTCACCTTCCTCGTCGAGGCATTTTCAGTCCTATTCTCAATCGCGACCCAAGGATTGTCAGCTCTGCGTTTATTGCGTTTGGTCTCGACCATTGTCGGCGGGTCGTTGATTGCTGTTGGCCTGGCAATCCCGCAAGTTATGGCATTCCAGGATTACTGCGCCCATCGGCCGAACGACTTACGAAGAGAATGGTGCAACAGGACAATTCCCTCGATTTTCACCTGGGTCCAAGATCACTACTGGTGAGTCGAAGGAGCACGACGGCCATTGATTCATTTTGACCATGCCTTCTAGGAATGTTGGGCTCTTCCGCTACTGGACCCTATCGAATCTGCCCCTGTTTCTCCTAGCGGCACCAGCCCTTTTCATCTTAAGCTACTCTGCCCTTGATCTGATGTATGCTCCTCGCCTCCTCTCCACCGTCAAACCCAGGTCCTCAGAGAAGGTATCGCTTCGAGACAAGACCACAGTGGTGGCACTAGCCCTTCCACAGCTCCTCATTGCCATTCTTGCCCTAACCAGCTACCATGTCCAAATCATCACAAGGTTGTCATCAGGGTACCCTCTGTGGTACATCTGGCTTGCCTCCCAAATGGAGTCACGTGCGCAGATGACCCAGATCACAATTCGCTGGATGGTTGTGTACGCTCTGCTCCAAGCGGGACTTTATGCAGGATTTTTACCCCCGGCATAACCTCAGATGTCATGACCTCTTTCGATGGTGGGTATTTTGCATAGGGACGGACGACAGGGACGCAGGCACGCGCATCCATGTACATGTCTAGGCATTAGATTACATGACGCAGGCGAAGCACATGACTCGACGGCGCCAAGCCTTGATGTGTAATCAAGCCCTACCTTAGCACGTAGGGGGACCTACCTTGGGTATCCGGTAGGCGTTCTCGTAGGTACATAGGTCCCTCAGGAGGTACCAAGTACCTTGTTAGGCGCCGTAGGTAGGTAGCGATGTCGCTAATAAGGCGCCTAAGAAAGGTCAAGTGCCCACGTTCCACACCCTTGTAGTCTGACCTTGACCGACACACGTGTGTAACTCTGTAACTCTGCAACGACAAAGGCAAGGCAACTGGCGACTGCGACTGCGACTGCGACTGCGACCACATCTCCGCCTTCCTGAGTGCGTGCTTTTGTTACCAGCATCCAACATCCGACTTCCAACACCCACAAATTCACAGGCTTCAAACATTGTTCAATTCTTCCAGGCACAACAGATTTCGTCAGCTCATATAATTCAGGTATCAAGATTATTACATCGCCTTTCTTTTGCCGCATTTTTGGGCGTTGGGTCACATACAACGTGCCTCGTGCTCGTTTTCCAGGCACATACGTGACGTTGCAAGGCGACACTGCAGCTTGCTAAGCCATCATTCTTCTTTTCCCTAAACACCCGCTCACTCGACCTGCTTCATCGCACCAGTCGACCGACCCCATCTTCTTCCTTGAGTCTCACGCTCTTCAACTTATTTCCACCTCATTATTCCTGGTTATGCTTCTGCCATCTGCCTCGACATAACACCCCTCCTCCTCCGTCGTCCACCCGTCTTCAATGAGCCCGCGTGGGCGTCCATCCAATCATGGAGAACCATAAACATCACATCGAAGACCTGGTCAACGGCTCCTCCAACAAACATGGCTCAGAGATCTCGCGAGCCACCTCCCCGGGCACCTTTCCAGGTCTGGACCGTAACCACGGTCCTGATCTCGACTCCCAGCTCAAGCGAAACAGGCCTCGCACCTTTCCCTACTACAAGACCCTTCCATATGCCGTCGAAGACGATGACCTGAGACAAAAGAACCTTTCTGTAATTCTCAAACATCTCTACATTGCTGTTCAAGCCGGCGACTTTACTCCTGGTGCCGCCCATTGGACTAGAGAACTACGGAGCTGGCTGTCCTTAAAATTCGATCCCACTAGGGAACAGAGAGTCAAGTTGGTCAAACTCTACTATGAACTTGCTCTTGCTCCGGGCATTGACCCAGGCGTTGCCGAGAGGTTCGCCAGCATGTTCATGCTGCTCACAAAGTACGTCTCGCTGTGCCAGCCTTGCGCACCCAAACTAACTCTTTCTTAGACGAAAGCACTATCTACGTCCCTTCAAAGACCTCACGCTCGACTGGCGTCCCCTCTACCGAGAACTCAAAGTCTTTGTCCTACCTAGCGAGTCGGGCCTCATGCAGACGACAAACCTCAAAAGAAACATCAAAACTTTGACAAAGATGACCTCTTTTGCTCAACTCTACTTCGACCCAGAAGAGATCCCTGCCATGCTCGACGAGATTCTACCCTATTTCACAATGTCCTCTACAGAAGGCGCTTTCGTCGTCATTGGATTGTTCAACTTACTTCTTCCGACCGCCCCGCCACATGCTGATCGCCCTGACCTTGTGCCTCAACAGTTTCTCCCCACTTACTTTCATCTGTGGTCACTTGTTAATCGTTCCCGCACCGTCGACGTCGCCTGCCTCGATCTCTTCTCCCGACTGGCCCGGGACAATCTCTCCTGCGAAGCCGTCCAATTCACCGAGTTCGGTATCTTCACCCCTGAGCAGTCAACCCTGATCGCTACCTCGGTTCTCAGATTGCTCGAGATCCCCGTAGGCCAGTCCACCTCTCCCTACACCGCCATGGTCGATTTGTCCGCCGGCATGGGCATTCTGCTCGATCGTGATTCCCGAAAACACCCCGTTTCCCATCACATTGCTCGGTGGTTCGTCATGTCTCTGTCTCCGGCTTGCCTCGATGCAGACGTTTCGGTTTTGTCCCTGCTCGAGACTCTGATTCAGGCCGTTGAGACCTTTTTCCATCCATCCAATTCTGGCTCCTGGACCCGAACCCTGGCACAACTGGTCTTTTATCTGTCCGACTTCTTCGTTATGCGTTGGAATAGGGAACGCAATGGAGAGATGGATGTCCCCCCGGAGCGCAGGCTGAATGAAGCCATTCGGAAGAGATTCGTCCTTTGTCTGAGGGAGGTCATTTTCATGGGAATTTATGCAAAGAGTGGAACAGCCATGAGCTTTTCTCTCTCCACTCTTCAGACCCTGGCCTTCCTTGAACCTGATCTGATCCTACCAGGGGCTTTACAACGCATCTATCCGTCCATGCAAGGCCTCGTCGAGGTACACCGGACCATCTCCTCCTTGCGTTCATTGCAAATTCTGGCTCGAACCATGATTAGAACAAAGGGCTATCGATGCCACATCACTGCCTTCCTCGGCCTCGCCTTACCCGGAATAGATGCCAATGATTTGGAGAAAACCCTGTACACCCTTTCCTTCTTCGCCAACGTATGTTACAACATTCCATTCCAGGACTTGTCCAAGGGAAGAGACGACGTTCAAGGCGACATCCTGGCCATGGAGTGGATCACCGGTGAAATGGAACGCATGGAACAAGAAGGTGGCAATATCGAGCTCAACTACGCTAGTCTCGATGACAAGCAGGAGGAGATGATCCTTGCTTCGTCCACAGCAGGTTTCAGCGAATTTGTCAGCTCCTTTCTGGGTAGAGTGTTCACTTTGCTCGAGAATCTGCCAGACGCCGCCCGCATCAGAAGTGGCTCTCCTGAAGAAAATATCGTCAACACCCTCCCAGCTGCCTTCATGCCACTTCTTGCCTCATTGTCCCCAGAGCTCTTTGATTTGGCTTTGAACAAAATTGTGGACTTTGTGGCAAACCATGTCATCCATCAGTCCCGCGACGCTATGGCCTTCATCTGCAATTGTCTGTGTAAAGTCGACGCCGAAAAGTCCCTTGCCAAATTTGTTCCCGTCTTGACCGCCGCCATCCGAACCGAGATCGACGAGAACGGCGCTGGCTCGACCCGAAATGCCGCAAACGATGTTCTCCCTCGTGACCGAGGTCTGGTATGGAACATTAGCATGCTTAGTATGTGTGTTGTACACGTGGGTTCCGCGGTTCTCAAGTACAAGCAAGAACTCTTCGACATTGCCGTCTACATGCAACAGCATTGCAAAGGGATGCCCACTGTCCACGTGTCCAACTACATCCATCATCTGCTCCTGAATCTCACCGTCACTTATACCTCAGACTTTAGGCTCTTCGAACCTGAAAAGACCCAGAATGGGATCAACGCGTCATTGTGGGGAGTTGCAGAACCGGCCGCAACCATAAAACCAAGATGGCATGTCCCAACTCAGGCCGAACTGGACTTTGCCGTCGAGTTGTTCCAAAACCAAGCAGAGGGCGCCATCAAACATTTGACAGGTCTGATCCAAGGCACCTCCAGCATCAAGAGAGATGGCACAGGTAAAGAATGGTCTGACGAAGTCTCACGCAATCTGGTGCTTCTGCGACTATTGATCGCTGGCGTCTCTGTCTTGTTTGATGCAAAAGGCGTCAATGAAGGTCTCAAAACTACGGCCGTAGGGGTTGATACCGAGGCGTCCTTGTCGCGAGCCAACGGATTTGCACCCGAAGACAGTAACCCCATCTTGGAGGGCGATTCTGTTTTAGATGGGACTGATGAGAACTCTATCAAGCCCTCATTTCAATACCCGTGTGGAGCCTTGCTGAAGCCGGATGACAGGAACTATCAAATACTCCACAGTCTACGACAGGACATTGGCCGAGTCTTGCACAAAGTCCACGTCTTTCTGACGCGAGAGGGAGAAGATGACGTCTCTTCGTTCGCCCCTCTATACACCGCCTATCGATCATGGTTTGTCGACGTCGGCATTGAACGATCTGCGCATGTCCTTGATAGGGTGACACGTCTGTTGCATGCGGATGAGCAACCTTATAAAGTCAGTGGTGTCAGAAAAGACTATCCACGTTCCATCCTGGTACGAAGAGCGAATGTGTACCACACTCAGCGTCTTCGCCATAACGCTGCACCGAGACCCCGCTCGGAACTCGACGAGCAGCTCTTGCTAGATCTGGGCGAGTCAGCAGTTTCTCTATATACTGAGGTGCGCCGAAACGCCCAAAGTGCCGGGGAGTCGGCTTTAAAGGTGATATTTGGCGCTCGACTGTTCATGATCCCCCCGCTACTGCGCTCTTTCCAGAAAGCTGTGGAGCTGAAAGACTTTCCGCGGATAAAAGGTGCCTTGTTTGCACTATTATTTGGCACTCTTTCCAAGACGATTGGCAGACATTGGAAGTACACGCCTGATGTGATCAAGACTTTCATCGAAGCCAGCACGGCGGATAAGCCATCCATCCAAAAACTTTGCAGTGGTGGCCTTTTCCAGGTCATGGACTATGGACGGCCCGGGGACCGGATGGCCATCATCGACAGGACAGTGGTTGAAGTCTTCACTCCAGACGAAGACGTTGAGGACAAAGTAGCAAAGCAAAAGTCATCTGTGCTCGCAAAACGCGCCAGTATCGAAAAGCGGAAAGCCGAATTGGCCGAAGAACTCATTGATCTCGGCCGAGTATCCCACTGGAAGAAGGCAACGCGAGTTGCAACTCTGGTCATGTCACTGGGGATGAGGTTTGATCATATTGCGTCTGATAATATGATTGACTTGATCACCAACGGAACCATCGATCCCCACCCTGGTCTGCGAGGACTTTATTCCCAAGGCTTGGTAGCTCTTTTCACAATGACGGATGTGCGAGCCGTTTGTGGGCACGATTATGCCAACTACATTCAGGCACGGCAAGAATTTCCGGCCAAGGTCAAAGTGACCACACATTCAGAACAAGACTCATGGACCCGTGACTATCTCGATGCATTCTCCAAACCCGAAGCCGAAGTCTACATCGACCATGACTATCCTGGATGGCTGGTGTGGTCCAAATCCATGCCTGGGTACAAGGCCAACATCAAGCAGGACATCGAATACGACGAACTTGAGCTGAAGAAACGTAGCGTCATCGGTAAACTTCTCACCCGTGACTGGTTTGTGTCATTCTTCAAATATCTCAAGCAAGAGCCTCGCGATGCATCGGCGGACAAATTCCGCATGGCCAGCGCAGCAATGTTGACCTACGCATTTGAGCTCATTATTCGCGATGGGCTCGCTGTCGCGACGCTAGACGACATCAAAGAGGAGACCCTGGCCGTCTTTGAAGATGGCAGTGACAAACACCAGCATCGTGCAACTGCCGAGATTTTGGCAGGCCTGATCACATCTGTTATGGACGGATCAATTGAGAAGAGAACGATGGTGTGGGAATTCGCCTTTCCTATCATTAGGAAGATCTTTTCTGATGACCTGACCCCTGAGAATTCAGGATACTGGACGACCTTCTTACACATGATTTTGCAAGCTCGAGACCCTCGTCGTGCGTGGCCGCTGGTTGAATGGCTGACCAACTTCAAGCTGGACATGGGATCCAATGCTGCATTCAAGGAAAGCTCGAAGATTCATCTGCTTCATCAAGTTATCATGGATGCGGGTTGGCATTTTCAACTGGAGAAGCCTATCGTTGAAGACTTTCTCGGTCATATCGACCATCCATACAAAGGGGTTCGCGAAGCCATGGCACACACCCTCGCCACCATCACTCGAACTCGCTACCACGAGTCCTACAGTAGTGTGTCAGAACTTGTTGAAGCACAGAAAGCTGCTGGTTCGATCGGAAAGCAGCCGTATGTGCCGACTGCTGAGTTTGACCGTACAGTCTATGAGATATTTGAGAGAATTGAGAGATGGCGACATGAGCGAACTCCTGGACAGCAGACGCCGTCCGCGTATACTTCAGGCAGCAAGACTGTCTTGTTGTGGCTGGATTCGATGCTCTCGTCTTACGAATGCACACAATTCCTTAAGTACTTCCCAGATTTGTTCACAGAGCATTTCCTCCACATGATGGATGTCAAGGAGGATCCCGAGCTGCAGTCTCTAGCTTATCACGTCTTCCGTCATCTGCCAAACATCCCTCACCGCATTGGTGAAGATCGAAAGTTGATCGACGCTTTGATTCGAATCGGACGTACGTCGACATCTTGGCATCAACGACTAAGGGTCATGATCAATATGCAGATCATCTTCTTCCGACGCTTGTTCTTGCTATCTGAGGAGAGCAAGCACTTGTTGTTTGATTGCGTGGCTGAGATGCTCGAAGACACGCAGCATGAAGTTCGAGCTGGTGCGGCTACAACGTTGTCAGGGATGATTCGTTGTTCGCCCGAAGCTTTGCGTAAGAAGATGGTGGTGGAGTTGAGACAGCGGTTCACGCAAAAGTTGATCGACAATCCTCTCCCGAAGAAACCCAAAGGCCAGCTGGCCGGCATTGCCGCTGGAATTTCGTCAGCTCGAACGTCTGGTACCAACACCCCGACCCCAGAAGCTCAGAGACTGGTTCTCGTTCGGCATGGAGCAGTCCTGGGCTTGGGTGCATTGATTCAAGCCTTCCCATATTCGAGTCCGCCTCCACGGTGGATGCCAGATGTCCTGGTCACCTTGAGCAGCAAGGCAGCCAATGATCCGGCAACAGTGGGGAATGCCGTCAAAAGCATCATTAGTGATTTCAAAAAAACCAGGCAAGATACCTGGCATATTGATGTCAAGGTATGTGTTCGATGTGCCTCGTCTATTGTGCTTAAGATTAACCTAGCCGCAGGCATTCCAACCAGAGCAAATTGAGGATCTTTCTGGCGTCCTGTGGAAGAGCTACTTTGCTTAGAGTCTCCCAAGTCAACTGGCCTCGAAGTTGAGGCTTGGGTCGTCCAGAGAAGATCTTAGTTAGGGCATCGGCGAGCGATCTCTCCCTGGATATCCCTACTGAAACGTGTGACATCTACTCGTCTATGTGTACTACTAGATGGGGACGGTCCAATAGCTACCTGATATGAGTTTGCATCCACGTGGCTTGCTCTAAGACAACCCTCTTTCGGTTCGTGCTGGCAGGGAGAAGGGGCAAAACTGCCATGCCGACAGAACAGTGTGTTGGTTCCAGCAGGCCAACTTAAATCTATATGTATCAAACCTACAAATACCTTTCCAACCCGTGGTTGAGTGAGTGAGTGAGTGAGTGAGTGAGTGTTCTGTTCATTTGAAGTCGAGGCCCAACCCGATGATACTCCGACCGATGATAATCCGGTTGTGAGTCATCTATCGAGCATGGGGATCTTGCTCAAAGCAACAATATAATCATTCGACCGTCTGTAGCTTTCATGGGCAGATTCCTCAAAGGCGGAGTTTCGGTTATCTTGCCTACTCTCTGAAGCCGCAGAGTAAGTTGGGTTACCTCAAGGTGTGATTCTAGTCTCCATCCATTATGTCCATCATTTGCCTCGCCTTCTCGCCGACCCACGAATTCACCAAATCTCGATGTCACTCGCTCGTTCTCCTTGAAAACCTCGGTGTCCAGGGAGACTGTCACTGCGGCGAGACGGTGCAGCACCGCTCACGGCTACACATCCGTCCTCCGCCAAAGAACCTGAGGCAGGTGCACTTGATCGACGCAGAGATCTTGGAAGAGGCCGAGGTCCAGCCAGCAGATCTCGGGGAAAACGTCACAACGAAAGGCCTTGAGTTGTTGTCGAAATCAGCTGGGACTAAGTTGCACTTCCTACCCGCAATCACGCCTGCAACTGCGACTGCGGTAGCTACAGACAAACGAAATGGAGATTTTGTTACTGTAGCAGAAATACTTGATGGAGCAGTTAGCGAGCTGAAGGAGAACCTGGCCTCACCGCATCCGATTGTCGTCCTAACTGGCCTACGTAATCCGTGTCCACAGATCCAAAAGTTCCGCCCCGGGCTGCAGGAGAAGTTCATCATCAGAGACCAAGACCGCAACATCGTGGCAAGGAGGGCAGGAGTTATGAGGGTGGTGGAAGTTGGTGGAGAGATTCACGATGACATGAGCATTGTGGTGGAGGAGCCGGCGGTTTTCCAGACGTTGATGTGTGTCTAATATGGTATCACTGACGTCTTTGCTCGACCATGATGATAATATTGACAGATGGCGATTGCATCCGTATCCGGATTTGTAGTTGCTTTTTTATCAGTCTGAATACCTACCATCGCCGCCAGGATCTAATCGTGGCACGTGACTGTCAGGGGCTCATGCAGGCATCGTCGTGAGCGACCAATTGCTTCACCGTAGCTCCCCATTCAGTCTAGCGTGCCAAGGTCTCGAGCTCAAGGCGATGATGCTAGCAGCTGCGCTCTCAAGGGTCGTTGGGGTTGCAGATAACAGGCTTCCATCCACGATCACCTCTTCTCACCATCCAGGACGTTCAAGCCTTTACTGGATTCTCACATCATATCAATCTCTTTCAAGTGGCCTGGGCGGCCTTCCTTCCTCCATCCAACCGCCCAGCATGGCCCACAAAGACACCCTCTTCCGTTCAGCCAACATGTCTCTTACCCAGCTGTACATCTCCAACGAAATCGGCCGTGAAGTGGTTTCTGCCCTGGGTGAGGTCGGCTCTGTCCAATTCCGCGACCTCAATGCTGAAACCACTGCCTTCCAACGGACCTTCACCAAAGAGATCCGCCGCCTGGACAATGTTGAACGCCAACTGAAATACTTCAAGGCTCAGATGGACAAATCAGGCATCGCCATGAGAAGTCATTGGGATTTTGACCAGGATATGCTTGCGGCGCCTCAGGCCAGCGAAATCGATGAACTTGCCGATCGAGCAGAGTCCCTAGAACACCGCGTTAGCAATCTGAACGAGAGCTACGAGACACTCAAAAAACGCGAAGTCGAGTTGACCGAGTGGCGCTGGGTCCTCAAAGAGGCCGGTGGTTTCTTCGATCGAGCTCATGGACAGACTGATGACATCCGTCAGAGTATCGACGAGGATGATGCTCCTCTCCTTCGAAATACCGAGGCCGAAGAAGGGAGAGCAAACGGTGATGCGCATGGCCAGCAACAGAGCTTTGCCGTTATGAACATTGGTTTTGTCTCTGGAGTCATTCCCCGCGAGAAACTCGGCGCCTTCGAGCGTATCCTTTGGAGGGCTCTTCGCGGCAACCTCTACATGAACCAGTCGGAGATCCCCGAGCCCATCATCAACCCCGAGACTAACGAGGAGATTCGCAAGAACGTCTTTGTCATCTTTGCCCATGGAAAAGAAATCATTGCCAAAATTCGAAAAATCTCCGAGTCACTGGGCGCCGATCTCTACAATGTCGACGAGAACAGCGATCTCCGCCGCGATCAAATTCATGAGGTCAATACTCGTCTCAGTGATCTCGCTAGTGTACTACGAAATACCAAAAATACTCTGGATGCCGAGTTGACCGCGATCGCTCGTTCCCTGGCAGCCTGGTTGATCGTCATCAAAAAGGAGAAGGCTGTCTACAATGCCTTAAATATGTTCTCGTATGACCAAGCTCGCAAAACTCTAATTGCCGAAGCTTGGGTGCCTACTGCCTCTCTGCCTCAAATCAGAGCAACCCTACAGGATGTCAATGATCGTGCCGGGCTATCAGTGCCCACTATTGTCAATCAGATCAAGACCAACAAGACGCCTCCCACGTACAATAAGACCAACAAGTTCACAGAAGGTTTTCAGACCATCATCGACGCCTATGGTACCGCCAAATACCAAGAAGTCAACCCGGGCTTGTATACCATTGTCACTTTCCCATTTCTGTTTGCCGTCATGTTCGGCGATTTTGGCCACGGAACTTTGATGGCCATGGCCGCCGCCGCAATGATCTATTGGGAGAAACCGCTGTCGAGGTCAAAGCAAGACGAACTCTTTGCTATGGCTTTCTACGGCAGGTACATCATGTTGATGATGGGCATCTTCTCCATGTACACCGGTCTGGTCTACAATGACGTCTTCTCCAAGGGGTTCACCCCCTTTGCCTCGGCGTGGGAATTCCCCGAGGAAGGACGCCCCACCTCTGTTGGCCAACTCAAAGGAAGCTACCGATATCCTTTCGGTTTGGACTGGGCGTGGCATGGATCCGAGAACGATTTGCTCTTCAGCAACAGTCTGAAGATGAAATTGTCCATACTCATGGGTTGGGCCCATATGACCTACGCTCTGACATTCTCCTACATCAATGCCCGACATTTCAAGTCACCTATTGACGTGTGGGGAAATTTTGTGCCAGGAATGATCTTCTTCCAAAGCATCTTCGGGTATCTCAGTTTCTGTATCGTCTATAAATGGTCGATTGATTGGGCTGCAGTAGGGAGAAACCCACCATCTCTCCTCAATATGCTGATTCAAATGTTCTTGTCGCCTGGGACGGTCGAAGAGGGCGAACAGTTGTACAGCGGACAGGCTGGCCTGCAAGTGGTTTTGGTCTTGATTGCTGTCATCAACGTCCCCATATTGCTTCTTCTCAAGCCACTCTACCTGAGATGGGAACACAACAAGACGGCGGCTCAAGGGTACCGTGGAATCGGTGACACAAGTCGAGTGACCCACGCGCTCGACGATGACGATGAAGACGGCAACCCGGAACAGCGCCAGAATGGCAGGCCCAGTAACGACAGTGATGAAGGGGCCATGATCACGGAAAACATTGACGACGAAGAGCACGAAGAATTCGAGTTCTCTGAAGTCATGATCCACCAGACCATTCGTAAGTATTCTCTGGGTAGACTTCCGTTGTGCCTGGATTTGGCTGCTAACATTTTTTGTGCTAGACACGATTGAATTCTGTCTCAACTGCGTCTCGCACACGGCCTCATATCTACGTTTGTGGGCGCTGTCGCTAGCACATCAACAGTTGTCGGTGGTGCTCTGGAACATGACCTTGGGAAATGCCTTTGGTTCGTCCGGGGGCATGCAGGTGTTTATGATTGTGGTGACATTCTTCTTCTGGTTCGTCCTCACCATCGCTGTGCTGTGTGTCATGGAAGGCACCTCGGCCATGTTGCACTCGCTGAGATTGCACTGGGTTGAGGCCATGAGCAAGCACTTTATCGGTGAAGGCGTGACCTTTGAGCCATTCAGCTTCAAGCTACTCTTGGAGGAGGAGCCTATCGACTAAAGTATCATCACTGTATGACCAGGACATGCAGGACATCTGCCCATGATTCACGCTGAGCATTCGACCCAAGGAAAACAGAGGTATCCCTCTGCCTCCTTTGTCACCTGGTCTGATGAGTTTGCGAAACTTGGGCTGGACAAACGTGCTCTCGAGGTCGCTAGGTGGGTGGCTTGTACACATGGCTGTTTTATAGTTTATTTAGAATCAATGGAGATGCCACTCATTGACTGGCATTTTTCTTTCCTTAAGCGTAAACCGTCGTCGCTGTGGGATCGATCGATTGATGTGTAGCACGGTCTACAATATTGAACGCTGCCCATTCTATGTTGCATTCACAGATTATACGTACATCATTTGTACTAGCATGGAGAACTGGACTTGAGTCTCTTGAGGGGGAACACGTCTTTTGATTCACATGGTGTCAATCGATATATGCCTAATCAGCACAATACAATGGGTTTCTATACAGTACATATCTACAAGCGTCGATGATGCCCAGGGCCGTTGGGCTCGTTTCTCGTGGCCCACAGGCCGTGTGATAGATCGTCAAACAGGTCAAGCTTGGATTCAGTCGTTTTCTTATGTTTTGGTCTTGGGATTGTTTAGTGAGCCATCTTTGGAAACCTGCGCCGCCTTTCGTTCAGCGTCCAATTGTCGTTCCACCTGCCACACGGCTCTTTCAATTTCGCCCGACAACTCAGGAACTCCTAGTGTTTTGGCAACAAGGTCATGGCTATCTGCAGTGAGGATCAGTTGGTCGGGTGGGGCAGTCCCATCTTCAATCTGACTCGCTGTTACAAAATGGAAGTCGGGAGAGTGCGGCGCCACTTGTTGGTAGAGTTCTTCGATGTGGTCTGGCGATTGAGGTTTGATGAGTCGGTGGTCTAAAATGAAATCCAGGTGGTCAGACCCCTTGAGTGCTGGAAGGCAAATGTCAGCGAAAAACCACCAGGGAGGACGAGGCTGAAGTTACCTCTCCAATGTGACCAGCACCGATAGACGGCATAGAAGAAGGGTATGTTGGGGATTCTGCTACCTGGTCAGTTTGGACAATAGGAAGCAACTGTACAGGAGATGGGCCGTACATTGGGATCAGAGCAAAGGGGACGGTGAAAGGAATAGCAACCATGCTCCCAATAAAACGATTCCAGTGTAATTGCTTCCTTTCACGAGCTAGCCGTGCCAGGACCCTGGGGACGTCCTCTTGTCTCATGACATTACCCGGGTAGATGACGTCGAACCTCTTCCCTTGGACGAGGTGTTCTGCTTGGAGATTGGGGCTGGAGGGAGGAAAGCTCTTGAGACTCCATTCTTGATAAGGGATACGTTGGAGGCCTCTGTTGCCATATGTAACAATGTGCTTCTTCCAACCACTTTTGGCAGTCTCCCATTTGGCCCATGTCTCGGCGGCCTTTTGTTGGATTTTCTCGCCGTAGCTTGACTCGGCTCCTGGGGCCTTAGCGGCACGTTGACAATACACAAGAGCTTGTCGCGTGCTTAAAGGAAGGAGAAAGAGTCGCATAGCAATGGTGGAAAGGATATTGGGGTGCAGGGGGAGGCAATGTTGAGTGGTTTGGGGCAGGGAGTGTGCCTGCGAGGAGGAAACTGCTAGATCATGTTGAAGAGCTGAACAGATGGGAACTTCGGAGTGAGTGGTCAAGAATCAAGTACGAAGGGTTAAATGGAAGAAGAGAGGACTGAAAGAGAGTGCAAGGTTGCGGAATGCAGAAAGTGCTGCCATTGAGGCATTGAGTTTGGGACTTGAACTGCTGAATGATGCGGACTGGCGTCGACGTTGAAAAAGACGAGGAGCGACAGTCCATCACACACGTCATTTGGCCTACTACATAAGTCCTAGCATCTTGCTGGTGCCACTACCACTGGGCGAGCCACGAGTCAGCCACAGGACACATCCATAAGCGTATCAATCCTCCGTATATGGCTACCTTAGGTGCCTGCAGCACTATTTACTTAGGTACCTAGGTACCTATAGCCTGTAGGCGCCCACCTGAGGCCCGAGGGCCGTGGAGCCCAGGCCGGCTTTCTCCACAAACCTCCCACGTAAAATTTTAGGCCCAGGCCCCCCCAACCCAAACAAACCTATTCGCTCCTCCAGGCATCCACCTAATGCTTACACCACCATCATTTTAAGTAAAAGTACCATGTCAGTTTAGGCGGCATCTCCCTGAGAAACTCTTGAGTCGTCACGACCCGACCACAGGCTCCCGGATTACCCGGTCACCAGTTCAAGCCCTGACCTTGGCCAACCAACTATCGCCTTCTTTGCGCATGTTGATCGCCAAGCGACCCAGAATGGGGCCCTCGGGCCTGCCTTGCTTACCTACAAATGATGCCCTCGTGTCTCCATTAGTGCATTGACCATTCCCATATAACCGCCCGACCACCGCCTTCATCCTGTTGGCAGAGAACGATCGAATCGCGGTCATAAAACGAATATCAATCGGCCGCCAACATCACTACCGTCCTCTACAAGCAGGCATGCATCTTCCGTTTCCTTTTGGTACGACGCCCACGTCAGTATAGTGTACTGTGACACGTCCACTGCGACTCACCAACTCGGAGTGATATGATCTCACCCTGACACCGGAGTCGCTCTCAGCCTCAGTGGCTCTCGCAAGAGCGTTCTCGGCTTAGTACTTGGTCAAGACATGGCCACCGCGGGCTTCCCATGGTCGGATCAGTCCAGAGACCCAGAGAAAGAGTCACCTCCGTCGCAGCCGACAGCTCCTTCCTCCCCTCCCAACACCAACTCCCACGTCGATTCAGAGATCCTCTCCCACAAGACATCGTCGTCTAGCCACTGTTCTCAGACTCGAAAAGCCTCAACCTACAAAGGAAAGGGCCGTAATGGATCCCTCAAAGGGCCCCCCGCCGTCAAACCTCCCGTCCTGAAAGCTATTCCCTCTTCAAACAATAGAGTCTCCAAAGCCACATCGCCCTTACCCGTGCGGACGATTCCAGGTAAGTTTGACGCCTTTAGCCTGGGCTCCGCTCTGCCAGCGACATGTTTTCTGACTCTTCTCTGCAGCTTGGGTGAGGGACGCGGAAGAGGATGATTTTGAAGACCCAGACTTTACCCTTCCAGACAGCCCTCATGCTGCCTTTGTCGCGCAACACCACCATGGTCAGGCAACCCTCCAGCGACCTCTCCTGTCCGGTCAACATGCACGCCGAAACAGCCACATCACCTCGTCTGGTCATGTACGACGTGAGAGGACGTCAAGATGGGTTACTTTCGCACGAGCTAGCGCCTACCCACGGGAAAACTTTCACAGTGAAAAGGTGGACAATGACTGGCTGGACCAAAACATGACCGACTACTCCAAACCGTGGCTCGCCGACCATGAGGAAGACGAGGAAGACAGCAGCAGCCGATATCGTGCCTTCCGACGGAAAAGGCAGGTCTGGTACAAGAGGGCCCAATTCACCATTCTCCGCAATCCGTTTATTCCTCTGGCCTTTCGATTGACCATCTTTCTCTTCGCCCTTCTCGCCCTCGGCCTGGGTGTTTCCATCTACAAAGCGACCGGACGCATTCAAACTTGTGTGCAGCAACCTGTGCCTCGGACTCCAGATTGCCAGCAGCTTGTGGGTGCCGAGCAGCAAGACTACTACCGCGATCCGTCGGGATTGATGGCCATCATTGTCGATGCCATCGCCCTGGTATACACCGTCTACATTACCTACGACGAATATTTTTCCAAGCCCCTAGGCCTACGACCCGCTCGCGCCAAAGTTCGTTTGGTCCTGCTTGATTTGTTCTTTGTTGTCTTCCAGTCCGCGAACCTCAGTCTGAGTTTCGAATCATTGACGGTCGACGAAGGTGCATGTCAGGTTGGCGATGACCCGAGGACGTCGAGCAGGTTCGATAACGTATGTCGTCGAGCTCAGGCGCTGAGTGCCGTCTTGCTGGTCTCTTTGACAGCCTGGCTGATAACTTTCTCGATTAGTGTCTTGAGGTAAGTCGCTGCTATCGATCTGTCGCTGGTGAATATTGCTGACATATCACAGATTGGTCGAGAGAATCAACAGCAATTGAGCACACGCCTGCCGGTTAGACATGCAAGCTGGGGCCATCGTCACCATATACAGGATCCCGGCCAAACCACGTTAGGTCGCTGATGGCCTTCACTTTATCCTCCTCTCCGACGCGACCATAGCACATGTCCCAGCGGGTGGAAGATGAGGGATAGCTGCCCACCATCTGAAAGCCGCCGTAATCCTGGATCAACCGATGTCCTACGCCAGCTGGGATGACCACCACGTCACCTTTGTCAAGGACAGGCTCAACGCGATGCGGGTTGTCCTCATGACCAAAGCAGCATTTGGCGGAACCTGAAGAAATCACGAGCACTTCATGCGTAGTTGAATGAAAGTGGGTATCGCTATACATTGTATACCTCCACTGTGGAGTGACTTGGGCGATGGAGTTGAGGTGCGCCTCGATCTGGGAAGCGCTTGCACTAGCAAAGGCGCCATGGTATATTATCAAGGGTTTGCCTTGAATCGAAGTGTTGGGAATGCCTTTGAAGGCTGGAATCTGATGCTTTGTAACCCGTAAAAGGGACAAAGGTGTGATGGACATTTTCTTTTGACTGCCCATGGAGAGTCCTTGCAGCAACAATATGCTCTCTGAACAAGGTGTCTATTCTTCAATAATATCTAATCATCTCAGATGATTGCTGTTGAGGAAACTGGTAGGGAGGCACGGAAGGTTGCTGATTGCCACTTGGTAAGAATCCGGAAGAACCAGATATTCCGTTGGTCAGCCACGAGTGCCACATCTGCCACATCTGCCACGTTAGGCTCCAACCCCGACGCCAAGAGAAAGTCGCCTCCTGGAAGTCACGCCCGCATGTCAACCCGTAGAGCCCAACCACAAGCACCGGCTGAATGTTGGTAGGCGCAACTCCAAGCTAGTATTAGACAATAGCGGCACTGGCATCAGATTGTAGCCTTCTTTCATCTCCTCACCAGACCAGGGCTCACTGCCTTTAGTCACCACCCTTCACCATCTTCCCTCCACCACCACCACTACCACTACCACCACCACCGTCCTTCATCTCTCATCACTGACAACAACCTCAACCGCTTCCTCCTCTTTCTGTCAGTCCCGTCTCGACCTCCCTGCAAAGTCCCTCCTACCTTGTTCGCCTCTTCGAATTGTCTGGTTAACCCCCCCCTACAATTCTCTCTCTCATAAACGCTGCTCAGTCAAGCCCTGTCTCTTTGGCCTTCCTTGTCTTCTCTCGACATTCAACAAGCCCTCTTCTAGCGTTCTTCCTGCGACAATCAGTCCCTCAGTCCAGTCAACCGCATTTTCCCTACATTACCATCCTCTGCAAGCTTTCACAGTCCGGCCTTCCTCTGGTCACCATCAACTGAAAAGATCCGCCGATCTTGTTTCAATATCCTCCGGGCTCACCGAGCCTTGCTCACAACATGCCTCCCGTCTCCAATACTGCGTCAGCTCCCGCACTGAGAGGTCGGGATGATCTTCACACAACGTAGGCCTCCAACGCCTCCTTCTCAAATTGTCAACTAATCTCCAATCTAGCTGGTCTTATCTTGAAGACAACATCAACAATGTCATGACCAAATTACAAGAAGGTCTAGACATGAAGACCTATATGTGAGCACAGAACCCCTGCCGTTTCTCCTAGCCCTTATCTACTGTTTCTGACACCTCTTCCTAGGGGCGTCTACACTGCTGTTCACAACTTCTGCACATCTCAGAAGGCCGCATCGAGTCAACCGCAGCCCGCCACGTCGACCCCTCTCAACACCGGCCACCGCGGTGCCCATCTCTTGGGCGAAGAGCTATATACACTCCTCGGCCAGTATCTTACAGAACACCTTCGTCAGGTCCTAAATTCCTCCGAATCTCACACCGACGAAGCCTTGCTCTCCTTCTACATTCGAGAGTGGAAGCGTTACACTGATGCCGCCAAGTACAATAATCACTTGTTTCGCTATCTCAATCGCCACTGGGTCAAGCGAGAGATCGACGAGGGCAAAAAGAATGTCTACGATGTCTATACTCTTCATCTGGTCAAATGGAAGGATGACTTTTTCAAAGCCGTTGAATCTAAAGTCATGCAAGCTGTTCTTCGCCTGGTTGAGAAACAGCGCAATGGCGAGACCATCGATCAACTCCAGATTAAAGCCATCGTCGACAGTTTCGTTTCTCTCGGCTTGGATGAGATTGACTCCTCCAAGTCAACCCTCGATGTATACAAGCTCTATTTCGAGCGTCCTTTCATTATTGCCACCAAAGAATACTACTCCAATGAGTCCAGACGCTTTGTCGCCGAGAACAGCATCGTCGAGTACATGAAGAAGGCCGAGGCTCGCTTAGACGAAGAGAAGGAACGTGTTGGCCTATATCTCCACCCAGACATCATGAAAAAGCTCATGGACACTTGCAACGAGGCCTTGATCGCAGACCATTCGGCCGCCCTCCGAGACGAGTTCCAAGTTCTTCTCGACAACGAGCGTACTGACGATCTAGCACGCATGTACAAACTTTTGTCCAGGATCAAGGATGGTTTGGACCCTCTTCGAAGCCGCTTTGAACAACATGTCCGCAAGGCTGGCACTTCGGCTGTGGAGAAAGTTGCTGCTAATGGTGATAATTTCGAGCCCAAGGTGTATGTCGATGCTCTCCTGGAGATTCATGGCAAGTACCAGCAGCTCGTCAACGTGGCTTTTAATGGCGAGTCCGAATTCGTTCGCTCCTTGGACAATGCGTGTCAGGAGTTTGTCAATCACAACCAAGTGTGCAAAAGCAACTCCACTCGCTCCCCTGAGCTGCTCGCTAAATACACCGACCAACTCCTCAAGAAAGGCGCCAAGGCCGCGGACGAATCAGAGCTCGAAGAGCTTTTGGTGCAGATTATGATTGTCTTCAAATACATCGAGGACAAGGACGTCTTTCAGAAATTCTACTCGCGCATGTTGGCAAAACGACTTGTGCACACCAACTCTGTCTCCGATGACGCCGAGACAAGCATGATTAGCAAGCTCAAAGAAGCCTGTGGCTATGAGTACACCAACAAGTTGCAGAGAATGTTCCAGGATGTTCAAATCTCCAAAGATCTCAATACCGCTTACAAAGACTGGCATGACAAGGTCTTGGAAGACGGTGACGAGAAGCGAACCATCGACTCCACCTTTCAGATTCTGGGCACCGGTTTCTGGCCGCTCAATGCTCCCAACGCCGCACTCGCCCCCCCGGTGGAGATCAAGAAAGCCGTGGACTCGTTCATCCGCTTCTATGATCAAAAGCATACTGGTCGAAAATTGACATGGCTGTGGCAGCTGTGCAAGGGAGAGATTCGTGCCAACTACATTCGATCACAAAAGGTCCCCTACACCTTTCAAGTGTCCATGTATCAGATGGCTGTCTTGTTGTTGTTTAACGACAGTGACAAGCTCGACTATTCTGAAATCAAAGAATTAACAAACTTGACCGACGATACCCTTGACCCTGCAATTGGCATTCTATGCAAAGCTCGTGTCATCATTGCCACACCCGAAGATGCCAAGGCCAGCCCTGGAACCAAGTATGTCTTGAACCACAATTTCAAGAACAAAAAGTTGAAGATCAACCTGAATATCCAGGTGAAGTCTGAGCAAAAGGTTGAAGCTGAAGATACACACAAGACCATCGAGGAGGACAGGAAGCTATTACTCCAGGTAAGTGTCTCCATAACTTGAGATGAAGCCAGAAGCTAACTTTCGCCAGGCCGTTATTGTTCGGATCATGAAAGGCCGCAAGAAACTCAAGCACGTTCACCTTGTGGAAGAGGTCATCACACAAGTCAGAAGCCGATTCCCGCCCAAGATTGCTGATATCAAAAAGAACATTGACGCTCTCATGGAAAAAGACTACATCGAGCGGCTAGACAACGATGAGTTGGCTTACATGGCCTAACCAGTGTGTAATCCTTGAATTTGGGGACAGCTGCGTAGCGCGCAAGCTCGTGGGCAGGGGGTTCTCATTCAGCCACGATTTGCCGGAATAATGGTCAGGCTGTTGACAAGATAGTCACTGTGTCGCTCCATGAAGAGTTCTGACCTGAGAAATCTGCAAACTTATGGTCTGCAGAGGTGCTTCGGCAGGCCTTTCGAGGGTCGATGACATTTTACAGCCTGTGGAGCTCTGATTTTTGCATTGCGCCGGGGGAAGGACGGATTTGAACTTTGCCTCACTATGTATGCTAAATCTCATCTAGCCGAGCATGGAACGGACATGAGATGAAACGAATGACGATGATGACCAAGACCAACGGTGAATTCTGGGTCTGGATTTGGGAAACACGAAAAGGCAAGTGACTGAATGCCGCACAGACGTGTTTTGGGCCATTCTGGTCACCAATGGCCAAACATGAACGACCTTCTTCCACGCGAGGTTCGTCGAGGAACAGTGTAGAATAGCATGGGACACCACGGTCCAACCCCTTCGCCAAATTGCTCATATCAACATTGATGAGTGAATGGCCATCAGAAAAGCCATTCAGATGCTCGCTCCTATCGACCAAGTGTGTCCGTCGATTCACTTATGATAGATAGGCATGAGCTACAGAACAAGGCCAAATCATGAGGCTCATCGGTCAGAAGAGTACGGGAGGAGCAAAGGTTTAGATGCCTAGTGGACATGTGATAAATCATCATAATTGTTCTAAATCATAGGCATTGCCACGTTCGTTGAAGTCGTCATTGTCGTTGTCGTGTCTAGAGTCATCTCATCAATTCTTATGTTAAACACCCGGCGCTGTCTCGCGTGACACAAGACCTCGAGGAACAATAGGGGGAATCTAACCGGCACAGGTCTGAAAGACCACCGAGCAGTCCTTGTTTCCCGCTTCTTCGGTACAGTCTTTTACTCAACCCCGAAACCATGCAATCATTGCAATGCACCTTGCACCTGTGCTATGGTCAAGCCCTCCAACCGTCCCAAGCAAGCCACATCATGCTCATTTTCACCATTTCCCTGAGCTCGTCTTACTCTTCATTTACACTTGACAAGATTTCTAGGCACTGCCATCCATTCCCTCGCCGGGCTTCTGTCCAGTGCTGGTGCTAGTGTTGGTGTTGGTGGTCTGGTTTTGATTGGCAACCTTTTCTCGCGCCCACGTGCCCCACGAACTGAAATACGCACCGGCTTTGGCCGCGTTCTCACGGGCCGATGCGTGAAGCTGCGCAGTGTCGACAGCTGGCTTTTGGAATGTGGGTTTGCGGATGGACCAGCCTTGTGTTGGTGCAGATTGGTTGCTATTGTCAATATCTGCTGTATTGCCTTCGTTACGGGTAGCGTCAAGTGTGGTGTTGGAGGCGGCCGGGGAGAGCGGTGAGCCTGTGGTGGAGGTGCGGTCGGTGATCTGCAGGGACTCAGTGGCCGAGCCCTGTTCGTCTTGTACTGTCTGGTCGACGCTGGCTCTCGCGCTCGTGGTGCGACTTGCCTTGTCAGTCCGCTCCTGCTCAGCGACCTGTCGGGCGAGAGCTCTCTGTTCTTTAGCCTTTTCGACCTCCGCCCAGAACCTGGCCACGCCGGCACCGACCTTCTCCCTTCCACTGGCGAACGTCTTACCCAGCTGCTCTCGACTTTCTCGGACCCGTTCGTCGAGGTGAAGTTCTGCAACACCCTGTTGGAACCTTCTCTGGACATCCTCTACGTTGAAAGCGCCGGCGGTAGGGTGGCGGGGCTCGATGATGTCAAAGATGCGGTTTTGATCGGTGAGGCGGCGGAAGAGAGCAAAGTTGTTGGTGGTGCGCCACATGGCGAGGAATTCCGGGTTGAAGTCGGCCGCTGTGTTCTCGGGGTTGGGGTATGTATCAACGTTGGCGACAGCAGAGGATATGTTGTTGTCTTGGAGGGTATCGTGATAGGTTTGATATGCCGCGCTGGAGAGAAGGGAGAGGATGTATTCTTCGAACTGCAGGCGGATGGCATCTTCAGAGCCGGCATAGCCGTGGTTTTTGGGACGGGATGGATTCTGAGGGTCCCAAGTGTCGAGGACGGTCTGGGTCAACAGGTCGATCCAGCGGCGGTCGGCGGCGGACAGGGCCAACGCGGCACGCAGAGAGGGTGATGTTACGTTGATGCTGTTGGACTCATCTAGGTTGATGAGAATGTCAGAATAGCGTTCTTTTTGTTGCAGGAGGAGACTATTGGTTGAGCCAACGACGTAGGATTTGGTATCATAGTCGGCAAGGATATCGAGTTGTTGCAGAGGGGTGTAAGGGCCGAAGAATGAGCCCTGTTGAGGCACGTCAGTGTGAGTTCTGGGGGAAAAGGACTTGAAATGGGTCCAGAATCACCTTGCCGAATATCTGCAATGGCAATCCCATATAAGAAAGAACTACAAGTCAGGTGTCAGTGGTATGTTTCGGCCTAGAGGGTCGGCCTGCACCACACGTACGGGAGCTTCTCCGACTGGTCTTAAGAGTTGTAACCTTTTCGGCCTTCTGAGCGTAGGAATCTAGACTGGGGTCCGCCGAATCTTGCAAATTGCGTATTAGACCTGGGATGAGGGAGATGAGGGCAAATTGCATCATGCAAAGTCGTTCGCATTTGGAGCCAAAGAAGAGCATCTGGGGCGGTTAGTGTGAGGTTAGACTCGAGGTGGGGGATAAAAGAGTGGTCGAAGAGTGGCACGGTTACATGAGCGAGAAGCGTACCTTGCGCTGTAACAGCATACACTTGACAAGAGCGAGGGTTTGATGTCTGAACTCATGAATCATTTCACGGAGGGATAGGCCTGTGGTGGGGGCGTCAGCAAGGTAAAAGGGGTTTGAAAAGATGGGGTGAAGAGTGAGGTACCGAAGTGATGATCCTGGCCATCTTCGTGGACGGTGGGCGCTCGGTCAAGACTTTCTTGGAATTCCTAAAGAGCACCGGGGGATCAGTTTTCGAGTTGAGTTGATCACACGGCGATTGTGATAGGAGGTACCTTGAGAATGGTGATGTCGGAGAAGTCCCTATGGCGAAGGGTCAGTTCGCAAGGATCAGAACGACAATACCGACGACTGGATGAAGCAGATCCTGGGAAGGATGAGGAAATAAGGGGTTCACATACTGCTGAGCAAACCATGCAGCGGTAACGGCACCGACTCTCTGTCTCAATTCCCCCATACCTCTGGCAGTGGGGGAAATGACCACAACGGCCTTCTGCACGGTGCTCCTGGTGACATCTGACGAGCGACGTTTGAGCTGATCGGATCGAATCTGACGGGTACAGGCGATGCCGAATAGACTGGTTGCTGAGGAGGAATCGGAAGATGGAGATGCAGTGGTTTGAGGCTGCGGGTTGTCAGAAGATGGTGACTGGGAAGGAGCGTCCGCCGCCCGGATAGCGTCGTCGCGGTTGCCATGGTCAGTGTCGTCGTCATTCTTGCTCAACAAGGCAAAGTATGAAAAATCCTCCACCATGGTGTGGGCACCGTCAGAAAGGGCCATAAAGGGCAACAAGGACCAATCATTTTTCTGGGCGAGCTCCTGACCCAGCGAGTCGACCCAGAATTCAATTTCGGGGCCTCTGTGGAAACAAGCAGGGTGCGAGTCAGTGCAAAAGTCGCGAGAGTACGCCTCATGAAGACAGTGTCCATCATGGGGAGACGGAGTTGGAATCCAGGGGAAATGGCTTTGAGGAATGAGGAATAGGTTCGGATGGACTCACCGAGCATGATGGAAGTCGACGACAGCCACTTGCGGAGTGCTGAGAGCTAGAGCGGCCATGATGGTGAAGTTGATGCCGTCCTACACAACACCTTGACTGATGGGAGCTATCAATGAATCAAGCGAGGCCTTGCAGTAGCTGACCATGACTGAGATGGGACACAAAGACAAGTCATGACAGATTGAGAATCAGAAATCAGAATCAAAGACAGAGAGGCACCAGGCTGGCAGGCCAAGATGATGGCTCATGGCTGACCGTATCGAGTTCTTTCTCCTTGGTCGGTACAGGGAACAGTGGGTCGAGGGGTCAACCACAAAACCACAAAACCACAACCACGATAACTCATCGCCGGTGCCGCCATGGGACTTGGCTGCTGACTATCTGAGATCCCTTTCTCGCTCCATCGGCACCTATCAGTCACAAAAACTCAGGACAAGGTCAACACGCCCGTCGAGGCCAGGGAATGCGTGTCAACATGGCTGAAATTACCAATGGCCAGAAAAAGACAGGATCTGTGTTTCAATTCTCGATTTCTACGTAGGAAAGATGCATAATGCCTTCTTGGTTCCCTCCGCCGTTCTAGCCCGGTTCCCCTTGTGCTCAATGAACCAAGCTTCCACCATGTGCACACTCCTACAATCATGACTGTCTTGGTCTCTACGTCTCCAGCCCTGCTCGGGTCCGGGCCTCCTTCTCGTCCGCAACCGCAAGAGGTTCAATGTTCCAGATGGTATCGGCATATTCATTGATGCAACGGTCTGCAGCGCATCGTCAGTCATGTACCAAGCATCCTCGATTTGAGCATCCCTACCTGAGGTGAAAAAGCCCATCCGGGCTACGCTTGTGATCGATTTGGTAACCCATTCCTCTTGGTTCTTGAATGTCTCATCGATCAAATCTTGTGTTTTGCGGTAGCTATCGAAGTCGTCGCTCACTGCCTCGCCGTTAGTCCCCAGATCCGTGCCACAGCCTCTGCCATCAACTTACCAAGATAATAATCGCCGTGTTCTGTAATCGCTGCGATCAACGCTCCAAACGCGCTCTCGTCCCCAAACTTGCCAGACTTGATCAAATCAAACACCTTTTGCAACTCAGAGTCCACTTGATAGTTGCCGTAGAAATGGTGGTGCCTCAGATCCTCCACGTCCTCCGAAAGGTTGCCAAACAAGAAGATGTTTTGTTCTCCAATCTCCCGTGTGATTTCAATGTTGGCCCCATCCAAGGTTCCAATCACCAATCCACCGTTGAGGACAAACTTCATGTTGCTCGTCCCGGACGCTTCCGTTCCCGCTGTCGAGATGTGCTCGCTGATGTCAGAAGCTGGTACGATGATCTCCGCCTTGCTGACGTTGTAGTCCTCGAGGAAAATCACCTTCAACGCATCACCAATCTCTGGATCGTTGTTGATCACTTCGCCCACCTTGTTGATCAGGTGAATAATCGTCTTGGCCATCCAGTAGCCTGGCGCCGCCTTACCTCCGAAAATTGACACCCGCGGGGCCACCTTCTTGCGCTCCTCTGCACTGAGTCCCTTCAGCGTGATGTATCGGTGAATCACCCCAAAAATGTTGAGCTGTTGTCGCTTGTATTCGTGGATCCGCTTCACTTGTACGTCAAAGAGCGCCTTGGGATTCACACTGACCCCGGTGGTCTTGAGGATGTGCTGGGCCAGGCGTACTTTGTTGGCATACTTGATCTCGGCCCATTCCTTCTTGAAGTCTTTGTCGTCAATAAAGGGCTCAAGCTTGTTCAACAACGTCAGGTCTTTCAAGAAATCGTAACCCCCTAGCTTGGACGCAATCAGCTCCGACAGTCGAGGATTCGCCTGGTGGAGCCATCGGCGCGGGGTGATGCCGTTGGTCACGTTGGTAAACTTGTCCGGTCCATACACCGTGACAAAATCCTTGAAGATTGTCGTCTTGATGAGATCCGAATGCAATTCGGCCACACCATTGACTTTGTGAGACCCCACAATCGCCAAGTATGCCATACGAACCATCTTGGGAGTCGACTCTTCAATGATGGAAACTCGCGAGAGTAGATCCCGGTCCTTGGGAAATCGGCGCTCCACCTGCTGAAGGAAATACAGGTTGATCTCGTAGATTAATTGAAGATGTCGGGGCAATAGGTTCTGAATCAGAGGGACCGACCATTTCTCCAAAGCCTCTGGCAGAACCGTATGGTTGGTGTAGCCAAAGGTCTTGGTCACAATGTCCCATGCTTTGGGCCATTCCAAACCTTCCTTGTCAATCAAAATTCGCTGTAGCTCCACGATGGCCAGGGTGGGATGAGTATCGTTGAGTTGGATGGCCACCTGGTCGGGGAACTCGTCCCACGTGCGACCGGTCTTCTTGAAACGACGCACGATGTCGTGCAGAGACGCCGCACACCAGAAATATTGCTGCTTCAACCGCAGCTCCTTTCCTCGTTCGAGGTTGTCATTGGGGTATAGTACAGCTGAGATGGTCTCGGCTCTTTGTTGGTCGGCCACAGCACTTTCATACTCTCCCGAGTTGAACTTGGAGAAGTCGAATTCACCGCTGGAAGCCTTGCTGGACCACAATCGTAGGTTGTTCACGGTGGGCGTGCCATAACCTGGAACAGGAGCATCATACGCCGTAGCGGTGACCAACTCCCCATCCTGCCAAGACACGACCTGCTTGCCCTCGTCATCGGTGTACTTGTTGACCCAACCATAAAATTGGACGTCCACCGTCACATCGTGGCGGGGGAACTCCCAAGGGTTGAAGTCCAACCAGTAATCGGGGATCTCGACCTGATATCCGTTCTCAATCTCTTGCTTGAAAATACCATACCGGTACCGCAATCCGTAACCCCAAGCGGGGTAGTTCAGCGAGGCGAGGCTGTCCAAGAAGCAAGCGGCAAGTCTACCAAGGCCGCCATTCCCCAGTGCAGCATCGTGTTCCTGGCTGATGATATCCTCGACACGGAAGCCAAGATCCTCCAGGCCCTCTATTGAGTGAGTGAGTAAGAATTTCCAACAAAGGACATCATTTCACGTACCTTTTGCGACTCCTTTCAGGCCCACGTTTAGCATGGCATTGTCGAGAGCTCTTCCCATCAAGAATTCGAGGGAAAGGTCTGTAATCTTGTTTAGCGACGAGATTGGCCAATCAGGGTGTGTGTTCATTTCGTACAATAGATTCTCTTTTGATCAGCAAAAGTTTGTCTTTGCTGTGTCTTGTTCCAGTCAATGATCAGACGGTCACGGAAGGCCAATGAGGTGCCGGAGTATGCCGCGCTGGGAACTTGTTTCAGCATAGAACAGGAAGATGGCGATGAGGATGGGGTTCATACAGCTCGTCACAGTTGAAGAGGGATCTTGCGAGGGTAGTTTCGATATGCCGGACGACTTCTCCCTGCAAGCGGGAGGTTAGGAATGCACCACTCGAAAAGGCAGGGTTGTGTTTGCTCACCTCGAACTCGTCTTTGGTCTTGAAGCCTTGGGGGGACTATCATGACGTTAGACCAGGGCCGTACTGGCAGCTAGTGTGAAGCATACGTATTTCCTCCAACTTGCAGATGCGGTCAGTCAATGGAGCTCTCATTTTCGTGGACGTGTCTTGGGTCTTACGCTTCTCGCATGTGCTCAGGAATGCTGGACTCGACAGCTTTGATGTCACCGGCACCAAACCCTGTAGCGGTACGCTTGTGCTTGGGACGTGAAAAGCTCGGTCCGACAGGGCCTTGCAAGGTGGAAATTGGAGCACCGAGGGAAGGCCTTCGCTCCCTAGGAGCTGATGCCGTCGCCGCTGCCATGAGGATGGTGGGGTAGGACGGTGAGGGGCAACCGGGCGATGGGGGAGGAATAACAATAGAAAAGAAGAATCAACCAAAGCAGGGAGGTGAGGGATGAGAACAATAATAACAACTTGAGGGATGTGAATGGAGAGAGCGGTCAAATTGATCCAGACAGCCAGCTGGATGTATGCGGACGTTGGACTTGGGCGGCCGAAAGCACGAGGAAGGAGCTGAAGCTTTGGATTGGAATGGCATGCGCTGCCCGTTGCCCGTTGCCAATTGCCCGCCAAACCCACAGGCCAATGCACCAACGTGATTGCTTTATTCTACGTCCATCTGCACCTGCGCCAGAGCCTGCGCCTTCGCCTGTGGTCTGAACCCACAACCACGGCCCCCGGGGCAAACACTTTCACTTCATCCCAGTGCCATTTTACCTCGACTTCTCCATGATATCGTCATCCGTGGTCAAATCGTCCCAGTCAAGACCCATTGCCCAACACTTGGGCTTGCATTAGTGTGGCTTTCTAAGGGCCTTAGCCGTTCATAGATCCCTGAAGCATCCACAAGCTATGGGGAACATCAGACCATGGAGGGGCACCGAGACATCCACAGCTATCTATCTGTAACCCTCGCCATGGCTATTTGAGCGAGAAATCAAGGTCGGGGCGTTACCGTATAATGCAGCCCCGTTGCATAATCATTGCACGTTGGTGATGAATATGATGACTGTATCGTAGAGTGAAGGCCCCCAAAGCAATTTTCCATTTTGATAGCATCGAGTTCGTACCTTTTATCAGGTGCATAGAACCCCTCATTTCGACCTCCTCGCACTGTCAGCCACAGTATGACGGGCCCCGAAGGAGTGATATGATCCGGACCTTAGGCAGGAGCCACATTCAACTCCCAGGCTATCTCGGACGCACATGTTCAAGAGCTTTTTACTGATTTGGGCAGCCAAAGTGGACAAGTAGGAGGCCGCACCATCTAATCATCCAAGTGGGGGCTATGTTGCCGTTAGTCGAAAGTCCGGAGGAGGGGTAAGGGACGAGGAAGCTGGCATGCTGGGAGCTTGCATCTTCTGCCGATTCGTCCACACAGATTTGGCCACCCACGATCCCAGCCAAGAGCTCGATTCGTGGCGGCCACATAGTCCTAGGGCCAGGGAGGCATCTCATAGCAGCATTCGTAGGCAGAACGGAGTAGTTAGCGGAATCAAGCACCCTAACAATCCCCAAGAGATGTACAAGTTACGACTCGGATGCGCAAAACTGCCCACTTTACAATGGTGGCAGACTTCGAGTTCTACATGATAGCCGGCCGACTACTGACTATCGTTTTGAAAGAGTCAATGCAAGTCCATTGTTAAGTGTTGGATCAACTGATTACTAGGTCAGGTACTTGGTGACCGAGTTATATCTTTTGGAGCTACTGTGGAGATTTTGGGAAGCTCTCCGGGTGCCCGCGGCGCCTAGCTTAGCACATGATTTAGCCTGACCACTCAATTCCAGCCTTGAAATATCGTGTTGTCCACAGGTCCAGACCACCGTCCACCTAAAGGTAGGCCTTTCTTGTTTCGGTAGGGATTTCGTCTTAGTGGGTTCAACATGGCCATGAATATACATGATACCCCTGGGACTCTAGCCACAACAATCCCTATATCGAGAGATCCAGCGATTGTTCACGCACCTTACAAAGAGGGTGCATAGAAAAGGAGCACTGAAGGAGAAAATTCATATCTGGCTGAACAGGGCGCATTACGTGCACCTCCAGAAACAGGGGAGCCTTTGATGACTCAGGACTCCGATCACACCATCGAACGTTACCAGAGACATCGTGACCACCAAAGCAAGCGCCGAAGCGGACACGGTGAACCTGTCTCGTTATGCCTGCCAACATAATCATTTATCGCTTTCGTAATTAACTGACTGGGAGAGCTAAGTGGGTGGATGACCGTGGCATACGATGGTTTCCGACTAGGGCATTGATCCTAACCTCCAATATTTAGATAGTATGTTGTATTAAGAGTACATTGCGAAGCAGCATCCAACTAGATTCCGGACCTCGTTTGCTCGCCATGTCCTCAAAATCGGCTGCCTCTCGCCGAGTCTGTGGATCTCACTCACATCCCTGCGTCCCCGTGAACGGTATCGATATCATCTGTCGGCGCAACGTGTGCCATATGCACGCAAGACCGTCATGGTCCTGACATTACTGGGGAGTCGTCGTCGTCGGCGGCCAATCGTGCCTTGCAAAATATCCAACCCGGCCCACCAACATAGGAAAAAGAAGTATTGTACCCAACACCCCACAGCAGCATGTTCTTCGTAATGGCTTCTGCTCTGCCTTGATGACAGAGACAGCGAGTAACATCCAAACGCAAACTTTTCGCAACACAATCACATCAAATCAAGGTGCAGCAGCCCCGGCACCGAGCATTGCGGTCAATCCGTCAAAACACAAAGCACAAACCCCTTCATATGTGACAAGCAGCCCCCCAAACCGTCGTGAGTCCAATTCGTCACATGCCTTGCTAGACGCCAGAGATGCAGAAACAACGGGAATAAGCACATCAGCATGAGCAGATCATAATATCCCCGAGTCTTTCAGTGCGTTTTGAAGGATCGTCTCCTTGACCGCAGCAAAGACGAGTCGGACATTTGTTGTGTCGGTCGCTTGCGTCAGACTGTCCATCACATCAGTGGGATCCCACTTCAAGGACAAGGTCTTACTCACTGAGGATATAGGTTGAGTTGTGCGCGATTCACCTGGTTGAACCGCCATAGTAGATACTTGGCGGCGCGATTGACATCGTTGCCGCCCGAGTAGTCGGGAAAGTAGTTGCCTAAAGGTGACCTTCCCAGCTTCTCCTTGAAGAGATCAACCTTGTTCAGGAAAAGGATAATACTCGTTCTCATGAACCACCGTGAGTTGACCACAGAATCGAAAAGCACCAGGCTCTCCATCATGCGGTTCTAGATATCTGTCAGCCCGCATGTTTCTGCTACATCACAAAGACCGCACATACCTGATTTGCTTCCTCGAGGAGCACCTGGTCGTATTCACTCAAGGCAACACAAAAAATAATAGATGTGACGTTTTCGAAGCAATGGATCCACTTCTTCCGTTCACTCCGCTGGCCGCCGACATCAAACATGCTGCAATGAGTCAGTATAACCACTTAAGCACCGCGTGAGGTTGGACGACTAACTGGATGCTCAGTTGGCCCATTGTGAACCGAGTTTCGTAAATACCCGTCGTCTTTGTTCGTGCACGCAGCACATCTGCCTCATTTGGTATATAGTCTGGAGCGGCCAAGCGCCGGACTTCGTCAAAGAAGCTGTAGTCTGTCAGAAAGTTGGCCTGAGTGTAGTTGCAAGAGAAAACCTACTAAGGCGCCGAGTCCATCAGGTAGAATTCGCTCTGTCGCTCCATTGTTTTTGAAGATGACGGGTCTTTCCAGACCGCCTCCACCGCGTCGGCAGCCTTTGAGTCCAACGGCGTCTCGGGATCTGGATCCACGTTGTACTCGAGAAGGTATTCTAGGTAGTCCTTGATCTCTTGTTCTTCTGGCTCGATTTCGAATTGCTGCATGGCAGCGATGAGCGCCTTCATGCAATCAATCAAGTTTTTGTATATCGTCAGCCGGTAAAGAGCTCTTTCTTCCTGGGTGTAACCGTTTTGGTGAATGATCTTCATCTGCTTCACAATGGTGGATTTGCCGCTCTCACCGGAGCCTACACAATCAAGATCAGTGACCAAGGCGCTTTGTCGATCTCGTGTTAGACCTACCGAGGAGTAATATCTTGCATTCTCGTCGTAACCGGCGCGAGTCCTGTTCGAGTTCTTTGTCTATGGCCTGGCTTCTCTTCTTCTGTTCTGTGTCTTCCCCCGAGGCCTCTGTGCTTCCGCATGCACCCATCTCAAAGGCAAAGGCTTGTCGTTATAGGAGCGACAGGGCGGGCGTTGGGCGCTGCAGATGCAGCGCGAGGTGCGGCTGCAGCTGCAAATGGAGCTGCACGGATGTCGTCCTTTGTTCGCGACCCGAATCGTCGGGAGGGGTGGGAAGGGCGGTGGGGAAAAGACAGAGACTGGGAGGGCGAGAGGAGCGCAAGATGAAGGCGTCGCTGCGTTGGAGAGTAATCAGTCGTGGGTGGTGCTGGTTGTGTTCGAGTGCACGAAAGTAAGGCGACGGGCGTCGTGGTGGTGGTGGTGGTGGTTATGGAGATGGAGATGGAGATGACGGGTGGATGGAGCCGAGACCAGACACTGGAGCTCGGGAGGGGGGCCCTCCAGGGATCAAAGCGAGGAACTGAGATTGGAGCAAGCGAGCGATGGGTTCAGGTTTAGATAGTGGCCACTGTGTGTAGCAGAGCTCGCAAAGGACAGCCTTGGGGTGTACCACAAAGTGAGAGAGGTGGAATGGGCTTGCAGGGTGGTTGACGCGGATGTTTGTTGCCAAAAGAGATGAAAAGGTCGATGATGGATAACTGAGGAGCAGGATCGTGGAGAGGAGTGAGGTACTGCAAGTTGCGAGGCAGTTAAACTGAGGGTGCCAGGTGGTTCGTTGGCCTTGAAAGAAAGCGGAGTCGTCGAACCCTCTCGAGGTTCAACACTAAAACTATCTAAAGGTACCTACCTACCTACGGAGTAGAGTACTACCTTCTCCGTACTCACTCCAGTACTTCCTAGTACTACTATACTATGTTCTACTGACGATCTGTGCAGGTTTGGTCGCTCGTGGTGGTGGAGGCGGAGGCAAGTAGAGACCCTGAGGAACCTCGGGACCCTTTTCTCTCTGTAAACTGGAGACTCGTGTGAAATGGAGATCCCTTTATCCATGACCAGTGGAGGCGCTTCGGAGGTTTGCTCATCGACCTACCCTGAGACTACCTAGGTACCTACCCTTACAGGTACTCTTACCTACCTAAAGGTATCCAGCTACCTAAAATACCTTAAGTACCTAAGGTACCTTAGGTAGGTAGGTTAGATAGTTAAGGATGCCCTATGAAGACATTAATATTGGGCGGGCCCTGCTCGTTTGCCAACAGTTGTGGTTGGCAATTAGGTTGGAGGCTGGCCGAGAAGTCTTTAGGCCCCGGAAGGGCAGTAAATCCGCAACCTGAGGAGCTTTTAGGCATAAGCATGCTCTCCCCCCATCGCCCCTTTCCTGAGCAAAGGTGTAGCGATGATCCTATGCCTCTGGGTCGTGAGGTACAGTCTTTATTAGGTAGCTACACTCTCCAGTGAACATCTGGATCTGCCTTTGGGTCTTTGCCGTCAGTCATCTCAACACTACGGAGTAATTAGATACCGTGGTACCCTACCAAGTGCGGTATGATCGGAGTACCCACCTATCACGCATCACGCATCACATGCATGGCATGCATCCCATCTGAGGCCATAGGAGTAGGTGTGGCCACCAGACACGCATGACACTGTTGGGTATATCTCTGGGGCCGAGTCCAGGTCTGCAAACTTGATTCCCTATTGGTATGGGATTGACAACATGTAGCTTTCATCCGGTCCTACACATACCTAGGTACATGTTGTAAGACAGGTAACACACAGCGTCGCTATAGCGAACAGGGGCCTCGAACTCGCTGCTCCGACAGCACCCTGGATCATCCGTGTCGATATATTGTCAGACACGAGTGGCCTGTTGTGCGGGCAAATCTCTGGTCGGCAATCCCACAGCGTTTCTATCCGGGCTGGCTGTTGCACTCAGGACTCACACCTCCTAAGTTTTGACGCTTTTCATCCCTTAACCCTCCCAGCCCATGGGAGTTCAGCGAAATTATGAACCTCCACAGTCGCAGTTCCCAGGTGACATTGGTGGCTGGAGGGGATAACTCTAATTTTTGTCAGACTCAGCCTATCTCTAATCTTGGCGTAAATATGGACAGTATGGTGTATCGTGAGTACCTTTTGAGTACGATGTGCCGAAGGTGACGAACAGTTCTTGGTCTGACCACAAGACATCGATCATCATGTCCATGGCACGGCTTGCATGTCATGTGTCAAGTGCCGACGTGGGCCCCGTCGGTAAACTCCTGAGGTCAGTCTTACGGCATTATATGTATGCATTCATCAATAAATCATTTATCGATATATCCTCACAACGCTGGGGACATCCAACAGGCATGCAGAGACATGTCGGTATGATTTCCGTGATTTATAAGTTGTGTGTCGTCTGCACCAAAGGTAGAAGTAACAATCTCTCTGCTCGCCTAATGATGCTTCAACTGCTATCCGGCGGGACGTTAGTCAATATTTGTGCAGATTTGTCAATGCTGCAGCCTTGGCTGAGCAGTTAGAGCCTGAACTCGGGCATCTCAACTATAATTAAAAGCTAGGTCTTCCAAACTGGACTTAGGCGGTCGTTCTGCATTTTAACCAGCAGCCAATTCCCACGTTGCGGATGCCTGTCGCAGTCTGCCTTGCAAGGCTGCAAATCCCCTCAACCCTGTCGAGTGAAGGAGCTTGTTTTCGGCCGACCATCGTGAGTGATGACAATTGCTTATACGCCCTGCATGGTCGCAATGACAACTTGTTTAGAATTATGCCATGAACACGCCGACATATCAAGAAATTGTATCCTTCGTCTTTCAAATCACGAACGGCTGGGGAAGTCTCGCCTTCGCTGTATGGGAGGGACCGTTCTTTTGGAAAAGTATATGTCACCTCAACTTACCTCCGTAGATATGTCTGTCGTGACTGAGAGTGCCAATCATTAGTATGTTGAGTGTCTTTAAAAAACATGATATGCGACCATTATCAAACGGAGATGCACAGGCATCTAATGTGATTCAAACGTGTAAAAGTTGTTCCAACAGCAGACTGAAAGTGTTGTACCGCGAGTAAAGACCCGCACTTCGTCTTTGTTTCTGACTTGGCACCAATATCGCACTTGGGTCAATCAACCCCGTGGGCAGCATGGAGAGGCACGGGAGGGGATCAAGATTCACGCCGGATCAGCCAAGCAGACTGTTTTGTGTTGAATGGTCTCGACTCCCGGACCTGAATCACGCGTGGCCCTTGCAGGGAACAGGCTGGGTGATAAGAAAACCCCGAGTTGGCAGAAAGTGAGGTCATACGTTGTTCCGACATCAAATAATCGACTCGATAATTAGCAACCTATCAAGATTAGTTCAATTCGACGCCACGGTAGGTCGGTTTACAAAGCTGGCCGATTCTCAGAATCGCTGCAGTTGTCTCGTCAAGCAAACATGATTATGGCCACGGGCCCGGTGTTTTGGACGGCATCACGGCGTATCCTTTGTGGTTAGACGAGCGTTGTTACACTGTTGGGATCGATCATTGAGGTGTCGATCGACAGAACGGATAAGATTGCCGCTGGCGGTCATGGTTGGTGGGTTGACCATGCCCACAAACACCTTGGAATTTCCATCTACAGAAGTAGGGACTTGGACAAAAACAGTGAGCCGGAGTGAGGGGCAAGACCAGTTGGACACCGGCTATTGCTTCCAACCGCCACTGTAACAAGGCCGCACAGTCCGCGCACATGGAATATTCGTCCATGATAGGCTACCTAAGTATCTAACTAACCACGGAGGTACTTAGGTCCAACACCTCTGCGTCACTCTGTCCCAACCCAGGAAGCGGCTAGGCCTTAGTAACCAGAAACCTTAAGAGGATACGAGTATCTGGCAATGCCGTTCGAGTGGTGAGACGAAGAGTCGCCCCAGATGAGGCAAAGTTCTTGCCCAACTACGAAAGGGATCGGACTGCTGGGGCAGGCACAATGATTTACGCATACCATGCTTAGGGATCTCGAGGTTCAAGGTAGGTTCCACCAGTGAACCTACAGTCCGTACGGTACCTACCTAGGTAGGCACCTTACGTAGGTAGTTTAGATACATGCCACAACTCACTTGCCGTGCCTGCTAGGTTCTTTCCATTTGTCTTTCGGGCTGAAGGTGGTAGCGCAATAGCCGAGTCGAGGGCACTTGGACTACCATAGGTACCTGGCAGGTTTGAGTTTGATGTACTGGAACAAGCTCCAGGCGTGCCTGGTCGTAGAGTAGCAGTGGCGATTCAGATTTTCCGGGCGGAATTGTCGTGGGTTGTCCATCCACCGTGGGCTGGCACACTGGCATGGCACGCTGGCACCCGTAGCACTGACGGCCAGAGCTGCCCCACCTGCCTGCGGCTGGCAAGCAACTTCAAGTCGTCGAGCAAACTCCAGTGCTCAATTACCAGCAACGTACTTTCTCCATCATTCGCCTTGCGTTGCATGAGGTCGGTCGAAGCCATCAACATCCACGATCTTCCTGAATCCTCAAACTATCTGCCATCTCACACTCGCCCTTGTTGGTCACATTCAATTTCTGCGCGTGCCCAACGACCGCTTCTACTCATCCCCGCCTATCCGAACCTCCGCGCCCTCCTTGCAACCCTTATTTGGACTTGCCCTCAACCCTTTACACAACTTCTAGTCTATCCACGACCCAGACCTTATCCTTAGACCTTCTGTAGTCAAGATGGCTGAATTCGTCAGAGCCCAGATCTTTGGGACCACCTTTGAAATCACAAGCAGGTGGGTGATGATTGCCGCACTCGATTTGCCATGCTGATTATGGACTAGATACACCGATTTGCAACCCGTTGGAATGGGTGCGTTTGGACTTGTCTGGTAGGCATCAATGACACCCAAGCAAGGAGAAAGAGATGGTTCTAACGAACATGTACAGCTCAGCCAAAGATCAGTTGACCGGTCAGTCGGTGGCTGTCAAGAAGATCATGAAACCCTTCTCGACGCCTGTCCTCGCAAAACGCACCTACCGAGAGCTGAAACTGTTGAAACACCTTCGACATGAAAATGTGAGCGCGGTTATTCGTTGTTCAAAGATAGGTCATTGACATATTTAGGTGATCTCGCTCAGCGACATCTTCATCTCACCGCTCGAAGACATGTACACTTCCTTTTCTCTAACGCCTGGCCTGCTGATCACATACTAACGTGTGCCTAGCTACTTTGTGACCGAGTTACTGGGCACCGATCTGCATCGCCTGTTGACCTCCAGACCTCTCGAAAAACAATTTATTCAATACTTTCTCTATCAGATCTTGGTTCGTGGAAAATTCATGCCTGGGAAAACTGTGCAATCCAACTAACGCATATAATATGAAGCGTGGCTTGAAGTATGTCCACTCGGCTGGGGTGGTGCATCGCGACCTCAAACCCAGTAACATTCTGGTCAATGAGAACTGTGATCTGAAGATCTGTGATTTTGGCTTGGCTCGTATCCAAGACCCTCAGATGACCGGATACGTTTCGACCAGATACTACCGCGCCCCAGAGATCATGTTGACCTGGCAAAAGTATGATGTCGAGGTGGATGTATGGAGTGCCGGGTGCATTTTTGCCGAGATGCTCGAGGGGAAGCCACTCTTTCCTGGAAAGGACCACGTGAACCAGTTCTCCATCATCACCGAGTTGCTCGGCACGCCGCCGCAAGATGTGATTGAGACCATCTGCAGCGAGAACACACTGCGATTTGTGCAGTCCCTCCCCAAGCGAGAGCGACAGCCACTGAGTGGCAAATTCAAGAACGCCGACGCACCGGCGATCGACTTGCTGGAGAAGATGCTTGTGTTTGACCCACGAAAACGAATATCTGCGGCTGGTGGGCTGCAGCATGAGTATTTGTCGCCGTACCATGATCCGTCCGACGAGCCCGTGGCCGATGAGAAATTCGATTGGTCATTCAATGACGCCGATCTTCCAGTCGACACGTGGAAGATCATGATGTACTCTGAAATTCTCGACTATCACAACATTGATAACCAGGACGGAGAAATGGGCAAAGGTCTCTCGGTGGAGCAGGCACAGGCCGTCAACGCTAACGGGCAGGCCGTGCAATGAGCATGATGGAAATGCAAACGACAACGAAAGCACATGATGGTTATTGCAAGGGACAAGGGAGCTTGCTAGGTTTACGGGATAGGTTACACCGGATCAGTGAATGGTTGAGTCGATGATGATCATTGGTCATGGATGGGGAGGTGATTTCGAGACAATCGTTCGAGTGCGCTATTGCTCAGTTCACGGCAAGAGGGCTCGCGGCGGCTTGGAATGAAGAAAATCGAGGTACACGAAGAGAATCGTTACAGAGCCCGCATTCGCGGTTGTCAAGTTGACGTCTGAAGTGCAATCGTTGAGGCTGCCGGGTATGCTGACCGCCGACGTGCTGGGAGTTGGTCAAACAGTTTTCAACCAGGCTTGTTGCATCCCAGCTCCATGTGGTGCAAGGGGTGAGCGAATGCCGATGAAGGTTGATGCAAGTTCGATGTGTATCTAGAAGGCCATTTTTTGTATTTGTGAAATTCCCACATGGGATCATTTGGCTGGCAAGTGTTCAGACCACCTCGTGTCCATGGTTCCAGCGTGGATCGACGTCGTGTGCATTCGCTTATCGACCGACCATCATCTTAGAGGGACAAAGTGCATGCACCTCGAGTGGTGTATGTCGTGATCAGCTGCCGGTGTCCTGAGTGTCCGCATCAGAATGGTCTTTTGGCTGTTCTAACGAAGAGCTGAAATACGACGACATGGCGAATCTAGACTGGACATCTTGAAGCCTCGGGCTTGACAGGTATAATTTCCTGGAGGTGCTGCCCCAGGCAGTGATGCCATCAGACTTTAGGCAAGATGAGGTGACAGCTTTTGTAGATGAAGTAGACCCAGTCTCGGGGGAGGATGGCTTCTTGGTGGTGGTGGATGAAGCATCGTGCGAAGCATCGATGATGTCTTGCTGGTAGCCGCGGATCCCTGGTGTGAAGACATTCTGGAAATGTAGTTTGGGATGATGGATGGGTATATGTGCAACAAGGGTGCCCTGCTTTGTAAGTGTTGATGCTGGTGTAGAGGATCAGATTAAGGTTGGAGGTTCACAAGAGGTACGGTGCGTATATCTCTTCGACTTTTATATGAAAGGTACTATGTCGCAAGTGACAAGTGATGACCGGCAAAGAATGTTCTGGCAAAGTGTCATAGGAGCAAGGGTGAGAGTGATTGTCACTACAAGTTATGCACGTCAACAAGTCATGACATTATGGCTCGTCGCGACTGCCTCGAACAACAACGACAACGAACAGGCAGGTACTGGTGTTGGTTGCAGGTGCTTCTTCACCAAGGGTAGATACCTACCTACCTTGATAGTCAGCCTTGTGACTCTCCATTGAAAATCAACTGCCATGTCTCACCATCGTTATTTCTGTGATGTCCACGCTTACAGCAAGTCGTTGCGGCATTAAAAGACTATGGCCTTTGCGTGCGAGAAAGAGGCATCCTGGTATACAATATGTATGTAGCACCGTCAGCCTCGTAAATAATAAGCGGGTCAAGCATTCAGGGATATGGGCAAGATGCTGGAGCGGCGCCCAAGAACGATCAACTCCATCCCCAAAGAGACCTACAGTACATGTTTTTGAGGTAGGATCGTTAGCCATGGGCAAAATAGGGTGTACGTGGGCATAGCTGGAACCTCAATAGCAATAATCACTATCCATTCGGCCTTGCAGTCTGACTGAAACCCATGCGTGTAGATAGAAAAGGACGAATCAGGATCTTGGTGGTTTTCGTGGGGCTGCGCCAAAGAGCGAGGCAGCAAGGTTCGGATCAAATACGGACCAGGGATGGTCGTGCTGCTCGACTACCTACGGAGTACTTCCTTGGTGCACGGTTAGGTTACGGTTACGTGTGCCTGCAGACAGCCGAGGATGTGAATACTTGTAATGATACGGCCGTTCAGGCTACCTACGGTGTGCATGTGCGTACCTCAGGTAGTACTCCGTAGGTACCTGCCGCCTCGTTCTGTCCTTCTCCATACGAACATACATACTCCGTAGGTATGTATGGGCTCGTGGGGCCCCTCGGGCCCCCTCAGGACTCAATTGCAGCCGCAAAAGCCCCTCCACCCCGGGATCGTGCCTGCATCTTAGTCTCTTGTAGACTTAACAACCTGCCACTATCCCACGACATCAAGACTGATGTTGCTAGATTTGTTGAAGTAGGTCGCTTGTAACTTGTACTTAGTACTCGTCGTAACTACCTACCTCCTATTGAAGTAAGCCATCTGGGGACTAGGGGGCCTCGGGCCTAAGATAAGTGTTGAGCTGGTGCCGTGCCTCCATGGCGGAACTGAGCAGAGCGGGTCCGTTCATCCACCTCGTCAGAAATACACATTCTACTATATTGTCGCACCTTTCCTCTCTCTTTCCCACCCCCTCTCTCGCTCCCATTTCCTCCCTGCGTCTTCCTCCCTCCTGAGGTGAATAACCAACTACCTTCTCTTGCTTGTTCGCGCGTCATCAAATCTCCCAGGTACCGTTGCAGTTCTCCTGAGGAAGGTACCCAACATGTCGCTCCCTCCTACCCCTGCTCAGGTTCTTGGGCCACCCATTCACCAAATATCCTTCCTCGAAAAGCTCGATCTGTTACCTGGTATTTTGTCTACAGGTATGCAGCAAGAGAGCTATTGCGTTCTCTCAAACAACCTTTTAATTGATCGACCCAGTTCTCTCTATTGCCTACGCAGCGGCCACTGCACCGTTCCGCGGCAGCTCAGGAGCATCCACATTCAATCGACACGTGAGCTCCGCTGCAGTTCGCACGGCATGTCATCTCAACCTCGATCCTCCTCACTCTGAACTAACCATCCCCTCGTAGGCCGTCAAACGATTCAGCACTCTTCAGCTACAGTGTGTCTTCTTCATACCCCTGTCTCCTACCAAAGTCCAAAGCTGACCCTCGCAGATACATTGGCCTCTCCTTTGGCAAGGTCTATGAGAAGTGGGCTGGTCAGAACAACTTGTCCCCAGAGTTCATTACTCTCCCCTCAGGCGCAAGGGCTTTCTGGCTTGGCGACTACAAGTCTGCAAAGTACATCACTGTCTACTTTCACGGAGGGGGCTTCTCCCTCGCTGGTGAAGATACCCACCTCAACTTCTGGAATGGCGTCCACGAAAGTCTCAAGGCGAATGGCGTTCCCATGGCCACCCTCTTCCTCGAGTACACTCTAGTCCCCCACGCCACCTATCCCACACAAGTCATCCAATCCGTCGAGGCTGTCAACTACGTCTTGAAAGACCTAAAGCGCCCGGCGTCCGACATCCTCCTTGCAGGTGACTCGGCTGGAGGAAATCTCGCTCTTGCCATTCTTTCCCACATAAGCCACCCAGCCCCTGACGTCCCACCAGTCATCATCCCAGAAGACCAGAAGCTCAAAGCCGCAGTTCTAATTGCACCCTGGGTTTCTTTTGAATTGACCTGGCCCAGAACCAAGACGAACGAGTTTAAAGACATTGTAAGCTGTTACGCCGGCGACAAGTGGAGTAAAGATTATCTTGGTGGCAAGCAGTCAACCCCGTATACCGAGGCCTTTATCCCACCTGCAGATTGGTGGAAGGATGTAAAGGTCGAACAGCTTCTCGCAGTAGCTGGCTCCGATGAACTTCTAGTTGACCCTATCGAGGCTTGGTTCGCCAAATATAATGTTGGTCTTTCGACAATATGCCCACACCCTAGATATGCACTAACTCTGAGTCTAGTCCGTTAACCCACACACCTCAACATTAGTCGTTGCCCAGGGTGAAATACACATTGAGCCTATCATCGGACCACGTTTCGGTAGAACCAAATCCGAGCAAGGCGAAGCAATCAAATCCTGGCTCAAAGCCAAGTTGTGATTGAGACCTCAGCACTGATATGGAGAATTGATAATTAGATGTGATCTATCAACAACAAAATCTTATGGTCTCATAGCCTCATTGGGTGTCCGTCGAATTTCGCCCCTTCAACTCCAGCCAGCAGCCATCAACACTGCCGCCTGTCAAGTTTCAGAGAGTGTACCCCATTCACATCCTCGTTATCAAAGCCAAGTACCAAATACACGGGGACTTCACTGTCCATCCCTAGCTTCCTCAGATCAGTTTTCTCACCTGATCATGTGAAGACTTGCCCAAGTCATGACTCGATGAGATATGACTAAACTGTCTGGATGCCGTCTTGTCCCTTTCCCTTGCCCAACAATCACCTGGCCACATCAAACAGCCTGGAGTGTCCTGTTTGCCCGTGTGTCAAATCTTCCTAGCTGATGATGTGATCTTTTGATATCACCGCCTGACACTGGCTTTTACCACCAATTCCGAGATTCTGCGCGTGAGGTTCATGTACACCCACTGACTAACCCAGGATCAGTCTTCGCAAACGACCCTCAACCCAGTTCCCTGCTTATATGTCCAAGTTTTGTTTCTTCGAACTTTGATCTCACCATGTGGCGTGCATTTTCCAGTCCTATGGCAGTCATTCCTAATCAATCTAGGCAACTACCTCCACAAAGTCGGCCGATGCGGACAATGTCAGAGCGTTCGAGACGTTTCTCTACGTGGCAGTTCTTTGCCAATCGACAGAGGTCACCTCCTGTGGACTCTACTCCTCTGCGAGGGTACTGCTATGCTGACCAACCGGCACGCCAGCAGCCACTGATAATTGACCATATCTTTGAGTCACCGCGCCAACCACCTCAATTCTTACTGCGCAGACCCTCAGGTCTTCACTGGCCCTTGTCGCGGGATAAGAGTGCGGGATCGCGGCCCGCAATTCCCACACAGGCTGAGATAGAACCTCCCACACTCAGATCCCGAATCTTATCCCGACCACTACGTCGAGCAAAAACAGACAGCGGCCACCGATATCCACCCAAAATCAGTGCCCCACTAGCTTACTCCTTACACGAGTCGACTCTGAAACGAGAACCCTCCCAATTCTCCGATGAGATTGACAAGGACGAAATCAAAACTCATCCAGGTCCAAATGAAGCTATCTTCACGCTTCGACAGCATCCCAATCCACAGGCTGAGATCTCCGTGGCATACTCATATCCATCACGGTCCACATCCCTTCGTGTACAACCCAATTATGCGGTTACTTCTCATTCAATCATAAGACGCTCAAGATCGAGTGGAGCCGTCTCGAAGATAACCGGTCCATCGACTACCAATACACTTCGCAACCTCGCAGAAGTCGACCCCGACAAGAACGACATTGCATTTGCCAGAATTCATCCGGCAGGGTGGAACCAGATACTGCCAAAGCAATGGATTGATGATAGTCCAGACCACAGCGACTGTGCGAATACTGGGACTACACGAAGCCTATACTCACTTGATGATGCTGAGGCTCAGCACGTCGACAGCCCAGCTTCGTCTGCCACTGCTGGCATGAGGCCGAGCTCAACACAAGCTCCCCCCGAGCCAAGCTCTGCACAATATGTCTCGCGGCTTGCTAAGACGGTTAATCCAAGATACAAATTCGAGGACGACGAGGAGCAAGACTTGGAAACAGCTCAAACTCAACCCAATCCACAATCCGTCTATACAGAAGTTCGTAAAACAATAACCAAACCTCAGTCCCAGACTGAATCCCAGATTGCACAAAACGATGAACTTTGGTGGGACGACGATGTGGGGCACCTTGCTGTGAATGCGCGGCCGTCTCACAACCATTCCACCTCGTCCTCGACCCCGAAAGTTGCGCAGACTAGTCATTCCGCAGATCAGATGTACGAGATTAGGCTGGAACAACCACACGAGCCATACGACCCCATGGAAAGACAGAGTTTCCCATCCGATCCTGTATCCAGTGAGTCTCGCCTGGTTGGGCCTCCGTGCGATGTTGATTCTGGCATTGGCCCTGCGTTGCATTCTCAAAGTTCTTTCACACTGCCAAAACCTACAGTGGCGGAGACGAGCCCGAGGGGCGGCGAACGAGAAGCGGTTGATGAGTGGTTTGAAGTCGACGGGAGAACAGGATTGTTTGCATTGCCAACTGTTGATCGTTCAATTCAGCCTGAGGCGAGACGATATCAAACATCGACTTATCCTATGCAGGCGACGCCTATTCCTTTTGTGGTCCGCCGACGGCCACTGCCAGCTTTCGAGCGCACCGTCATGGTTCCAACTCGAATTTACCAGCAGGTTGTACAGCGGCAGCAGGAGCCACCCCGCCGACCACTACTCGTTCCGCAGAAGACATTTCCTTCTGATTCAATAACCAGCCGCAACCCGACTCGAGTCCCTCTTGAGGATCAAAGCAGGGGTTTCAGGAGTAGAAATATCGATCAACAGCGTGACCACGAATTTCACCAACAGTATGAGACTGACTCACCACGGGAGCTAGATGATCGGTACTTTGAGTCTCAGGCTCAAACACAGAGGATTCATGGACACATTGACCATCTGATTGACATGTACCTCCCAGAAATACCAGAGGAAGGGTCGGGAGACTTGTTACAGAAGCCAGCATCCAGCAATTCCAAGGATGCTGGAGGGCTGGCCGGATTGTTTGACCTAGGTGGTGATGGGAGAGAGGATGGGCAGAGAACCAATGACCTTCCCAGGCTGTCATCTCGCCTGATGAGACGACGCGCGAACACCACTGGTGGGCTTGAGCATTTCCAAAATGCTCATCCCAATGGCGCCTCTTTTCCAAACATTAATTGCCCCACGTCTCTAGAAAGACAGGCTCTCTTTTTGAATGAACACCCCATCAACCCCGGAGGTGGTCGGTCATATGGCAACAGTCGAGATATTCAGGGGCATATGGCGCCAACTACATATCTTGATGAGCATGGTAATACTTGGATTTGAGTTTGAAGGCCATTTTTGGAGTTTCTTTGCAGTCACTTACATTGAGCGAGCTTTGGGCAGGACTCTAGATTCATAGACGGGACTTGTGGAGGGGCTTAAACGACTTGGATACTTGGTAATCTAAGATTACGAATGCTTCAGAAGGTAGATGAAGCTTTGACTACAGAGACTAGACATGGACCGTAGGGTCTGGTAAATGGATCACCCTCGCCCTCCCCCACGCTCTGGCACAGTCAATGAGCCGAGCTCCTTCATAGGAGGCTTTGAACCAACTTCCTCACTTGCTCCTCGGACAAAGTCTTGATACCAAACAGGTCGTTGTCGAGCGAGGTAAAGGCCTGGCCATAGCCCTCGCCCCAGATGGCGCTGGAAAGAAAGCCAAGCATGACGGAGCCGATGTCGTCGACGTTTCCGTCCTGCAGTTTCTTCAAGCCGTCGAGTCTGATCTGCTCAGTCGAGGCCTGGGTGAGCTGCCAGTCCTTTCCGTCGTACTCCTTGGCGTATGCGACCACTTGGTTCTGCGTGATAATGGCGCTGTGGATGAAGACGGGCCGGTTGGCAGTTTCAGCCTGGTGGTGGATGATGCCAACGACACCCTTGGCGATGTCGTCGAGTAGAGAGGCGGAGAAGGGCACGTCACCCCCGTTGTAGATGGTGGCGGAATGTTTGGCCGGGCTGAGCAGAAATCCTACAGCGAGGCCCCAATCCAGGAACGGGCCGGTCAACAAAATGCTGTAGGTGAAACTGGGGTTCTTGGCCGCGGCCTGCTCAAGATACTTCTGGGTAGCAACCTTGTAGCCAGACACCGGCAACTGGACCACCTTTGGGTTGACTGTGTTGCTGCCATACTCTGATGGGATGTATCGTTTGACGCCGGCGGCCACCGAGGCGTCAATCAAGGGGTTCTGTTCGCCCAGCGCCTCGCTCGCAAATGCCGACACCACCACCTCGACCCCCTTCAAGGCTGCTGTCAAGTCCGACACTGACGAGTAGTCCACCTCGGCCACGTTGAGATTGTCAGCTTTTGGCAGCTTGGAGCTTGACTTGCTACCCTTGCGTGTTAAAACCAGCACGGGAAGGTTGGCTGCAAGCAGCCCTTTGAGGATGGGAGCCCCGATGTTCCCAGTGGCACCGGCGAGTGCGACTTTGGGTCCAGACATGATTTCAGATTGACAGCGATGGTCGTCAAAGGATTCAAAAAAGGGTAATGTCTTCAAGTGGAACGCTTGAGTGTCTTGATGAAGGGACGAGGCTGAGGATGGGCTCGAGGGAAGGCGATATTTATATGTCTTGGACAAAGAGTTTTGTATATCCAGAGTAGATTAGCTAGAGGTCAGTGCTCCTGAATTACATGATCAAGGACCTATGGCAATAGCATTGCATAGCAGGTAAAGGGTGGATGGAATTGCGCCATCGTCTCTAACTCCGCGTGCTGAACAGTTGACTTCAGCGCTGCTTTGTCAAAAGGTGTTAAAGCAGGGTCTGGAAAGTCGCCGAGACGGGAACAATGGCGCCCCGACTGCATGAAAAGTGGTGGGCACATCTGGATGATCCACGGATCAGATTGTCAAGCCGTGGGCTGAGGACAAAGGTTGTCCAACGGTCTGACGAGGACACATTGAGACTTCGAAGTATAGAGTAGTCACAGTGTCCATGCTGAGTAACACGGAATTTGGGGGGAGGCCAGACGTGACGCCCCATATTGCCGTAGACAATTCGTTGGTAATAGTGGACACTGAAAAGTCGCCGAACATCTGTTGAAGCGGGCTGATGTTGGCCCGACTGAAGTTATGAAGGTCCAGTTCTCTGTAGCAAGTGGCCGAGGGCAGCCTCGGGCCCTTGCGCAGACGGTGATCTGTTTTCTGAACCCACATCCCCAGAACCAACTCATCCAGGCGGGTCAGGGAATCTATTATCATAATGCCCTCATCAAAATATGTATGGTATATATGAGAATTACATTCAACGCCCATGCCCGTGACCTCAAGATGGAACACCTTCATAGTCCCAGCCATTCTCTCCGCGACGACGCGTTCGGCTGTTCCTCCTGTTTTCATTGCATTTGACCAACAGAGTCAACACAGAAAGTAACAGAACAATCAAAGCTGCAATTGAAGGTATCAAAACGTTACGTTCTCGTTGCTCAGAACTTTCGTCTACGTACGGGCATGTGGCATTGGCACCCCCTGATGTCCAACAGTTGGCAATGTCCAACGAGTTGAAGTTGATCCAAACACCTTCCAACATGGAGTTCGCGTCATTCGTATTGCTGGTATTCGACTCGCTCAGAATTCGTTGGTATAGATATGTGTTTTCCAAGCCGGTGCGTGGCAGCTGGAATGCGCTCCCATCTGGGCAAACGTCGGCGGCTGCCCCAAATGGGACTGAAATGGTCGAGAGATTCCAGACATAGGGTTGGCGTTGAGGTCGACAAGCGACTCGATGTCGGCTTTGGCAGTTGTCCACTCTCCAATGGCCGTTGAATCCACTGGTCGAATCAATAATGGCACATCGATTGGTATTATCGGAGCGACCACCACCCTGCCTCGAAACATTCCGAGGCTCACCCCTCGCCCAGCCAAAGATGGTCGCCTCGGCGAAACTCTTATAAGGAGCTAGGTTATCCTGGGTCACGGTTCCCGACAATGATGAATTCAAGATTGACGAGATGCCGCACGACGTCAAGTTCCCGATCGTGTCGGACAAAGCGTTTGGGATTGATTCGCGGAAAGTCGCTGTTGCCCAGGAGGAGTTGATCTGGCTCGCTTCAAACTCGTCGGGTCGGTAGAAGCAGCCAGTTTCAATGGAATTCGTATCGGCCACCGAGATGTTGGTGTCTGCATTGATATAGCCGGGAGGGAAGACATTAGCATCATCCTCCTGAAAATTATACAGTTGCATTTGAGGGTCAATGTGTCCCCAGCTGGCCAGCAGACGCCGATTGTCAGAGAGGAGTAACCACGCTTCGCCCGGCCACCCATCCAGGGTGAAATTGTTGTTTCTTAAGCCCCGAAGCTCTTCAAAATAGGATGTGTCTGTGCTCTGACTGAACGAGTTGCGGTACCATGATCGGCCCAAGTCTAGCCTGTCATTGGCTAATTGCTCCGGGGTGAATAGTGCGCGCGGGAATGCTGCCAAGAGCTGGGATCCTGCCAACTCTTCAAGGATGGGAAGCTTTTGGCCAGTCACATTGCCGGCAGGCTCCCCAGGAGCAGTAAAGGGGGCAGCGGCGTGTAGATTGAGATCCAAGTAGGACAGGCGGACTGAGAGGGTATCTGATGTATTTGAAAAGAATGATGAGAGCAAAGAGATGATCGAGTCCAGGTTAAGATCCAAGCTGCACCTATAGTTGCCAAGCTCCAAAAGTGTATTGCCGCCAACTCCGGTTGTGGTTGGTATGGAGGCGGGCATGGTGGAAGTAGCGGTTGTGGTCATGTTGGGAGTGGGAGTAGTCGTGCTTAGACTGGAATCTTCAGTCTGCCGTTTGACTGGCGATCCACCGGTGGGAGAAGTTGTTGGAGCGACTGGTGTGGTGGTGGCTGTGAGCGAACTCAGGGCAGAGACATCGACACTGAGACCACTTGAAGCATTGCCGGCGAGGGGGGGGAGTTCGACGGGACATAGACTTAACTGGCGATTGATAGTATCCCAATACAGGTCGACCACAAAGCGATGGAATTGAAGAGCCAGAAGATTGGATATACAGGTCTGAGCTGGGATGTCGTCGTAGACGCCATTGGCAAAACATGCTGGTGTGAGATGGACACCGGGCTGGGTGATGAAATTGATGGGAATAGCAGCAGAGGCATCACGAGAGGACTAGAGTGGTCAGCATATGCCTAGGGACTGGAAACTGGGGGGTGGACGGTTCAGGGACGTACAAGGTAGATGGCTTCCCACTGTTCATCCGGGAGAGTTCCCGGATCAGGGGCATAGACCAACGCCATATGCCTGAGTATGATGTAATGTTACGGCTGAACACACATGTCGTTCAAAATGTGGGCAACAGCCGTATGTCCTACCATGTCGGCTCCATTGCAGGTCAGAACCAGGCAATGGGTGGTTGTGAAGAGATGGTGCTGGCAGGTTTTGTCCTATGGTTGACGTAGGCGTTGTAACGGTTCGTGGGCAAACGAGAATTATTGAGAATTGGTGATTTGTAAGGGAGATTGCTCAAAACTCAAATGAATAAGGTGTGATAGATGGCAAAACAGATGATTGCAAGAATTGAAGTCAATAGTCGACAAGATGAGAGAGATGAACAGATGAACAGATGAAGAGCCACACGTGGCCCTCGTGACTTGGGATGTCACGTGGTATCACGTGATTGGTGCCACATTCCCCCTGTCCTCTCCGCCCATTAGCCACAACGAGGCTGAAATGTGGCATGGTCCCTGAACGGACGGCAGGCGCTGAATGATTTCTTGGGCATGCAAGCAAACGTGTCCAGTCCAACAACTGCTGTACTTAGTTTCCATCCATAGATTTCTTCCCTCTCACCATCTCACCTCGCCCATTCTCTCTCCCTTGGTCTTTGATTTCTTCCTTGACCTTTCTCTCCGATCTCTTCGTTCACTTAATACCGATACTGGACTCCCTTTCCATTCGCCCACAATAAGTGCGGTTTTCAACTTCCACGCCATCCTAGACCCAATCTCCCTCCCTCCCCGACCATGGCTTCACAGGGCCCCGCCCCTGGAGGGCAGCCTTTCTCCCCTCAGCAGATTCAACAAATGATTGCCATGGAGGCTCAGAAGCGCGGCATGACTGTCCCCCAGTTCCAAGCCTTTCAACGCCAACAGATTGAACAAGAAGCAGCAAAGGCCGGCATGACCCCTCAGCAGTTCATCCAGGCCAAGCAGGAGGAGGCAAGACAGGCCTATATGAAGCAGCAGCAGGTGGCACAACAACAGCAACAGCAAGCTGGTGCACCACAAGCGCCTCCCGGCCAACAAGTCACCCAGATCCCGCTCAACCAAGGAGTCGAGCCCACTCCCGCCGCACTTGCCGTCGCCAAGTTTCTCCGAGGACAGGACTTGAAGACGAGAGTGTGTATCTTTAATGGTCAAAGAAAGGACATGTTCAAAGGTGAGTCTTGGACCATGTCTTGACGAGGTTGGTCCCGGCTACGGCTAAACAAAGTACTGTAGTCAAACGAGCATTCCGCGCCCTCCGATCCGACGCATACAAAAAAGCCCGAACGAGGAATCCTCTTCTTCCCCAAGTCGAGACCGATATCGAAGCCCGGAAAGCCGTCCAACTCCTCCCCCTATCGATGCTTGCCCTGCGCGTGTCCAAGAAAGACCCTCACGAAGGCCACAACCATGCCAAGCCTAAGAAAGAAAAGCGAGTCAAAGGATTATGGGAGGTCAAAATTGAGCCACAGCAAGACTTTGAACCGATGATGCATTACGTTTGGTTATACGAGGGTTCGCAATGGAAAACCAAGATGTGGGCAGGTCTTGTGCTGCTACTGGTCTTTGCCGCCATCCTGTTTCCTTTATGGCCACTGGTGATGAGACAGGGCGTATGGTACCTCTCGGTCGGAGTCATGGGTCTAATCGGCCTGTTCTTTGCTATGGCCATTTTTCGAGCCATTCTCTTCGTCATCACCTTCTTCCTTGTTCCCCCAGGTCTATGGCTATATCCCAATCTTTTCGAAGACGTGGGATTCTTCGACAGCTTCCGTCCACTTTGGGGTTGGCATGAAACCAAGGAGGATCTCAAGAGGAAGAAGCGGGAGAAGAAGGCCAAGCGACAAGAAAGGGCTGCCGCAGCTGCTGCTGGCAAGTCAGCCGCACCCACTACCACCACAACAATGGCGGCCGTCCCGGCCACAAGTGCCGAGCCCACTTCTCGACCAGCACAAGCCGAGGTCACTACGACCGGATCTGAGACTGAGGTGGTCAAGTCTGTGGCCGCTAGACGACATATCGCACCTACTGTCGAGGAGGCCGATGACGAGTGATTGAGGGTGACTGGCGTTTGCGTTGAGATAGTGGAATGTATCAATATCCAAACATTTGAGAACGTGTCCTTGGCGGCTGCCGTTGTGAACCAGGATTCATGTGATATTTGATGACAACAGACCCATTTTCAAGTCGGCTGCATCAAGTTGGCGATTTTCTGCTGGCTTGGTATTGATCTGACCGTTGTTTCGTGCGCACCGGGCTTTCGAGGGGCGTCGGCTAGTTCTGCCACTCGAGAGGTAACCCTGGCCAGAAGGACGCGCATGCGATCCAACTCGATGCTCAACTGTCCATCTCTGGTCACCAAATTGGGCTGAATGTTTGCCTGGGGGTCGTTCAACGGTTCGAGCATGGTCACCAGGTGCCTGTACTGTTGCACCTTTTGTCTCATTTCGTCTCGCTGTTGGGTCAAAGTGAGCAACCTCTGCCGCGAGTTCTGGTATTGCTTCGCCTGCTCATCGTCTAGCCGATGATCAGGGTGGAGATGAAGATCGATGTAGTTTTCAGGCAAGGATGCCACCGTTCCGGACTGTGTCAATAGCGCATCGCGTCTTATGGCAACTGTGTCGAGCTCTGCACTCTCTTCGTCGTTGCCCACCTGGTTCCAGTGTAGAGATTCAATCTGCTCGGAGACGTGTCGCTGCGACTGCGCCGAGTATACACGGCGGTTGTGTTGCCGGATCCGCTCGTTGACCTTGTGTACAATGTCTCGGGTGGCTTTTTCGCTCAGACGGCTATTGTCCGACTCGTCGAGGGAGAGAGGTTGATGGTACGGGAAAGGTTCAAGCGGTGCAGAGAGATGCCGCACTTGGGATCGGATGAAATCGGCTTTGATGGCAGTTATGGAGGACTCCTCCATTTTGTAGATGCGATGTGAAGGCGTCTTTAGGGTTATGAGAATTCTATCCTATGACAACCATCTTTTGTAGTCGGCGACAATCAAGCACTTGGTTGATATCTGCCGACCTCTCCGGCCTAACCAAGTCCCCCGGACGCGTGTCGCGATCGATCTTCGGCGACGCGTTGGAGTTGGAGATCCACGTGATTGAAAGAATAATTCACCGTACTTCTTTCTACGGTGGATCAGATCTTGCCTCGGATTGCAGACCGAAATCGTTTGCGCCTCGGTTAAAGACCTGCTTGGGATGCCGTCGTCTTGCCGGATGACTGCCAGATCGGCAAGATGTGATTTCTCGATTTTTCAAGATTGACAAGTGAGTATTTTCGACAGGACATCAAGGGAGAAAGAAATTCTTGACGACGAGCAGACCATCGCAGCATCGATAGAGGGATTTTCGCCCAGCTTGCTATTGAACGCCGTCTGAATATCCCTTTGCGACACGGGACAACCTCGGTATATTCAATCATTTGATCATGGCTTCACAATCAAGGCCAAGGGTGCTTTTATTCGACATTGGAGGAGTCTGTGTGAGTGCTCACCTCTCTGAGATGTGTCTTCGGGGACAAGGCACATTACTATATGCTTCTAGTAGCGGATAATATCTGACTATGGACTCAGGTGGTATCTCCATTCCAAGCGATTCTCGACTATGAGACGGCCAACAAGATTCCAATCGGCTACATCAACTTTTCAATCCGAGAATTGACTCCTCACGGGGCATGGCATCGGCTGGAGAGGGGTGAAATCGCCAATGACGCCAACTACTTCCGCGCGTTTAAGGCGGATCTGGAGCGACCGGACCTATGGGCCAAATTCCACAAACAGAAACTCCAAGTGACGGATTCATCTAAAGTGCCACCTGTGCCCAACATCGACGCAGAGAAGCTTTACTGGTCCATGATGACCGTATCACGCAAACCTGACCCGTACATGTACCCGGCGCTGAAACGGCTCAAGGCCGACGGAAAGTACCGATTAGCCGCGCTTTCCAACACCACTGTGTTCCCTGAAGGTCACGAGTTCAACGAGGTGGGGCCCGACGATGTCAAGGCCCTGTTTGAAATCTTTGTGAGCAGTGCCCATGTCGGCATGCGGAAACCAAATCGTGACATCTACGAGTACACCATCAAGTTGGTTCAAGACACATGGGGCAAGGACATCCAGACGTCAGACATTGTCTTCCTCGACGACATTGGCGAGAACCTCAAGATGGCAAAGAGCCTGGGCATCAGGACCATCCGAGTCTTGCTGGGAAAATCCAGAGATGCTGTCAAGGAGCTCGAGCAAGTCACAGGGCTGGATCTGCTTGAGGAGGATGCCAGAGCCAAGTTATAAGGAGAAGAGAGGGGGACGGGTGGAGGCTTTGAAGAAGTTTGCCCGCAGAACTCTGATGATCTGACAGAATTAGAGTGTTAGATCTTGCATAGATATGATATATGTTCTTGCAGAACAAGGCCGTACCAAGGATAGCCATATTATTGATTAAAGCGACTTTGAGGGTTGACGCCACGCTTTGTGTGATGTGCGTGACTTGCAAGGGCAAGCCAATGAGGAAAGAATCCAGGATCAGACCATATCGAAGTGCAACAAGCTAAAAAAGATGATGACAACGGGCACGCCCTTCAACACAAGCTGTTCCGCAAGGGAGAGGTTGTTGTTTGCTCCACAGGCCAATGAGAAGCCACGAGGCTGATATAATTAAATCTCACCCCTCCCACTCCCTCCAACCACCAACATGATTATCCTTCTTTCGAGCTTTTGAGCCGGGAGCTTTCGTTTCGGACGACACTACTTGCCCAGCGCTAGTTCAATGGAATTATTTGAGTATTCACGTCTTCTTCTTCTCCTTTACCCTGCATCTCTGGCTCAACTCGTCGTCGAACAAAACTTGTCATAAAATCACAAGAGAACTAGATTTGATCTTTTGTATTACTACTCATCGTCGCAGTGACACTCGAGATTCGCTCTCAATTCATTGTTCCGAACCCAATTGTCAAATGATCGGCATCACAGCTGTCTGTGAGTCAACCATGAACTTTCATCCAGTTGGAGACAATCACGCAAGCCAGAACCAGAACCTCTCAATAATGTTTCGAGGGATCCGCTCAGGCCAGACAACGGCATCGAGAGCGGCCTTACCAGTAAACAAGTCGGCCTCAGACGACTTGACAAAATGGGTCCGCTTGAGCACTCTCCAGAAGAGATACAATGCAAAATAAATGGGGATGCCAATGTAATCGGTGATAAAGGCCTGCCAATCCCAACCACCAGCAATACTATCAAAACCATTGAAAAAAATGATCAGAGCAAAGAAGATGCCAGAGACATAGGCAAGGTATGGCTGGAAGGGCGACTTGAACGGTAGAGTGTTGCGGTCGATTCCCTGAGCTTTGAGTGCATGGTGAAAGCGTACGTAAGCAATGCATATGCTGACCCATGTGAACAGAGTACCTGCGCGAGTTAGTCAACGACCTTGCTGAAAAATGTGGTAGCGTCACTTACTGATGGTGGTCAAGTTCTGAAACCAGGCAAAGACTTTGGAAGAGCCGGCTGAACAGGAGAGGTAGGTGATGAGGGAGATTGCGCAGGTAATCAAGACACACCAGAGCGGAACTCCTGTCCTTGTGCATTTGAGGAGAAACCTCGGAGCCTGTCGGTTCTGGGCAAGGGCATAAAGGTAGCGGGATCCTGTGTACAGAAATGCATTCGCGGACGACGAGGCCGAGGTCAGAATAACGGCATTAATGATAGACGGCAAGACGTCGATTCCGGCACGACTGATGGCGATAACCCAGGGAGACTGGGCGGCACCGGCTGCACCAGACTCTCGGGCGTTGATCAGGTTCTCATCATTTGAGGGGACTAAGACTCCAATCGCCAAGGATCCCAAGACATAGAAGAACAGAATACGCCAGAAGACTCGCTTCACGGCCTTGGGAATATTTCGACGGGGATCTTCGGCCTCGCCGGCGGCAACAGCGACCATTTCAACCCCACCGTAAGAGAAGGCGGCGTTGACGAGAGTTGACCACAAACCCAGGAAACGACCAGCGGCGCCATCTGCGATATAAGGCTTCATGGCGCCAGGATCTCTCCAGTAGTGGAAACCAAGGCGAGGTTGACCTGGGACACCACCGAGGTTTATGATGAGTGCCAGGATCAGAAGGCCGATAATGGTGATTATCTTGATGGAGGCAAAGATGAACTCGGCTTCTCCATAGATGGAAACGGCGAAGATGTTGAGACAGAGGACGAGAACGATGACGATAGAGATCCAAGCGGCGACATTGATATCTCTTGCGCCCTCCCAGAATTGGATGACGGTTGCAGCTGCGGATATTTCGGCGCACAGGGTGATAGAGCACGAGTACCAGTTGTTCCAGCCGACGGCGAAACCCATGGCATCATCAACATAGCGAGAGCAGAACTGGGGAATTGCACCAGGGAGAGGAAGCCAGGTTGCCATTTCTCCCAAGGAGAACATCATGGCGAAGACGGCCAAGCCGGTAAAGGTATAGCCGAGGAGGACGGAGAGAGGGCCTGCCTGGAGAAAGGCTCGACCAATACCAAGGAAGAGACCGGTACCGATGGTGCCACCGAGGGCGATGAATTGGATGTGACGGGACTTGAGACCTCGCGAGACATAGCCATACTCTTCGGCAGTTGCGACATCGCCGTAGATGTCGGTGGCTTCATTGAGCTTGGAGCCTCGACGGGCCTGAAGAGAAGGAGGTCATGTCAGTGTTCAGAACAGACGTGCAAACGCCGTGGGTAGCCTTCTCTCACCTCGTTCTTGTTGAGCTGTTCCTGGTTACCGGGAGTGAGGTGGTCTGGAGACTCGGAACCCGAAGTGGTATGGAAATCTAACTTCTCGGCCATGATGCTGTCCACAGAGGAAGATGTGCAGAGCGAGATTGGGACCTAAGAGGGGGAGATGGCTGTGGTTGTACAAGGAATCGGATGCAAACCCGTGATCAGAGTGTCACGACAGCGGTCTGAGCCAACTGAAATAGGAGAGAGCGGGAGTGATGGTATATGTACAGCGCTCGACAGCAAGCCCAGAGATGTCGAGGGCATATCGGTTGGAATACCCAGGCGTGCCAGGGTGTCTTGCAGACATGCTTGTTGCTGGTCTGGTGAGCTGATGCTAGCGAGGCAACGAGGCATGTTGTTCATGCGAGAGGAGAAGAAAGCTTGTGCGTGGAAGACAGGGCTTTAGGACGGAGATGCTACCCTGTGATCCACTGGAGTGATTCTGGAAGCGGCCGAGATAGCAGCAAGAGCGAATGGGATGGCGAGAGCATGATGGAGAGTGCCAGAAGCGTCAATGGCGCGATAGAGGTGAGGAGGGATCGAGGACGATCTTGACCGGGGTGCCGTGCTTGAACATTGGGAGGGACGAGGTCGGGCGGTGGCGTCGAAGCTCTGAGGCGTGGTGGTACCATTTCATGGGTGTGGACAGGGTTTCCAGGTGAGTTTCCAGGTGAGTTTACCGAGTGGTGTAAATGGGGAGATACGATAGTTGGGCGACGACGTCAAGGGTGGTACGATGGAGGGACAAGCGTCGCGTCGACTAGGGGGCGGGGCTTGAGGGAGAGGGAGAGGGAGATTGTGTGTATGTAGGTATGTGTGTGAGAGAGAGAAAAAGAGAAAAACATGTTGGCCTGCGGAGGATTCGCTTAATCGGTATCATCCACCGGTCTTTGCTGAGCCTGGCAAGTGCAGGCGCGACTCTATGAAACGCTGATCGCTGATGGGTAAAGAAGCAAAGAACCTTGAAGCAAAGAGAACCTGGACACGTACTCATTAGTTCTACCCTGTACATACTAACTTACCTTAGTCTTGCTGCAAGCTAGGCTGCCTAGACACATTTCTGGTAAGTTTGAAATGATCCCATTCACCTGCAGAATCGTGCCATTCATCTCGGCAAATCCGATATCTTTGCATCAAGCACTGCTCACATAGATCATAGACCAGACATGACATGGAGTGACTTGATGGCCGTCGCTGAATCGCCTCAGTCTACCAGTGTAAAATCGTGCAGGCATGGTCAGCGGTCAGAATCGGGTCCGCCAATTGACCAGACCACCAACTGTATGCATCTGAGAAACTCGACATCCATCTCAACTCGTGTATCTCGTGACACACGACAAGTGAAAAATATGCCGCGGGGTGGAGTGTCTGATGTGGAAGGTAGCAATGGACAGAAATCAAGGTTTCATGGCTTTCATGGATGGACCAGACTGGATTTACCAACCGTGCCACCTCATCCATCTCGTCCATCTCGTCCACCTAGTGCCACCCCCCATTCCTTTCTCCCGACCACCCGGCCTATCGTTGACTTTCAATTGGACATGGTGAGACAAGCAATCTAGCTCCAATGCTTGACTGGATCAAGGCTTTTGCCGATCCATGCAGGCGAGCGGTCTGCTCCGTCTTAAGACTTAACTACTCTCGGCCTATGCAGCTTAACAACACCACTCACACTCACTCAACCAACCAACCTACAGTCAGGTCGCTTTCAGAAGGATGAACCGGTTGGGTCTGCTTAGTCGCCAGAAGGAAGAGGCCCAAATCTCCGCGCTGAAAGTGTCTGTACTGTGCATATTCGCACACCTATGCCTTCGCTTTGGTTCCCTCAGGCTACAGTGGCTGCGGGAAAGACACGTGTGAAACTGTCGTCACGTGATACAGCTTTGTCATCTTTCACTTCCATTTCCATTCTCACTGCCATCACCATTCGCAACTTATGCTCACGGTATATGATTTGAATGGTCTAGTAATAGTCTTAACAGATGTATCTAAGTGAGAACAAGCACATTATCTAGACTGTTTGTCGCCTAGATCGACTCCCGGCAAGGACCAGACAGATAGGTGGGTTACCCACGAGAACATGGACCGCACGTGTTGTTGGATCCTTATCAAGGTTCACCATCTCACTGTGCCAATCATCATCCGACCACACGTTGGTCTCGACCCTCGTCTGGAACATACGGAGTATGTCACCAGCGGAGAATCTCTACTACTGCGTCTTCTACTTATCTCCTGCCGCCTGTCCAGGTTGGCTCGCTGAGTCTTCGCTTCCACTTGCCATGTCCCGAATTGGCTGCTTTGGTGGGCCATAGTTCCGACATATAACACACATCGTCTTCCGCTCTTCATACGTCACCTGCGTCCCATGGTCCGGAAGTGGGGGAATACGTCGCCCTTCAGGTAGGCTGCGGTGCTTTTTCTGATGATTTGTATAGCCGGAACAAAATTGTGTCAAGCCCGGATATTCATGCCCGCAAGAGAATCTTTGGAAGACCTTGGTACACATGATTCATGTCAACCTCACAATGACGATGCGGCCACTTTGGGAATGCTTGCACGCCCTGAGCAAACGTGGATGAGCTGCACTGTCTGAAAACAGTCAAATGGTATAAGTGATAGACCCTTATCGATTATGGCTTCTGTGAAGTAGGCAAATGAAAGCAGGTTCTCAACGCAATGGACCCGATATGGGGTTTTGTTCATGTCAGGCTTCATCAATTCTGCTCCATGTCAAGGTCAAGGCATCTAGATTATTCTGAGAATAAGTTTCAACATCTTGGTCGCCCTGTCCTCTTGTTTCACCTGCTGTTTGAGAGCTGCATCTTTGCGTTCACAGTGATGCTGGCATGTAGCACCAATTGGGACATTTGTTCTTGGTTAGTCTTGATGGTCGAGACATCACGAGAGATACCGGGCCCATTTGTGTGTATCTACGCTGGTTGCTCTACTATCGAGTCCTGGTTCTGTGGTAATACTGGGTTCTCTCGTGACAGCACATAGCAACAAAGCGATATATACTCCGTATACATCCCTCAGTACATACTCGTCGTCAAGGGGGTGGAACCTGGCTGTGGAGGTGGGGAGGTGCTTATCGATACCGAGTGGTTGCCCCGCAACCGTTGTTGCCAAGGCCGCATGTCAACAAAATCGGTGCCCTGTCGACCTTCGCTTGACAACCGACCCTGTGCTATGACCACCAATTATTGCCTTTCGCCTCAACGGTTTCGTCCATGAGATCCATTCTTGTCGACCTTTAGACCTTTGAGCACCTTACCGGTATACAGGTCTAGAAGCAACGACGGAGACAGGATGGGCGTCGAGCCTCCCTTCATCTACGACCGGCCCTCAACTTACACATTCGGCGGACCAACGAGTCAACCGTTCAACCCCAAGTCGGCAACGCATGCGTCGTGGCAGCCCAAGCCGAACCGAACCCCAAAGAGAGATGGACCTTTGATTGATTTCAATAAGCACCCCGACACTGTAAGCAGACACCCATCACATTCCGCAGTTCTTCCATGCATCCATCTAACCAGTATCACTAAGTACCTGATCGTCCCATATGGCAACCTCAACGTCAAGCCAATGCACCCGCGAACAAAGGACAGAGTTGACCGAGCTAGAATGCTTCAGCTTGGCCTTCGCATTCTTGCCCTCATCGGAGCTCTAGGAGCCTTGTTCTGCGTCATTGCAATCAATAATACCTCGACCTCGGTAGCATGGATCATTCGAGTGGCCCCTGCCGTTACCATCCTGCACACACTCTATGCCATCCACCACCTCTGCAGGGCCGCAAGTGGTCGGACTCCTACAACCACCGCAAGCTACATGATCTTTGCTGCCTTGATGGACACTGGCCTCATCCCTTTCTTCAGCTATTCCGCCTGGATGGCCCACGCAGACTACACCAAGAATGAATATGGTTGGAGTACACTGTTCAACAATTCAAAATCGTCCTACAAGATAATTCTCGCTTTTTTCATCGTCTCCGCTGTTGAGGCCAGCCTCGTCGCCTTGTCACTCATTCTCGGCATCTACCTGGCCGCCATGTTCAAGAAGATCGCTCGAATGCCTCCAGACATGAATCCTCTGGAGCCCAACCTTACATCACGACATAAGAGGAACAAGTCTGAAGGTGTCACAGAGAAGAACATGAAGGCATCGGGACTGGTAGCCATGAGAGCCTCGGACACGGCTAACTTGAAGAGAGTGCCCTACATCCACACCCGCACTGATTCCGTCGACAGTGTTACTCTCTACGGCAATGACAGTGCACGAACTTCCAGGGCCGAATTTCGCAAAGATTTGACCGACAATGAAAAGGACCCATGGCGTTTTTCTGCAAACAACGTATCCCCCTCTCGGCCTGGCTCGGCCATCAGCCCTTCTCCCAACTCTCGATCGATCGGCTTAGGTCTTGATTCTCGATCTGATCGTGCAGCTTCGCCACTCAAGGAGACTCCATCAAAGGCATCGTCATGGCTGTCATATCTCGACTTTGAGGGAGTTCCTACTGATCTAAGCCCCGAAGCCAATCAACAACTTGATAGCGAGGTCCGGCCTATCTCTCCGCTTTCCAACTTTTCACGGGATCCATCTATTGATCGTCGTGCAAATGAGCGTGAAAACTGGTATCAAGGCGGTGACCGGACTGCTCAAGGCTATCACTCGGTGGACAACGCCAGTAGACTTGATGTCAATCCAGGACTAGGGGTATCATTTCATGATCCATCTCCCAAGAAAAGAATCCAAGAGCCTCTTGGTATGAACCCGCCGACTCCATACGACCCGAACTTCCCGAACGAGAATGCAGCGGTCACTCCAACCAAAGAGCGACATTTTTCCTACGACATGGATCGCGAGGTACTCAATGACACAGAGGCAAATAACCGCGGCCGGCCCGTCCAAACATCTCGCCCATCAAGCTTCGTTGGGAGTGGAGGCAAGTCCCGATTCTATGGCGATTTACGGTCGTCGATGGGGTCTATCAATAACCCCTTTGGAGGAGAGGCGAAAAAGAAGTCTACATTGGGGGTGGTTCACCAAGCCAACACCTACGAGAGGACCAAAACTATGCAGACCGAGAGTGACTACAGTGACAACTTTGAGATCTACGACTCGGACGATGACGACAACAGCCAACTACGAGCCAATATCGCCAGTTTCCAGCCCGCATCGATCCCGAACAAGACGCAATGGTCTAATGCTCGACAGTTGTCTGACTCGACTGGGCATGACCTGACATCGTCATATGCCGGATTGGGGGCCGAATTTGGACAAGGAATGGGACGAAGACGAGAAGTCAGTGGCAAGGTGGCGGAGGAAGGCCGTGCGGGAAGTGTGTCGCCATCCAGAAATGGCGCGGCAGGCTGGGAGCGTTTCAAAGGCTTGTAGATTATGGAGCAGAACGCAATGCAATGGGGTTTTGGCACTCGAGATGCGTGGGAATTTGCTGGTGAATGTGCGAGCAAGGGCCTCGAAGCATTCATGTATGTTGATTTGGTTTGGTTTGGGCTAAGTACCTATTGGATGAGAGGTCACAAATGAGCGAGTACAGAAGCGACGACTTTGATTAGGAAAAGTCATCTTACATGGAGTACTGGGAAGAAGATGATGGGGCTGCAAATAGCTGGGGATAGTCTTCGATCAGCACCACATAGGAAGACTCTTATGGGATGTTTAGCATGAGGATTGGACCATCTCAGCCTCGCAGCCTTGTGAGTATATGCGGAGTAGATACAAGACAAGGAAGGAACGGCTGCCAGGATGACGTCAACCCATCAAATTATATAATCATGCGAATGCGACAACCAAGGACATCTTGTAAAGTCACGTGACTGATCTGACCTCCAACATCTAAGTAGTCCATCCTTCAGCCTCAAACTGTTCCCATACTTCTCATATTGGACGCACCAAAAGCGACTTGTCTCCCTCCTCCGACAGAGCAGATCTAAACTCGAGCAAATAGATCCTGCTCCTTTGAGGCACCAAAATGGCGAGCAAGAGAGGTCTCTGCTCACTGACACGGAGCTTGCACCGCACCAGCTGTGTCTACTCAACGACTACAGCGACATCTAGATTCGTCCCTCTTATTTCTCCTCTCACTCCCCTGATCCAAGAACAACAACGAATCCACCAAGCCATGCCCCGAATGCGCCAACCTCGACGACATTTCCACACGACACTGAGAAGGAATAGCAATAGTGACTCAAGCGCCGCGGGGGCATCGAAACAATACACATTTGCGGAACTACAGAAAGTCGTTGCGGCGTCGGCGGCGGATCCGCACACGATCATAGTAGACGTACGGGAGCCGGCGGAGCTGGAGTCAACGGGCCGCATCCCCACGGCGGTCAACATCCCCATCTCCAGCGCAGCTGACAGTTTCTTCCTCCCCGCCGACGAGTTCGAGGAACGGTTTGGCATTGCCAGGCCCGGCGATAAGGACCATGTCATTTTCTACTGCAAGGCCGGCGTCCGTAGTCGTGCCGCAGCCGCCCTCGCTCGTCAGGCCGGGTTCGGTGGTGACATTGCAGAGTTCCCGGGTAGTTGGATCGAGTGGTTTGAAAACGGCGGTGAGGTTGAGAGATAAGAAAAATAAACCGTCGGATACGTGGGTGCTTGAGTGTATAGATGGGTTTGTATTTGTACAGAGAGCCGGTATCAAATTCACCCAACTTCAATTTTTTGGTCGGAAGAATCTACGACGAGGATCCAAAAAATCCATGAGCACAAAATTCCCTAGCATCTCCAACCAAGTTTCTACCAACCCTGCTGGAACCCTCACGAATGATGGTCCATATTGGTTTGTTCCAGGACATTGGCTGCAAGATGACAATAGATCGTGCTAAATACACATGTGTCTCGAACCACCTATTTACAACCACCGTCTCAAGTCCACCTGTCGATTCCGCAGAGCTCTCTTCAGTTTTGCGCCGGAGCGATACGGCTCCCTCCTGCTCATGTTTGATGATCTCCCGAAGTTGTCTCTTCTGTTCTTCCTTTTGCTCTTGCTCCCTTCAGTGTCGTCGGTTGCATTCTGCGGCATATTGGTGGTGATGTTGTAGATCGCGTCCTCGGGCGTCACCTCGAACTGGACGGTAGCATTGCCCTCGCGATAGGTACTGAATTTGGTTCCATTAGTCAAGTATCCTGGAGTGAGGCCGATGTCGACGGTGCCAGTGGCAATGTCAAGGCCATTGATAGCACGGTCGAGCATTTCCAAGGAGACGAGCGGTTGAAAGAAGGGCACCAGATGGCCAGACTCGTAAATGCGGACAAAGGAGAAGAGACCGCTCTGCTTGACTTGGCCGTGCACGACGCCGTCGGACGAGGTGATGTTGACGAATCCAGCATTGTCATAGCCTTTGGCTTGCACGCGGTCTGCTACAACTTCTCCGCCTATCCAGTTGCAGATATAATCCGCATCCCCGTAGTACATGGTCACTGAGACGTTCGATTCCAGCAGCTTTTTCGTCGACTCCGTCAGTCCAAGTTCTCGATCGTCGTCCCCCGTAGACACAAAGGCTGCCCACACAGCATCGTTGCCCTCGGTAAAGTTGACATAGGCTCCAATGGCTTCTTGCACCTCGGGCGTATTGAGGTAGTCGACGTAATAGATGGGAGGGAATGGGTTCGGCGTAAGATAGCGAAAATCGTACTCGTCTCGCTCCAAGTAGATATCATATATCTTTTCGACCTGCTCATAGCAGAAATCGTCGGCCGTCGCGCAGATGGAGTTGATTTTCCGAGTGTTGCAGTCAAGTGTTTGGTCATAACAATTACCTTTTCCATACAGGTTGAGATACCACTGATCTAGTGTTGCATCAGCGAGGAAAGGCTGCAAAACACATCATGCCAGACAAAGGCTGGCTTTCGCTCAGACCCACCTTTGACAGTCTGGTTTAGCGGGTCATAGTCATACGTGTTTCCCGGAAATACGCTGAAGTTGTAGAATGCTTCATATTGAATCAGAGGATCATACCAGCCGTTTCCTATCAGCACCCCTTCGAGATTAATCGGCGGTGCTCCAGTGATATTCTTTGCATTTTGCTCGAGGAAGTATTCGCTGATGAGCGGCGCCCAGTGCCCACCGTAACTTGACACTGTTTAGCAATACACGTTTTTCAATCAAGGCGCTCTATTTACCTCTCAGTGGTGAAATATACACCTTCTCTTGCATATTGAGGGAATGCACCGATAAAGCCTTGCAATGCCTTCCACATGTTTGGCGCTGCAGCGGGAGTGCTGTTGGCAGTCAAAGACTGGTTCCAATACGAAAAGGTCCCACAGTCCCAATCCAAGGCGAATTCTGGGCAGGTATCATTCGGTAGTTGGACCAGGTATCCCGAATTGGGGTCTGTATAAGCAGGGACGGCCTCAGAATAGCTGAAACCAACCTGAGTAGGCTGGTCAATAAAGATGATGTTGGTGACGTTGCTCCACGAGTAGGGATTGTCCAATGGCTCACCATCAGGACTGATGGTGCAAGGACCCAACTCTTGGAACAGGCCGATCATACTCGAAGAACCGGGGCCACCGTTGATCCAAATGGTGAGAGGAGCATCTTCGGGCTCGATATTTCGTGACTCAAAGAACCACCAGAAGATATGCTCGCCAGGGGCCACATCGGCGTAGCCCGCGTAGCTCTTGACATCCGGATCTTGTTCGCAGATGCCGGGAGGCACTTCCTTGTAGCGAACGGTTATGTTAGCGTTCCCGACTTTGGTCGTGAGGTTGGACGGCGGTGAAACAAATTGGGAGAAGGCGACTTGTGCGCTGCTCAGAAAGCAAAGAGCATTGAGCAGAGCGAGTGCCATATCTGGGGATTCGATGGGGCCTAACCAAACTCAGTGGGAGACTCGTATGCCATAGCTTGAGAGGGTCAAGGGCTGTTCTTGTAGCCCTCGCATGAGAGGTGCCTTTGCCACGCCCGGTGCAGTTGCAGTGAGTGGTCATTTTGTCGTCTCGTCATGCCACGAAACGTCAAGATCGTCTGAGAGCTTAGAGGGTGGTTCGCTGACCGGGTAGCTTCAATGGATGATCCCACGACCCAGGGCCCAGGACCCACGGCATCGCCATCTGCCGACGGAGGTCACTCCGTTGAGACGCCAAAGGGCAGGCCTAAAACCAAGACCGAGACAAGGTCAGCCACACAATCGGTGACGGTGACGATGACGATGCAGATGCAGGTGGATGGCGATGCAGCTTGCAAGCAATCTCAATCAGCAAGGACGGGCAGAACATAAGATAGAAAGAACATGTACCTTGGTCGTAGGAGCTTCCTCATGCAAGCCAGCTTCCTGGTGACATCGTGCCTCAAGCTAGGCCACTAGCTTCTTCTCTATCCTGCAAAGATGATCTCTCTCGTTCTATCCTTCTGTCGCTCTCTCGCTCTCTGGCGTGGTATGTCTCAAGCGATTCATTATTAGCGAATGAGACTCTGCCTCGCAACAGATAAGGTGGCCGAAGCACTGGCAAGCATTGTGACCAAGTGATAGTCAATGTCGAGAGTTATGTTGTGGTGGTGTGGCAGGCTGACCCTGGCTAATCACTTCCGCAACTCTCCGTCCGCTCAATTAAAATCTCCCAGCTCACAATTCACTAGATTGTCTACTTTGTTCTGCTTTGACCGTCATCATATTCTCGCCTTTGTAGATTGAGCTATAGTTGCACTTTGCCAGTAAGATCTCGCCCGTGATTGCTGTATACATGCATTTCCTCTCCCCAAGACAGGTCGCCCAGCCCTCTCAGTCCCGTGAAGTCAGCCAGCGGATTCCTGCCCTTGCAATAATGGAATCTCATTGCGCTGAGCCAGCGAATTCCTGAAGCATGCGATGAGAGTCTCTCGGACTGGTTTTGCCTTTGCGAAAACTGTTAAAGCTAAGTGCATCCTCCCTTCACTGCCGAATTCGAAATCGCGGGTCTCTCCCTTGCCTTTGTTCACTCCCTCCAAGAATCTTCCGATGCTGTCCACTCAATTACCTTCTCGCTCGGCGTTCTGAAGGGCTTCTTCAACCTCAGCCTTCAATTTGGCCAGATCAACCACGTTTGCTTCACCGTTGTCGATTACATCAGCTTCCAGATCGCTGTAATCTTCAATCCAGATCGTTCTGATGTGACTCTGTGCCGCCTGCATTGCGACAGCATCAAAATCGTCGTCCACAGTGTAGCTAATTTTGACGAGACCTTTGGCTAACATAGCCGCCTCATTGACAGCTTTCTTCTTCAAGGGCTTGGACGGCTTTGTCTGCTGTTTTGTTTCTTTTGTCGGCTTCCGTCGCACAATGTGATTGTCTAGGACGCAATTAGAGTTCTGGTAGGCCCATGAATTTTGACTGTTTCGTCCGCTGCAACGTCCACAATTTCGTCGATGGCGCCAGAAATGTTGGTGAAGTTCCAATTTTAGATCTGTATCTTCCATGATGGTGTCGAGGTGACTGCACATCTCATTTTCGGTGGCATTTTCTGGCGCCTAGCCAAGCGAATGCACCATATTTGCTACATGTGTGTCGACAGCAAACACGGGAATGTTCATGCGGAAGCTCATCAAACAGCATGCGGTCTTGACGCCGACTACCGGTAGATTGACCAGATAATCAAAGACTGCTTGCTTCCCCTGAGTCGCATACACGTCGTTGAGAAATGCCAAAGACAACAGATCCGCGCCTGAGTCCTGTGGGGTGGGTCTGGACTCCGACAGCCCGCCAGTGTCAGGGTCAGAGTTGTTCTCAAGGAGCGAAAGGTTTCTGGCATAGATGACGTCAAGGCAGGCTTTGATCGCCTTTGCTTTGATGCGAAAAAGTCCGCCTTTGGACAGACACTTCTCGAGCTTTTCGATGCTTTGGACTCGCATCAGGGCGTAATTAGGAACCTTTCCAAAGGTTTTGGTGCCATTGATGTCGTAAGGATAGCCGCGGATCATTGTTTGCTGGACATCCAATGCACTCTCATTGGTGCAAGCCTGTGAAATGATGACGCGGACAATAGCATCAATGTCGAGTGTCTTGCCTCCGTGAATGGGTTCAACTAGAGCCGCGGTTTTTTGTGGCTTTTGAAGTTCCAGCTCTCTTTCATGCTCCAAAAGGTGGGTCACCTCATTGATCTGAGCGACAGTGGGAAATTGGTAATAACCAATCAAGTCCCTTCCAAAAACAAACCTGGCCTTGTTTGTTGGCTTTTGCTTGCCATAGACCGCTTTTGCTTCCTTCCTCGCATTTTTCCTCGCGAGTTTGGCAAGCAGATGACTTGAAATCGGTAGCGTAATCACACCTGGGATCCGCGGAACTGGGAGTTGCTTTCTTCTTCGCAGGTTCGCGACATTTCTCTTGGTGGTAGATTTTGCTGAGAACTTGAAGTCTGGCTCATATTCGCTGTCAGAATCAGAGGCTTTGGGTGATTTCGCTGGCGACGTGTCCTCAATTTTGAGAACTACCTGCTTCGCTGTGATTGTGGTCCGCTTTTTGGAGACTTTGGACCAGCCAAGGAGGGTGGCCTGCCGCTTTGCCATTGTTGAAGGGGAGGATTTGGGCGTTTAGAGATGAAAAGGTACGAAAAGGTGAAAAAAAGCGAGAAAAAGGCAAGAAAGTAAAAACAAGTTGTGAGGACGGGCCTGTACGAGAAGTTGAGTCAGTCTGTGAATTGCCAGATATATATACATACAAAGAAGGATGATGACGAGAGAGATGAAAGAAAGTGAAAGGGGAATACACGAAGAGGCGAGCTTTATATAGAAATGACTAGAGTGGTCCATATGATTGAAATTGTCTTCCAGGAGCATGCGGATGCTGATGTTAGTGATTGCTGCTCCGCTCCATGATGGTGTCAAAGGCAGAGATTTGGGCCTTGTTGTCATCGGTGAAGTTGTCAAACACAGATATCCGCCTCTTGTTGTCGACAGTGAGGGTGTTGAACCCATGTGAGTGGATCTTGTTGTCGAGGGTGAGGTTGTCGCTGTTTGTGACTATGTCTTGGTTGTAGGTGAGGAGGGTGTCGGTGGTTGTTCATGAGTTGCAGGAGTGTCCTCTGGAAATCTCTAAATTCTGAGGCTGATTGACCTCTTGTCGATCTGGAAGATGTCATTCTCTGTGACTGGAGCTTTATGTTGTAGAAGAGGATGGTGCTGTCTCTTGGATTGGGCACATTTGATGGGCATGGAGTATGATGGGATCATAGGGGGGGATGATGGGTTGTGCTGGGAGAAAACACTGGTGCTTTACATACCTTGGTTGACAGGGTGCGAGAGGAAGTGGGTTGGTCTGTGAAAGAGGTCAGATCGGGAGAGAAATGGAGATACTTATAGACAAAGGGCCCAGGATGTTGACTCACAGGGGTTTGAGCGTAGAGTCACCGCTGTAGGCGTAGTACATGAAGTGGAAGTATTTGATGACACAGTATGGGCCAAGTAGGCGGATGAGTTGTCCGTTTGTACTGCTGAACAGAGTCACACCTGCCTCAGTATCAAGATGAAAGCAGCGCCTGCCTTGCCAGTCATATCTTGATCACGTCATCAGTCATCATTTTGGTCAGTCACGGCAAGAGCCCAGAGCCCAGGCAAACGGCCAGCCCCGCCAGTTTCCTCACGAAGGAGAGAGAGAGAGAGAGAGAGAGAGAGAGAAAGAGAGAAGGGGAGAACCTTGAAGGAGCCCGGCCTGCAGAAGGTGGATAACTCCCAATCTGCTTCGTATGTCTCACAACGACCTTCATATCTTAGGGTATTCAGGGACGGATAAGTTCAGTGGTCATGACTAGACACATCATCCTACCTACCAGGTAATCACCAAAACGGAGCCCAGTAATTGTCGGGCAATTATGCTGTGTGCTGGCCGGTTGAGGGAGACAACAAGAGAAGCGATGATCACCTTGACAAAGAATTGCAATGACCATCATCGTATCTCTATTTTGATGCTGTGTTTTGACACCACTAGAGATTCAAAATTTGGATGCATCAACAATCCCCAAGGACGGAGAGCCGCTGGGATCGAACCATCCACCTCTCGCCAGCTCTCCACGTCAAATCCACAGTAGGCCATCCGATCACAAGAAAACTTAGCCAATCTTGGCCTGATCCTTGAACTTTACGTATTCGTCCTTGAGCTTGCCGTCGTCGGTCCTGATATTGCGACCCAGGCGATGCCACAACTCCAGCTGTCGTACAAATCCTGCGTTGGGATTGGCCCTAGGTCGTGACCCACGGACGTAACGCATAGCAGTAGGGTAGTCGAGATTCATTTCATCCATGGAAAATGCCACTGCAACGGCAGCCGATCTGGAGACCCCTCGATTGCAATGGATGAGAATTCCCCCATCCTTCTTCTTGAGACCCGCGACTATGAAGTCAATGGCTTCATCAAGAACCGCCAACAAATTAGCCGTCTCGTCGTCACGAAGCGGGATAAAATGGAGGACAAAGTTTTCCTCCTGCCCAGCGGGGATCAGGGGTTGCTGGCTTTTTTCGTTGAGCAATGAAAGAACGTAGCGGATCTTGGGTCTCCCGGGGGCTGGGTAATTGGGACTTAAGACTGCACGTGCAGTATTGATGCTGCAGAATCCGTGGATCAATACATTTATCTATAATCAGGTCCAGCAGCAATGGAGGTAATTACTCACTTTGACACATAAATGTCAGGCATGATCCTCACCGGGATCAGAGGTGCAGAAGTGGTTGATGCCATGTTTTGGGCTTTTGTTTTCCTTGGTTTTTCTGGCGGTAGAATTCTGAATCGATATGGGTTAAGTTGAACAGGCCGACGAGTTCGAGAATTTATCCTCAGCATCTTGATTGTCTGTTGAGGAATGCGTCAGAGCTTTGAGCTCTGATGACAGTATAGCTTGTGATGGCCTAGGTAAACCGTGAGGAGCAGAGGATGTCGATGAATCAATCTTTGCAGACCAAAATTGTTTGGAGACTTGCTGGTGACGCCTGCGACAGGTGGTGCTGATGATGGATATAAATATACATGGTGTTTAGGAGTCGTCAACCCTGACACCGGACCTGAGGCTGCCTTCACTCACGCCCAGGAGCCGACCTGGGGAAGTCACGGCATCGAGGACAGTCACGGGGGGGGCAAATGCCAACGCCAATGCGTTGACAAGTTCAACGAGAGTCAAGCGGGACTCTGAGCACAATGCAAGCCGTTGTCAACCAACAAGATTGATGTCTGGAGCCACGGAGCACGAGCTGGGGCAAACGAAGCTGCTTGGTCGTTGAAACAAGACTCTCGACTCTCCGGCTAACTTGGCGAATCATCCATCTCCAAACTGACTGGCTCAGATCACGCCTAAGGGCTCCATCACGTGGTACGTACAGTACCTAGTGAGCACAGCCTCAACAAATCACGACTTTTTGTAATAGATGATGCATAGAGTACTTTGTCTGTAGGATCAATCATGGCACAGGTGGTCAAAGAAGAGACGGTGCAGCGCCATTGTTGATGTCATGCGGCAGATGAGGAGGACAAGGCTCGCACTTTGTAACTCTTGGCATCGATGGCCATCGTGACTTGATCGGCCATGGTGGAAGACATATTCTACATTGATGGAACGAACTCCAGGAACAGATCGACTCGGTCTGCAGCCACAGTGGGCCGGAAGGAACATGCTGTCTAGTATTGATGACGAGATTATAGCCACGCAAGCAGGGCACGGGATCGGTCCCGGTATCTATGCGTCCTTGACGTCGAAGTAGCTGGGGATTGTGAGGCTAGGCAGAGCGGGAGACATTCGATGTTGAAGCTATATAGGTTTCAATACTGACGTGGCACAAGGATTAGAACAACAGGTCTTGATGAGAACGAAGTCTAATTGCATATACCTAGATAGGTGCTTGGCAATATCCATATCCCTGTAAACTCATATTGCTGAACAAGTCGAGCTTAAACGATTTTAAAAGAGTCTATGTTCGCGGTTGTTACATTTTTCCACAGTACTGCCATTTCAGGACCACGAGATGCCCAACATGATTCCTGCTCCGACAGCCATTGCAGTGAATTGCAGGACTGTCTTTTTCAACTCTTCCTTCTTATTGGGTCCTGTCTCGAGCAGTTCCGGGATCACTGCCACGGTTCCAACGTAGAGGAAAGTGCCGGCCGTGAAGGGGAGGAGCATATCTCCCCACTGGAGACTAGTCCCCCAGATTCCCTCTGCCGGTCCGGCATCCTCGCCAGCACCGCTCCCATACTCTTGAACAAAGATACCGATCAAAGTTCCGAGGAAGGCGCCCACGGCGGTCAGAAATTGCGCCCCCATGGCCTTGCGCTTTGAGAAGCCGGACTGGATGAGGAGAGCAAAGTCCCCTACCTCATGTGGAATCTCGTGGAAGAAGACGGCCATGGTGGTCGTTGCCCCTAAGGCGGGGGATGCATAGAATGACGTGGACAGCGCCAGGCCGTCGGTGATATTGTGCGTAAAGTCTGCGATCAGATTGAGCACACCTGCCAGCTTGACTGACGGACTGATGGGGGCCGGCTCCGCCACCACCTCTTTCTCCTTTTTTCCGCCCTTCCGTTTACGCAACTCACCACTGGTCTCCTTCTCAGGGACGCCAGAGGCAGAGCCATTGACTGCGTGTGCATGGTCAACAAGGGCTGGACCGTGATCGTGAGAGTGACCGCCACCTCCCGTTGCTATTCTTAGAGCCTTGTCCATCCCCATGAACGTTACAAGCCCAACAATAATTCCCACACCCAGTAGTAGATTTCTGTTAGGCTCGATCAGGACGAATTTGACCTTGTCATGCTCATCTTCCCCCAAGAAGATTTCTGGTAAGAGATGAAAGAGAGTATCGCCCAACAGCCCGCCCACGGCAAATGCCACCATGATGCTCAGCGACGAAGGGTCGATATTCGGCGGGCATAAGGCTAGGAGGAAGTTGGGTGGCCCTGAAATGTACGCGGTTGCTAGGAGAGCATTTATCGCCGGGGACGATGATGGGAAGAGTACCTCGAACAATCGGGTCGTCAAGGAGGTGGAAGCGGGAACGCTGCTGGCTTTGTGCTCTGACAATTGCTTCACAAATGAACATTGCTGCTAAGAAGTTAGCTTTCGGGTTCAAAGCACGATCTTAGAAGAGCAAGCTGAATACCTGGAGGTTCTCCTCAATCTGCTCTGGAGTCAGTGAGCCGACATCAGGTCCAGCCCACTTCTCCGCACAAACACACGAGACGAGCCCAAGGACCAAAGCGTAGAGAGCATAGCGAGGTAACCTAACAGGGATGTGGAAAGATGCCATTCTGCGATGAAGGGAGATCCCAGATCTCTGATGAAGTTGAGAGAAGGGGCACGCGACTGTAGAGTTATATTTCAGGGCTCATAGCCTCATAGGTGGCTTGCTGCGGACTTGGAGATTCTTGTCAGACGGAGCCAGGGGCTGTTGGGATGTCCTTATCGATAAGAGCCTTGGCAAATTGCACGGGAAAAAGCCCATCTCCTGCGAGGCTCCCAGAACTTTTTGCAGGTTGTGACAACCCACGTAAACTGATCCTCGACACCATTTCCCCCTCTTCTCTATAAACCGTGACAATGGGACGGGAAAGGCAGAAAAAGAAGAACAGGTCCTCCGTCTCCAAGGCGAAGCTCAAGACGAATCGAACCAAAGCCGGCAAGAAGAAGGTCAATTTCTTAGGCAATGCCATCATCGCCGCTAATTGGTGAGTGAACCCTTTGACTACAACTGAATGCTGTACTAATTGGCCAAAGGGATCGGAAACTGACGGTCTCGCAAAATTACAAACGTCTTGGACTCTCCTCGAAACTCAATCCAACTACTGGAGGAACAGAGAAAAAGATTCCAGCCGCAGGAGACGAAAACCAACAACGGACTCGAGACTCACTTGCCATCGCAGGTGTTGTTCCTTCTCAAATCAAGCCACAAGAAGTCCAAGTTGTCAGGGATCCAACCACCGGCAGAATCCTTAAAGTGATCAGACCGGACGAAGATGAAACCTATGACAACCCTCTCAACGATCCGCTGAATGACCTCCCAGATGATGATTCTCGCGCCAGAAAGCCAAGGCCGTTGGCAGAGCACGATATAGTCTCACAGCTAGAGGCGCAAGCAGCCGAAGAGGAGAAACTAGAGCTCAAGAAACGCCCTCGACAGCAAAGCCAAAGAGAACAGGAATGGCTGACCAAACTCGTTGAAAAACATGGTGATAACATTCGGGCCATGGTTCGAGATAAAAAGCTCAATCCCATGCAACAAACCGAGGGGGATATTTCCAAGAGACTGAAAAAGTGGATGGCACAGAACGCCGCGACGACTTGACACGTTCGCCGCACAGTGCATACAGCTATATATACCAACCCACCCAAAGAACGACCTGACGAAAAGCTGATGCTGGTTAATTCACTTTTTGGCTCAATGACCCGGACTCCGCGAGCGATCTTCCAAGTGCTGAGTTGACACAAGTGCTGCCAACAATACCTAGTCCTGCCAGCATCGCTGTCGATCAGAAACCTGGTTCAGGCGGCACAAAAGCGGACGATCTTCTTGTTCTCGACCCTCTTGACATATTCGTCCATATCTTGTGATTTCACCCAAGAGATGTGGAGGCGCATTTCATCAATAGCCCACTACCCGGCCGAACTACCATGGTCGCGGCAGTTTCACCCCGAAGAAAACATGAAACACGACAGGTACGAATATGAGGATGAATACATGGCGTCAAAGCCAGATTATATTTTTTGGTGTACCTTTTATGGTGTCTTTTCCAATTGTCCACCGACCTCCTGGTTCCCCTCACCTTTGTCGTCACTCCTCGACAAGGCAGCAAGCAGCCCAACAATGGAATTGACCCACTCTCGCCACTCGATAGCATAACCAGTCCCTACGACACCTTTGCAAACCTGCCATCCGTGTCCACTGACAGGATATTGCAGTTTGGGCGGAATATTGGTCCCGATGCCAAGCCACCTGGCCCAGAGCGCATCCTCGCAGACACTCTTGATGTTGGATAGTGCCCGCAGCCCCTCTTCTCCGCCAAAACGCCCGTACCCGGACCCCTTGACGCCACCAAATGGCATGGAACATGCATAGTATGCTCCAAAGTCATTGACCGACACCATTCCCGCCTTCACCTGCCGGACGCACTTCTCAACATCTGCAGAATTGTGGCCAAAGACACTGGCCCCAAGAGCATAGGGTGTAGAGTTGGCAAGCTCAATGGCTTCCTCGACAGTTTTGGCTTTCATGAGCAAAAACACTGGGGCAAAAAGCTCGGTTTGAGCAATCTCCATTTCTGGATGGACGTTACTGAGCAGGGTTGGTTGAAAATAGGTTCCTTCCGGGTATTCAGGATGCAGATAGCGTTGTCCGCCACAATGAAGGATGGCTCCCTGGGCCACTGCGGTAGAAATGAGTGACTCGAGACGCGGCAAGGCACGAGCTGAGATCATAGATCCCATGTCGACGGGCGAATGAGCGGGAGAGAGAAGGATGGATCCAAGGCGGATGGCTCTGATTTTGGGCAGAACATGCGACAAGAGCAAGTCATGGATCATGGGCAGCGCGATGGTTCTCTCGATCCCGATGCAGTTTTGCCCAGCTTTTAGGTTTCCATCAGTATTGTGCTTTGTGGAATGGCGACATCAAACTTTACCTGATTGAAATGTTCCGCGGAGTAGGATAGCAGCGATTTCTGCTAGATTTTTCACCGTCTTATCATCGTCAAGAACAATAGCAGGGTCTTTACCTCCCAGCTCGACAGTGACTGGAGTCAAGGGCACTGCCGCGGAAGCACACACTTTGTGGGCAACTTCCCGACTGCCAATAAATGTGATGTGACTAATGCCAGGGTGTTTGGTCAGGTAGTCGGCAACGTCAGGAAGGCAAATTGCGTTCTGAACGAGCATGGGACTATGGTTGCAGGCATGCAAAGCGCCTCGGACGATCTTCAGAAAGTACTGACTGCTCCAGCAGGTCTGTTCGCTTGGTTTCACGACGATGGCGTTTCCTGCAAACAAGGCTGAGATGATGGGCGAGATGAAGTTGTGGAAGGGATAGTTCCAGCTGACGCAGGCTGCAACCACGCCCAAGGGTTCGTACAAGACAGTATTTGATTTGTAGCACATGAGCAGGTTTGTCGGTCGTTTGGACGGCAACAATGCCTTTTCACCGTGTTCAATCGTCCACTTCAGCTTCTCGACTGTGACTAAGATCTCCCCGAAGCAGGCATCGATCTTGGTTTTGCCGCTGTCAAGACAGCAAGCCGCCACAATGTCGTCCTGATGATCAAGCACATAACGCTGAAGCGTCAGCAGCACACGACGGCGTTCTGCAAATGTAGTTTGACACCACCGAGCTTGTGCATGGGAGGCTGCGGTAATGGCAGCGTCAATGTCGGACGAATCTGCTGGATCGATGGGGGGTCCTAGCCTGCGACCATCTGCGGGGCATCGTGGGAATATTCGACCGCGAACGACCTGGGTCCTTGTTAGCTCTCTCTCTCTCTCTCTCTCTCTCTGCCATTGTTGGGATATGGTGGGGACAAGTATACTTCTGGATCTGTAGCTTTCACCGTCTTGTCCTTGGTCTCCCATTGGTAGTCATGCTGTAACTGGAGGGGGCGGGCGATGGAGTATGTTACGGCAGGTTCGGTCTTGGGACGCCGTAGTAGATACTGCACTGAGATAAAAAGGGCTGTCGCAGAAATGAGCGTGAATAAAAGGACAAACCACGAGAGAGGGCTGCCCGAGACGGCGTCCTCGATTTGAGCCGCCTGGCTGCTTGCGAACACCATCCTCACACGCCGTCTAGGAACCTCCGACCAGATGACATGGAAAATGATATCAGGCTGTGGGACGCCACACGCGGCTGAAGTTCCAGCCTCGGACGCCACAGGTCAAGCCAGCCAAGCGTGTCAAGCCACTTCTAGCCACATTGACAGCAAGAAAGTTCCCGGGACGGCCAGCCAAAAGATGATGGGTCAAGGAAGATCTTCCACGAATGACGTCGAATGGTGTGGCCCTGCCTTGATTTTGTCAAACTCTCCTGACGTATGATTGCTATCTGGCATTCCCAAATCGACGAGACCCAATTCTAGCATCTTCTGTGACTGGTCACCCGTCACCGCAAGACCCTGTAGACATGTCTGAATCGAGTTCATTCCACCAGACTAGTGCAACGGGAATTGCTCCATCCATTCCTGTTACGCCACAACTCGTCTTGCTGGCCCGACCACGAGGCAATGTTTTATGGATCGCGACCAATCATGGACGGACAAGGCTTTCCGGCCATGTCAGACTTGGACGCTCTCGTACGTCATAAGTATGGGAGATCGTGAGATCGAAGGATTACCCAGACAACATTGGATGAGCCAATCTACCTCGATACGGGAGTAGCCAACCATGGGGAAGTAAAAGAGTGATGTAGTTTATGATGCACGTTTCCAACCTCGCCCATCATAGGCGGAAGAAAGAGCCAGCCCGTCACCTCCTTCCCACTATTTGGATGACAATGGGGTGACATGGTGACAAGATAAAAAGACCACTGATCTCCTCCATCTTCTCTTCTTGCTTTGTATCCACGAAAACACACCGATTGAAACTCAACCTCAGAACAATACATAATATCTTGACTCACCACCTTAGCACATCATAATCACCAAATCACCATGGGTGCCGTTGTTTCCTGTGTACGTTCTCCTTGACAATTCGATCAAGATCTTTACTGACATGGTTCTAGATACAATCACTCTGCCGCACCGTCGGCAATGTCCTGATGTCCATCGTCAGTGGCATCGGAGCTATCATCACAGCCATTGTCAACGGCATTGTCTCCTTCTTTAACATCATCATCTCGTGCCTCACTTGCGGACGCACTGGACGCTCACGAGGCACTCGATCACACCGCACCACGACTAGGAGTCGTATATGACGTTGAGACACAGACACATGGCAGTTTGAAGCAGACCAGGAGGCATGCGAGGGAGGGGGCCTCGACGATACACACCCACAGATCAACAGCGCTTTTCCTTTTAGTTAGTACGATACCCTCGCCGCCCAGCGCTTTGTATAGTAAACGATGAACGATGTTGAGAACCATAGAATCTTCTGTTATCGATTTATTACTTGCTTTTGTTGATGCATGTTCTTGATAATCCAAATGCAGTTGCTCAGTATTCCGTTTTTTACTGCTGGCATGGCCATGTGTATGCATGTTCCCAAGCAACCCAAAAGTATTACTGTGAAATTGAAATTTTAACCATTACTTGAGATCCCTCAAGTTCCGTATCCCCATAACCGCATAGATATATCAAGCCCGCGAAGTAGCACACACAACACCAGGTGAATGAGTTGTGATGGTCGAAGTGATTCTAGTAAGGATTTAGTCAATAGGTACACTCGTCTAGGTCCTTCAGGAGAAGCTTACGTTGCCCAGATTGTCGTGGTTGTCCATGACGTTGTGTAGACTCGAACAACTCTTGTCCGAGTTGGAGTACTTGCAGTAACGGTCGTTGTTACCTTTGCCTTTCCTGAATATGCCGTAACTGGAGGGGGTGTACTGTTGAATAGATCAGCATTTTGAAACAAGACCAGGAAGCTAGCCTGCTCACATGGTTACTGTTGTTGATGTTGTTTCGCTCACCAGCTCCGTGCTTGTTGGCGCCGTGTATGTCACCATCGACGTAACCACTGTTTCGGTATCTAAGACGGTGGTGGTGCATTGATCTGGACCCGTTAGCCGTCTGAATTCCTGTAACCCGGTGAATGTAGCACTACCGGGCCCTTGAGCTCGCTTAGCCAAGCCACCATCGACTCGACGAGGCGAAATTCCATGGAATCTGCGAGACCCAAAAATGGTTTTGTCGATACGTCGGACACGTGCGAGCGCAGTTTCAATGACCGTGGCAGCTGCAAGGGACGCCTTTGTGGGACGCAGAGTGCAGGTGGGGTCTCTTTTCGGAAGTTGCGGTCGGCACGATGTCGTTACAGTGGTTGTCGTTGCCGTTTTGGAGTATATCTTGTCCGTTCGAGTCCGTGTAGACGTCGTCGTCACAGTGACTGTGACCTGCGTTGGCCGCACTGTGATGGTCCGGGTGGACGTTGTCGATGGGACTGTCACTGTCGCCGGAGTCAAGGTCGTTGTAAAGCCGGTGGTGAATGTCGTTGTTACCGTTGTCGAAGGCGTCTGCGTCACGGAGAAAGTAACAGTAGCAGTATTGGTGACTGTTGCGGGCGGGCCAGCAATGATATCCAAAGACCTCATCCATGCAAATGTCAAACCCTCGATAATCACAATCCAATTTCCTGACCACATGGAAGATTTTCGCAGCTCATCGCCGGGCACATTACTATTGTCGTCGTCATGACCAAGGCTTAAAGTGAATGATGGGATAATTGCATCTTACCAAGTTGAGACAATATTAACTCCATCTGGATTGGTCGCAACATCCGAACAGAAGTATTCGTCGCTATTGGGGGCAATCAAGATTGGGGTCACCGAGTCCTGGATATCTGTAGGCGTACAACCTGCTTCGATATCAGCATAATAGGTGGGAGTGAGCCGTGATCGACATTTGCTCACCTTCAAAGATTGTGCCAAAGGAGAAAAAGTCCGTGTCAGTCGTGTTGATACAGTATGGTCCCCCCTCATGTACGAAGTCATAGCCCCATGACTGACAGTCAGCTGCTACTTTGGCAGCATATACCAACAGAGCGGTAGAAGAATAAGTAAGCCAACGCATGATCAAAACCGTCGAGAGGGATGGCGAACAAAAGGCGTCAAAGCCCGGTGTGTCTCATTATAACTAGACTCCATGTTGTGTTTCCTTGCTTCACCGATCGGAAAAGATCGCTCCAAAGCCGAGTGAGACATTCAAAGCATAGCATGTAAGCCACGCAACCGTGGATAATGTCGACCAGGATGGGAACATTCTTTGTTGTCTCAAATACATAGATTCAGGGGGTTGCATTGAAAACATACCCGTGCAATTCACCCGTGATTCTGGGCATCGCTTGTGGCGCATTTTGTGTAACTGCCGCCCAGTTGCCAATTGTCACTGATTCGAAGCACGCAAGGAGCATATTCAGGGGTCCAGAAAGTCGTGAGGCGGAGTTGGTCCATAGCATGTAAGGAGTGTCCGCAATCACGTGCGAGTATCTCCGCTAGTCCGATATCCCAAACAAACTCCTTGTGAACGGATGAGACACTAAAATTAGCAGCAGTGGTGTATGGAGTTGATGGCAGCATCCGCATAAGCATGGTTCATTTCAACTCACCGCTAGTGGAATCTTGATATGGATCTCAGGCCTACCTGTATAACCAAGACGTCGTAGTTGCTGATGCTTGGCTGTCTGATCTCTCAGCCCCCAACATAATGGGAGTCGCATTGCATGTGGCTTTTCTTCACAAGATAGAAAATCGATTGGAAGGGAAGCAACTTGATGCTTTCTAGGAAATGTTGGTGGATGACTGAGAAAAATGGTCGAAAGGACCCACCAATTACACATGTGTCTGGCAAGCTTTCACAATTTTGCTGACCTATGGATCGAGACTTGTACTTCGAAGCCTGCGATCTGCAAAACAAGAATACTGAAGTCGGTTCGTAGGAAGTACATAGATAGGTACCTTATGCTTGTATAAAGGGCTCTTGAACCAAAGTATGACAATGGCTTCCAGTTCCACATCAAGAGAAGCGCGTACTAGTGACTTGGCGACACGTGATTAAACACCTCATCTTCTGTTCACAACAACAACAATAACCACCACCTCCTCCAGCACCACCACCCATCAAACAACAATGGCGGAAAGTATCATGGTCAACGCCTTCTTCTCCTTACATATGCTTCTCGGCCAATTAACTGGGACTCAATCTATAGGTAGTTCGTTTCGGAATGAGCCATGCGATACGGAGATTGCTAGAAAGATCCTCAACTGGACCGCCCACGATCTCATCCCTTGAATCAAGACCCCGACCCCTGCCTCTGCACAACAATACCGTTCTACCGGTGAGTCAACTGGAATATTCATACCTTCAGGGACAATGTCCACGCATTTGGAAGGGTCCAAGACAAACGTGGCTCGGCGCAACCATGCTGCTTCATCCTAGTCCACAGCCCTCCTCGCAGCGAGTCACAATTAAAAGAGCACGATGCTGTTGATGTCATGCCCAACTCTGTCACTTGCTTGAACATCACTTTTCCTCTTCTTACTTCACTCGTTTGATTTATTGTCCAGTGCTGTCCGAAATCTCTCGCCATGTTCTGTTTACTTGTATTCCTTTTGTTCTTCAATCGACTTCTTGCAGCATTCATTGCTCCAAACGAACACGACCAGATAGTCAACGGGCTAGTTCGGCGGCAGGGAACTCCTTCCTCCTCGTCTTCAGCTACTACAACGCGGAGACCTGACGCACAATGCACCAACGGGCCATTCACTCGCCAATGTTGGGGTGATGGCTTCAGTATCGCCACCAACTATGACAGCACGTGGCCTAGAACTGGCAAAGTTGTCAAGTACCATCTCGAGGTCCAGAATGTCACCATGGCGCTCGATGGGGTCTCTCGAGTCGTCTATGCTGTCAACGGCCAATACCCGGGCCCAACGATTCGGGCTAGCTGGGGTGACACCTTGCAGATCACAGTCAAGAATGGCTTGACAACTAATGGCACCAGCTTCCACTGGCATGGCATCCGTCAGTACTTGACAAATGACATGGATGGCACCAACGGTGTCACTGAATGCCCTCTTGCCCCAGGCAAATCTCGGACATATACTTTCCTGTGCACTCAATTTGGGTCGACGTGGTATCACAGCCATTACTCCGACCAGTACTCTGATGGAGTTGTCGGCACCATGATCATAGATGGGCCTGCCACATCCAACTATGACATTGATCTTGGTGCTTATCCCATCACCGACTGGTACTACCGCCCAGCGTTTGAACTGGCGCCTTTGCTCAAGGCTGGTCTCATACCCCGTGGTGCGACGGGCGACACCTTATTGATAAATGGCACCAATGTCAACATCAATGGCACGTTGGGCAAATATCATCGAAACACCCTAACAAAGGGCAAAAAATATCGTCTTCGTCTCATGAACACATCCACCAATGACAACTTCAAGGTTGGTCTCGACGGTCACAATTTTACTGTCATCAGTGCCGACTTCACACCTATTGTACCATATCAGACCCCTTGGTTATTCATTGGAGTTGGCCAACGCTATGACGTGATCATCAACGCCAATCAAGCTGTCGATAGCTACTGGCTACATGTAGTCCCTCAAACGGGTTGCAGTAGCAATCTGAACAAGAATGCCTTGGCTATCTTCACTTACGAAGGCGCTAACTCCACCAAGCCTCCCACCGCTGCCATGTCCAATGCTCCAGCTAGTAACGACTGCACAGACGCCAACGACAAGATCGTACCATACGTCAAACTCAATGTACCCGACAATTATACCATTCCAGCTCGTTCGCGTCTCGACGTAGGCTTTGCCATCCTCCAGGATGCTGGTGGCCAGACCCTGTTCCAGTGGAATCTGAACTTCACCGCCATTGTCGTCCCGTGGCACAAGCCTACCTTGCAGAGCGTGCTCGAAAGCAATCACACCTTCCCACCCGACATGAACCTTATTGCCTTGCCGGAGGCAAACACCTGGTCGTACTGGGTCATTCAAGCCGTACCAACCATCGCACCACCTGTCGCCCATCCAATCCATCTCCACGGCCACGATTTTTACGTGTTAGGTACAGGAACAGGTATCTACAACAACTCACAGACCCTGCAATACAAAAATCCTCCGCGCCGAGACGTGGCCATGCTACCCGCATCAGGATACCTTGTGCTTGCCTTCATCACCGACAATCCTGGAGCCTGGCTGATGCATTGCCACGTTGCGTGGCATGTGGGCTTGGGTCTCGGAGCACAATTTTTGGAGGAGCCGGACAAGATCACTTCCTTGGGCATCGGCTCTGACTTTGAGAAACAATGCACCGATTGGAACACGTACACGCAAACGGCAATCTTTGGACAGTCTGACTCGGGCTTGTAGTCACGGAATGTATGAAGGAAGGCCCGACTGGCTGCCTTTTCGCGCCAAATGTCATTTCAATGCAATGTATTCATTCACTTGGAATACCTACTGGGGTACGCACAGAACCTAGCATAAATAATCAATCACTTTTCCACTTTGTCAAATTAAACGGTTCTCAAGGGGCAAAGGTTCATGCACTCTTCTTCTGGCATGGTAGTAGAAACCGTGTTGGCACATAACACATCGTTTTGCAAGGGGAGCAAGGCAAATGTAATCGGAGAAAATAGGAAGTACGCGAGGGCAATTCCTCTTCCACTGGGTCAGTCAACCCACAATCATCGGACGGGCTGAAAAGTTCACAAAAGCAGTATCAATAAGATCTGAATTGGTCTAGTTCACTATACATGAATGCGCGTCCCCAATGATTCGACAGCCTTGACCTATCCATTTTATAGAACAGAGAGATTGGGGAAACGCTCCTATAGGGCAGAATGCTTAGTAAAGGGCCTTGAAGCGAGACCGAGAATGGACGGGGTTCTCTTACCAGGTAACCAGGAGGCATCCATTTGCCGTTCTTGACCAATTTGGCAGTGTATTCATCGATTTCGGGTTCGGCTTTGGCAAGCTCGTCAACGGTGGTCTGATCCCAGGGTCGGGCGCCTTCGATGTCGGCCAGGGCCTTCTCCAAGCTCTTCAACTCGACCTCAACCTTGCTCTTGGTCTCCTCTGCGTTCTTGATGGCGACCTGCTCAAAGCTCTCAATGGCCTTGATCTGCTTGCTGACGTCGTAGGTCTTGGGCTGGAATGTCTTGAAGTATTGTTCAATCTCGTCGATGACGGCGGTGTTTTTCAGCACGGATCGGTAGTGGCTAAAGTCGACGGTCGTGGGCTGTTCGGACAGCACTTGTACGCGGCGGCGGGCATCGTCGTTTCGCTTCTTGAAGTTGGCAAGCGCACTCGCTGTGCTGCCACGGAGACCCAGCTGGGTGCCGACCTTGCTCCAGTCGAGCTTCGATACTGCGCGAGACTGCAACCTGTTAGTTGTACACTATGAAAACATCGAGCGTGCAATATGTCATCGAACCCATCAGGTAGCTCGACAGAAGGGCGGAGAAGCTTCAAGACCTACCGGAGCAGCCATTTTGGCAGTGTTGGATCGATAATGGTCGTGAACCGTAAGTGTCGTTGAGCTTTCCTTTGCTCTCTTCACTAGCAGTAGGTGGAAGTCCCTTGCTCGGCGGAATTCAGACTAGCGTCAATATCACGTGATCGGCCCAGGAGTCTGAGTGCGCCAAGCCGCCAGGCATTGTTTCAAGATACTCCCGTTGCCGCTTTTACATTTTTTCACTGAATGGAAGAAGGCCGACTGGTGACCATATACGATAGGTACCTACACATATAGACCTTGAACGTCCATTCTGCGAGACCCTTCCGCGGCAGCTAGATGAGCCCACTAGGCTGAGAAATTTCTCTGATATGTATGCAATGTTTTGTCGAGGTATATTCTCATTTTTGGCTGATCTAGATAGAGCCCAAGTGGTGGTACGGAGCCTAGCTCCTTTTTGAGACATGATCCTTAGACCTGGCCATCTGACCGAAGGCTCAGGGTGGATGCTAAACACACTGTTTCTGTAGTCTGGTGGAGACCCAAATTGCTGTGTGCTGCCGATCATACACTCAATGCCATGATCGAGTTCACTATGTCGTTTCCGTTCTCCTTCAGCGCCTTTACGGCTTTCTTGCGAGATACAGAAGCCTGAGTCATGACCAGGTCGATGTCTTTTGCCTCAAGGCCTTCATCGTCCACCTCTTCATCATCGTCATCGTCCTCCTCGACCTTCTTCTCTTCGACTGCCTTGCCCTTGCCGTGGTCGTGTCCTTCGTGGTCGTGGCCAGAATGATCAGCGTTGGCAGCTTCGGCCGCAGCGAGTTGTTGGGCGGCAGCGGCTTGCGACTGCGAATTCAGATCTTCAATCTTGGCCTCGCCAAAGATGCTGTAAGAATTGGGTCAATTCCAGATTCCTGACTACCTCCAATGTCTGCACTTACATCCATGTGTTGCTGGTTGGGGAGCGGTAGACATCCGGGTTTGAGATGACGAAGAGGATCTGCAACGACTCAGTCAACGATTGTTCGCATGAACCCGGTCCAGCAGTAATGTGTTATTTGCGCGCATGGTGGTAGAGCCAGGTTTTGTCGTGTAGGTCGACTTACTCCTTTTGGTCTTCTCAGAGTGACTCTGGTAATACCAGGGACATGCTTCAAGCCCAGTTTTCCAATAGCCTTTCTTGCCTTCTTCTCATTTCGGCTATGAACAGCCACTGCAGATCCAGCAGGAATATTGGCTTCCCCCTCACCAGCCTCGGGTTCGGAGTCAGATGAGCTAGAGACGTCGTCTGCTGCTGCCTGCTTGGTGGGCTCGTCGTCGGGGAGTTCTTCTATTCTTGAACTCGACATGGTGGAGGTATGATATGGCGTGGAAATGGGAACTACTGCGAAACCTGGTTAGAATTGGAGCAATATAATCGAGTGCTTGACCGGGTTGGGCGCCGGTGAGATGGACTCCTCGTCGATCTCTCATTTGGAGGGTTCAATTGATGACCCAGAACATCAAAGCTTTTGGAAAACTTACTGAATCGATCTGTCTTGCTCGTTGGATGTGTAAACCAATTTTGAAGGTTTCAATGATGAATCGACTGGTCTTGTGCACCTGCCGCTGCTCTACACAATACTCATCGCTTGGCGCCCGAAGATGCAGCTTCGTCCTTTGGCCCCTCTACGAACGCGTGGAGATTGTGTCCCACGTGACTAACTCACGTGATGTGATTATTATCTGGGGATACAAGGCATCATCCCTCTTTTTTAGAAAAAACACACAGTCACTGAGGTGGAGGAATTCCAATGCTGGGGCCACCGTATAATGGAATCAACCAGTCTGCACAACCATGTAAGAGTCATCATTTCCGGCCCGTTACAACTTCATAGAATTACCCTGATGTAGTACCGTCCACTCGGTCGTGCTCGTTCTTTCCAGCCTGCAATTCCATGTATCCCGTGATGGTGAGTCTGCAGCGCCGACCACCAGTTACTGTCACATTCTAGGGGTTCTCTGCAGGCCTACATTACGGTCGAAACTTTGAATAGACAGCGTTCAGGATAAACATATTCCTGCAACTTGGATCCAACCTCTGGCTTTGACAAGTGACAGCATGGAGACGACGCGAGGGCGCTGTGGGAAGTGGGTAAATTCAGAGTTGCATTGCAAGGAGTATGCCAGCAGAAGAATAAATGCGATCCGAACATGGAACGTAAGTGCTTGTGCACATGGAAGGGCCAATTTTTCTGCATATTGGTCGTGAATCAATAAATCTCGGTCGACATGGGGTCTGATCAGTACTCCGGAAAGTAGAGCTCGATGACATCTTTGTTTCGCACCGGGAGTAATTTTTGCACTTGCGGGATTGGCGAGAATTCACCTCATACATAATCAGGTCGACATAGGCGTCGCGCAAAATCACCAACCAAAAGCTTCCAATTGATAACCCATAAGTCTGCAATTTCATGAATTTATTGTATCATGTTTCTGCAAAGGACAGCTCGCTCGAATAGCACGCCGATGTAGTTGCTACCGAAGACCGCGAGAGAAAGTAGTCAGGATGTGGTTGTGACTGTTGATCGGGAGATCATGCTCCTCGGTACAGTGTGACTGCGCACTGCTCCCAAGAAGACACGGTGGGAGAAATTTGACTTGACGCCTGTATCATGCTTGCAGCTATGCCTTTGCCGCAGCTCGCACCTTCGCCTGTGCCTTCAAAACCTCGAATCGCGCCTAAGCGTTACCATGTCAGTCATAATGTCCTGCAAATCGCTCGTCTTGACGTATACTGATTTTGGGGGGGTTGTGGCTCACCTGCTTCTTCAACCTCAGCACCTTGAATCGCTCGAAATCTGTCAGGTTCTTCCGGCGGTCTTGTTGCTGTCGCTTCTTCGCCCAGCTTGACTCGGCCCATTTCTTGTCCACCTCGTGCTTCTCCCAAAGCTTCTTCACCGGACCCGTACCGGCAGCTTTCGGTAGGTTGGGGATGACCCAGGGTGTGAGGGAGACGGTGCTGGTAGGCACAGCCTGTCGGGGTACAACTGCGCCTTCTTTCGATGAAGGACCATCGACCAAGATCTGTCGAATATGTGAGCGAGCGTTCTTCTTCTTGCGGAATGAGAGGGTGAGCGTACTCTGCCAGGGTCGATAATTTCGACAATAGTTGCAAGCTTGCCCTCGAACGGTCCTGATCTCAGGGTCACCACCCTTCCGACCTCCACCAACTTCCAACCGGCCGGCTTAATATCGACGGAAGACATTTTGCCGAATAAACTGCGCACAAGGATCAGTAATTGTGAAAGTAGCTGACCAGAGAAGAGGAGCGTACGAAAAGTGTGTGGGATAAAATTGTCGTTTGTCGCCGTCTGGACAGTCCGAAGTGTTAGCCAGACTCGTTGGATGTCGGGCAACTTGATGTGCGACGCCAAGCCCACAACGCCAAGATGTTGAACTTTGGCCTCGGAATTTTACCTTTTCCGAAAGATTTTTGCCAAGCCCTCAGACTGCAGACACTTACTTTGTCCGCTAGTCTTCTTTCCACGTCTGTTTGTTTTGCATCGCACCAGCAAGATGGCTTTTCACAGGCTTCAAACTTAAATGAGATACTTGTCCAAGACCACGTATTGATCTTTCCGAGGATTTGTTCGATGGCTGCTGTTCTAAGCGTCGATTAAGGAATCGAATGGCTCACATAATGGTTCGACCAGGTGGGCATCCCGAGAAAACACGGGGTTCATGGCTGGGTTTCCTGTGAGGTGACAACCAGGTAAGCAATTCAATCACCCATCAAGCATCCTTCCTACACCAATGATGTGATAATTTGCGATTGAATCTGGTTCTGGAGACCCTCGCCGGGGTCTCTTAACAGCTCCAGAGAAATGATATTCATTTCTTACATATTCTGAACAAGACAATCATCAAACGAGCTGTCAAAAACGTCCTCGGCTAGAATCTTTTGCTGACCGATACAGTACCAGGATCTGCTAAACCTCAACCACAAAGGTAGACCATGAATGTTGCACTATTCAACACGTGATGATTGATCGTAAAGGTATGGCAGCCCAACTCTTGTTTTTTTCCCCAACCGATGATTACACAACCATCTGCCTAGATAGTAAATGATCAATATTGACATGATCGTACCCTTATCACCAAGATCTCTGAGGAATTCCGAAGACCTTCACTGCACAAGCATTATCAACCTTTTGTCATTGCGGGTTGCTAACCTTGTCTACAGGTAAGATGCCAATGTGGCCTCTTCTTGCCCTTCACTACCTGAAGGCCGCAGCCGGTGAGATGCTGGCGATGCCTAGCTTGTATGATGGCCATTGTGTTTGCCTTTCGAAGTTGGCCAAGACCCTGGCAGGGTTGTATGATCTCACGCACCTGCCGGCGACATAAATCTTCATAAGATCATGGCGTGCAATCTAGACCCGAAGCATGTGACTGGATGTTAATCCAAGAAGGATGGACGATGGCTGCCGGATCCCAAAAGAAACGTTATCCGTGAGAATATAGACAGCTACATGCCTCGTCTAGGGATTCTAGGAGCTCAGGGCTCGAGCTTCCAATGGGTCAGAGACCAAGTGTAGACTCGATAGTGCTGTGGCACTTCGGAAATATAAACAGCCGTGTTGGCTCGGGAAACTGATACCACGACGAGATACAATCCTTGTCTTCTTTAATAAAGCGAACATTAGCAGACGATCCTCTGATCTCGACATGGTGCCCGGTCCCTGAGCTTACTGCATGTACTTAGATCAAGAGCCTTGCGAACCTGCAAGGGTGCACACGTGACAACGCTAGGCGGGACTTTTATATTTGTGAGACGAACATGAGACTCGACCACCCCTTGCAAGTCGGGACTAATGGCGCAGGTTGTGGAGATCATTGACAACATAAGACTATGTACTGTAGGAAAACATTGCTTGACGGACTTGTGTCATTGGCAGGTCGATGTGCTGCTTCTCAGATTGGCGTAACATGCTGAGTATGACGACGGGCGCTGCTGCGCAACCAAGCGTCAGTCTTGTCAGACAGATCTATGTCGAAAATAGTGGTGGTACAAAAGGCAGGATGAACTGGTAGACATTCGTTTGGAAGCAAGTGAGTGGGCAGCGGCTGAGTGGGTCTTCCCCAGCCTTCGATTCGAAAGCTGCCTAACTTTTTACAAACGCGTGAAGTCGATACCCTCGTCCTCCGTTAGAACCCAGTCACGATCTGTGATCTCCAGATGACAAGAGCACGCAAGATTACGAGTTCCCTGCGGGGCAGTGTCATTTCATTACAACATCCTGGGTGAAGAAGATTCTAATGGAGTAGAATGGAAGAGGCTGACATGGATCTTGAAACTGAACCGACAGTTTGCGTCCCAAGTCTCATCGACCGTGGGAATGTTCACATCACACCAAGGACATGACTTCCGGTTTGCATACTTGTCCTACGATCATGGCGTGCCCCTCAATTCGTCTTCTCCACGGCACTCTTCCACTTCTGGCAGCAATTACCCATGTGGAATCTGCGCCCGGAACACAAGCGACAAGTTGCAGGCAGAACGGCTGAAGGCGAACGTCCTGGCCCTTAAAACACTACATAAAACTCCTCCCAAGCGGGGGTAGACACGGCATCTGGTTCAGATCGCACACTCCCCGTTGCAATGGCGTCGTCTTTGCAATGACCTCTACCGACATGAAAGAAGCCACGGTTTGTGTTGGAAGGGCTGCGTTGCCTTGTTGGATACCACAGAAGAGTTAAGTGCCTTGATGTGGCAGCACCTTCCTTCATTTGCCCTCCTCCCCGATTTGCCCTCCTCCCCGCCCTTCCTTCCGCGCTTGCCTGCTGCTTCCCTTGCTCCTTCCATGCTTCTCACGAGATAGGACTTCGTCCTTTCCTTGCCCACGCTGCGCGTGTTTCGCTCATCTTTGCGTTCTCTTTATCTTTTATTCCTGACGACGTTACGTTTCCTCCACGGCAAATCCGACTACCTGCAAGTTTTCATGACCTTCCCGGATTGGTGCAACCACCCATTTCATCTTGCCTCACATCTGCCTTGGGCCTCGACAACTACTGGCCCTCTGACTCCCATCATCTTTTTCTGACTGCGCATTGACTGCTGCACAAGGCAAAAAATCACTAGAGCAAGCACGTGCTTGTCCGACTTGACCACTCATTTCACAAACCCTTCTCCCTTTTCTTTTGCTTTCTTCATCCTATCGAGGAACCACCCTTCCTCTCTCATTCCAAATCACCCTTCGTTGACGTCGCAAAGAACCTTTCACCCGCTGGCCCGGATGGATCCCCCTTTTACTCACAGTCGAGGAGCTCGACCTCGGGCTGTTGATAACGGCGACCAAAGCGTTCAACTTCAAAGCTTTGCATACGCTCAAGGCTACGATATGGCTCTCAGATACAACACTGATGGACTTGGCATGACCTATGTGGGCATAGTAGTGGCGTGGACCTGTCTGCTGCTTCCTGCTACCATCCTCCTCATCAGGAATCGTCATCTTCCCTACCTTCGGATGCGAAACATTCCTCTCTGTGTCAGCGCTGTGGCTACTCTACATGTATACTGGGTTCTCTGCATGATTGCCTACCTTCTCAATGGCTATTTCCCATGTCCAGCTGAGTATTGGATCATGAGCATCTATCTTCCATTGGGTATAGCTCTTTTCCAGGCAACAAATTGCCAGCTGCTTTCTATCGCTGCGGCTCAAAGCAAGTATGCGCAAGGAGATGTCGTCGTCCATGCAACGGCACCTTTGGGCCATCGAATGCCTACTTGGCGAAAGTGGTGGGCTCGACTCAAGGCAGCCAATGCGACAAGAAACACAATGACATGGATAGGAATAGGCATGTTGGTCCAAGTCAGTCATTCACCATCGTCATTATACGTCACTAACATGTCAAGGTGGTCGTTTCTCTGGTCGTGTTCTTGGTGTCTAAGAAGTTCCACCCCTCGTTCGGCGTCCCAGGCACAGAGCTTCGCCTTGACGATGCCGTTTCCGGTGGCGATGAGGCGGCACGGCTAGCTTGCCGACGGGGATGGGAATGGTATGAATACCCCTTTTTCATGTCTCAAGTGCCTGACGTGTTTTCAGGTGGCCATCAATCGTCTGGCAGCTATTTTGGTCGTGGATATATGCCCCTGTCCTTCTCTGGAGGGTTCGCCGTGTTGACGATGTTCATGGATGGCGAGCACAAACTATGGTTTGCATCATTTCTGGGTGAGACGCCATCACTGCGTGTCGCCATACCACTCTGACAGCAAACAGGTTGCCTGCATCACCCATGTGGCTCATTGCATTGTATGTTCCTGGCATGAATGGCGTCAACAAGTTCTTCGGTCCGCCACTCTGGTGAGCTTGATGGTCCGTATTTGGATCAAACACAATTCTGACAAGCTGCAGGTTTTCTGCTTCGATCGTGCTAATGCAGTCGTGTGTCATCTTTGTTCCCTTCTTCCAGATTTTCAGACACCGCCGATTGGAAGCAGAAACTCGTGAAATCATCGCTCAGTGGGAGCAGAGGCAGAAGCTGGAAGGATCTATACTCTCAGCTTCTCAAAAAACAAGTACTCAGTCCCGATTCTCCACCAAAAGCGCCGCAAGTACAGCAAGCGGTCGTCACGGTGAAATGTACACCATGAGTACATTAGAGAGGACTCTTCAACTCAACCCCAAGCCCCTTCTAATGTTTTCTGCCCTACGAGATTTCTCGGGGGAGAACATCAGCTTCCTAGTTCATGTCCGGAAGTGGAAAGCCAACTGGAACTCAAATCCATCGAAGAATAAGAGTCGCAAACACGAGTTGACCGAGTCGCATGATCAGACTTTGCTCCGGCAGCAGTTCAAGCAAGCTGTCGGAATCTACGCCTCGTTTGTCAGTCTCAAGTACTCCGACTTTCCTATCAATATATCTTCAGCCCAATTGAGGGATCTTGAAGGCACTTTTGAACAATATGCAGCACTCGTCTGTGCTGAGCCAGCCTCCAACGCAGCAACTCCTTTCGAAATGTTCTGGTCTTCAACAATTTCAGAGGATCCCGAGAGCCAGACTGGGAAGGATCAGTTGTCAATCGTATCTACAGTCGTTGGCGATGGTGTAAAAGACGACATTACGCCTATTGTAGATCCCGTACGCCAACTTCAAGAACTCAACATGACCAACTTTGGCGAGAGGCTGCCTTCTAATATTGCTATCCCGGACTCCTTCGGCCCTAATGTATTTGACAGAGCCGAACTCAGTATCAAGGAGCTTGTGCTGACCAACACCTGGGCAAAGTTCGTCAAAGAAGGTTTTGCACAACAGCAGAACGAGGGATTTCGAGCACAGTTTGAAGCATCACTGCGCGCATGCTACTCGATGCTCCCAAAGCTAAGCTTGCGTCGCCGAGCCGCTCCCACCGACAATCCCTTGGTCAAACCCTCCGCTGGAAACTAGGAAAACCGTGCAACAGAGAGTGATGCCAGCAGTGGCCGAAAAGGAGGAATAACTTCACGCATCTGAATTAAAGCTCGGTTTACGGATTGCTCGGACGTGAACGTGGCCTGCAATGTCGATGCTTGATACCTGGCAAGATGTTGTCCGGAGTGACACCTCGACCATTTGCGTTTGCGTGCCTGGGTAAACCGTGGACTAAAGCACACCGAGGAGTATTATCATGCTGTACACATATCGTTGTTGACGCCCTTGAAGGTCGCTGTCGGTGATTTCAGAAATATCAGTGTGCTTTATACGTGTGGCTGTCTTCGTTGGGGGGATAGTCAGAGCGAAGGTTGCAAGATTTGAATTTATATTCTTTTCAGCACCGCCTCGGGGCCCAATCTTCTTCTCATCCTGTTTGCTTATCTACAGATTCCGTACCCAGCTCAAAACTAAACCGAGCAAAGGGTTACTTGCTGGATGGTCAAATGGCACTGTGGTCTGGAAACACGAGATTCTTTATTTTTTTTGCTTCTTTTTGCGAGTCTACTATTGCGCTCCAATCACGTGAGAGGCAGGGAGGAATGAACCATCTAAACACAATCCTGGGTAGTTGAAGCCAGCCAAAGGATTACAAACACTGACTGCTAACACGCAGAGATACGCGAGGGTTCGCAGTGCTATATGCTCCCCTTGACCAGCTTTGAACCTGATTTTCGATCCACGACGTTTTTCTTCGCTGTTCACTTTTCTCGAGGGGTCGGAGCTATCGTTGCACGTTCCAGAAACATGTATGTGCGGATGCAACTCGTAAAGTCATGGCCGTTCTATTCAGCATTCGAGCGATTGGTTTACAACTTGTCTGTTCATCATACTTGTTAGCACTGCGCGATGAGAAGAGGGGGCGGGGTGGGCAAAGACGCATACCATAATAGTTCTCGTATCCTGGCACTTGAGGCTTGATGCCCTTTCTGGTACGCATCTTCTCGACGGCTTGACCGGGGAGGGTGGTTGCGTTAAGAGGGGAACCGCCGGGCAGGAGCTGCCAGTGGTCGAACACCATCTGGGGGAAGGCCTGGCCACCGGTGGCGGCGCGGAGATCTGCGTTGAAGCCGAATGACTCGGAGACAGGGAGGTAGGCACGGACGGTGAACAGAGGGGTACCAATGCGCTGCTCCTCGGAGAAGACGTGGCCTCTTCTGCGGGTGAGGACACCGTAGATACCTCCCATGGCTTGCTCGGGAACTTGAATTTCGACCAAGAAGACAGGCTCCTGGAGACCAGGGTCTGCCAAAAGGGTAGCGGCATAGAGCACTCGTCGAGCAGTTGGGATAATCTGACCACCGCCACGATGGATGGCATCGGCGTGGAGGGTGACATCCATGACGTTGAATCGGATTGATCGCATGGGCTCTTCGGCAATAGGTCCTTCACGTGTGGCCCACTGGAAGCCAGAGACAAACGAGTCCTTGATTTCGTTGAGGTATTGGACGGCCTTGGTTTGATCGACGAGCAAGTTGGGGCCGGTGGTGTCAGGACCGAAGCCCCAGATCTTTCGAGCATCGGTCACATCCCAGCCGTGTTCATCAGCAAGAATACGCGCACGAAGCTTGAAGTCGTCGCGAGGGTTGATTTTGCCAGCCTCAATCTCCTTGGAGACCTCCTCGGAAAGGGGCTCAGCAATGACGTAGAGACGATTGTGCTTGTTAGGAGACTTGGATAGAGCGGTCATGCTGGATTGGGCGTTGACGGTTTCTCTGTATGGGACAACAGGGTCACCGATCTTGAGAGGAACACCAGCGTGGTCTTCTTCCAAATCCTTCAAGCAAATCTCCAGATGCAACTCACCGGCACCGGCGACGACGTGCTCACCGGACTCGGAGATGAAGGTCAAGACACAGGGGTCCGACTTGGACAATCGCTTGAGACCTTCGACAAGCTTGGGCAGGTCATTGGCGTTCTTGACCTCGACGGAACGCTGGACGACAGGAGAGACGGAGAACTTCATGACCTTGAGGTTGTGAGCGGTCTCGGAAGTGGTGAGAGTACCGGACTTGAGCAAGAACTGATCAATACCAACAAGGCCGATGATGTTGCCAGCGGGCATGTCATCAATGGGCTCAACAGTACGACCCATCATGAGGACGGTTCTCTGGATGGCCTTAATGAAGAGATCATCTTTCTTGCCAGGAACATAGTTGGGGCCCTGGATGCGCACTTTCAAGCCGGAGCGAACGGTACCGGCAAAGACACGACCAAAGGCGTAGAAACGACCCTTGTCCGATGTCGGCACCATCTTTGAGACGTAGAGCATGAGATCAGCCTTGGGGTCGCAGTCCCGGATGGCAATGCAGGCAGCATCGTCAGAAGGACCTTCGTACAAAGTCTCAGCACGGTACTTCTGTGCAGTAACTGGGGATGGCAGGTGGATAACCATCATCTCCAAAAGGGCATCGGCCGCGGGCAAAAATTTGCGCATGGCGACCTTGAGGAGACCCTTTCCGGGGAGTTCCTTCTCCTCGGCAGTGATCTTGATGTCGAGTTTGCCGGCGAGGGTGATAAGGTCATCGACTTTGCCCTTGATGAAGGCATCGAAGATCTTGAAGATGGGATCAAGAATGAACTGGTTGAAGGCACGCTCAAGAGTCTTTCCTTCAAAATCAGCGGTCTTGGTCCACTTCTTGGTCTTTGGGTTGAAAAAGTTGTCTCCCCACAGACGTTCCATCATCTTGGACTTGTCGACACCGAACTTCTTGGCGTATCTGATGGCAAATTGTCTGATGGTGAAGGCCCAGCCGTGGAGACCAGAGCCGAAAGCAACGGTGCCCTTCTCGGGCCAGACTTGGACATCACCAAGAGCCTTATCGAAGTAGGTCGAGATGATGACATTGACTGATTCGATGGTTCGGAGGAATGACTGATACAGATCTTCCTTCTCGACTTGAAGTTCGAGCAGAGCACGATCGACCTTGTTGATGATGACGACAGGTTTGATACGCTCACCCAAGGCTTGTCGGAGGACGGTCTCAGTCTGGACACAGACACCTTCAATGGTGTCGACGACGACCAAGGCACCATCGGTAACTCGCAGGGCAGCGGTGACTTCGGAGGAGAAGTCGACGTGGCCGGGAGAGTCAATCAAGTTGATCAAGAATTCGTTACCCTCGACTTTCTGTGAGAGCGTTAGCGCAGGAGGAGATATGTATGGGTCGAGGAGCCTACCTGGGGGATATCTTTGAGATCATCTGGGTCTGGAAGGTGGGCATACAGGGAGATGGCAGTGGACTTGATAGTGATGCCTCGCTCTTGTTCGTCCTTTCGTGTATCGGTGAATCGGCTATTGATTTGTCAACTGCGGTTGCCTCAATGAGGGGCAGAGGAAAGACGTACGCTTCACCAGCTTTGGCGGCGGAGATGATACCAGCACGCTGGACGAGGGAATCGGTCAAGGTTGATTTACCGTGGTCGACTGGGAATGAGATTAGCTTGGGATCGAGCTTGATTGTGAAGACAACGAGGAATTCCACCTACCATGGGCAATGACGGACATGTTTCGAATGTTGGCGGGACGATCCATCAACGCCCGGATCTCGTCGACCTGAAGACATGATTAGCTTTTGCTTGGTACGGCAGCGAGCAATGACATACTGTGAAATTGACCATGTTTGCGGTGGTGGTTGAGGGATTGGCCTGGGAGTGGCTGGAGGGGCTCTCTGCGAGCGGTGTGTGGGAGAATGAAGCAGTATCGAGGGCTTTCTCGATCTGCTAAAAAAAAAGAGACGCCTGGAGGGAGAAGCGCCGATGAGGTGAGGGTAGGGGTACAAGGACCGGGATGAAGGGGGATTTTAAAAGGTTCAAGATCGCAAGAACCGATCACAGATGAGACTCGAAAAGGTGAGGTCTCAGTGGGATTGCAGATATTTCTCTCGCACTGGTAACCAAGTAGTGGGAGGGGCTTAGTGCACCAGGACGACGGCTTGGCACTGGACTTGTGAGAGACAATTGACTTTCCAAGGTTGCTGCCCGAGAGAGATGAAGGTGAGTGGTGGGTTGTTGGGTGGTTTGGGTGCTATGATGGAAGTAATTGGTAGGTGCTGGTGAGGGGTGGGGACCTATAAGTGGAGACTAGGAGGGAGCATTGGTACGGATACAGTACTTGTACAGTCGTAACATTGTAAATAGGTGGCGATATTGGCATTCTGTAAACTTGTTGGGTATCATTGGTATGTCCAGTACATGTTCCACGTGAACCCGCTTAAGTTTAGTGACTTTCTAAATGCCCACGACTGACTCACAAGCCAACCCCGCTATGTGCCCACCCGCCACCAACCGGAGATAACGATTGGGGATATTTTCACCATTATTATTGTTACAGTACTCCGTACTGTTGTCCAAGGTCATACATATCTCCAATGTGGCGTGTTGATCACCACACTCCCTCTACCCTGGCGTGCCTGACATATTCACCACCAGCATTGTTGTCATCATTGCTGATAGGACTAACGACTGGTCTCAATCTCTGCTTACCTGTGACTCATGTGTCAACTTTCAACAACGCAAATGACTGGTATAGAGCCATCTTAAATATATATCAACCAATCATTTCCATAATGCAGTTATTGGAATGCTCCAGACTATAATTGCCATTGTCTGATCTTGACTATGACCATGGATTACTAATAAGATAGACACATTGTGAAACAACAAGAATCATACAACAACGCCGCCATCGCCATCGCTATGCAGACATTTCATCAGCTAGCTCCAAGGATACGAGCATATGCATCCTCCACCTCCTTGGCCACCTCTAGCAAGGCTACAATCCCAATCGAGTGTGTTGCTTCCGGCAACTTGTCTCGATGTAATCCTATCCATTCCAACGGTGGTGTTGCCTCGCCCATGTCGCGCAGCTGAGGCGTGTCAATCACGGGAGGCGTCAAGGCAACGTAGGTAAATTTCGACTGTGGCACATTCACCACCGCCGTGATCTTTTCCTGGCCCCCGTTCTCTCCCCCTTGCGACTCTGTCGTGATCTTGACAGCGGATGGTGGCAGTGGCTTGCCGAGTCGTTGTGCTAGTGCCCGAGAGTGCGATTGCCACATCCCACGAATGAAGTTGATGCGTGAAAAATTCCATCCAACGTCCACCTTGCCCTCGAATGTGCTGCGGAAGTTGTGTTCAATCACGTTCGAGTCCGGCGATTGCCACGTCTCCATGGAAGACACCAGCCGAGGCACCTTGACAATTGTACCCCCTCGAGACGTCGTTGCTCGTTCAATGACATCAGGTACGGACACTTCACTCAAAGCCTTGGTCGTTATACGATTGACGTTAGATAGAGCCACTCTAACCTGTCCTAGGCTCATACCTAGCCGCGTGTGAATCTTCTGAGAATGTGTCACCACGGCAAACCGCGCTTGTACTTCGGTGGCCTCAACCTTGAGGATTTGATTGTCGAAGAAAGTGTTGGGGAATGCCCCCACATCGAGCACTCTGATCATCACCACCACGTCTGTGTGCAGAGAAAATGTTCCTTTAGATGTTGCTTTATCAACCTTTGCTGTCTGCCGAGATGGTGCCACCCAATTGCTCGAGGGAAACACGGATTTGCGACGCAAGAACTTGTCCAGGTCATGTAGCGACGTCTCGTAGGCCTCTTGCTTTTCCTGGATCAACCTCTCAAAGGCCTGCACAAGCGCAAGGGTTTGCCCCGCCGCCGCAGTTGTGCAAAACGCCTGAACTTTGCCCCCGTCCAGAATTGCAACCAGCCGGTCGTTGCCTGTCGGATTGTTGCACCTGACATTGTACATGAGAAACTCAAATGACGAAATGTCGGCAATCGCAAAAGGTTGGTAGTCAAACGCCGCCTTGACGCGCAGGTGATCAAAAGCAATAGATGCTTGGATCAACGGGGCACGCTTGTTTGGCTCCCCGTCTGCAGGCCATCTTATGGACGTTCGTGCCTTCATATTTTCAAGCTCAACGAACCCGCTCATTCTGCCACTGCTGTCAATGCCAACTCTTTCGAAGCCAATACAGAGATTCTGCTCCGAATCGTTGTTTTTCTTCGACGACGCCCAGAGTTTAGAGATGGTGAAAGCCGACGTTCCCAGGCCTTGTCCCAGATCCACCTGAAGTTTGATTTCTTGCATGGATATAATCGCATGCCACGGTAGAGAGCCCTGAGCAGAAAGCTCCTGGTAACGCTGCATTGCATATGCGTGTTGGTCTTGAGTTGTGGCTAACGGAGCTGCGCTTTTCGTGGTACGACGAAGCTCTGCGGGGTACCAGATCTCTCGGAACAAGAGAAAGTCTTGCAACTGTTTGGCATTGATGTCTGTTCTCATTGGGCTGACATTGAGGATAGCACAGATGCCTGTGGTAGAACTGACATGTTTACTGTTCATCAATGAGAGGACAATCGTCTCAACCTCGAAGCTTGCCGTTGACTCGCGTGAGTATACGTGCTGAACAGATGCTTGGAGCTTGTTGAATGTAGTCAAGATGGCGAAGAACCGCTCTTGATCAGGGCCTGACACAGTATTGACCGTCACAAATATGTCTGCGAACCTCGTAGTTGCAGCCACGCGAGCTATGGGCTGACAGCTCAAGCTGAATTCCTGTCGTTGGATGTATAGACCCGCATTCAACTTGCACCTACCAAGAATCGCCGTTGGCGTACTGTTGGTTATTGCCGAGTCCGTAAGATAAGTGCTCGACGGCATCTGAGGTAGCGATGCATTGTCATTGTCCTCGTCATCACCCAGTATCTCTCTGATGCTCGACGATATCTCCAAGATGATGGGCACCACAGTAGGATATAATGTATTCGACGAAGCCGCAACCTTGACCTCTGTGCTGAGCGATGGATCCTCCCGGCCATCATCTTCGTACTCAATTTTCAAAGCGACGCCAGGCGATTGAAGGACCGCTGAGGCTACCCCGTCGCCCTGCACTGCTTGTCCATATCGACCAGCTCGTGAGCGCTTTTTACCCTTGAAGAACCCGAACACGGATGTCTGCTGTTGTGCTTCAAGGCGAGGGCTGATATTGACCACTGCCCCAGCGAAATCCGCATCCACCAAGAGCGAAGCCAGACGCTTCCCACTCAGAAAGTCATTACGTTCAGGCTTGGTGCACAAAGTTTCTCGCTGCGAGGTTGCAGCCATATCAACTGAAGCGGCTTTTCGTAGCTCTGCACTCGCTTTGGCAATTGATTTTTGGAGAGCATGAGCGGGAATCACGCTGTCGGAAGCAAGGCGTAGATCCAAAGCCTTGCCCTTGGCTTGAAAGGCAAATCGACGATCTTTCTTCGTCGAAAGATACGCAGAGCCAAACACCACTTCGGGTAGAAGGGCTGAATTCGCGGTTCTTTGTGTAGGTTGGTCTGATTGAGACTGGGGCACAATTTGTAGCTGAGTGTCCAAGATTGAAAGTCTAGCGGTGCCTTCCTGTCTCGTCTGAAGGTCAACTTTGCGGACCGAAAAGACCAAGTCCTCTGGCTCTCGTGTCGGTGATAGGACCGTGTGCTTCGTCAAGTTCCATCGAATTATGATGTTTTCGAGATCGAGCGCGTAAGTTGCGTGGTAGAGCGTTGACGACGTAGAATCATTCGTCGAAACTCTTTCAAGGATATCCTCACGAAGGTCTCTCGGCTTTAAACGATCCGTGATACCCGCAGTGGTCATTCTTCGCAACCTGGTGATGTTGTTCGATTCATCTGCAAGCTTGATAGATTTGATACGATCTTGGACGTATACAATGACGTCGACTGCGGCAGCGGATGTCTCTTCAAACAGTTCTGCAGAGATACTATCACTCCAGACCCGGAACACTTGTACATTCCCAGTCTTGGAATGCGTCTCTGTCTTGCTGGAGGCTTTGAGGCCCACCACACACTTTCCCACATTGATTTTGTTATGTTCGCTGGTTCGATAAGCGCTCAGACCGATGCCTTTGGAATCTAGTGTGAATTGTGGTTGCTCAAAGATTGACTCTGCTTCGAGCGCCTCGTTATGTATGAAGAGTGTAGTGCTCTCAAGCCTGGCCTCTAGTTCTGTCGGCGCTGAATATTCCCCTTGGGCACGAGGGGCACTCATGTGTATGTTCACTCCGGCAAGTGTTCCATGCAGAGAATATCGAAGCAAAAGGCTAGGCTGGCTCTGAGCTGGACTACTCGTGTTGGACCTAGGTCCTAGAGCATCTTCTATTCCAGACTGTAGGCGCTCAATCGCGGACTTCGCATCTGGCAAGAGTTGTATTACTCCTGGTTGATTAAGAGCATCGAAGCATGCCCGAACTCCAGCAGTCTCAAGATTTATATGCTCGATCGTAACTCGTGCCTTGAGGGAAACAACCTTGGCCATTTGCTGCAAAGAAACCATTCCGTTGATTGGCGGCATATTTAGAATGGACAGGCTGTTTTTAGAGATCCCGCGGGGCACTTCGAATGAATGCTCATGCTGCTTGATGTCAAAGTTAATTTTGAGCCCCCCTTCTGGTCCTGGAAGGACGGAAGTTCGCGCGACGTGGCCTGCTATCGAATACTGCAAGGACGGGACAACCGTAAATCTCAACCGATAATCGTCCATAAACATTGCAACGTGAAGATCCAGATCAAGGTTGGGCCTCTCCTGTTCTGTTTGATCAATCTGTGTTCTTGTGACATTGCTCTTGCTTGGAAGTCGTTTGACAAGCGCGAGAACGCTCTTGAGTTCATCATTGACCACAGCATCGACGACTTCTAACAACCCAACGAGGTGTTCCCTCATTTCAAAACGGAACCTGTTCGACGCAGCGCACAATCTCACAATTGTTCTTCCAGGGGTTGCAGGTGGAGGAGAAACTGAGCCGTACATCTTCGGTGAACGAAGCCCCCACATAAGCAAAGTCCGTGAATGGCTTTTGACTTTGGCAAGCGCTGTGTTGGCTGTCACCGTGAAAGACGCTATGTTCGGCCCAGAATCTCCTGCATCGAAGGATGTGGCACTTCGGTAGTTTTCTGCGGCCCATCTCAGTTTGAGATTCGCAGATGAGAGATCAATAGATGCAGTATCAGTGCCCACAACGACGGTGAAACTTCTTCTCGTCCTCCTTGCAAGAGTTTCCTTGGCCTTGTCGACGGCCTCTGACTTCGTGCTCGAAAGTGGGTTTCCAAGCTCTATGACTTGGCGTGCAAGATCGATGAGAGCCCAGTTCAAGTGAAGAGCTGTGTCGGCCAAATATGCCTGAATTTTGACATTCTGGGTCGGTTCGGGTACTAAATTGCCGTTGCCGCCGTTTGCAGGATTTAATGCGACATTCAGGTCTAGTCCCAGGAGAGCCAGATCGCTCTGTCGTGGGCCAGGATCCAGGACAACACTCAACTTCCCAATTATAACTTCTGCAGAGGCTGCAAGTCGCATCATACGCGCGTGAGGCGCGGGTTCCGCGAGATCTTCAAGAAATGCATTCACAATTGGCACTTTGTCTCTTGCAAAATCCCAGCCTCGCCATTGTTCAAAAAGAGACAGAATATCTCTTTTCGCCTGGCCTTCCAGATCCATGGTGCTGCAATTACACTCTCCAAGGTGCTCAGGCCCGTGTTCCCTTTCCAGCACACTGAAAATATGACGCAAACGAGATATGATCTTCCATGAATCCGTGAGTCGAACATGCTTGTCAGCGCTGCGCAGCACGTACGATGGCCTCGTAAGGAATATGGGATCAGGGACGGAAGATCCAGCCTGCGTGAGATGGTAGATGACATGTTTGGGCTTGAAGCTATGATCAAGGTCCGAAAAAGTATCTGTGATTTTTTCCGCCATGGTAAGACTCCTTTGTATGAGCCCTGCCATGTTCGCTAATCGTTCCGCCCAGAGGACGACGTCTAGGTTGCTGAGTTGGAGTTTCGATCGTATTTCTTCCCTCATCCAGAACCAAAAGCCGATATTGGCCAAGGACATCTCTGCTTGGGCAGATGGCTTGGAAGCGTCATCGTGATCGCCTTTGGCAGTCAGAGATACGGCCTCGATTGATCCATAGGCAAGTCGATGCGGCTCCAGTCCGTCCTTTTGCAATCCCTCAATTTTTAATCGCTGAGAGCGAAGCATAATCTGGGCTCCAGACAGCTTCATATCATACAAGTCACCAGGAGAAGGAGGTCCAAGATCGTCCCTTGTGCTGTTGATGAGGCGGATATGAGCAAAGGGCAACTGTACCGCAAGATCTGTTATTTGACCGAGGCCCTCATGCCGAAAGGCGTCCAGAAGCTTCTTCATTACACTCATCTGAATCTTGTCAAGCTGGTCAACAGGTTGATCATGATTCAGTTCACGAATCAGATCTCCTACTGACGTGAATAGTTCGGGAGTGCAGAATCCCACCAGGCCATCTTTTATCAAGCAAAGAACCCCGCTATGGGGATTGTTGTCAATTTCAGGAATGTGTGGGTCATTTACATCGCTTTTCTGAAGTTGTAACCTGGCTGGATTGCGGGAGCTTGAGTCAAATGCAGTCGGCACTCTTGAGGCGTCTGGTTGAACGTTGTGAAGTGTGAAGTGGGGCGCAGTCCATGGGCTCGAGAATGCTACCGTCTTGGGCTGTGCCACATGAGTCTGGAAAGCGCCATGACTGTGATCCGTATGACCACTTTCGCCGAGCTTCTCAGAAGGCTCCCTGGAGCCCGATGCAACAGAGAGGTTAGTTCGTGCTGAGCGGCTTCTCGTTCTAGCATTTGGCTGGCCGAGGCTGGCAGAATGCTGGTTCAGTAGACTGGAACTTTCCCCGTGTAATGATGACTTTGATGCAAGAAACGAACTTTTCCGTTTGGCTACATGACGACCTTGCAGAAGTGATCTCCCCTGTGTGAGCTCGCTGTATGATACGGAGACCGGTTCTGGCATCATAGGCGCTGGCATTGCTGGTGGTTCGCGTGCCCAATCACGCGGCTTATGATCTGGTGGATACCGATTCTGGGTCTCCAACAACCACTGGGCACGATGGGTTCGCTGGTCGTGATATCGAACATGTTGCTGTTGTAATGCCCGAGTCTCTGAGAGGTTAGATGTTTTGTCTAATGAGCCTATTGTCAGAGAGGTCTCGAGCCGTGCAAATGTTCTGACAGAACTTGAAGGCCTGCTGTGGTTTCGGGTTGCGCTAATGCGATCGACTGCTGCGACGAGGATTTGGGGCACATGCGCCCTCAATGTCTTTGCGAAATCTGTGCCTGTCAAGTCGCCAAAAGAGAGGTCACTCTCTGATAGCTCTAAAAGAAACGCCGTTCCTGAGGTTGTGAGCCAAAGACGTAGTGCAGCCATGTTCACCCTAAGGAAGGTTACATCATGGAGTGTTGACTTTTGAAACTCGGGCAACGCATTCTCGTCGTCATCGAGAGTGTAGGCGAATGCCCCAATAGAATTGATGAGGGTTTGAAGAAATAGAGTAGAACACTCTCCTGTGATTTCTCCGACATCGATATCCCAATTACACACATATGTTGGTTCTGTGGGAGGAGCGCCAAACATGCGATGGCCAAATATCCCTGCACTGTTGACGAAAAGTTGGCAATTGGTGATTTGCGGTGGCTGTGTTTTCAACGTGCCAGATAGGGTTTGCACGGATGCCTCTAGAGGGCTCGAATTCACCTGTAAATCCATATAATAATTAGTGAAACGCATGTCGGCTTCTACCAGCAACACATCAACACGGATGCATTCTCGCCGCGTGTAGATATTTGCAGGCAGAAGCACGTTGGACTTGTCTGCACGGACAGTCAGAATGACATCAAGATCGTTCTCCTTCTTCAACCCTTGACGTGCCAACTGATCATCATGTCCGAGGAGTAGATCTTGGTATTCTTCCAGAGTTCTGAAATGCAGATTGTCACCGAAATAGTTCTCTTTGGCATTCATGAAGTAGCGGATAAGGTAGCCATGCAAAAAGAACTCAGGGGAATAGCCAGTGATTGTCATGAAAAGAGAATCGGTTAGATGCGGGCTGACATTGATGTAGTAATTGTAAGAGCCTTCTAATGAGAGCTCTTTCAAGGTCGCCATCGTTTTGTTATCGGCCAAGGTATTGAGAGTATTCCACAATGGTGTCATCAAATCCAGATATGCATTGTGACCACTGGCTGAGAATTTGACGCTGCTCTGACGAGGCGCAAAATGATACAAGGGTATGTCAACATTCCCGATCAGCTGTTCAAAGCCAAGAATCAAGAAAGCATTCTCATCAGTATCGCAGGGGTTGTCAATGATGTTGTAGTCGTTGGCATTCAGATACAGTTTCAAATTCGGGAAGGTGAGATTGATCTTGTAAACAAACGGTACGAATGTCATGTAGTCAGGTTTTTGCCCGGCGGTAAAGTCGCTGATCAAATCTGTCAACAAGAACATGTGGTCTCTGAGGAGGAACATCTCCATACTCATGTTTTCGATGTCAAAAATCCAGGTATGTGGGCTGTTCCATACAAGCGGATTTGAAAGATCGCAGGACACCTTTTGGGAGATGCACCTCCAGAGTAGAGCATGGTTGACACTTGAGGATGCTTTTGTGTCCTTCAGGTCAAGACGCAAAAGATTGACATACCCTTGACTTCTGGGTACAAGGTCCATGTCGTAACTGACTGTGGAGTCCTTTCCGGCAGAGACAGTCAACCAGCCGAATGGTCTGACATCGGGCCCAAGTGTAGCTTTTGCAGCTTTGCGGAAGCGAAAGTGCTTCTTCTCACGTTGTTTTCGACCAGCAGCGGCCTCTCTGACAGCATGTGCTCTTCCTCTCCACAGCCAATCTTTAGATCGTTCTTTGGTGGGAACCCGGAGGCTAACTTCATCTTCCAGATCGACCCGAATGTTCATCACCGTACTTTGACGTGGCTGTCCAACTGAGGGTGGTGCGGCAGGCGTGACAGAACGGAACGGATTCGGCAGAAAAACATTTTGAATCTCTAAACGAAGTCTGTCGGCCCAAGGGCCATAGTTAACGACCCCTCCCTTGACTGTGAGATCCAGACCATAAGCTGGAGGTATATAGCCGTGGGCATCTACATCACCTGCAGAAGAATCTTGTTGGAGACAATCTGCGGTGACCTCACCGGGTGTATCCCAATAAAAATTTAAGTGAACTGCGGGGCTGTCGAGGATCTGTGAATAGCGAGCATAGTCAACATGAGACCAGCCCTCATGGTCGTCTCTCTCATCTTCGTCCAGATAGCGCCCGAGGCCGTGCCAGGACTGATTTTCGTCCTGAAAACCTTCATACATAAAAGGTGCCCTCGGCTTCCTCTCCGGTGATCCCGATGTTCGAAGAGAGCCACGCGAACTTCGCACTCCAGGAACAAGGTGCTTGAGGCTATGACCAACACGACGAAGACGGAGGCCAAGCCCAATGTCAATATACCACCATGGTCGTCTTCGACGCCTTAGTGATTCGGCAGCTGAAATGGCTTTCTCTGCAGCAGAGGCCTGAGAGCTTCGGTAGTCAGGATTTGGCCGCATCTCAACCCGCGGACGCTCGATATCAAAGTCAAAAACTTGGCGGAATATGTCGGAGGGACCTGCGGCGCCAGCATCTATGTGGCCTGAAGCAGACTCAAAGGTTGTGACGACGAGAGCCCTTGTATTCTCGTTGCCTAGTGTGACAGCGCCTTTTGCGCATTGAAGGGAAATAGGCAATGCCCTTAGAATCATGGAGTAAAAACCGGGAACCGAGGTTGATTGGGGGTCATCAGTGCCCGAATCTATAGAAGTGTTTGTTTCGAGGCGCGAGATAGGCACTGGAAGCTCCCCTGGACCTAGCTGCTGGGGGTCGGAGGCGGAGGAAGTAGTAGGGGTGACCGTATCATTAGACTGTGGACGTGTGGTGGCAGTTCGATGCCGTATCTTGTGGTGAATCGAATGGGTACATTGCTCATCTTGATATTCTTTTGTATTTGAACCAGACGCTAGGTTGAGAATCGATTCATAGACTGGAGTACGATTGTAGACAAACCATTCCAAACCCCCGACGTATATTGCGATGCGTGCTTCCGCAGACTGGGATTGTGACCTGGATGGTTTCCCAAGTTCCTCGTCGGATGAACTTGTCTCGGTACCCTCTGGGCCATCTGTATCTTTGGATGATTTTTCTGTTCTCGGGTATTGATTGCAGGTTTGAGGCGTGGCAAGGTCAACCTGGCGGGCGGAGCGCTGCCAGTAGCGCCAGGTAACGTAGCCGTTCTGAATGAGGACGGTTTCATTCTCGGCATGATAGCGAACACCCTTGAAAAAAATCCTCCCGGCCAGGAGAGAGATCTGTAGGGCTTGAATGTCGATCCATACTCGATACTTGTGCCAGGTGTATGCTCTTAGGCCGTACGAGACCAAAGTTGCAAACACACGATTGAAATAGAAGAGAAAGAAGAGTGTCAAGCAGGAGCATGTCACTATTTCGACGAACCAGGTCCTAAGAATCTAGTCAGCGACAAGGAAATCAGGTAACGCATATCAAAGAGGCGGTATACCAATTGAAGGTGGTGTTGCCGGAGATGGGCTGTCCAACGAGGTCGCTCCCGTTGGGCATGGTCGCAATGGGGATGAGCGACGTGGAGATGTGTCACTCATATTGGTGTACTATGAGGATGCGAAGCCATCAGCATAGACGTACGGCAGTATATGTCGTGAGAGAACTGGCTATAGGGACAGCATGCGTGGGCATCTGAAGACTGGACGAGGAAGATGTCGTCTGCGGTTGTCTGCGGTTGACGTGGAACGCCACACTCACCAAGGCAGGCGCGGTCTGCAGATGTGGTTGCAGCTTGTCCGCGCCTTCCCCGCAAAACTTCAGGAGCGCAGGCATCACACGTGCCGTTGTATATTTACACCTCGACAAAGCATCTAATGTCTGATGCCTGTCGATCTGATCCTCCATTTGATCATCAAACGTGGTGCTCTTTGAAAAGACTCTAGGTGGCCAACCTGCTCGCACTCTCGCACTCTTGCACTCTCTGGCTCTCGAGCCTCCTTGTTTTCCATCTTCCGCTTGGGATCCTCCTTCGACATGACGCACTCCAACGGTCCATAGCTAATCGCCTTCGTGGACCTGTGCTTGAATCCCTACCATCATGTTCGTTACAATGAGTGGTGGTACGGGCACCAGGCTCACCGCCGTGACTATCATCTTGACCGGAGTGGCCTCCCTGGTTGCTACTTTACTGTCCTTCCTGTATGCCAGCTCTTGCCGTCCCTTGTTCATGTCAATCTAGGCCGCTTCCTCTGACTTGCTACAGATCCATTTGGCTGCAGTCCAAGAACTACAGAAAACCACTTCTTCAGCGATATGTCATTCGCATTCTTCTCATGGTCCCTATCTACGCCGCATCATCGTGGGCTTCCATCGTCTCCCTCAAAGCTGCCTTCTACCTTGACCCGTTACGCGATATCTATGAAGCCTTCACCATCTACACCTTCCTGCAACTCCTGGTCAACTTCCTCGGCGGAGAACGATCCCTCATTGTCATGATGCACGGGCGGCCACCAGTTTCCCACCCTTGGCCCTTGAACCTCTATCTTTCAAAGGTTGACATCTCCGACCCTCATACCTTTCTCGCCATAAAACGTGGCATTCTTCAATATGCCTACCTCAAACCCATTCTCAGTATTGCCACAATAATCCTCAAGCTGACCGACACTTATCAAGAGGGTTACATCGGCCTCACCTCAGGCTACCTTTGGGTGGGCATTCTCTACAATGCCAGCGTCTCGCTCAGCCTATATTCTCTCGCCATGTTCTGGGTCTGCATGCACCAAGACCTCAAGCCTTTCCGCCCTATGCCCAAATTTTTGTGCATCAAGCTCATTATTTTTGCCTCATACTGGCAAGGCTTCTTCCTATCTATTTTGCAATTCCTCGGCGCCATTCCAAGCAACGTTCCGGGCTACTCCGCTGACAACTTGGCTGCTGCTATTCAAGACGCTCTCATATGTTTCGAAATGCCTATATTTGCCGTCTCGCACTGGTACGCATTTTCGTGGCATGATTATGCTGATGACACCATTTCTGCGGCGAGGATGCCCGTCAAGTATGCGATCCGAGATGCTTTTGGCATACGAGACTTGATTGAAGATACCAAGGAGACATTCCGAGGAAAGCAGTATGACTACAGAAGCTTCGACTCGGGCGACAATGTAATCGCCCACGAAGAGTCTGACTCGCGTGTAGCCCGTATGATGGCTGGCATGCGTTACGAAAGGGGTGGGAAGGGCAAATACTGGATTCAGAAGCCTGGTCAACCCAGCAGCCGTACTCCGCTACTTTCTGGCAACCGGACGTCGAGAGCACCCGCACCAGAAGCCAGAGGTCGAGCTGGCGACTACCGCGCTGCCGACCCTGATTGGGAGATCGCTATCGATGCCGAAGATGAGAGCCTGTACAACAATGCTAGAGCTTTGGAATTTGGCGACTGGAACGTGAGTGCATTCAACTATTTCTATAGTTATCCACTAATCTTGTTGTAACGCAGTATCCCGTCATCACCGCCCACCAGGCGCGTCGAGAAGATTGGCTTTACCGTTCGCCTGGTCTTCTGACCACCTCGACAAATCGTAATTTATTCCAACCAACCAAAGACAATAAGGCTCGGCGTCGGAATGAGATCCGGCAGAGTATCAACAAAGGCAAAACTCGCAGCTCCTCTGCTTCTGGCGAATCATCTGACAACCATAGCGGAGGAGCTGTTGAGTCCAAGTTAAGGCGCGATCGTTCTACTGCCTCCCACAAGTCAGATCAAAGCCAGCTGGTTGATCTGGTGGTCGAAGACACAGAGGCTGAGGAAGCTGAGCTGGTTCGAGCGAGAAAAGAAGGCGGGGATGTGTGGAACAACAGCCAGCAGAAGCACTTTGTAAGGACGTACAGCATTGACGAAGAAGCACCAGAAGGACAAGAGATACGGGAGGGGTTTGATCCAAGCAAAGTGGCGGCAAAACATCCACCGCCAGAACATGCTGTAAGCGACGAGGAGGACGAAGACGAGGAGAACGTTGGAGGTGGCGCCGGTTCAGGCAAGCAGCCTACAGGACGTTACGGAAGTCTAATCGAGGAAGAGAACGTTTGGAACCGGTAGTGAAAGCATTGTTGGTGGGCGTCTGGACTAAACCTTGGCAACGATTATGGAGCGTTTGAGCGAATACCCTGGCGCGTGAACTTCTCTTGGGCTCAAGAATGGAAGAAACTTGGATTTCAAAACATTCTGTTGCGTGCAAACATGATCATGTGTTGAGGAATGTCATCCAAGATAGGCATTCCAACCCCTGTTGGTGCCGTGTCCGGGCTTTGTTTATGGAAAGTCATTGTTGGGGCGGGTCACCATAGCTACAGCTGGCATTTGTCTTCTTTTGTTTCAACTTGGAAGAGGAAACGCTGGATCTGTCTTCGACTCCTCTCAAGTTGAGTTTTCCTGCTTCCTGCTTCACCAGCAATGGGCAAGGAAATTATTGTGTGATGTGTCGCGGTCTCCTTTGCGCTTCTTAAGGTCTGGACTCGGCGGTCATAATGATATCTGCCTATTGGACTTTCTTCTTCTCGTCTTCCTTGTTTCTTGTGTTAGAGGCGCTTCTAGTGCAAGATCTGCCCGCGTGCGCGGTAAGTCGACCAATTTCGGTCTCCTTTTCTGGGCTACAGGAGTCGAACGCTGACTAAAGAAACAGCAACAATGCTTGGGCAATTCCACAAGCGCTCAGCTGACCTGTCCAGTGATTGACATCAAGTGCCTGTGTTCCACAAGCGCATATGTGAGCGCCGTCTCATGCTGTTTGTATCAGCATTGCGACTCGGATGAACAAGCCCGTTAGTTGCCCAAAGTGCGGTTGTAAATCTGTGGACTGACCATCATCTCAGTTGCGATTCAGTTCAATCAGCAGGAGTGCGAGGCAGTCAACGAGACCGCCCCTAACTTTGTAGGATGCTCGCCAGCAGGTCTCTCCAGTGCGCTCTCAAGCGCAAGCGCTGAACAGGCCGCGACCCGCGGCTCGGGCTCGTTGGCGCCATTCAACCCAGCCACCTCTTCGGCATCGATTTCTGGCGTGTTGACAATTACCGGGGATGTGGTGAAGGACAATGCACCTACGCAGACCGGCAGGCGAACGACGGCCAACTTTGAAGGCCGGCCTTTGATGACTGGGAGCTGTGTTGTCCCCTACTTCGCCATTGCCACCAACCCGGGAGGAGCAGTGATTGAGTATCCAGCGGTTGGATGCTCAGACGGTAGAAAAGATTGCTGCCCCTTCGACCCTGCCGAGGATGCAGTCCTCACGAGATGCCCGCAAGATCACTTTACCACTGCAGGTGGATGCTGTCCAATGTGAGCCTCCGAGCCTCCCATTGACTGACAAGTGAAGATGTTAACAGCGAACAGAGGTTACCAAGTATGGTACACAGCCGTTGGTGCACAGACTCCATGCTATTCTGACCTGGTTACCAAATATCTCCCTGTGTCTTCGCCATCAATTCCCGATCTCAGCTTAATTACAGACCACGTCTTTGCTCAAAGGTACGACCTAGCGCTACCTAGAGCGAAAGATGAAGGACTCTCGACAGGGGCCATAGTCGGAATTGCCGTGGGTTCAACAGTGGGAGCCATATTGGTGGCGGGTTTACTCCTTTGCTACTGGAGGAGGAGATCGTCCAAAACCAAAGCAGCCAAAGTGCAATCGACGACCTTCCCACCCAACGAGCCGGCCCTACACCAAATCTCACGCGTGCCCACGACCCACGAGTTGGACAGTCCCGCCACAGCACCACGGTCAGCTGGGGTTGCTTCGTCCAATTGGCCGATCTCGATACCGACTTCGCCTCCTGCATACGAAGGGGGAAAATCACGACCGCTGTCAAACAAATCGCCGATACCTCAAGAACTACCCGGTAGCACATTCATCCACGAGCATCATCCGGCATTTACAGCCACGGGAGAAGTAGAAATGTCAGGCGATGCGGCACCATCGACGCCTCCGAAAACTCCAACACAGAGCGCAATTGATAGTGAGAGGAGATCACCTCCGCTTTCTGCCCTCGGTGCGTCTACACCTCGTACAGGAGCTCAAAGCCCTGGATTCATTTCGCCTCTCTCGTCACCCAAGTTTCCTCAGCATCGGTGATAGTTTAGACTAGTTCTGAGGCGTAATCATTTGTCACAATGAGACGTGTTGTCCAATGTTGTTGTTTTGGGCCGAAAAGAGGGATTAGGAATGCTGTGGGTTCACTCTCTTATTGCATACATTTAGTACCAAGCACAACGCAGCTTTCCTATATGTACAAGTAGTGCTTATAGTAACCACCATCAGACAAGGCTGATGGAAGGGGCTTCAACAGGAATATCACGTGACCAAAATTTTCAGGAGGCAAAAATTGTCATAAAGCAGGCGCAGCTCCAACCCGGATCTTTCCACTTATGTCACCTTATGTCACGTGCTTGCGCCTGCTTGCGCCCACCTGACTCGGGCAATCGTAATTCCGCAATCACCGTGTGTGGCGACTTGGAAATGGTCCCGTCCCGCGACCGGCGAGCCAGACAGAGTAAAGTACTAGGTACCTATTATTCGTAGGCGGTAGACGACAGAACTGTAGAACTGCAGACTGCGCTAGTTGCCTTGCCCCATCCACCCGTGGTTCGACATCCATCTCATTCCATTTCACCTCGTCAGTCTCTTGATCACCTTCCGCATCCAAGAGCCATTGGTTGCCTGTGGCAAGGCTGTCTTCTTCACTTCCATTTCTTTTCTTGCTTTATCAATTTTGATTTCATCTCCTTCTACGTTTTGATAGTCTCTCAATTTTGACCAGCGGCCCTTGCCGCCACCTCCAGCCAAGATGGCTGCGCTATCCCAGCTCCCGGTAAGTCTCACAAGCCCGGTACCCCAGGAAATGGTTACTGACCTGGCGCATTAGAGCCTGTCTGTCGACATATGGACCACATTGCCATCCATCACTGGATCTCCGTTGGCCATCCTTCGACGCCACCGCCTCGCTCGCCGGCAGCCTGTTACAGACGTTCTGACCGAAACGACAACCCCTCGTACAGCACAACAGCATCAGGCACCCGTGAGTCGTCCTCATATTCCTCTTGGTGTTTCTATTCTAACAGTTGCCAGGGATCTTTAGCAACGGTTTTGCCAGATTTCCTGTCCTCCGCCCCCGTCGAACGTCTTGGACCGACGTCTTTGATGACTGTCCCGTCGAATTTCCCAATCCTGTCCTTTCGGTCTCTCCAGTCTAGCGGTTTTCGATCTCAGAGCCCCCTTGTCGCACTCAGGCGAGGCTTCTCAACCAACGCCACTCCAAAGCCGCAAGTTGCCTCGTCCCTACCGCCCAAGACTGATAACGCAATGTTGTCTCGTCGATCGACCATGACATCCCTCCTGTTTGGTTCTTCGCGGAGGACTAGCTTCGCTATAAGTGGGCAACGACGCGGGTTCTCGAATACTTTCCAGCCGGCCAATCATAATATGCTTGCTCATGCAGAACGGACCGCCAACAACAATCCCACAAGTCCAACAGCCCAAAGCGCTTTCTACTCGGCCTTACTACGAGCCAATATGCCCAAAATTGTGATTGAACGTTATCAGACCGGACGCTATGCCAGCAATCCTGCTGTCGATGCAGCTTACCTCAAGGCTCTACAGATGACAGGCTCCGTCCCTGGTCCTGGAGAGACATACTCTGGAGCTTCCCAAGAACTGAGCCAGGAAAAGCTCAAAGCCGTGGGACAAGCCGTCGCTGGCCAGAACTTCGGTGGTCAAATCGTGAGGCCTGGAGCCAAACCAGGTACCGGTGCAAAGGAGGCACCATTGTATGTGGTGGTGGAGGAATCCTGGGGTGCCGTAATCCTGAAGTGGGCCAAGACCCTCCTCACGTTTGGACTGACCGGCTACTTCCTCCTTGTCGCTCTGACCATGGCCGTTGAGTTCACCGGCAACTTTCGCACACGAGTCGGTCAGAATAATGAAGTACAGCCACAGCACCAGACCGTCCGATTCAGTGATGTCCACGGTTGTGACGACGCCAAAGATGAGCTACAAGAACTGGTCGAATTCCTCACCAACCCCGAAAAATTCAACCAACTTGGGGGAAAGCTGCCCAAAGGAGTTCTTCTGGTGGGGCCCCCAGGGACGGGAAAGACCATGCTCGCACGAGCCGTTGCCGGTGAAGCAGGGGTTCCTGTGTTCTACATGTCGGGATCCGAATTCGACGAGCTCTACGTTGGTGTAGGGGCCAAACGGGTGAGAGATCTCTTCGCTCAAGCTCGCAACAAAGCACCAGCCATCATATTCATCGACGAATTGGATGCGGTGGGTGGAAAGCGAAACGCACGAGACCCAGCCTACGCCAAGCAGACTTTGAATCAGTTGCTGACAGAACTCGATGGCTTCAGCCCGAGCACTGGCGTCATCCTCATTGCTGCTACCAACTACCCCGAGTCGCTCGACCAGGCCTTGACCAGACCTGGGCGTTTCGACCGGCACGTCAATGTCGGGCTCCCGGACGTCCGCGGCCGCGTCGAGATCCTTAAACACCACATGAAGAATGTTCCTATTGCTGCAGACGTGGATGCCACCAATCTTGCAAGAGCCACAAGCGGGATGTCTGGGGCCGATCTTGCCAACCTTGTCAATCAGGCAGCTGTGCACGCCTCTCGGCTCAAGTACAAGAAGGTCAATGCCCAGAATTTTGAGTGGGCCAAAGATAAGATCATGATGGGATCTGAGCACAAATCCCGTATGATCCGCGAGAAGGACAAGGTTATGACGGCCTATCACGAAGCCGGACATGCGTTGGTCAACCTCTTCACTCCGTCCAGTGACCAATTATACAAGATGACGATTGTTCCTCGTGGCCATGCTTTGGGGGTAACACACTTTCTCCCAGAAATGGACGCCGTGAGTATGAGCTACGACCAATTTCTTGCACACATCGACGTCGCCATGGGAGGAAGAGCGGCCGAAGAGCTGGTCTACGGCCCTGAAAAGGTGACCAGCGGCATTCAGTCCGATGTTTCAAGTGCAACCCGCACAGCATATCACCTCGTCACGCAGTGTGGTTATTCTCCTAAGCTCGGCAATGTCGACCTCCATTCGGGCTATGACCGATTATCGAGCGAGACGAAGCAGGAGATTGAACGCGAAGTGCGAGATATCGTTGAGGCGGCTCGCCTTCGAGCTGAAAAGATTGTCAAGGAGAAGCGAAAGGAGCTTGAGGCACTCAAGGATGCCTTGATGGAATTTGAGACTCTTGACGCCGAACAAATCCATAAGATATTGCGCGGGGAGAAGTTGAAGCGATTGGAGGTGGAGCTCAGAGAGAGCGAGGAGAAGGAGAGCACCGAGGGCGGTGGCCGTGGGAATAATCCACAGCCGCCTAAGAAGGAAAAGGAGACAGGACCCAAAGGGGGCGTTGGAATCAAATTGCCGGATGTCTTGCTTCCGCCGGGGACTCGGCCGACAACGAGCGGAGAGAGCGCACGAGTTGTCGAGAGATGACATTGTGCATGTTACCCTTCTCCTTAGCAACTGTGATATGTTAGCGAGCAAAAGACGATGTTCGTTGGGAAACATTACTCTTTGCATAGTCATTGCTCCTCTCTACGGGGCCATTTTGCATTCCTGTGTTATGTGATGTCTCTCATGGTGATAAAAAGGAGTGGTTCATGTTAGGTAACTACTTACCTACCTAGGTATTGTTAAAATGTACTTGGTGGTTGGAAGTTGGAAATGAGAAGCGTTTGTAGAGTTACACTTCGCTGTAGTTTTCTTATCGCGATTGATGAGTGAGTGGCGTGGCAGGCGTGACTACATTCCAATTCCAAGGCGCAGCTTCGATGTCATTCTCACTTTGTACATCATGTGTGACATTTTGTTTCATACCACTTCAAGATGCTGTAACAGGACCTAGGCTGGGGCTCTTTCCTATCGACCTGATGGCCTGACTCGTCTCATAATCTATTGCCAATTCGAACATCCTTCTAAGCATCCAGCGATGACACTCCCATTGCCCGGCAGCCCTTCGTGGTCGTGGCCCGTCTTTCGTGAGAGACTCAAACATGCGTTCAGCGGTGCAGATCCCCGGGTCTGTGTGGCATTCTGGCTGTTTGGTAAGTACTTCCGCCCTGGGATGGTCTCTTCGGCGGCTTGCTTCAATACACCTACGGCAGACTCACACAAGAACCGATTGATAGGCCTCATCAACAATGTCCTCTATGTCATTATCCTTTCCGCGGCGCAAGACCTGGTGGGACAAGATGTGCCCAAGGGCCTCGTTCTACTTGCCGATGTTATTCCCTCATTCTTAACCAAACTCTCCGCTCCCTACTTCATCCATGCGATCCCCTATCCTGTTCGCATCCTCGCCTTTGTCACTTTGTCCGCGGCTGGAATGCTTCTCATAGCACTCACCCCGGGCAGCACAGATGCCAAAAATATCTCCATCAAGATGGCGGGGGTTGTGTTGGCGTCCCTCAGCAGTGGAGGAGGAGAGTTGACATTTGTTGGCATGGTCCACTACTACGGACCTTTTTCGCTAGCAGCCTGGGGCAGTGGCACTGGTGGCGCTGGTCTGATCGGTGCTGGTGCGTATGCTTTGGCGAGAATTACTCTCGGGCTCAGTGTCAGGACCACATTGTTAGTTTCAGCATGTCTTCCTGCGGTTATGCTGGCGAGCTTCTATCTGGTCCTCCCCTTGGGACCCCTGAAAAGTCACTCGCATGAGAGTCATTCTCAGAGGGCACATCGGGGCGATAGAGAAGAAGCAGACATGCAAGAGTCCAACGATGAGGAAGATCACGATGATCTCGAAGATTCTCAACAAGCCGGCCTCCTATCGAACCCTCGTCTCAGCCAGGGCAATTCCAAACCTACTTTTTTATCTCAATCTCCGACCGACGGTGCGTCAAGTGCATGGTTGCAATTCCAGCACAATCTCTACCGTGCTCGAGGGCTTTTTTTCCCTTTCATGCTTCCGCTCCTACTGGTCTACATTGCCGAATATACAATCAACCAAGGGGTGGCTCCAACGCTACTGTTTCCGCTCGCAGAAAGCCCATTCTCCAAGTATCGCTCATTCTATCCTGCTTACGGCGCCATCTATCAAGCGGGAGTCTTTGTTTCGCGTTCATCTACCCCTTTCCTCCGAGTTCACAATCTCTATTTCCCCTCGTTACTCCAGGTCCTCAATCTGGTGATCCTTACGGTCCATGCCCTTTTCGATCTGATACCCTCGGTGTATATTGTTTTCATTATCATCTTTTGGGAAGGACTGCTAGGAGGGCTGGTGTATGTGAACACGTTTGCGGAAATCAGTGATACTGTGAACAAAAGGGACCGCGAATTCTCGTTGTCGGCGACGACAGTCAGCGATTCTGCAGGGATCTGCATCGCGGGATTTATCAGTATGGCGGTGGAAGTTTGGTTGTGCAATTGGCAGGTGCACCATGGGAGGGAGTTCTGTCGGTTAGTGGAGGTTTGAGGCCAGCAGGCTAGGACCTTCTTATGGGCCTTCTCTACTATTTGACCCGTCATTCCAAGGCAAATGAATTACTTAGAGACTTCCGTTCGCAAGATTAAAACTCCCTCTCTCGATACCTACTTTACCTAGTCAAGCGCCACAGGCCTTAGAGAAGGATGTGGACGGTTCAGGCATTTGCTCACGTGACCAGTATGGATGGGAAGCGTTTCAAGCACTGCAAGTACTAAGCACCTAGGCTAAACAGTAGCATCATGATGACTCATGGGGATTCTCCCAAACCTACCCCGTACCTTCATGTCTACAATGCAGCTAACTTCTCAGACAGTTTAGTGAGCTGACAGTTACCTGATCAGTGATAACTAGCATTGGGAAAAACCACCTCCGTATAGAAACGGTACCAGAGAGGTAAGATGAAGTCCTCGAATAGGCCAGCGGCGGAGGTTGTCAGGCGTTAATAAGTTGAGCAAATGGTCGTCCAATGATTATGGAAGGCTACCTTGTTTAGGTTTCCAGCTATCGTCAGTTTAGTGAGTGCGAGGCTTCCAGGGTTACTTCAACCGTTCCGAGGCCGAAAGCCCTGTAGGCCCTGTGGCCCTGTGGCCCTGTGGTGCCTGCAGCTTGTCCAACAACCCATGCTTGCAGGCGGCTGCCCGGCATGTCTGTATTCATCCGAGCTGGAAGCAGGGTTCCTGTTAAGGCCACACACAGCACAGAGCTCCAGGCCCGAGGGTCGGCATCGGCCATTCACCAACGCCCACTGCCCAGAGCCAACTAGCCTAGCTTACTTTGTAGGTACCAAGGGACAAACAAGCCTCTGAGTACGCAGATAGTGGGTGAGTGGCCCTCGAGGACAGACCACAAACGCCATGCATGTCAACTCGAAGGCGCGTGCCGGGGCCCAGGGCCCCAACCTGAATCTGAATCTGAACCTGAACCTGGAAAACACCAACTTGCAACTCTGAAGCAAGAATTCCAGATCAACCTTGAACTGCGTCTCCCGCAATCAAGACTCTAGTCTTCAACACAAGCGCCACCGTCATCTTCGTCTACTCTCCGTTTCATCCTTATTCTCCTCATTTGTCTCTCGTGTTTGTGAGGCGCGCTGCCCAACCTTTACTTACCGACCTTGACCGTTGCCGGACACCATTATCCCACATCAAACAAGGTTCACAGATATTTCTGAAGCACAACTTGACTTGTTCTGGTTTGCTTAGTGTCACCACTTATCATTATCTCGGACATTGTCAGAAGCCCCGTGACCACGACGTGGCTGCGTGGGCTCTTACCGCTGGCTGCTGGCTGCTGGCTTCTGACTGCTCCTACAGACCTTTTTATCTCTCGTTAGTCAGGCTCCTACAATCCCAGGTGCCCAAGCACCGTGGCACTCAAGCTACTCCAACACCAACACCAATACGTCTTGACGAACTCGGTTAGGGACGTCCAGGCGACCTTTACTAACCTTGCTCTGGTAGGAGATCCACTCTCGACTGGCCGCCTCCACATCATTTTCGGCTTCTGCGATTCATCCACATCCATTACCATATCCACAATCAAGTGTCCACATCCACATCCACATCATCTGCATGACCGTGGTCCGCCTCCCTGTTGATCATCCCGCATTCCACCATCCGCTCTTTCACGCTTTTTCCCATCACTCATCATCATTACTACTACAGCCAAAAGCACTACTGTCAACAACCATCGCCATCAGTCCACACCTCTGCGACAATGGCCATGCAAGGCCACTCGCCTTTTAATGGGCCTTCTAGCCCTCAGCGCACTTACAACGGTACCTGACCTCTTTTCCGTTCCCTCCTCTCTCTCTCTCTCTCTCCATCTTCTTCGTTCATTTTCTTCACACCGTTGTCGCGCACAAATAATCATTTTCTAATCTCCTTGTCAGGTTACCCCGATTCTCAACATCAACCTCAGATGTATTCCCAACACTCGAGAAACATGTTACCGCCCTCCCCCCAACATTACCCTCCACAGCGCTTTTCACAACCTCCTCTCCCGGCGCCTCCCTCCTCTACCGCTCCTCAGAATCCCCCGGTTTCCTATCACAAAAGACCTGGTAGTAGCATGTCGATATCGTCCATGCTAGGAGTCGCAGAACCTGATCGGGCCCCTCCTGATCAACAGCAAATACCTACCTCGAGAGAACCCTCCAGACAATCCTCGAGCTCCGGCCCACCTTTACTGCTCGGCGCCGCAATGTCACCGCCTCCTGCCTATGCCTCAAAACACGCCTCGAATAATGACCACATGTACAATCAAAGGTCCAATACTCCCGATCGTATGGACACTACCTCTCCGACCGGTACCAGACCTCATCGCTCAAGTTCCGGCAACACGGTTCAACGAGCTGCCTCATTTTACGATCCTCATCCTCGTTCTACACCAAACTCGGGAGTCATGGGCGGTCTCCCTGGACCGAGATATCCATCCCCGTTTGCTCCCGCTCATCACTCCAGAGACGATTACGGAGATCGCAACAGGCGAACAAGCATAAGTGGGATATTGCAGCGCCCAGAGAGTCAACCTCAACTAGCGACTAGCAATCCACCTTTCCATTCGGGCCCCAGTCCACATCCTCGTCCAGAAAGCATCCCCTCACTCTTGCATTCGGACAGACCTGGTCCTGAACCTCCACGACAAACTCCGCACGCTGGGACTTACGACACTCGACCCCCAGGTCTGCCAGCACTGTCACGTCTCCCTGTAAATACTCCTTCACAACAGAGCTACCAATCCCCATACGACCGACCAGTCCTGCAGTCGCTATCACCCGAAATCCGCCGTTCTCACCTCAATGGCACCGAGTCTCGCGGCCTTGCTCCTATTCTAAACCAGCAAAACGACGGCGCTCACTCTTTTCAACAAATGGCCCGGCAAGATTCAATGCAGTCTCAAAGCGACAGATCACTCGCTGGTGATCGTTCACGCGCCCCAAATCGTCCATATTCGCCATTTGCAGGGTCTGTTGTATCTCATAATAATCAGGCAATGGGGGAAGTAATGAGAAAGGGAAGCGAGGAACTTTCACAACACCGAGCCATTCTCTCTCTAGCTCATGACTCGAAGAGAGGAAGGTACTCACCAGTGCCACAGGCCGTTCAAGGTGCGCAAGCGCAGACACCTGTTCCCGACGCCGGAATCAAGACCGAGCAAGGCCGAGTATTCTCAGGCATCGGCGGCGCTTTGGGCACCGCCAGTCAGCCACAAACGTCAACACCGCAGCCAATGTCCGCCAGCCCATTCAAACAGAATGATTCCAATTCAAAATTGAGCGAAGAGAACCTGGTCAAAATGTCACGCACCGCCTCAGGAGCAAGCAAACGAGCTCGCAAGGCCATGGACGAAGACTCACGCGGAGACGGTGAAAGTACTGCGGCCAAGAAGAATGGCACTTCCAAGACAAAACGAGGAAAATACCAGCATTCATACAAACTTGATCTGGACGAAGCCGCGCAGCCTCAGAAGAAACCCGGATCGTTCACGTCGACGGAAAAGGCATCTCATCCACGCTCGACCGCTGGTACTGGTGCGTCGAATCCTCAACCTCTCGCCAATCTTGCAACTTCGCGCCACGTCTCATCCGCAGAGCCAAAACCATCGTCGCGGAAGATTATCAAGATATCGTCAGTTGTGGCATCAGCAGCGAAAAATCCCCGCCGGCACCTTGGGTTCTTCAAATACAACCCTCAAGTCACGCCCATCGACAGTCCCCGTCCAAGTACCCACAAGTTTGATGTTTCCATCAGGCCGAATCTCATTCCATCTTTTCAACAACCTGAAAATATCAACTGTACCTACACCATTCGTGTATCTCGGATGTGGCTCAAAGAGCGCGAAAGACGCCTGATTGGCGCCGAAAGATATCTGTGGGGCTCAGGGATATATACCGACGATTCAGACCCCATCGCGGCAGCCATGCATTCTGGTTTCATTACCGCCGTGCCTCCCAGTGGAGTTGATGAAGTTCTTCTAGATCAAATCATCCGAGAGCAAAACTCGAAGATTGAGGGAGGTTCAGCGCCCGAGAAACCAGCGCCTGTGCCTGAAAATAAAGATCTCCACATCACTTTAGTGGTGCTCCCGGCCCTGGAGCGATACGCAGAGTCGGCAAGATTTGGAATCAAGTCCAGGAGCTGGCCAGACGAGTCTTGCGGTAGCGAGACAAAGACGCCGCACGATGGAGTGAGCTTCATGGTCCTCAAGACCGAGTTCCTGGAAGACGGGATCGAGTCGCAACGAGTGGGGAGGACTGGGGTGGAGAAGCGAGAAAGACTGAGAAGAGAGCTCCAGGAAAGGCAACGAGGCCTGGAGCTGGAGAAACAAAAATTGTTGGAAGCTGCCGCAAGGGCAACCTTGCGCAAACGTCGCCAAAAGCAAGGGGTAACGGACAAAGACGCCGTGAAAGTAACGTCGACAGAGCTGTTATCATCTCTATCGAAAGCCAACGAAGCAGGTGTCGATGACGTCGGTGACAGTAGTCCAAAACTGGATGTGGGCCAAAGTCCTGGCGAGTGGATTCGGCAGTTGACAGTTGCGGCTGCATAGATGGAATGGACGTGGGTGTGTACACAAGCAACGGCGCCGGGTGCGTGGATAGCGACAAGTCAAGTCAAGAGGATTTATCGACCGGATCGAATGTGCATTGTTGGACAATTTCGTGTTGAAGCTAGACGTAGCTCCACGGGTCGGGTCAGACAAGCAATGTGTATGTGGCCTAACGAATAAGAATAACGTGACCTAGGTTGAGCATCGCCTCTCAAGTACTTGTATAAAAAAATAGCATGTTTTGATTGATTGCAAACGTCCACAGTAATGTATATACAGGGGTCACCAGATACACCCAAGGAGGTCATCCACATCCATGTACCCTCAGCTAAATATGTAGGTCGGGGCCATGACTTTCCAGTAATAATGCGGGCGGATTCGATCTCATCCCTAGTCAATCTGAGATGATGTGTTGTCGTCAGCAAGACCTTGTCCTGCAGCGACGTTAAACACTGTCCCTCCCCGCACCGAAATAACTGTCCAAGGTCCGACTTTCCCACCATGGCCTCATGCTTCCTCCAGGACTCACTTCGACGAGCGACAAGTCAACACCACTGCCTCACTGACCTGGGGCAACGAGTAGGCCCTTTTTGCCGATATCCGGTGCCCATCCACCGGCAAGGGCCTCGCCACCATTGTTCAATCCGTATTCTTTGATCCGAGCCTCGAGCTCGGGCCGGAAATGTCGGATCAGACCTTGAATGGGCCATGCAAAGGCTTCACCGAGAGCTATCGTCGGAGTAGAACACAATGTCAGCTTAAACAGAATTCGAGGAAGACATACGATTCGAGGGGAAGTCGAAGACAACAACATATCTAAAAGATCAAAAAAAAACTTACCACAAATACTGTGACCTTCGACTTGCTTCGTCAGCTCTTGTAGCATGTCGATCTCACGCGCACGAGCTTGACCTTTCTCGAATCGCTCCATCATCTTGGCCGTCCAGGTGCTGCCCTCTCGGCATGGTGTGCATTGGCCACACGACTCGTGCTTATAGAATTGTGACAAGCGAGCAATCATCCGTACGACGTCGGTAGACTTGTCCATGACAATCACGGCCGCCGTGCCCAAACCTGACTGTGAGTCCTTCAGAGCGTCGAAATCCATCAGTTGGTCATCGCAGATCTTTTTCGGGAGAATAGGTGTTGATGAGCCGCCGGGAATGACAGCCAGGAGGTTGTCCCATCCTCCTCGGACACCACCGCAATGTTTCTCGATGAGCTCTCGGAGGGGGATGGACATTTCTTCTTCCACGGTACAGGGGTTGTTGACATGACCGGAGATACAGAAGAGTTTGGTGCCCTGATTTCTCTCACGCCCGAATCCTGCAAACCACTTCGCGCCACGGCGCACAATGGTCGGGCAGACAGCGACGGTTTCGACGTTTGTGACGGTTGAAGGGCAACCGAACAAACCGACAGCAGCAGGGAAGGGGGGCTTCAATCTTGGTTTGCCGGCTTTTCCTTCCAAGGATTCGATCAATGATGTCTCCTCACCACAAACATAAGCTCCCATGCCTCGATGCAGATAGACGTCAAAGTCGTATCCTGAGCCACAAGCATTTTTTCCAATGAGACCATTCTTGTATGCTTCTTGGATGGCGCGTTGGAGAACGGTAGCTTCGTGATAAAACTCGCCGCGGATGTAGATGTATGCAGCTGTAGCGTTCATGGCTCGGCCCACCACGAGACATCCCTCGACAAGCTTATGAGGGTCTTTGCGCATGATCTCTCGATCCTTACATGTCCCAGGTTCACCTTCATCTGCATTCACAACCAGGTACCGAGGTTTCTTATCGTTTTCCCAGCCCTTGAAGTTCATGAATGACTGCGTCAAAACTGTCAGTAAACCGTTCTCAGTTCGGCCAGTTGTGGGGCACAGGGTTGCATACAAATTTCAAACCAGAAGGAAATCCTGCACCTCCTCTTCCTCTCAATCCAGAAGCCTTGATCTCGTTGATCAACCAATCATGACCCTTTTGAACAATCTCCTTCGTCTTGTACCAATCACCATATTTCATGGCCGATTTCAAATCGGTGCCATGGTGGCCATAGAGGTTCTGGAAAATGCGATCTTGGTCTTTCAGACCTCCATAGCGTCTCTGCTGAGGTTGACCTTCCTGGACGGTGGCATATGAGCGATGTTGCAAGGTCGAGGAGCTGGTGGCGGAGAGGGAGGAGAGCGGGATTGAGCTGGACCGAGGAGCTGTTTTGGCCGCAGCTTTGGCGACGGAAGCGGTGGCGCTCGACCGGACGATCATTGTCGTAGAGGACTTATGAGATCGAGAAGGTAGAGCGCACACACTCGAGGCGTGTGGATGTGCTTGTAGGAAGGGAGGGAGGGCGATGGGATGCGGTTGTCGTTTGCGGGTGTCGGATTGAGGAGAATCTATGATGGAGTCGTGGAAAGTGAGATCGTTAATACAGTCTTGTGATTGGCTAGATGTGAAGATAGAACACAATGGGCCAATGGTCTGCCGTACATATAATACTATGGTGGATCATTGGGGCAAACTTACGCAAGAGAGTTTTCCCCATTGAACATTTGAATCAGGTGACCCAGATATTACATTGGTCGCTAAATTGTTGCAATCTACTCTGGCCTAATCTATTCGGGCTTTTGTCTGTGTCAGTATTGTATACAAAGTCTGGCTATTAGCTCTCATTAAGTTCAGACCGGTGGCTACCTAGTAGTCCATCCAGAACATATGTATGGTGACCAGGTCTTTGTTTGGGTTGGCTTCACCACCAGAGATGGTTGATGGGACCAGAACAATCATCTCTTCCATAACATTGTAGCCCCAGCAGATTCGATCCGGAATCAACCATTGTTTGATGTGAGACTCGGTCGGAAGCTGTGGCGATAACGATGCCCTGGCGCCCAAGAGCTTCATCAATGTGCTTGGTGGCTCTTCCCCAGGAGACCACGGGCCAGGTTCCGGCACAAAAGACCACTCACTGTCGAGAGGGTATCGCTCCGAAAGTGTTTTTAGCCATGTGCTTAATCGGTGAGGAAGTTTGATCCCTCGGTCGAACTCGCTGTATAACGCAGACGTTAACACCGCCAACTGAGCTTTCTGCAGGGCCATCGTTTTGGTGAGACCGTCTTGCCCTTCAATGTCTATGTTTTCCTCGATTCCATTTAGCAGACGGCGCAAGGGTCCCGCCACGTCCACGGGCAACATCTCCAGAATGTCGAAAGGCGTCAATAGCTCGAACGGTCGAGTGAGTCGACGGGGATGTAACTTTAGCAGTGTTGCGAGATTACGCTGGACGTATTCAGGTAGCAAAGGTTGAGCCTCTGTCGATGGCTCGGCAGGGGTTGAGTCGTGTGTCGCCGTTCTCAAGACATAACCGCACAGGGCTGCAGCAGTTTCGACGATGGCCAATTGGCTGTCGCGGTAGACCTTTGCATCCTGCTGCTTCGCTGTGGTTGGCTTGATCAAGGGGTCGCCGGCTCTAGGATCTGTGGCTCTGAGTCTGGCGGCACGAGCAGTGCAGTCCATGAATAATTGGCACAACGTGGCCAGAATCAATCTCCCGTCTTCGAAGCAAGGACGTTCAGGACGTTCCAACAGACATTGACTGAAGACGGTCTGTCGCGCTGTTGACATAAGTGTCGTCTCTCGTTCGTTGGCGCATTGGACCGAAAGGCCATCGAGGAGGTCGTAAGAAAACAACGACACCTCCAGGGCGACTGCAGCTATCACTGAAGGATGACGGTGATCAAAGATGAAGCACCTGTACTCCGGGTCTGACCTTGGATCCTTTTTCCACCGCCGGGATTCAGCCAGCATAGACCCAGGGCGAGACTTCAGACTGATTACGACATGGTCAAACGGATTGCTGGGGATGGTGAATCCATATGCGAGGAGGAGGCTCTCATTGTCTTTGGGACCGTAGTTGTTAGAGAGCTCTTGTGCAGCATTATAAGTTTCGAGAACTTGTAACCCGACAAAGCTATAGCGAGCCTGCCATTCCACCTTTGCGCCGGGTCGGTGGTTGAATATGTCGAGCAGGGGAAGTAACACGCCAAAGTGCCCTGAGAACAGTTCGACCAAGTCGTAATCTTTGTCTCTGGGGTGGAGATGTGCATGGCGAGCCTTGTCTGCCGGAAGGGTATCATCGAGGACTTGGGACGTAAATGAGCGACTGCCAAAGATGGTCGCGGCCCACTGAAAACGCTCCCTGCATCGGTTGTCAGAACATGTCTGATTTAGGTGTCGGAAGAGTAACATACCAGGTGTAAGATCCGTTTAAAGCATTCGGCCACTTTTGGTCACGCAGCTGCTGGAGGCCCGTGTCAAACATCTCGCGCCAATTGTCTGTTTGTGTCGCTAGTGCGGCTTTCAGGTTTGTCCCTTCAAGCCAAACCAAATCGTCCAGGCAGTCGAATTGCAAGTTGCTGATATCTTGTGGAGTTGGGAGAGTGGAAATGTATGGAGCCCACCATGAGTGTTCTCCCTTGACCAGTTGGTCCATGAGGAAGAAAGCTTGCAGGGACTGAGGTTGTGAGGCTTGGGCAGAAAGGAAAGATGCAGGAAAGCGAGTGCCACGACTAGAAAATGGTTCGATATCGAGGGCATTCAAGACGGACAGAGTCAACTCCATGGTACAAGCAACAATTCTGCTACCTTGGGGAACCGTCTGATCACTGGCCACCACGGCATGGTACCCTTTGCGCGAGCTGTGAGCCAATCGCACATGTTCATGGATGGAACCAGAGTGCTTGAGCACCCATTGTATCAAGTGTCTATGTCGCTCAAAGATGTCAGGCTGGGCATCTGAGGCTTGATGAATATGGTTCATCTGCGCAGGCGGAGTTGAATTGGTGGACCGGAAGCCGACCACATCTTGAGTCAACTCAGTATCATCGGGTTCCATGGCCTAGATAGAGAAGTGGGAGGATCTGGGATGATGGGGACAGAAGATGGGATGGCGTAAGAACACATTCCCAGACAATCAAGGACGAAGTTGTTTTTCAAACTCGCATCGCCACAGCGAGGTCCTCGATGAGTCGATGAGTCAATTGGTTAATATGCCATCCATCTCATGAACAGTGAAGAACTGTCAGATTGAGAGGTGAAAAGGTTGATTGTCCCGCCTCGTTGTCAATGGTGAGGCGCTTCAGTTGGAACAGAAATAAATATTTGTGCGAGGTGACAGATCAGTTCATTTACTACTGGCTGGACTGGACATTGGTATTGATGATGAGAATGGAGATTAATTCTATTCACCTTTATTTCTGGCTTCATTGACTCACTACATTGCATGACATGCTCTAGCCTCACTTGCTAATGCATCATGCCTAGCATTTATATTCCTGGGGAAACCCAGCAGGGAAGATCTTTTTGATCATACCCTCGCTTCATGAATCAACCAATGATGATTCCACCTCAACAATTGCCCCAAGCGTGACCTTGGCGACAATGACTTTGGTCCCGTCTTTTTACATCGCCGGGCTTCTCCAGCTCACGTCTCCACCCTTGACAGAACTGAAAGTATGGGTGGCATGGGTGGTCAAAGATCGCCTTATGGATAAGGATTGCCACCCTGCCACCCGAGTCCCACCCCAACTTTGGTAGATGGTGGTGAATTGATACAGCGGACAAGTCCTACACGAATTCGTCCTGGAATCCACTGCCAACCATGTACAATCGTACAAAATGCCACAATGCCCAGAGATCTCATTAACTGAGTGTTGTACTGAGTACCATAACACCTTGTTTCGTGTCGGCGGCGACTCAACCTACTCGCCATATGTTCACGAGCAGATCCATCCGTCTAATTAATCTTCCTCGCCGAATATCCTCATCTACACCCCTGGAAGTAAAGTGGAAGTTCCACCCAGGTCCTCGACTCGGAATTCAGTCTAGAAACATGGCGACCAACGGCGTCCAAACCAATGGTGTCAACGGCACGAGTATCAAGCACGACTTTTCAACACTCAAAGTCAATCAGTCGCGGCTCCTCGACGCCATTCACACAGGGTGCAAGTTCGGAGCAGACCATCGATATGGCGACCATCCAACAGAAACCGGCATGGCACGACTCAGTCTCAACGATGCCGACAAGCAAGTTCGCGATTGGTTTACCGCCACGGCAAAGGCTTTGAACTGCGTCGTCACTGTTGATCAGATGGGAAATCAATTCGCCGTGCGTGCAGGAAAGAATGCCTCCGCTCCTCCTATCATGATGGGCTCACACTTGGACACCCAACCCACCGGTGGACGTTATGATGGAATCCTCGGCGTCAACTCGGGCTTGGAGGTTCTCAAGGTACTACACGAGAACAACTGGGACACCGAAGGCAGTGTCGGTGTTGTCAACTGGACCAACGAAGAGGGTGCACGGTTTCCTATGATGGCTGTCTCCTCAGGCGTCTGGGCTGATGTTGTTCCTCTTGAGACGGCCTGGAACTTGGCTGAGGTTTCACCTGGCGAAGATGGCCAGCATAAGACGATGAAGCAGGAGCTCGAGAGGATTGGATATCTGGGTCCTCAACCAGCCTCGTACAAGGCTTTTCCCATGGCAGCTCATTTCGAGGTGCACATTGAGCAAGGTCCCATCTTGGAAACAGAGAAGCGACGGGTGGGTGTGGTCAAGGGTGTCCAGGCCTTTAAATGGTTCGAGATCACGGTCAAAGGACGCGACTCCCACGCTGGAACCACGCCGTTCAGCGCCCGCATGGATTCCATGTTGTGCGCAGCCAAGTTGATTGTCGAATCTAACGCCATCGCCAAAAGGCACAATGGCTTGTCCACCACCGGCATCCTCACTGGCCAACCAGGCTCAGTCAACACCATGGCGCATACCGTCACCTTCACACTCGACATTCGACACACGGCCGACGACAAGCTGGCTGAGATTGAAAAGGAGTGTCGTGTACATTTTGCCCGAATTGCGGAAAAGGAATGTGAAAAGGGCTGCACAGTGGCCTGGAAAGAACTGGTCGACAGTCCAGCCGTCAACTTCCATGCTGATTGTATTGCCGCTGTCGAGGCTAGTACTAAGGAAGTCTGTCAAGCTCTGCCCTCGACGTCCGACGATGGTCAATTGTGGAAATACATGATCAGCGGAGCTGGCCACGACAGTTGTTATACGAATCGCCGCTGTCCGACAAGTATGATATTCACCCAAACAAAAGACGGTATTAGTCACAACCCTCAAGAGTATTGTAGTCCCGAGGACTGGTGAGTTCATTCCCATCTACGCATCTTCATCTCGCTCACGTCCTTCTAGTGCTATAGGAGCCCAGGTTTTGCTGGGAGCCGTTTTAAGATATGACAAGCTCCGAGCCGAGCGAGGAGATTTCTCGTGACCTCGCTCTATCACCCTTTCCCAGGTATCTCTTTCGCAGCGCTTCTTGGCGACATCGTATCAGAAATCCGGTCGCGATCAATGCGACAAGTAGGTCCGTGTCAGAGTGGTGTGGCAGGCCGTATGCTACAGATGAGGCATGCGGAAAATGTCGTGGGTGGATAGTGGTTGTCCACATATGCAGCAACGCCATGCCGCTTAATATCTGGCCCAATTAGCGTCGACGTTGATCGAATGAATGCCTTTGGCCCTTCACAAAATACCTTGAATAAAATCTTGTAACCATGTTGTTCAAGTCAAACATTGACATGTCGTTCGTGACGGGATTCATGTCATTGCCATCTGATACATCTAGCTTCGAGGTGCACCCTTAAGTGATTGAGAAAGTCCGCTGGATGCTGAGACAAGGTCTTGCCATTTGGTGTCGACATGGGCTCAATGCACATCTGGCCAACCTAAGTCTTGCCCTCGACGACTGCCCGCTCTGGCCTGGGTGTCTGCGCGTGGTCAACGGGGCTGGTGTCGAGCTTCACAATGTCCCTCTCCCACTTGGAGAAGTACTCTCGCAATTCTTCCTGGCAGTTCCGCTTCTCGTCATCTCGACACCCCTTGAAGTTGACTACGAGATCACCTTCTTGCCACATGCTGTCGTGGGAACGAGCCACGCGCGTGACGGGATCTCGACTGGGCGGCGACGCAAAGTTGTACGAGTTCATCCGGCGCTGATCGATCAGAACCAGCTTGGCCAGGATTGTTGGATGCCATTGCACCAAGTGTTCGAGCGCATGTGTCTGGGCTTTTTGAAATGCATACGCACGGTACAGAGGATCGAACCAGGCATCGAGGAAATACTGGGCCCAGTTGTCCGAGGAGGTGGGAGAGGGAGGGGTGTTGCGAACTATGAAGGAGGTGTCGGCAAGGTTGTTCGCATCCTGACTGATGACCAGGCGTGTCCGAGAGGGCTTAATTCGAGAAAATGTGTGGATGACCGAATCGGGGGGGACCACCGGGACATCCTTGTGCATCAACGACTCGAGAGGTTGTAAGATGTGCTCTTCCAAGGACAGCGATGGTGTAGTGATCAGGGCATCCGCTGACAAGGACCAAAAGAATGTGCTGCGCGGGTAAACGGTCAAAGCGTGTCTGAGAGCTGGTATGAGTGACCACGAAGACGGTGACGGTTCGATGAGGTCTGCATAAAACGCAGTGTTGGTGTAGAAATTCCGATAGCCTGCACTCAAATGCCTCAGTCAAAGGGGCGTCAAGATCAAACTAACGTGTACCTACCATGACGAGAAGCGTAGTGGTCTCGGTTTGATCGGATCATGCGGACGTATTCGTCGCTCATGGTGTCATTATTGAAGACAGTGACAATGACAATGTCCTGACGCCCCTCGATTTCCGACGGACCATCTTCGACATTCCGACCCGCGGACCAGCCATACTTCTGGAAGAGCAGAAAAGTCAGAACGCTGAGGGTCACATAGCCTAAGATCTGGAGTTGCCTGCGATTGCGTTGAGCATTCGGGGGGGAAGGAGGTTTCCGAGCGTATGGAAGAGGGTGCGAGGCTTTTCGAGGTGGCAGGGCAAAATGCATGGCGATTTGTTCGACTTCTGGCTCAGGCACGACAACAGAATGTTGACATGGTGTCGGAGAAGGACTGATACAACTCGTTCAAGAGGTCAGCCGCGTAGACATGGGCGTTGACAAGAGAGAGACGGTGTCTGGAATGCAGGTGTCCAGAGTCCTACAGTATATATCAGTGAACACCATGTCTCCACGTGACTGGCAGCGTGACAGCAACCTTGGTGTTCTTGGAGGTCCAAATCACTAACTATCTTGCATGGATGATCAACTCTTTGCTCACAATGTTTTTGTACTTATTTTCCTTGTTGCTATCCTCTCTCGTTGAGTGAAGATGGGCGGGTCTGAACGATTTTGGTTGTGCTAACACCGTAATGGTTATGTTTGTAGCATGATCTACGAACTGGAAGATAATATACATAGACATGTCGAGGCCCAGGTCCAACCACCACGTAATGTCCCCAACTCATGTCGGAACAATCACCAGATGCCAGGGAGCATGGTGTACCGCTTCTTCTTGTACTTGTCGCCAAACTCCTTGCGATATCTCCGCTCCTTCTTTTTGGCCCATTGACCCATTTGAGCAGCGGAGATCACAATGAAGATAAAGACGCCCCAGCTCAAGCCACTTACAAGATAGACGCCGATCCACGACAGTATTTCTGTCAGGTAATTGGGACATGTCACCAGGTTGAAGAGTGGCCCTTGGGGGATTCCCCTCTCCGTCCCTCCCGCCTTTCTCAATCCCATGAGTGTAAGATGAGTTTGCAAATTGCCCAATTCGCCCAAGACGTATAGAGCCAGACCTGGATAGAGCAGAACAGGGTTTGCCGCCTTTGCGGTGGACGACGAAGGTGAATAGATGAAGGCGGCAATCAAAAGGCCTGATATGGCCCAGTAATGAAAGCTATTTTTGAAGATGTTCCGCAACGGCATGGTAGCAGCCGAAAATCGGTGAACAAATATGGTTTCCAACTCTCGTTTGATAAAATGCAGAACCACCAACCAAAGGGAAATGGTCTGAAGCGTCGAAGCATCATCTGGGGCCGATGGATACAGGTAAGGCCTCAGCGAATAGACGAGTGGATGGATGAGAATGGGGCCCAAGTATTCCACGATAAAGACTGTGCGCCAGCCTATCTGAGTGCCCAAGTCTTTTACATTGACAGTACTCTGATCTCGCAGTCCTGTTGAATGGACAGATACATCTCGGTTGTTGGGGACGACTGTTCCATCGCTTCCTTTTGTGACTCGCAATTGGTGTACAGAGAACTTGGTCAATTGTGAGATCTTTTCATAGATGTCGGCGGCTGTGGCATTGGGGCTCAGGTCTAGTGAATCCGGTAACGCCTTGATAGGTTTGCCTGGAGCCAAGTCAATTCGCAGCCTGCACACACAGAGGTTTGGGAAGTTTACGTACCTCTCGGCCGAAGTTGAAGGGTGATGGCCTTTGACGACATGATACTGCAGGCAATCTGGCCCACGAGGTTTTTGGTATGGACACGAACCCAAAGGAGGTGGTTAGCACAGAATCGTATTGGCTCTGGTGGTGGTGATAGAGACGATAATAATGACGGCTGGGGTTGGGGTTGTGGTTGGGGAGTACTCCGTAAATTGATATCAAGAATTTAAGACACCGACAAATCCGAATGTGGTAAAGGTACCGAGTTATGTAAGGAACTCCCACATGCCGCAAATTTGGGGTGCCACGGTCTGGTGTCTGTTAAGGCCAGCCTGGGGTCTCGGGGCCTTTAATTTTGATTATCTCTGTATGGCATCTTCTGCTGTTAGTATGATTGGCAGTTTCTTTTATTTCGAAGAGAAAGATATCCTTTGTTGCCTCAATGACCGAGTGAATATGACAGGCATCATCGAAACGCTGGGTACGAGAATGTGGAAGTTCTGACTTGCTAGGGTACTGGTGTCCCTGGTTGAAACCCCTCGGCCTACCAGGCTCCCTAGGGGTCTAACTTGTATGCGTACCTAGGTACCTAGGGTAACCTAAGTTAACAGTCTAACAAGCCTAAAGTCCTTAACCCCTCGGCTGCCACGGGCACTCCCTTCCTTGGTGGGTCAGCAACACGAACTGCGGATGTGCCCGAGGGCGCAGGGTCTCATCCTTTCGCCCCCTCAGACATGGTTGCGCAGTTGGTGACCTGTGGTCGCAGTCAAGCCTCAATCCAATCACCACTCGTTTATTACCATTTGTCGTTCCTTTTGACTACAACTTTTTGGCACCGGCCGTTTCAAATTTCATGGCAATGCACGATTCGGTCCTTGTCTTGCCTCCTCGTCTCCACTCTGTATGCTTCTCAAAGGTCGAAGCTGCCTGAAGAGCTGATCGAGCTGATGCCAACGACCTGGTGGCGCTTTCTCCGCAACATAATGTCTGTCCACAATTGTCAGGAGGCTGGCTGAGATCCTTGGGTAAATGTTCACTTGCCCAGATGGAGAATGTCAGATGCTTGAGGCTGGGGAACCGCCAACATTCCCTGACCTTGACATCCACATACGGTGAGGCTGCATAACGGTATCGACTTTTCTATCCTCCTCATTTCATTTCTCTTTCTACACTGGCTCACTTAACCTGGTGCTCGAGCTGTACCAAATCGGTTGTTGTGATCACCTGTCGTCTGTGTCTACCATGCCGTCGATATTTTCCAAGCTCAAGGGTATGTTTTTCCACGTCCCCCCGCAAGCATTGTCCACTACTCAAGCGTTCCAGGTTCTCGTACCCAGAAGGCTCCCACTCAACCAGTTCGGAAACCTTATGACGACGAGCGTTCACACTCCATTCACACAGATGACTCTGAGCCCTCCAACGACACTGACAGGTCGAACAAAGTACTGGAAGTCCTCAGGACGTTCAACATCAAGCATGTTAAAACCATTGCAGATCTTGCCCTTGTTGGCGCCAATGGCGAACCCATCGATGACAAGACATACCTTATGGAGAGAATCATCCAACTAGCCGCTGATCTTCCGGTCGACAGCAGAACTAGTGCCACTCTGACAAACTCGTTTTTGCATCAACTTTGGACCGACCTTCAACACCCACCAAAGTCGTATCTCGGCGAGCAGTACGCATATCGCAAGGCTGACGGCAGTAACAACAATATACTCTGGCCGCACTTGGGAGCTGCTGGGCAACCATACGCTCGTACTGTCCGACCGAGGCTGATTCAACCTGTTGCTCGCCCCGATCCCGGTGTCATATTCGACAGCCTTCTCGCCCGCAAGAAGTTCAGTCCCCACCCCAATAAAATATCCAGCGTCTTGTTTTATGTGGCCTCCATCATCATTCACGACATCTTCCATACCAGCCACGTTGACTATAGCATATCCGAGACTTCATCATACTTGGACCTAGCGCCCCTCTATGGCAACTCTGTGAGCGACCAGCGCGAAGTACGGACCCTGGAAAATGGTAGGCTGAAGCCAGATTGCTTCTTCGACAAACGAATTCTTGGCTTTCCTCCTGGCGTTGGAGCGCTGCTCATTTTCTTCAACCGTTTCCACAATCATGTGGCAGAAAATCTCGCTCGGATAGACGAAGGTGGTCGGTTTTTTAGGATTCTTCATCCTGCGGGTCGTCCTCGACCTGCTGACGCTGACGAACTATACGACGAGGCCCTTTTCCAGACGGCGAGATTGGTAACGACTGGCCTCTACATCAACATAATTCTCAAGGACTATGTTCGAACCATCCTGAACCTCAACAGAGTCGACAGCAACTGGAATCTTGACCCCAGGGCGGCTGAAGGCCAAGCCTTCTTCGGCAAGGACATTGCAGAAGCTACTGGAAATTCCGTCTCGGCAGAATTCAACCTCGTCTATCGATGGCATTCTTGTGTTTCGGAGCGCGATGAACAGTGGACCAAGGATGTTTATACTCAGCTCCTTGGTGGTTCCGGACCTCTCACCCTGAGCGAGTTTTTGTACAAGCTCAACGACTGGGCGAGGAAGCTGGACCCGGATGTGCTCAAACGCGACTTCGCCGGCCTGAAGAGGCTCCCGGACGGCCGGTATTCCGACCAAGATTTGGCATCAATCTGGACTGCCTCTGTTGAGGACGTTGCCGGCAGCTTTGGTGCTCTTCATGTTCCCGAGATCCTGAGAAATGTCGAAATACTGGGCATCATTCAAGCTCGTTCGTGGAATCTTGCCACTCTTAACGAATTCAGAGAATATTTCAAACTCCAACCTCATAAAACATTCGAGAGCATCAATCCAGACCCTATCGTATCAGAGCAATTACGACGCCTTTATGGACACCCCGATCATGTCGAGATCTATCCAGGTGTTGTTGTCGAGTCCACAAAGGTACCCAAGCTACCTGGCAGTGGACTATGCACCAACTTCACAACTTCCAGAGCCATTCTCTCTGACGCCGTGGCCCTGGTCAGGGGGGATCGCTTCTACACCGTTGACTACACACCCGCAAATCTCACTAATTGGGGCTACAACGAAGCAGACTACAACACATCCATTAACTACGGCTGTGTGATTTATAAGTTAGTCTTGAATGCCCTTCCACACAGCTATGCACCCAACTCTATCTACGCCCACTTCCCTCTTGTCATTCCGAGCGAAAACAAGGCTATCCTGACGCGCCTGAAGAAGGCCGACTTTTACGACTTTGAGAAACCCACCGGTGTTCCAGTACCTGTCGTTGTGAGCTCCTTTGAGGCGATTCAAACAGTCACTAGTCAACCGAAAACTTTTGCACCCTGGTGGAATCCTTTACACTTTTGCCCTACCCTTGGTGTTCCAAAGTCAGAACACACATTCCCACTTCTGGCCCAAGGTCTGGCCGAGATTAAAGGGCTGGGAACGGCTACAGCCGCTTTCTACAAAGACGCCATCGCCACGTTACTGAAGAGCGAGTCATACCAGCTCGGAAGTGCTGGACTGCGCCAGGTGGATGCTGTTCGTGATGTTTTCAACATCGCGCATGCTCGTTTCGTAGCCAGTCTTTTTCTGATCCCCTTACAATCCGATCAGCATGGCAGCGCAAACCATTGGCACCAAGAACTGAACATTATTTCATCGCTTTCGAGCGTGTATAGCAGCGTTGCAGATTCCAGTCCTGCGCGACGCTTCGTGGTCACTCGGCGGAAACAAAAGCAAGTCCAACAGCTAGCGGAACAGATCCAGGAAGAAGTTGACAGAGTTGTCAAGGCCAGCTTTGGTCTGCACGCTCACTCTACTGCTCCACTGCGCACTTTTGCCGTACAAGCGGTCCAGTCTGCCTCCAAGAGCAAATTGTCGACGAGCGATATGGTTTGGCATCAAATTCTGCCCCTGGCAGCAAGAGTGTTTGTATCGCAGTCAGTCGGTTTTGCAGAAGCGCTTGACTACCTGTTTGGTACAGGCGCACAGAGGCCTCCCCAATTTTCAGAACTCGTGGCGGATCCGACATGGGACAAAATCTATCCCTCTGTGAGCGAAATTTCTCGACTGCGACCAGGTGTTCCCCTCCACAAACAGGCGACGTCAGCGGTCTCAATCAAGGATGGAGAGGAACAGCTCCAGGTATCAGCCGGGCAGAAGGTGTTGTGTAATCTGGTAAGTTATACCCTGATGCTCTCGAATGGTCGAAACTGATGAGAGTGTGTGAAGGGGGCAGCGAGTCGTGATGCGACTGTATTCCCTCAGCCAGATGAGTTCCAGCTCGGACGAGATGGTAGCCTTGTTGACCGGTCGACGTTGGGCCCTGAAGTGTTGCTCGAAAAGCGACTTCTTGACCACGGATTCAGCGCAACATTTGAGAAGTTGGCGAAACTGAACAAGATTGGCCGGGCAGCTGGAGCGACGGGGAGGCTGAGGAGGATCGAGGTGGACAATATGATCAAATACCTGAACCTGGAGGAGAGCAAGACTGTCTCATATCCTGTGGCGTTCAAGATCGACTGGCAGGGTTGAGCATTCTTCCCATAGTACAACCAATCGGTACGAGAAGCATTGGAAATGCCGTGGTATCCTCACGACTGGTCAATATACTGCTACGGATAACGCGTGCATGGAATACGAGTAGCAACAGTAACTAGTGTCGGGCACCTATCTGAGGTAGTCTAGGTACATATGGTACTTCATGAGTAACTGGTAATGCGTGGCTTGTTGTGAGTACCTTGCCACGGTAGGCCACTGTTGCCATGTATTCTCTGGACGAAGCAGAAGCAGCCACGTGAGAGTCAAGGTTCTCTCAAGTGGTGAGACCTTCTGACCGTCTGACACATATGGGGGCAAGACATTTGAGAAATCAACCTGACGAAGCCACATGTGGAGAATCCAAATTACTGCTTATAAATTTTTATGTCGTTGTTTGTATGATTGATCCCCAAAGTCTGGTAATCTGGGCGGTAAAACGAGATACGCGTGCGTGCTTCATGTTGGAGAGAGCGAGAATGCCTTGGGAGCTTGGGCCTAAAGGCTACCGAGGGGCACCGACAAATCATGCCCCTCCGCCCGGAAACACTCCAAGATACTAAGTACCTACTCCATGCCTCTGGGGACCTAGGTGCGTGCTTACTCGTACTTATTAGTGGCTGCCCCTCGGCCTAAGGTAAACTAAAAGTCCTACCAACCCGCTGCTCTTACAATTGCACCACCAGCGACCCACAAGTCACAAGTCACGTTGATATTCCGTCAATTTATTCTGTCAATCCGTCCTGAATGCCCAAAGCAGATGACGAAACCTTGAGAAGTTGCGGGTGTGGCGCTTGCCTACGGTCACAATTTGTTCACTTACAAACCACGGAAACCACCTGCGCCTGCGCCTGTACCTCCACAGCCAACGTCCACCTCATCTCCTCCACTTGTACTCCGTATTATTGCACCTGTTGAGTTGTAACTAAACTGCGCTGCTGGCTGTGAGTGCTGCACTTCTCCGCGAATACAAACTCCAAATTCATTCAAGGTTCTTTATTGCACCACCGTAACCACCACCACTCCCACCAAAGAATCCCTCTGCCATCATACCTTCATCCACACAAGAGTCAAGAATCGAATCCCCTTGTCGCTTCATCTTCCTTCCCTGCAATTTCTGTACATTATTCTGTTCTCCCACTTCTGCCTTGCTCCTGCACATCAAGGCTTTTAGATCATTCGATTCAACTTCTCTTGACCTCAGTGACAACTTCAGCAGTCACTCTAATCAAAGCCTTTTCCCGCTACTATCACTGTCTACAGCTTGTCTATCCTGTCCTCAGATAAATCCGTTAGTGCATCCCTCTGTCTCACCTGCCTCTCTCTATCTGACACTCCATCTACCTTCTAGCCTCACTGACCTCCGACGTCGTCTTTGCCCTCCTCACCTCCAATCTTGAAATCAGATTCTGCCTGCATCGCATCGTCAAAGGCAAATCTCACCTGTCTCATGCAGCCTATGCTGCCACAACACGGGGTTTAGAGAAGATGGGGAAGGTTACGAGGAAGCCACAGGAAAAGCACAAGGTGTCGTTGGTACGCTCTCTCCCACTTGATGACTGCACATTACAATCACTGACCTTAAACCCGTAGTCTCCTGCGGTCTCGGATCTCGTCAAAAAGGTTACCACTGTCGGCCTCGCAGATCTACCGGCCCTCATCAATGGATGGTCCCAGCGATGGCCTTACCCCCGCGGGGACTTGAACAATTGGATTGAACCTCTTGATCGCTTCGACTCTATCCTTCAATCCTTCATCACCAAATATGGCCTCGATCAGGGTCCGCAAGTAATTCCCTTTGGCACCTCTCTCCTGCTCGAAGGAAGCCCTGGAGTTACCGAAGAGAGATTAAAGGAACTCAAATTCGGCCCTGAAGGCGACAGAGAGTTGATCGAGGTCATCCTCGTCTTTTCCAAGCTCCTTGTCGAGAAATGTGCCAATCGAGCCGTCTACAATAGCACCGACCGTCTGAATGACCTGCTCAACACAACCTCTCTCTCTCTCCTGCGATGTACTCTGCGTATCACATTCTACCTGGCTCAGAGATATGCTGAGCGTCCTCCCCACCCGCAACAATTGTCTACAAAATTCTACGATTTCGATCATGGCCGCCTTCAAAAACTCGCCGCCCCGTTCGATCAACCGCAGACTCCAGCCCTCAAGAGAACGCCCACCTCTCCCCTCAAGCAAAAGTCCAAAGACAAACTGACCCATGCCAGCAAGGCCAGGCGAAATTCCACATCCACATCTCCCAATGATTTCCGTGCTCTTTGCAGAGACCCACCTGCCCAAGGTGATCGCCATAAATCGTCAGCTGCACCTGATCGAGACTGGCAACAGTGGGCTCATGTGAAGGTTTCGTGGAAGCAAGCAGTCATTGGTGATCATCCTTCCAGTGCTAGTCAGACACACGCATCCGACATGCCATCGACACCCACTCCGACTAGACATCCAGTCTTGCCATCCTCAAGATTCGAGCCGGCCGATTCACCCTCAGACCCCTCACACACCCAAGATCTCTCCAAGTCCGCTGCCTCTGACCAGAGGACAATCGAGTATTCATTTGTAGACCTGACCGGTCATAAGATTGAAGACTTGTTAGCCGAAGCCCCCGACAATATACCCGCCGACGTCAAGTATGACTTGCTGCATCAGTTACGTGTGGCATATGGTCTGGTCACTTCTTCCAAAACTCGCAAGGAGTTGTTGGCAGTTCGACTCCTCGCAATCGCAAGTCTTGCCAATGTTTTCACCGAAGCTGAACTGGCCCAAAAGGTCTTCCAGGTTGAGGGAACGTCTTTCAAGCCCCACGAATTAATTCAACAACTAGTCGGTCTGACTCATGACCCGAAGAAAGGCCAGGGGTCTGTCCCTTTGTACTTGCAGACCATTGCAATGGAAACCATGGGTGTTCTGGCGCCTCACAAGTTGTTTGCTTCCGACATCAATGCCGCGCTCGGCGCAGGTTCCGCTAATGGCTTGCTGGCTCAACTCACCCAAAAAGGTCTCGCCGACATCGCCAAGGGGGAGGGAAGCAGTACCGATAATGTCGTCGGTGATGACTGGAGAGATGCCATTTTCTCTCTGCCGAGGACCCTAATCGAAGCCACTGGTCATCATGGTCGGTCTAGCGAGCCCGTCATTGCTGCATCATTCGTCTCGGCCTATCTGACTGGCTTCAACATCACCACCGCAAAGGCCATGCGAGTCCATCTTCGAATGCTGGATTTCGTCAAGACTTTCTTCCACCACTTCAAAGATGGCATGGCAACCTTGATGGCCAGCAATGCCTTTGAAGCCATCAGTACGCTCCTGGGAAAACTTGTCAGCGATGCCTCGCAAATGTATAAGGATGGTGAGGGTATTCCTGCTCAGTTTCGCACCCGTGCAACCGACTATGAGATCCCATACATGCATCAACAGATTATCCGCTCTGTCATTGATATGATCAACGACATCAGTGGCCATCAAGATCCCCAGGCTGATCGCGTGCTGAGAAGTCTGGTAGACTCACAGGCACTGCTTCAAGCCTTCCGCTTGATCGCGGATAACCTTCCGGCATTTGGCGCTCATACTTGGAGCGAGGTCGTCAAGGCTGTGTGTGGGTTCCTCCACAACGAGCCCACCAGCTACACAGTCATTTCTGAAGCTGGAATTGTTCAGAGTCTATTGAACACGGTTAATGGCTCCCAGTCTGTCAAGGCTAGCTCATCGTTGTCACCCGACGCGGACCATGTCTCTTCCGTTACTCGATATCAGGCTCCCGGCATCCCGCCCTCCATCGATGCCATCATCAACATTTCGCAAGTCTTTGGAGCTATCTGCCTGACAAATGCTGGTTTCGAGGCTTTCAAATCTTCGGGAGTGCTGGATGCCTTCTTCACCATCTTCGAGTCCCCCCCCCACGTCAAGGTCCTCAAAGACACAAACACTTTGGCACTCCTGGGGTCTACATTCGATGAACTTGTCCGTCATCACCCGAACCTGCGAACATCTATCCTTAGTGCCGTCATTGTCATGATTGCTCGTGTCCGACATATTTGTCGTTCATTGGCGGTTACTCACGGCGCGGGACCAAAACTTTGGCTCCCAGCCAAGGAAGATGTTTTTGATCCCTGTGGTGGTCGTCAGTCGCTCTCCCTGGAAATTCTACCGCCTGTGAATCCGGGAGTGGACGGTTCGCAGAATTCGCACTCCCTCAAGTTGCCGAATGGTCGAACCCTGCTTCTGGTCGACGAGACTCTTCCACCCACCGATGCAGCGGTGGCCCCAGCCGACTCTGATGGCCATGGTTTGTCGGCGAATGATTATGCGAGACCTGCCATTGCTTTTCTGGTGACATTCTTCGAGAACCAAACCCTTTGTACCAATTTTCTTGACTATGATGCTGCCGATTTGGTCCTTGATTTCATCACCCTTCCCAGTCTGCCAGTCGGAGAACAAGCTTTCGCCCGTCAGGATGGCCTTTTCCAAGAATTAGCTTCCGCGGTTCACATGATGGCGGAAACGAAACCTGGTATAGTACTGCCGGCACTTGTCGATCGTGCTCGCTTTGCCTGCGCTGAGTTGAAGCACTTTAGCCAGAATCAGCCAAATGATTGGACTTGTTACTTCGCACCCCTTATCAAGCCCGGTATCTCCAATGCCGGAGAAGGAAACAACACGTCCTCTTACATCGAAATGCACGGAACACGAGTGGTCAAGAGTTTGATGGCCACGTTCTGCCTCTCGCAAGTTCTGGCCGAGGTCTTTAATGCCCCGATGTACAGCACACGGTCGGCGCAAACTTATCTCTTCGGCAACGTTAACCTCGCGGATATCCTTGCAGAGGTTAGTAAAATGTTGGGCAGCATCTCAGCTGCCTGCTATCGCGAGGAAATAGCCCTTCAGCGCTCGATCCCACAGAATTGGTTGGCGGCAACAAAGCCTGAGCACTTTTCGACTGGGGACGATGAAGTGGACAAAGTCCTGAGCGTCCGACCGAAAGGCAATTCTCCCGGGGATAACACGTCTTCCGACCTGCTTGACATGAGCGATCCGGAAAAGCTTGACACTGAATCCCTGGAGGAGGCGAAGCGGACGCCCTTCTTCAGGAATGTCCAGGTGCTTCGATATCTCTTGATTGTGACGCCTGCTGCGAACACCGAGTTCCTGTGCCGGCTGGGTCGTGGCATTGTCTGCCGTCGTCGGCCAGACACCTTTGCCAAGCAAAAGATCGCCTTGGTTGCTGGCGCCCTGTCTGCAGCCTACATGACACAGTTACAGCCCTACTTCCTTGGCCCAGAGCGGTCGCAAGATCAGACATTCGAGGACCTAGACGCGCGCTTTACATACTTGGTTGTTGCACTCGACAATATTCGCCGAAGCTTTTACGATGATAGCAATTCCTCAGCAGGGCCTTTACCTGCTGCACGCCAGAGCTTTGTCGTAGAAACGTTCCGAAAGGCGGGGGGCATCAAAGCCCTCACCAAAATCGGCACCGAGTTCTTCGACAAGCTCAAGTCTTGTAAGGTCGAGCAGTCAATATTTTGCGCCAATGCAGGTCTCAAGATCTGTCTGGATATCCTGGACGAGTTTACTAATTCCAAAACCATCATGGAGTCGTTGCAGTCACATACCTTGAAAAACCCGGAGCCTCAGAAAGCTTATTTCTTCGTTCCATCCCAGGTCCTCCTCAGCTTGAGGGTTGAGGCCCTCCCACTGACGCGTTTGATCTGGGAAAGCGATTATGCAGACCAGGCTTCCAAAGACGTTGTTCAGAAACTAGTTTCCATCCTCAAACACGTTCTGACCGGCGATGCGGAAGCGGAAGCCATTCAGAGCAGTGCTCGTCAACCTCTGATTACTCCTGGTCCTGCTAGAAAGCCGACCATAGAGCCGTCAAAGGTCAGCACGCTCCAGGATAAGGGCTATGATGAGGCTCTGGCCCGGGAAGCCATCTATCGCACAAATACGCAGACCTCTGGTTCTAACACAGCCGCTGAGGAGTATTGCAGAGCCATCACGGCTAATGCGCGACGCAGACGTCTCCCGATTCCGGACAGAGAGATCGAAGCTTCACAATCCGCTCATCAGACACCGACTGCCATGAGCCCGCCAGTCAACTTCCCATCAGACCCCCTTGCAGCTGCTCTTTTTGGATCTCCCTCTCGACCAACCGAGGCCGCATTCGCCTCGAGGATGAACAATGACTTGGAAGACGATGACATGGGAGATGGCATGTTGCATAATCAAGGAACTGTGACTGTGTCACGACGTTCAGAGAACCCATCTGAGCCGGTTTCATCTGCCATGGACATCCACAATATCCTCAATGATGAATCAGCTCGCTCGCAGCCCGTATCCGCCGAAAATGACCGACCAGAGTCGTCTGTGATGTACTCCGTTGAGACCATTAGCACAGAACGAGTTGCTATCCGGGAGGAACTTGCAGATCATTGTAATAATGTTCTCAATACTCACCAGAACCTCACCTTTGAACTCTCGGACCTGATCCTCAGTGCCACAAAGAAGCTAAGCGAAGATGATGCCAAAGAATACTGGCGCACCACCTCTGACCTACTTGTGACGTCCTTGTTGTCAATGCAAGTTGATGACGACATCAGCGAAGGCCGGGGCAAGAAAATCGCGGCTGCAGCACATCTTGTCGCTCTTCTTATTCAAGATAGCGATGTCTTTAAAGATACCCTTGGTGTCTACCAAGACTCGTTCGAAGGTCTCCTGACTTTTCTCCAAATTCCAGCAGGCAGTGAGCGTTCGGCAGAAGATTCTTTCCAATGGGTAGCGCCTGTCTTGCTGATCATGGAGAAAATGCTGTCCAAAGACAGTGAGCCCTCCGATGTCAAGTGGGAGCCCCCCAGCGATCTAGAGACCAGCAAAAAGGCCCTAATTATCCCTGTGTCGATCCTGACTCACGAGCAAAAATCTGATCTATTTGACGCTTTGATGGGCCTATTGCGAAGAGTTGGTAAGGACAAAACGATGGCCTTGGCAATTTGCCGAATCCTCGTAATTCTCACTCGTACACGAGAGATTGCGACTCGCCTAGGCGAGAAGCGGAATCTTCAGAGTCTTTTCCATATGATAAAACAACTTGCCAATGGAGTCGGACATCGACTTCAGAGCTCTTTCATGACTGTTCTAAGACACATTATTGAAGACGAAGAGACGCTGCGGCAAATTATGCGCAGCGAAATCCGTGGAGTTTTTAACGGACGAAATTCGACGCGGCAGATGGACACAACTGCATATATTCGAGAACTTCACCATCTCGTCTTACGTTCGCCAGAGATCTTTGTTCAAACTACCAGCGAACTCGTCAAGTTTTCGTCATGGGCTCCACATAGCAGTTCGGGGTTGGCCCTTCAAGAACCCCAAAGTGGGCGTTTGCAAGACACCACAACCCAGGCCAATTTCTCAAACGACGACGTAGTCATGGAACCTACGGCAAGTGTTGAATCGCCAGACGACCATGCAGATGGCGGACACAAGAGTAAAGGCCCCGAGTTGAAGGCTCCGGTTGTTGAGCATCCCGACGGAGTGATTCACTTCATACTTTCGGAGCTTATGAACTACAAAGATGTGGAGGATGCGCAGGTAGTCACCGAGACTTCTACAACCAAAGCAAGTCCCCAGGCCAGCGATGGCCCTAACTCTGGATCAACTGGAGAGACCCGGGAAGATTCAACTCCTCAGCCTTCCACGCCCTCAAAGCATGACGCGAGCAAGTTTAGACCTGAGGATCACCCCATCTTCTCGTATCGTTGCTTCCTGATGTATACCCTGACTGAGTTGTTGCATTCGTACAACCGCGCCAAGATCGAGCTCATCAACTTTTCAAGAAAGGCAGAGTCTACCGCCAGTACTCCGTCCAAACCTCGGTCAACAGTTCTGAATTATTTTCTCAATGGGCTGATCCCTTCCTGCTACATTGACAAAGATGACTCCGTTCACTGGCGGAAGAAATTCCTTACTAGCGACTGGGCAATACGCGTTCTCGTTGCTCTCTGCGCAAAGACCGGGGAAAAGAATTCGTTCACTCCTGGTTCTCGCCACGCTTCAACCAACACCGTTGACGATCAAGATGATGAACCTGACTTGACCTTCGTTCGCCGTTTCGTCCTGGAACATGCAATCAAGTCGTACAAAGATGCCATTGCCTCGACAGAAGGTCTGCAGATGAAATACAGTCGGTTGCTTTGCCTTGCCGCCTTGTTCAACAGACTACTTACGAAGCCGGCTGTCCCTGATGGTTCCCCCGGGTCCAATAATACGTCTTTCAAAGTGCTTGGGCGCATGATGTTCGAAAAGAATTTGACCGCCGTCTTGACCAATTCTTTGGCTGAGATCGATCTTTCATATTCCGGTTCGAAGCGGGTCATCAAATTCATATTGCGTCCGTTACAAGAGTTGACTACACTGGCGACCCAGCTCAGCTTGACTTCCCCTGAATTACTGCATCAGATGACAGATAACATGTCTGAAGACATCATCTCGTCTGCTTCATCTGTGTCTGATGTCGATGAAGAGCGCGAGGAAACCCCTGATCTTTTCCGCAACTCTGCTCTTGGCATGATGGATCCAAATCATAATCATGAGTCTGACTCCGAGTCGGACGAAGATGATGAGGACGAGGAGATGTACGACGAAGAGTACGATGAAGAAATGGAATACGAGAATGGCATGGTCGCTGGGGGTAACGATGGAGAAGCTGTCAGCGACGAAGAAGTTGACGATGAAATGACAACGGACGGTCCAATCGAAGGACTTCCTGGAGATGTTCCTATGGAGCTCGAATTACTTGTCGATGACCCTCACATGGAAGTTGATTCTGACGATGAAGAGGACGAAGATGATGGAGAGTCGGATTCGGAAGACGACGATGGAGACGACGATGAAGGCGAGGACTTTATGATCGAAGAAGATGGCTCTGGAGAACTTAACGCCGACGATGAGAATGACAGCCTCAACGATGGCCACGAAGGAGATGAGGCTGAGTGGGAAGATGAGGATGAGGAAAACGAGGACGATGAAAGTGAGGATGATGATGGCCCTGGTGCGTTCGACGATGACGAGATGCCTCTAGATGGTGCCCAACTTCGTGAAACCCCTGGGGTCTTCAGCAGTCTCCTCAGAGTCCTTGACAATCACGACCTGGATGGGCCTGTTGGGTTGTCAGCCAACATTCCTCCGGAACTCATTATTCCTACTGGTGATCCCGGTGATGCTGGCGAAGACGATGAGGACGATGAGGACGAGGACGAGGACGAAGAAGGGGACGAAATGGACGAGAACGAGTTTATGGAGTTCGATTTCGACCATTTCCTAGCCGGACGGGGTGATGATGCCTTCGATCCCGGCGACGGTCTTGTTTGGAATGACATGCCCCCTTTCACTCGCCGCCACCGTCCAATGCGTGGTCCAGGCGGACACGGACCCAACTTCATGGGCCGTCGCCTCGGTCATGGACAAGATATGCATCATATTCCACGCTCAGGCCGTCCATCACAACACGGTCGTGCTGTTGGCGATGACGGCACCAATCCTTTGTTGCGTCGGCCCCAACCAGAACCAAGCAGGCAGCAGAGAATCGAGTCTCTAGGCCACAACACCTTCTACCCGCAAGGCATGGAAAATTTTCCTGGATTGGCCGGCTTCCCACCTTTGGGCACCTCTTTCCAAACTGTCGTTCGGAACAGCGATGGCACTGAACCTCATGGTTCTGTCTTGGATGCCATTGTGCAGGCTATCCATCGTGGTGACCCAGGAACTGGAGGTCGCATGCAATTCAGCATGACTGCGCCTCTCGGCGAGATTCGTGACATTCTCCGACCGTCGATGTCGGCAGTGGGTCACCGTCATCATGCTCGAGACGACTACCCACGCGCCAGCAGTTTCGTGCCTGCAACGACCATGACAAGATGGCAAGAAGAGGCTCGGATTCTCTTTGGCAACACTTACGTCGACAAGATCCAACGCGTTCAGATCCTCATTACCTCATTACTAGTTCCTCCCGCTCAGCTAGAAGAGAAGGAAAAGCTTCGCAGGCGCGAGGAAAAGCTGAGACTCGAGCAAGAGACTCAAGAGAAACTTAGACTTGAGGCAGAGCGGAAGAAGAAAGAAGCTGAGGAGCAAGAAGCCGCCGCGAAGGCAGAAGAAGAACGTCTGAGGGCAGAGGCAGAAGCTGAACGTCTGGCGAGAGGAGAGGATGATGGCACCCTCAGCAATACCAATGCAGATCCTGAACCCATGGAAGACGTTCGGGGCGCTGAAGGTGCCATTAGCGTTGATGTATCTGAAAATGCCACATCAGCAGCAGATACCCGTCCACGGGTTTTCACCACGATAAGAGGCCGACAGCTCGACATCACGGGTCTTTCAATCGATCATGACTACCTCGAGGCTCTTCCTGAAGAATTACGGGAGGAAGTTATCATGCAGCAGTACGCTACCCGTCGGGAAGAGGCCCAACAAGAAGGCAATACTGATCCAAACGGAGGGATTGACCAAGATTTCCTCAATGCCCTCCCCGAGGAGATTCGCGAGGAACTCAGACAACAGGAGGCACATGCACAGAGACGGCGGGAACGTGAGGCCGCTAGAAGACAGGCCTCTGCAGCAGCTGGTCAAGCACAGCCCGAGGAAATGGACAATGATAATTTCTTTGCCACCTTGGAACCGGACATTCGTCGGGCTATTCTCGCTGAGCAACCACCGGAAATCTTGCGACAGCTCAATCCTCGACATGCTGCCGAAGGACGTGCACATGCGAGACGTCTAATGCATTACACGGCCGTTGGAAATGGAGATTCTCGCGACGACCGAGCGAATGATGGCCCACAGCGTGATAAGAAGCAAATCATTCAAATGGTTGACAAGGCAGGGGTTGCTACTCTTCTCCGATTGATGTTTCTCCCTCAACAAGGATCACTTCGGACGAATCTTTGGGCAGTCTTGCGAAACATCTGTGGTAATCGACAGACGAGATTCGAAGTCATCCACCTCCTCCTCATTGTTCTCAAGGAGGGTAGTACGGATGTCAGCGCCGTCGAACGCTCTCTTGCAAATCTCTCACTGCGAGCCAAGGCCACGGTCGGGCAGAAGACACCCCAACCGTTAAGACGCACACTATCGATGCCTGCTCATGGTGGACTGAGTGACGAGGTCACGCCGTTGGTGGTTGTTCAACAATGCCTTTCCGCCCTCAAACAGCTGTCCTCGAGTGGGATGCATATTAGAACAATCTTTCTCCGCGAAGTTGATGTCAACATGGTCTCCAAGAAAGGGAAGGCGAAAGCCGCAGAAGCAAAATCGGCTAGATACCCACTGAACGATCTTGTGGGGCTTCTCGACCGCAAGTTGATCGTTGAGAGCTCAACTTGCCTCCAATCTCTTGCAGAATTACTCGCTGCAGTGACCTCCCCCTTAGCGACACTGTTGAAAAAGGACAAAGAAAAGGTTTCGACTGAAAGCAAGGCGATTGAGGACTCGAGTGGTGATGCGACAGCATCGACCGACTTGCCTCAACCTGCCACAAATGATACTCTGAACGAAGCAAGCGCCTTGAGTGAGACAGTATCCCTTCATGGTGTTGACGAAGCAGGCGCCGGTACCGAACCTACCTCGGATAGCACAAAGATCGACAACGTGGACGAGTCTGAGGATAACAAATCCAAAAAGACATTCGAGCCCCCTGAAATTTCGGAGCACAATCTCAAACTGGTTGTTAGTATTTTTGTCGCTCCCGAGTGTAATAGCGACACTTTTCATTCCACCTTGGAGACGCTGTCAAGCTTATCATGGATACCGGGAACCGCTTCAGTCTTCAGTAAAGAGCTGATAAGCCATGTCAAGTCTCTTTCACATTCCATCAGCCTAGACCTGGATGATCTTTTGCCGCATTTGAGGGATGCACAGTCAAGCACAGACTTGCACAGCATTTCTTCATCAAAATTTTCTCACTCAGGCTCTGACCAGGTCAAGCTGTTGCGAGTCCTTCAGGCTTTGGATTATCTCTCGGCCCCCAAGAAGGACGCAGAAGACGGTGAAGACAATCCGGCCGTGAAGAGTATCTTAACTTCATCCTACGACACTCTTGCCCTCGGTCCTTTGTGGGCTAAACTGAGTGATTGTCTAGCAACCATCCGCGAGAAGGACAACATTACAAGCTTTGCAAATATCCTCCTCCCCCTCATTGAATCTTTGATGGTTGTTTGCAAGAACACCTCTCTCAAAGATTCGGTGCTGGTCCGTCAAGTTAGGGAGCATGCTGTGGGAAGTCCACCTCCGGAGTCCCTTAACGATCTTGAAGAACTCTTTTTCAACTTCACCACCGAGCATCGAAAGATACTGAACGACATCATCCGTCAATCTCCTAAGCTGATGCAGGGCAATGGTAGTTTTAGTCTGCTGGTCAAGAATCCGAAAGTGCTCGACTTTGACAACAAGCGCGCTTACTTCACGAAACAAATCCACTCTCGATTACACCAGCAGAGACACATTCAGCCGCCTTTGCAGCTCAGTGTTCGTCGTGATCAAGTGTTTTTGGACTCCTACAAGGCGCTATACTACAAGTCAGCTGATGAGATGAAATATGGCAAGCTCAATATCCGCTTCAGTGGCGAAGAAGGTGTTGATGCGGGCGGTGTCACCCGTGAATGGTTTCAGGTACTAGCACGTGGCATGTTCAACCCTGACTGGGCCTTGTGGCAACCTGTGGCTGCAGATCGCACCACTTTCCACCCCAATCCCTTGAGTTGGATCAATGGCGAACATCTTCTCTACTTCAAATTCATTGGTCGAATCATCGGCAAGGCTTTGCATGAAGGCCGTGTCCTCGACGCTCACTTCAGCCGCGCTGTCTACAAGCGCCTTCTCGGCAAAGAATCCAACCTCAAAGATCTAGAGTCCATGGATCTTGATTACTACAAGAGCTTGATGTGGATTCTACAGAATGACATCACAGATGTCATCACCGAAGACTTTTCGGTCATTGAAGAGCAGTTTGGAGAAGAAAAGGTTGTGGACTTGATCCCTGATGGTCGAAATATTCCCGTCACAGACGAAAACAAGATGGAATATGTCAATGCTCAGGTACGCTATCGGTTGACGACATCAGTGAAAGAACAGCTTGAATCATTCGTTCGAGGTTTCCATGACATTATTCCAGCCGAATTAATCGCCATCTTTGACGAGCAAGAACTGGAGCTGCTCATATCGGGCCTGCCTGAAATTGATGTTGATGATTGGAGGGCTCACACGGAATACCACAACTACACTGCCAACAGTCCTCAAGTCACCTGGTTCTGGCGTATAGTCCGTGGTATGAGCAACGAAGAAAAGGCCAAACTCTTACAATTCGTCACTGGTACCAGCAAGGTTCCACTCAACGGTTTCAAGGATCTAGAAGGAATGACTGGGACGACATTGTTCAGTATCCACAAGTGAGTACAATTCGCTGTCACTCTTGAGAAGACGAGATAACTAATATATAACGCGCAGGGATCCTAGCCAATCACGCCTTCCAACCAGTCACACCTGCTTTAATCAGCTTGACTTACCGGCTTACGATGATTATGATACTCTGAGGAGTAGTTTGATGACAGCGATTAATCTTGGTGCAGACTATTTCGGGTTTGCATGAGTAGGGGGAGGTCGATCAAAAATGGGATTGATCTGGAAGATTCGTCCTAATGTCACCATCATGGCGTTAAACTGGCCTGATTTTCTCATACTCATAGCTGCAGGACACTTGTGTAAATGGGGCGCGTCACATTTGCCTGTGTCATAGGACACGTACAATGGCAAGGTGGAACTGTATGAAAAATTGGAGAGCTGATCAGACTAGGGGAGTCGGCATATCTTACAGTGGCCTTGCAAGGCAGGGAGGGGCTTTATGAATTGTGCAGAATTCAAGGTCTTGCCCTGCCTCAAAGCGCCGTTGCTACTAGATAGATTATGTAGGAAATGATTGATTCCATCAAGCAAGAAAAGTCTCTGCATTGCCTTTTGAACATGAGTTGGTATCACGAATCCGCAATTGATGGTCATCAATAGTTGCGTAGATCGGTTATATGGTTCACCGTATCGTAGATCCCAAGTACGGTCAAGTAGAAGATACATCACGCGTAGCCATCTAGGTCGAGACTCGCCAAGTCCTGATCTAACCATTTATGGTCATTCCGCACTTTACAGTCCACAACTCCAACTTTTCGCAACATCAATTTCTTCTGGCGCTTTGTCTTCAACATCAATCAATTCGCCCAACACCTCTCCCGAAGTCGACCTCACCCTCCGCCAGCATGGTAAGCTTGCGATACCTAAACCCTCATTGTCCTCCTCCCACCTCTCGAAACATGTCCTGAAGGGCGACTTGAGCCGTGTAAAATCGGTGCAGTCACAGTCTCTTGACAACGATGCTATATCCGCCGCACCGGAGCAGTGCCTGAACAAGTTTCAAGACGAAAGCTGCTTTGAACTCTTAGCTGAGACCTCAAAGCATGTGTATCGCCTGCGACTGGTCTGGTATCTCTCTGTGTCGCTGGTGATGAAAGGCTGGAGACGGGAACAAAAGTACACTCCCTACGACGATCCTCAACCATGGACCTGCACGAGTAAGAGGATGGCGTGACAACCTCCTCACTCCAACAACCATGTTTGATCAGGATTATGTCACTGGAAGAGTCTTTCCGTTCCTGTCTCCTTAGAGTCAAAAGAACATGTTTTTGATCAGGCAAAAAGAGAAAAAAAACGTACACTGTATGAACATTTTCGCTGATCAATTCTTCTTTTCTCAATGATAGCCACCCAAAGGAAAGAAACCCGCCGCCGCGCCCTTCCCTCAGGGAAAAGCCGGATCGAGCAAGAAGGCCGCAAAGGTGAGTTTGCTTCCTCAATTTCTTCAACCTACAAGCGGTTGAAGGAGATAGATGTCTGTCGTCGAATGAACTATACTAACATTGCACCTCAGAACCCCCTTCTCGAGAAGAGACCTCGCAACTATGGCATCGGTCAAGACATCCAGCCCTCGCGCAACCTGTCCCGCATGGTGAAGTAAGTAGCTCCAGTCTCTTCCGACCAGGTTCCCAGTACCGTATCGATCAGTCCAACTAATCTGATTTGCCCTCGTTCAGGTGGCCTGAGTATGTCCGTCTTCAGCGCCAGAAGAAGATCCTCAACCTGCGATTGAAGGTCCCCCCTGCGATTGCTCAGTTCCAACACACTCTGGATCGCAACACCGCCGCCCAGGCCTTCAAGCTGCTCAACAAGTACCGACCTGAGACCAAGGCTCAGAAGAAGGAGCGTCTCCTCGCCGAGGCCACCGCCGTCGAGCAGGGAAAGAAGAAGGAAGATGCCAGCAAGGTATGCTAGGTTCCCGTGTCGCTGTGTAGTGATACACCGATGCTAACCATGGATTGTTTTAACAGAAGCCATACACTGCCAAGTATGGTCTGAACCACGTTGTTGGCCTGATTGAGAACAAGAAGGCCGCCCTTGTCCTGATCCCCAACGATGTCGACCCCATCGAACTGGTTGTGTTCCTGCCCGCTTTGTGCCGCAAGATGGGCGTGCCATATGCCATCATCAAGGGCAAGGCCCGCTTGGGTACGGTTGTGCACAAGAAGACCGCCGCTGTCGTCGCCCTGACTGAGGTCAAGTCCGAGGACAAGTCTGAATTGAGCAAGCTGGTCTCGGCCATCAACGAGGGATACCTGCCCAAGACCGAGGAGCACCGACGTCACTGGGGTGGTGGTATTATGGGAGCCAAGGCTGTGGCTCGACAGGAGAAGAAGAGAAAGGCTATTGAGCAGGCCATCAAGATCTAAATGGACTGACTCTCTCCACCCTGGGTCCACTTCCCACGGATTCGGACCTATGGGACCTCCATCACCGACCTATCCTCTCAACCCTGCCCGACTGGTTCATCTTGTTGCCATCGTGATGCCCTCATACTCCCTCACTATCTCAAACACGCCATACGCCACCTCCCAATCAATGCACGGGCTTTCAAGACCTCGACGTGAGGTAGCCACCTGCTCGCTGCACCACTTGCATGAAACCAATTCTTGCTTGCGCTCCGCATGATTAGCATGACACGAGTGTGCGTCATGGGAAGCAGCATCTGACGAATCGGGATTCTGCAAAGCATGATACGCCATAATCAAAAGTCCATAGGGCGGAATTGTTGAACTCGATGCCGTGGCTGCACGGACAATTCCTCGAATGATGAAGTGATTGCATTGTCATTGACGATCACATTTTAGCTTGACTTTGTAGGTTGCTGTGCGGTTGGTTCTGATACCGCTGCTCCTCATTAGAATCCTTGGTCGTCACCATAAAAATGAAGAAAACAATCAGAATATTGAATGCATAAGTTTGATGAACACTTGGTGCATTTCAACAACCATATCCGTAGGCCTGTCATTTGGACAATTGTAGATGCAACAGACTTACTTGCTCCTGGTCGATTCTATCCGGGTACGGTACTAAATTGACGGTATACGTGGGCCTTGCAGCGGGAGATGCCTTCTCGGGACAGTCCATCAGATGTAGCATAGCAGATTTTAAGTCATCGTCATCCAATATCACATTATAAACTAGCGCCATTGGTGGCCCCTGCCTGTGGTCTCATTACTCGAACGGTCTTCCGGTCTAGCAAAACCAGACATACCGTGAATATCTCCTTCGGAGGAAATGCCCAAAAATCCGCCTCGCTGGTCAACCTATGCAACTGACCGCGCCAAGCCATGTGTCGTGACAGAGACAAGCGTGATGACCGCCGGTGTCCGAAAGCGCCGGTCCAGCGGACGACAAGACTATATACAGGCCGAAAAGCCAAACTGGAAATGACATGGTCGAGGAGTCAGTTCTGTGATGGACAACGACACTCATCAGCCCGCCACCGAATATTCACAACCGATGGAGCCAATGTAGAAGAAGATGATTGGCGAAGACGAAGCTCAGTTTTTGGCGAGACCTTGTCGTGCCTGGAAAAGAATTGTCAGTGACGATTGTGGAATAGATGATATCGGACACACCTTCATGGCCTCAATCCTTGCCTTCAACTGGCTTGTGACCTCGGCTGCTCGCTTCCAGTTCTCTTCTCCTCGATGGTGGGAACCACCCGCCGCAGAGTCACTTGGCTCACGGCTTGTAAATGTTGGTCTCTGTGGACTGCTCCTTCCACTGCCGTTCGACATCGGGTTTACAGGAGGACTGATTTTTCGCCGGGCAGCAGTGACATCGAACCCACCATTCTCCTTTTCCTCACTAGGGCTAAGTTCTATTCGACCAGGAGTGTAGCCACTTTGGGGGCGCTGCTTCGAATTCGCAAGTCGAGCGCTGTTTGTACTTGTCGTGCTGCCTGCCCGTTGTAGCGAGCTCTGTGGTCGTGAGGATTGTGGGGCACCATTATGTGACGGATATCGGGTGATGGCATGGTCTTCGTAGATGCCACCGGTCTCGCCCGCAAATTCATCAAAGGCACGCCCACGGGCAGATTCCTCCTTTTCTCGTCCGAAGCTTTCGCGCCCTAACCTCGAGACCTCTCGCTTGTACCGCTCACTCTCCTTGCGAACACTTTCGATTTCGGCCTTCAAGACGTCGCACTCGCCCCGTGCTCGAACGAGTTGGGTTTCCTTGGCTTTGATTTGCAGGACGTCTCGGGTGTGATCTTCGATCAGCTGGGCATTTTGGTTCTGAAGCTCGGCGATCTCGTTGGACAATTTGGCATTGCTGCTTCGAAGGCTGTCACTTAACGCACTGAGCCTCTCCTTTTCGGCTCGTAGCTCCTCGAGCTCGGCACGTTCCATCGCCGACATGCCATTTGCGACTGAGGCCATGGGTCCTGGTGAGTGTGGCGTGGCTGCGGGCCGCTGGAGGGGACGCCCAGCGAGGCCACCACGACCAAGGCCGAATTTAGACGGGGAGGGCGCGGCAGCTTCTTCATCGCCGTCGGCGCTCATTGGAGGTGACATTACTCGTCTTTGTGGACTTGCTGCACCGCTAGCAATCCCAGGTTTCTTCAAACCACCCAATTTCAGTCCAGAAGGCTGAGCCAAACCCGGTCGCGAAAGGCCACCAGGCTTTGGTAGTGCTTTGGCGGTAGGTTTGGGCTGGAGCGGAGCCGGGTCATCGGGGGGTGGAGCGGCGACCGGGGCAGGCTTTTTGGCAACAGGTCTTTTGCCTCCTACAACTTTCTTCGCAGCACCTGGCGCAGGTTTCGGTGGCGCTGGAGCTAGCTTGGGTTTCTCTTTCGCCTTGACCTCTGCAACGTCGAAAAATTCCTTGATCTTGGTTGTTCGAATATCATCTAGGCCTTCCAGATATGGGTTCATGGCTCTTTCGCCGAGAATCTTCATCAATGTCCCCAGCATCTCAGCCCCCGCAGCTCTGAGAGGCTCAGTTGACTCCGTGAGCAACTTTGTGGCGGCATCCGCGATCGACTTCTGCTCTGGTTTGGACGGAACATCTCGAGTGGTGCGTAGACATCTGATGAGAAACTTTGCAGTTTCGAGTTTGACCTGAGGATTTTTGTTAGGCAGGAAACCCAAGGTTTCCTCGAGACACTCAGTTAACGAAGTGGCAGTAAAGACAGCGTCCAGAGCGGCGCCAATGGCATCAGCCACAGATTGCTTCTTCTCCTTGAGACGTTCAAGCATAGGTGATAAAATGGTGGCCCGATACTTGGCAAAGCCTTTCCTCAGACCCTGGGCAAGTTTTTCCGTGCAGTTAGCAGCTACGGTGACGACGGCGATATTGGCGTCCTTCATACATTTGGCAAAACTTCGAACAAGGTCATCATACGGGCCCTCCTTGATGCGTGGAGTGTTGAGAATATTGAACAGGGCGTCCAGGGCTTCTTTGCGATCTTTCCACTTTGTGGAGGCAATCATCTCTTGAAAATTGGCGGGCATTTTGGAAATGACATCGACGGGCTCGGCTAGATCAAAGGCATTGACTTCGGCATCGTCATCTTCGGGTTCGTCATATTGAGCATCGTCGTCGGCGTAACCAGCAGCAGCAGCAGGAGGGGCAGAAGCAATAGCGGCTTGCTGGGAACGCGTCAAACGTTCTTGTTTTGGGGGAGGATCCTCCTTGACCTTTTCGAACAATTTTTCGAGATCTTGCTGCTGAACCGGCTTCAACTCGTTCCAGAAAATGACCTTCATGGCGTCCTTGAGCCATCGATAAAGTTCGACGGTCAGGTTTTGGGCCTCGGCACGGACATTTTTGTCCGCATGTGCAAAGACCTTTGGTAATGACTTTAGGACAGGCTTTGGTTCGACAACTTTGATACCATATGCGTGAAAAATTGAGGTAATGGCGCTCAGGGTGGCGGCAATCACCTTGGGTTGCTTGTTTGAGAGGGCGGGGATTAATTCTTCGATGACAGGATCAGACTTGTCGATTTCGACATAGAGCAACAGAGCTTCGAGGGCACTGGCCTTTGCAGCGGGTCTGGTGGAGGAGAGACCTTTTTCAGAAATGGGTTGGAGAGTGTAGGAGCGGGATCTTGTGGCGGCCTCGCGACCTCCGTACTTGAGAAATGCACATAACGAGGCTAAACCCTCTTGCTGAGCGGCGACATTGGAATCGGCGACAGCAGCTTTCCACAAACTGGGATCATTGAGAAATGGTCTGAAAGCGGGGTCCGACTCATCGGGAGTGACTTCAAAGGCTTTGGCAGCAGCCTCGTAGGCCTCCTTCCGGACCTTCCAATTCTTGTGGACAAAGCGATCTGATAGGGGCAGCTGGGAGAAATCCTCTTCCTGGCCGTCGGCCATTTTCAAGGAGCTGGGACAGAAGAGGCGATAGAGAGCCTGGAATCGAGATGACGGTTCTTGTGTGCGCGGCTGTTTTCGAGAGCGAGCTAGAGGGCTGTGAGAGAACATCAGTAATTGAAAGCAAAGGAAGGTAGAGAGTGCGTGGTGGCATAGATAGGAGGGAGGAGTAGGAGTGCATCGCTCGAACGGATCAAGGATAGGATTGGAAGATAGCAACGACAGCACTTTTGAGGAAGATTGTGTCCTTACGGTCAGCAGCGATTCTGCTTAATATTGGATATGGCAAGGTGCAGCGCGGTTCATGGGCAGATATGGAGGGTGAACGGTTGGGCGGCTGAGTGCGTATGTGATTGCGCAGCATGCGTGCATGCGACTGCCGTCACAAGATAAACAAAGATTCAATGCAGGCGCGATGATGGCGGGAGTCAATGGGAAGGCGCGGTCGTGGAGGTGGGAAGAGTGCGTGGAAGGAACGATGGAGGAAACGGAAACCAGTCGAACAAGTCAAGGCAGTCGCTCACTTGTGGCGCGACAGGAGGGTGATCCGAGGAGACTCAATTGTCGGGAGGGCGTTGGGCGTTGGGCGTTGGGCGTCAGAAGAGAACAGAGTCGAAGAAGCCGTGGGCAGTGAGAATAGGCAGTCGTAACAGAAGGAGCCTGTGAATTAATTCGAGACGCTACAAACAAGCGTAGTGGTAGTGCAATGCGATGCGAACGACTGGTGTGGCACCCAAACATTGATGAGGGCGTCTCCTTGTAGGGCAAATGGTAAATAATATGACGATGTTGTGCTGGGCAGCGGTTGTGGCTGTTGATTGGTTGGCTCGTGTGGTTCCAACAACACAAGAACTCATCCACATCTCCACAACCAGACTTGCCAGACTTCCAGTCCATCTGCGGATTGACAACATGTACTACAAGGCTTGCATAAACTCCCTCCTCCTCTTCTTCTACCAAACAGTCTAAGCAGTCACCCAAGTTTTCTTCCACCGCTCCTCCCGCTTACAATCGCCATCAGTGGCCTTTCTTTGTCTTTTCGATTCCAAAAGACCTGTGTGGCCCAATTCTTCAATTGGATTTCAATTCACTTTATTTCTCGTCCCCTGGTCTCGCTGACTTTCAGGCCTGTCCAGGAGAACCCATCTCCGTATTCTGCAAACTACCACCATCGTCTGCGACATTTCTCACACTTTGCACCACACCAACGAACCTTGCCCTTCTCTCCCGCGACCGCTTGTTTTCTGTTCAACCTTCAAGTGCATGGGCTCCTAATTCACTTTTCTGGGCCTGACGCCCCGACCTGGCACCATGTCCCAACTTTTGACCACGCGACAAGCGGATGAACTGTAAGACGGGCCTGACAACATGGCCAAAAGCTTTTGACTGATTGTCCGTGTAGGCACAAGTCCATCATCGCGTACCTTCTCTCTGCTGGCATGACCGAGTCCGCGGCATCTTTGCGTAAAGATTCCAACCTTGCCGATACCTTTGATGAAGTCACGGCTAAAAAATATGAAACATTACTGGAGAAGAAATGGACATCGGTTGTTCGCCTACAGAAAAGGATCATGGACCTTGAAGCCAAAAACATGGCTCTTCAGAACGAGCTGGACTCGGCCACACCACTATCTTCCAATCGCAAGATAGACCCCGCCACATGGCTCCCCAAGAACCCCCCGCGCCATGTCCTGGAAGGCCATCGATTCCCCGTCACCTCCGTCGCCTTCCACCCGGTTTTCTCTTCTCTTGCGTCGGCCTCGGAGGACTGCACCATCAAAATCTGGGATTGGGAGCTGGGGGAGCTCGAAAGGACGCTAAAGGGCCACACCAAAGCCGTGCTCGACATTGACTTTGGTGGGCCCCGAGGTGGAACACTTCTGGCCAGTTGTAGCACTGATTTGACCATCAAACTGTGGGATCCAAGCGACGAGTACAAGAACATTCGCACCTTACCCGGCCACGATCATTCCATCTCTTCGGTCCGCTTCATCCCCTCTGGCGCCGCCGGTGCCCCACTGTCAGGGAACACGCTAGTGTCGGCGTCACGAGACAAGACGCTGCGCATCTGGGATGTCACCACTGGTTATTGCTTAAAAACGCTCAAAGGACACACCGACTGGGTTCGAGCCGTCACCCCATCCTTCGATGGCCGGTGGTTGTTGAGCGCGGGCAATGACCAGGTGCCCCGCCTGTGGGATGTCAACACGGGCGAGGTCAAGATTTCGTTCCTGGGCCATGAACATTCACTGGAATGCGTCGCTTTTGCCCCGAGTTCGGCTTACACGCATTTGGCAGCTCTTGCTGCTTACAAAAAGCCCCCTCCGGCCAGCAGTACGGGCGAATTTCTCGCGACTGGGGGCCGTGACAAGCTGATCAAGATATGGGACAATCGAGGGACGTGCCACAAGACCCTGGTGGGACATGACAACTGGGTGCGCGGTCTGGTCTTTCACCCTGCGGGTCGTTATCTCCTCTCCGTCTCGGACGACAAAACCATCCGATGTTGGGATCTTGCCCAAGAGTGCAAGTGCGTCAAGGTGGTGGACGAGGCCCATCAGCATTTCATCAGCAGCATCAGATGGGCGCCGGATGTCGCCGTCCAGCCCACGTCAGACCTAGGGGCCAACGCAACGACTTCGACAGCGAAAAAGGAGGAAGGAACCAGCGGAGGCAAGATCCGATGCGTCATCGCCACGGCCAGTGTGGATCTGAACGTGCGCGTGTTTGCAGGATGATCGAGACTTGTCGTCTGGGAAGACCATCCTGAGCCGGGCATCTGATCCAGTCTGGTCCACTGCTTGTGGGAGGATTGATTGGTTTATAGACATGAAGCCACACGAGTGTACGACTACGACTAATGAGATGAGAGATGCCATGTCAACTACTCACCACCACCAGAAATGGATGTCCTCTGTGCCTTGGGTAACTTATCGATCTTGCTGCCTATCAAGGTATGTATTTGTACGAAGATAATGTGCACCGCCAAGCTGTCCTGGCAATATTGTAGACCGTCCCGAGACACCGTCCAGGGGCCCCTCGGGCTGAGGGGCTCTTGCTTCTTCTCAATCCTATGGCGACACACTGCACTTGGCCAGGCAGGCGCGGACAGTACCGTAGAGTAGCCACGCCATTCCGTTTTCGGACATCAACATCTCCACTGCTCCTTCCCTTGCTTGTCTCCATCCTCATCGTCTTTGGTAATTTTTTTTCTTCTTCTCTTCGTGTCAAACATCATCATCTGCCTCACGTTCAGAGACAAGACAAAGGAATGATCTCAGACAAGGCTCCATCTGATGCACACCAAATTCACACCATTACAGACTCTGAGTCACACTGTCTCTGAGCCTCGCTCCGTTCAAGTGTCCGATGCAAACCTGCGAACCTCCCAATCACTGGAGCCAAAGCATGTCGGAGAACTGCGGGAGGTCAAACGAAGCATCCGTCATTTTGCATATGCCTTCCCAGCTTCTATGCCAGCGACTGTGGACCTGGGTATAGTACTTCTCAGCGCTTCATCTCGATCGATTTGTCCGCGTCAATTTCTTGCAACCCAATCTGCTTTTGTTGGAGCGCCCCCGACCTTTGTCTTGGGCCAGTCTCATCGAAACTGAACTGATGCCAAACACCCACCAATGATGTCGCATGCATCCAACCCCCGAGCTAATATGCCTCTCCCTCTTCTCCTCATTTGCTTCACTTCAAGATGAAACCCAACAGTCTCCCGTCGCTGGGTCAAGCAAGTTGCAAACCAGCCTGATGAGCATGCTAATTCGAGCCTCGTCCCTCTTTGACGAGCCCAGCAACCGCTCTCGCAAGTTCACCATCCCACGAACACGGCTCCACTCGATCTTGCACAGACATAGCCTCATTCTTTGTTTCCTCTGCATTCCTCATTTTATTGTTTCGGGTGCACGGTGATTCCATCGCATATTCCCGCCTAGGCACCTGTTGAGAACAAAGCAAACCACTCCAACATTGCCAAACCCCAGCCCCATCCTTCCACCAATAGTCATGTCATCTTGTTCTTCTCAAGAGACAAAGAAAGATTGCCACAAGATGGCTGATGACAAGTCTCTTTCTCTGTCACTTTACAAAGTAATAGGCATGGCCTCTTTTTCTATTCGTCGGTCCTGCTCACCCAGACCACTGCACGGTCCTGGAGAACAAATTCCTTTCTTCGCGCCATGACTCCTCCATCTCAGGATCCGCCACCTCCAGCTCTTCATCGTCGTCTCCCGGATCCCGCCGCCAATGGTCGTCCAGCCTCGCGCCGGCCTTCTTCACTGAACCAGCATGATATATTTCCCAACCCAGTGATCCCTTGTGGCTTTGCAGACAATGCCAGTCGGAGGAGTACCTTTCACTTTCCCCCACCCTCGGCTTCGAGACTTGGTGATGCCAGTGATCAGATGTTCCGTTCAATGTCCACCACCGGCCATGAATCAGCTTCTCGTGAGGCCAGGGATGGCTCCACAGACTCTGCCCTTGACCGCCTACCCCATGACAGCGGCCCTAATGTTTGCCTCTGCCAACCTGACCCCAAAATTCCGAGACCCCGAAATTGTGAGATGATGCTTTCTTATACCTTGGCTCCTCTCCACACCGCCCACCACTAATACACTTCCCTCTAGCCTTTATACTGTTCCGTCAGGCCCAACAAGCCAACATCATCGCACAGAACCCTGGTATTCCCAATCCGGAAGTTTCTAAGATAATCGGGAAACAATGGCAGCACCTGTCAGTTGAAGCCAAGGAGGAATGGAACACGCTTGCGGAAGTATGCCAAAGACCAACTTGTCCTTTTCACAAAGAGCTTTGTCCACTGACCCAATGCCTCATTAGTTAGAGAAAGCCCGTCATCAAGAGCAATATCCAGGCTATCGATACCATCCTCGTCGCACTGGAAGGAACAGTAGCCACGCCTCCATAAGCGGCCCATCTTCCACAGAGCACCAGGAACCGTGCTTAAAGTGCGGCAAGAAACCCATTACTCACCCAATCCACAGCCCAGTTGCACCAACCCATCCTCCCGCTGAGACCATATCTGCATCCAAAATGGCCGTGCAGATACCCGCAAAACGTGGCTACATCGTCAGCAATAGCCATATCCAGCGACCACATCATGCGCCCCCGGCTGCGTCTCCCGAGTATCACGGCCAGCAACAATCCTTCGTCGAGGCATATCCATTCTCACGAGTTGACCCTAGATTGATATATGCTGTACCACCAACTGCTCAACGTACTCCACCTACCGACTCACAAGAAGCCAAGAGAAGACGGTATGATAGTAGCGGAATGTACATCGCCCCCGGCCAACCCTATCCAGACCATTCATATGCATACCCCAATTCCCCTAGCGCTGCCTACACCCGCGGCGAACCAGGCCGACAGATGCATGCGCCTCATGCCCCATTGCATCGTCCTCACCCGGTCCAGCTCACGAAGCCGCCTCTCATCTCGCCTCCTCGGGGCCTGTATCCTCATCCGCCCCAGTTGCAGCCGGTGCGACCTCCACCTGCTCAGCAGCAAAGAACGGCCTCCAGCGTGGCACTACCACCCATCGAAACCATGGTCTCTGCTTTCCCTCATAAGACAGGCTCGGCATCCACTACTTCCCAGAGCTCTGGGGTCGAGGCAATGATCATGTCCATTCCTGTTCTCAATAGAATCCGCGTTCTGTCCCAGATCTCCTCCCCCCTCCCGTCTCCCGGATTGACCTCGCCAAGGCCTGATGTTCGAGGTGCCATCATCGCCATCGAAGGCATGGACGCTGCGAGTGTCAGGAGCATGTCTTGTTCACTGGCTGATCAACTGGAGAAAGAGGGGAATTTTGCCGTCAAGATATTTGAAGGCCCCAACCCTTATCAATCCATGAGGGAAGCCCGCAACATCACCGTGAGGCACCACAAGACATTGACTGCGGAATCATATCTGCAAATGCTGAGTGAGTGGCATAGGCTCAATAAAGAAATGGTCGAATATATCACGACTCGACCTGGCCAATCCGTTACTCGAGACGCGCCAATCACCCTCGACAACAGCCAAATGGTGTCTACAAAAACCACCAGAGCAATGGACACCCCCAGGGCGGCCTCACCCATTCGAAAGTGGAGTGTCGTCGACGAAAAAGTGGATGACACCAGGGAAAGCCTTTATTCCGCCGTTAGCCCAAAGACATTGGTCGGAGCTCCTGATCAGTCGACCACCCCGCCACCGCCACCCAAAACTAGGAGTCAGAGTCAAGCCGAAGGGACTCTTCCTGTGACGGGCGGCAGAGATTCTGAATCACGTCCCCCTTCGTTAGCTCTTCCCCGGCCTCTTTACTCAAGTCGCATCCCGCCTCCTCCTGCTCCGCCGCCGCCGACACCTCCCATCCCTCCACCGCCACCGAGCAGCAAACTTGTATCGCGTCATTCACTGGCTGCAGGTGCTGAGCCCTCCAGATCAACTATAGATCTGACCACTCAAGCTACACACCCAAATACGGAAGCCGAGGAAGCCGATACTCAAATTATCGATGAGGGTGACGCAGAATTACAGGCCTCTCAAGCCAGTCTCAGATATCATAGACCGTCCAGCATCAACTCTCCCACGGCAATTCCGATTGCCATTGTTCCACACTTTCAGCTCACCACGGTTGATGCCAGTTCCATTTCGATGCCTATCAGTGATGGTTTCTCACCTCCTGCTCACTGGCAATGGTTTGCTACACTCTGGCGTGGAAGTGTCGGCCCAGACGTGACAGTTGTCATCAAGTCCACTGATGAGGAATCCGTTGAAGCCGGTACTGCGGGAGCCAGTGCAACGGTGCCCAGCCTCTCCAATACTGACCCTAATGGTGGCAATACCGGAGGGGTTATCGGCAACACCTCGTCAGCGAATCCCAGACCTCCAACACAAACTACAGGTCTTCCCACATCACTTTCTTCGGCCGCCAAACCTTCGACTGCGACTTCAATCACTTCTTCACAACCAAAAGCGATGGCTGCCTCGATATCTGGATCAAGCACTACCATGTCGGCCTCGGCGTCTAGTTCAGGCGTCGAAGTCCGTCTACATGACTGCCGCGCCGTGATTGTCAAGACAGGGATATTTGGCGTTGGCCTCAACTCTGGAGCTAAGCCTGCGGGGCCTAATGCTAGATCCGTTGGTGCAAAGGAGCTAGAGAACTGGGAGAAAAGTAAGAGACGAGTTGGCTTTGAAGTCGAAGAGTTCCTGAGAAAGTAGGAAGGCCGAGGTCCCGGTGTTTATGGAATCGCAGCCCCTTTGTTACGTTTAGGGACTTGCCAACAGATCCAAGTCAAACTCCTCGAAAAATGGAGAATTTATAGAAGCACTATGACAATAACAATCGTCAATCCCCACATGAGCGTCAACTGGGTTTGATGCATGATATCAGAGACCGAGCCAAACGAATGCTTCGCACCTAGCTTTGAATTGTCCTCCACCCACATCCTGCGCTGTGGGTGCCGTCAATTGCCTCAACTGCTTGAAAATACTCCACCGTCTGGTCAATTCAATCTTCTCTGCGGGAACTATATCCACATTCTTTCAACCAGTGCATTCCTCTCTCCAGCGTAATCTGGGCTGACACATCCTCCGTGGTCAGAAGATCGATATCCGGGATCGAGATGGTCAGGGCTTGGTTGCGCAAGCATGAAAATGTCTTGTGATACTTGCTCAATATTCAAATGTTGAGCTCGTCGCATCAGAGCAATTCGTTCATGGTGCTCTATCTACGCTACGTCACTAATGTCGTAGGCCCGATGGATGTTTCCGTCTACTGGACGGTACAAATGGAAGTGCCATCACACCGGCCGTGTTTTCTTACTCGCTGGGAGTGCTAGGGCTCTACTCCCATCAACAACAAGTCAAATGGTTTCACATCCTGGAAATAGATAGCCGACCTGAGTCTCCGTTGATGAATCTCGCTGGGGGATTGGAGGAGGTAATGGTCCTGTCGATGGTGCAATGAATATCTCTGTTAGCGAGCAGAGGTGTCTGCATTTTGGCATGCAGAAGTACTTTGGGTATTGTTCTCGTCTATCCTGATTCAGAGGCCCATAATGTAAAAAATAGAACATCCCACTAGGCTCAAGAAAAATTGCGCAGACCATTTCGGCCAAGGATGTGCCGAGAGATAAAGAATCCAGGGACATGTCGCTTGGCACTGCTGTACCGCTCACACGGCATGGTTGAAGAGATAACTAACACTTTCGCCATTATGTGTCCGCCTGATCGCCTCGGCCAGGACAGGGGCAATGTTGATAAACTCGAGTCGACAACCCTTCTGGCCATCTTCGACTTTGAGTGCTTCGATTTTGTCTTCCGATATGGGCACAGTATTCGTGATGACGAGCCGAGACAACTTTGAGTTTTTGAGGATTTCCACTGCTTTGCCAGAGAGGATGCCGTGGGTGACGAGAGCAACAACATCCTTGGCCCCATGCTTAATGAGGGTATCCGCAGCCTTGGCCAGCGTTCCACATGTATCTGCCATATCGTCCACGAGAATTGCGATCTTGCCTTCGACAGTTCCGACAAGGGTCATACGACTGACTTCATTTGGACGAGATCGTTCTTTATGAATTAGGGCAAAGGGAAGATCGAGTCGGTCGGCCATGGACGTTGCGCGCTTTGCGCCACCCGCGTCGGGGCTCACAATAACACAGTCCTGCTTTTGCCCGTTGATTTCGGCATTGTCCTCGGTAGCATGCATCAAGTTTTCTCGGATCCATTTCACCGAGTTGGGCTCGGCGTACAAGTTGTCCACGGGGACGTTGAAAAAGCCCTGAATCTGAGAAGCATGCAGGTCCATAGTGATGACATGGTTGCATCCTGCAGTTTGCAGCATATTTGCCATCAACTTAGCAGTGATGGGTGCTCTAGATTTATCCTTTTTGTCCTGTCGAGCGTAGGGAAAGTTCGGGAGGATTGCAGTGACTCGACGGGCGGAGGCAGTCTTGCATGCGTTACAGATGATGAGGAGTTCCATGAGGCCGTCGTTGATATCATTTGGCCGAGTGGACTGTAAGATAAATACTGTAGGTAGATGTCAGACAAAGTCTGGAGTAAATGGTGCTGGCCGTGGACCGAGATAGAGCTGATTGTCGATGCGCATGGATTGGCAGCACGTACCATCTTCGTCTCTCACGGATTCACCAATGGTTACACTAGTCTCCTGGTTGGAATATTGCAAGACCATAATCTTTGTAAGCTCGATGCCCAACCTAGACGCATTTGTAAGTTGAGCACATCGGTCTATGGGACTGTCGAAGACTTGTCTGAGAAGAGGATAGGCGTGGAGACGGTACTAACCTTGTGGCGACGGCTTTGGCAAGGTCGGGGTGACTGTTGCCAGTCAAGAGTTTGATCGAGTTTGTAGCCATGCCGGCGTAGTTTAAGGATGTCGACGTTATTGAGGGGGCATGTTGATGGAAAGGAGTAATGCGAGCGAACTTGGAGTCGACAAGTTCTGTCATCGACGCAGACCGAGAAAAAAAGCACAAGCCCCGCGGCTACGCTTGCGGCTTGGGCTTGGGCTTGATCGTGGGGAACGTTTTGTTAATGTCGGCCTGTGATTAGCTCCTCACATTCCAAGTCGCCACGCTCCACTCAAAACTCCCAAGTCGACCAAAAAAGCATATGAAAGACTAGAACGCTGTTTATCAAGTCTACCCACGTATATTCTAGGTGTGTGCGTGGAGGAGAATCAAGAGCACTACGGATAGAACTGAAGGAGAATCAGGAGGTTAATCGGTGTTTGCAAGTAATTGCGGGCTATCTGAGGGTTCTGTGTGGTCTGATTTGCTGTCTATTTGTGCCAACCAGCTGATGCCACACGGCGCACCACAGTAGGGCGATGCTTGCCACGTCAGGAATCATCATTATTTGCATGGTGGCACGGCAGATATTCTCCCGTGTGTGTCCGGCAATCCCAATTCTAGGTCCTTGCAGCTGAATAAGCTGTTCGGCGAGGAACATGAGATTGTGCCCAAGCTCGGGTTGCTTCACAGCCACATAGGGTCGATTTGTCTTTCCTCCGGTCTCTCGAGACTACAGGTACGCCAGGCAGACCATGTCAACCTATTTTCGGAGGGAAGAAGCACGTCTCTTTCTGAGCTCGGTTCTCTTCTCACGCTCCTCGTGCACGCGCTTGGCCAACAGCTGAGAGTACTCATTGGCGGCATCCTTGGAAGCTTCGGCACGTCTTCGTTTGAGGGCAATTCGGTGTCTCTTGTGTTGCAGGCGTTGTGGGGTGACAAGTCTCTGGATCTTGGGGGCCTTTGTGTAGGGTTTCGCGCCTTCCTTCTTGGGGACGACTTCACGTCGAATGACGAACTTGCTGTATCAATGGTTAGCATGTATGATGTGGTCGATGGAAAATGTTTTCTCGTACCGGACGTCATCTTGCTTGCTCAGACCAAAGAAGCGGCGGATCTTGGTGGCACGCTTGGGGCCAAGTCTCTTGGGGTTGACCACGTCGGTGAGGCCGGGAATATCACCTTCGCCTTGCTTGACGATTGAGAGAGCGAGGACGGAGAGATCTTGGGCAACGATGGAACCGCGAACGGATTTACGCTTGCGCTCTCCGGATCGACGAGGTCGGTAGCAAGAGTGGCCGTCGGCGAGGAGGAGTTTGACACGGGTTGGGAGTAACTGTAATGATTCAAGTCTCAGCGTGTTGTTTTCTTTCGGGACGCTGGCGCTTTTCAAGGGCAGGAAGTGGAACATACAACACCCTGCTTCATTGGAAAGCCTTGCTTGTCATTACCACCGGTAATGCGGACAATCTGTGAAACCCGTCAGCATCGACTTCAAGCTCAGTCGGTATCCATGTGTCCTTACGTAGCCCTTCCACTCATCACCCAAGCTGTCGGCTGGCACTTCGTTGCCCATTCGCTTCTCGAGGAAAACACGGAGTTTGCGCTCATCTTCGACCTCGATGAGTTTCTGCGACCCGTTGGCCGGGTAAGAGATGTTCAACTTCATCTTGTCAACGGGCTGAATAAGGCTGTCAAGACTGGCGACAAGTCTTAACAGATACAGCGGTTGATGATGGGGGATGTGAGGTCGATAAAAGACTACGGTTCTCCCTGCGATTAATTTTCACGGTTGTGGGTGGTGTGCCAAGAGTTTCGAACTCTGCGTGGCTATGATTGGCCAATCGTGAGCCCATTGTCTGGAGCCCTTTGACTTTGGCCTTGGAATAGTCCGGCTCCACTTGTCACGGGACTTGTGTGGGTGGTATGGATTTGGAGGCCATTACCCACAAGTATTTCTGTGGCTACACAGGGTCAGGAGAATAGAACGAAAGAAAGATACAAGTCAATTGTAGCTTATATGTTGCTATCGAGGCACACCATTTACATAGCCATTTGTCGCTTTTTCTAGCGCCAGATATTTCTTCTCCGCCTCCTCGATTGTCCTAATGTTTGCGCCCAGTTTGTTCATGGTCTCGATCCATTCGTCCTCCTCTACACTGTCAAACACGATACCCCCACCAGCCTGTAGATAAGCAACGCCATCCTTGACCACCATGGTCCGTAGAGCAATACAGGTGTCCATAGCACCTTCGTCCTCGATCCTCGACCCGTCAGATGAGACCCTGGAGAACCCAAAGTAGCCCACGGCGCCGGCGTAAACACCGCGTTTCTCTTGTTCAAGCTCGGCGATGAGCTCCATCGCCTTCACCTTGGGGGCACCAGACACGGTCCCCGCGGGAAAGATGCTGCGAAATGCGGTGAATCTATTTTCACCATCTCTCAAAATCCCCGAAACCTGACTGACGAGGTGTTGGACGTGGCTGAACCTTTCGACCACCATCAGTCTGTCGACCCGAGTAGACAATGGATCGCAAACCCGGTTGATGTCGTTTCTGGCCAAGTCAACCAACATGACGTGCTCAGCTCTGTCTTTGAGACTGTTTCGGAGCTCGTCGGCGAGCGCATCGTCCTCCTCAGGGTCACGCCCTCGTTTCACTGTGCCGGCGATTGGATGTGTGATTATTCGTCCAGCTTCCTCCTTTACCAGCAACTCTGGAGAGGCGCCTACAATACTGAAATCCTCACAGTCAATGTAAAAGAGATATGGTGAGGGATTGACTGTGCGCAGATGGCGATAAATGTTGAATGGATGGAGGGAGGTCGGTCGTGAGATACGATGTGATGGGACAGCTTGGATGATGTCCCCGACGTTGACGTGTTTCTTTAATCGAGTCACATGGGCTTCGTAGCCGACTTTGCCAAAGTTGGATTTAGAGGGCTGCCCCTGCACAATCGGGGGTTGATAAGGCAATGGAATGTGCTCTTCTTGAAGAACAGCAAGAGTCCTCCGGATGGTGTTGGATGCTTCAGCGTATGCATCTGAGATTGCAGCTGGAGTGTCGACCGTAGGAACCCTCACATAAGTGATGACTTTGCAGACATTGAAGAAATGATCAAATGCCACGATAGTGTCATAGAGCATGAAGAAACTCTCTGGCAATTTCAGTACATCCTTCATCGGTCGAGCCGTCTTGGGTTCGAAATACCGAACACAATCGTAGCCAACATATCCAATGACGCCTCCAGTCATAGATGGCAGCCGAAGTGATGGGACGGTGGCAACTCGGTACTGGGAAAGCTCTCGCTCGAGTTCAGGTAAGGGATCTTGCTCCGGACCATGGCCAGGACCTGACTTGATTACCTTGAGTGGGTTTGCTCCGACGAAGCTATATCGACCAATTGTGCCCGTGGTGGCTGCGCTTTCGTATAAAAAGGATAGTTTTGAATTCTGTGAGATTTTCAGGTAGGCTTGGGTCGGAGTAAAGAGGTCGGCAGAGATTTGAGCAGCCAGCGGCACAAGATTTGGAGGGTACTGGGAGGATTTGGATTTGGCGAGGATTGAAGTCACCTCATCGAGAGAGGGGAGGATCTGCTCCATGATGGCTGGACGCAGAGGGAGATAGGTCGGAAGGGCAGACCAGGCGAGGATCAGAATCTCGCGTCCTCAACTACATGCGTCAGCAGAATATTGTCGAAGAACACATGGACTGGAGATGTGGAAACACGTAGGGTGTGAGGTTGCGATCTTTCGTTGAGGTTGGACTGAGTCACTACTCTTCGAAATTCGCAGGCAAAGTGTGGTTGGCTGGCGGGTGGCAGCACTAAGTACGGAGTACAGTCTGTAGCCCGATTGTCCGACCCTGCGTTCGATCCCCACAAATTATTTGGCGTGCCCTGACCACACCACGGGCTACCTTCTGACTTGTGGTGCCTGGACATGGGCCTTCGATCTGGCAGATACATAACATGTGGGATGAACGATTGGTGGCTCACTAACACGAGAGACGTGTATAAAATCATAAAGGATACAATGCACGGCTGATAAGCAGCCCAATTGCCATCTCCTTTCTGAATATGGCCATCAATGCCATCTCCCAGGCATGCAAATGTGCAAAAATTTGACACGTGACTTGGGGTGGTGGGGAAGTCTCTGTGACCTCCGTGCCTCCCCAGCCACCGCCTCAGTAGCCACCGTGCCACCTTCCCAACTCCAATTCCAACTCCAACTTCAACTCCAACACAAAAGCCAATCGACAATTAATTGCACATGGCAAGAGTTGGCTTCTTTAACTGGTTACTCAGTATTAGGTAGTACCTTACTTCCATTCTACTCATTGTAGCCTTTCTTTCTCCCTACAAGTCAGTTGCTTTGGGAAAACCTCGCTACCTATCCTACTTTCCTCAGAATTACGCTGCCTATCTTATTCGACATCTTGATTATCTTTTTTGTAATAACGATACTATCTTCACAACCAACAAGGTCAATCTCCAGGGTGTAATGGTCACGGTGTGACTTTTTCCATGTGCATCCTCGTGACGACCATGTCGCAATTACACGAAGACCATGCGCCACTTGCACTTCAGTCTCCTATTCGACCAGGATCATCGTGGACAAGTAACTCGGGATTTGCCGATTCTGCAATCAGCCTCAGAAGTAATACTCCGCGTCCTATGGATGATAGTACAAAGACATTTGATGTTGTCGAAGAGCCCACACATGTCACAAATCGCTTGAACGGTCTCGTGTCTGAAATCTGGGCTATTGAACAAGATGGGAGTCTCCACCCGACCAAGCGAAGGAGGATCGAAAATGCCATCGATCTCATCGAGGCTGCCTTGAACGACGACGATCCTGAGCACCTGGACGATGCCCACTTTCAATCCCAATCACCTAATCCTTCTGCCCTATCGTCTTCCTCGGCCCTGCCTTCCGAGCTTGCAGTGGTTCGCGAGAATCTCGCAAGTACCATCGACTCCATGCGCATGCGCCAACACGAACAACGCCACCTCCAACAACTCACGGTTGAGAAACTCGAAGCAGTGGCCGAACAGTGCCTTCGCCAAGAAAAACGCCTGCATGAATTCTCTGATGAGATCGTCCGGCTGAAGAGAATAAACGGCGCCTTGGTTGAAGAAAATAACATGCTCAGTACTCAAGTCGATCTGACAACATTAGAATCGGTGAAAAGAGATACCGCGGTCAATGCCATGTCGAGTGCCGTTGCTGGTCTGGAAGGCTGGATTAATAACACGCCCACTCCTAGCCACAAGCAGCGAAAGATTGTGACACGCGGAAAGGGGCGTTTTAGAGGACGCTACTACGTCGATGACCCCGAACCATTCGACTCTGAATACAACGTCGCTGATTCCCCAGACACCAAAATTCGCGAAGGCGTCAATTCCTGGCTTCGTGGATTTCGCGACATCGAGGACGAATTGCGTTCCTCCGCTTCTGCAATAGGTGCGGCACCACGACATGCGCATAAGGACGACGACGACGATTGGGGAGATTTCGAGAGCGCCGCAGCCTGACATCGCATCGTTTTGATGCTCTTTAGGGAGGAGCTGGTGCGTCCGGTCTGCTGAGTTGCTGTGAGTGTCCGGGGGTTGCAATCGTGCTCTGCGACTCGACTTCTGCGCAAATGATCAAGCAATCGGCTTCAGTCTCGCAACAGATGTGGCAGTTGGGCGTGATGCAGATCACGCTGGGATTCATCAAGACTTCAGATTCATCCCATCAGCGTTGAAACTCAATGATAGCAACCTAATTTCGTCAAGTCAGCTTTGGATCGTCATTGAAACATAGAATGCACACCTGTGATCCTAGACCAAATGCAAGTCTCCTGCTCTCAACGTCCCAGACCAAACTATGATCTGTGCTTATCTGTTGTGCGTCTCCATTCATGTTCGACATGCCTCCGATACTCATGGTATCATCGTCTTTCAGTCGGGAGCCAGCCCAGGTTTCTGGTTCTCCTCTCCACGTCGCCATGTGATTGTGACCATGTTCAGCATTCCAGATTCGAATGGCGTCGTAACTGGCACCGGCCAAGCAAAATGCATCTGGCGAGTACGCTAATTGCATAACCGGCGAAGCAGGGCCAATAACCAGCTTGCAGAGGGAGATTATGGAATTAGTCATCTGATCGTATTGCCACACCTTGATCGTACCATCCATTGATGAGGTTGCAAATTCTTGCTTCCAGAAAGCACTGCCATAAGGTCGGGGTCGCAGCTCCAGGCCTGTAATGTTGCCCTCATGCGCATCCAACTTCATGGCGTCTTTCATGGGCAGCCATAGAGCAGCACTGTCCGCTGATGCGGTAACAAGAAGAACTTCGTTGCCATACCACGCACATCTGACGATTGTCCACTGATGGTTCTGGGCAGGATCCGAATGCCAATGCCGCGATTTCTCAAGCTCGGAAAAGACATGGTAGAGATACACTGAAGTTTGACCGGCGGCACACACAATGCCCTGGTCACCATGGGATGCAGAATCCATGTCGACGAGAATTTCGGGAACAGAGATAGAGGAGGGACCTGCAAAGTTGGGAGATTTAGAGAGGTCCCAGAGCAATATGGATGATCCGGGTTGATGTCTAGCTCCCTCGACATTGTTGTCATAGGGCGCAATTCCCAACAGTCTCAGGCCTCGGGCGTGCCAGCGCAAAGAAATAATTGCTCTCTGGGACGCTGGCAGAGCCTCTAACAAGGTTAGTTCTTGTCCATCGTAGAGATGGAGCTGACCAGATTGTTCGCTGTAAGTCGCGAGCGCGAAGATATCCCCATTCGGCTCCCAGGCAACAGCACTGATGCATCTCATGGCAGCAGGTTCGACCACACTTTGAAACACAGGTGGAGCCTGGTTTTGAGAAAGTCTTTCTGGCAACTTCCAATGGCCGCAAAAATCATCACCCATGGCTGTGACGACATCTCCTAGACGAGGTCGCCAAGCTACACGAGTGATAGACTTTGGCCCACCAGCTGAAGGGTGAACATCGGCCTGGAGGATGGTGGTGAAGGGGCCTAGGTTCGCAACTTTTGCTGGAACCACCTGAATGCCGATGCTTTCCCCTGTGGTCAGGGTGTTGATAGGAAGCGAAATCGACTCGATGCTGGGTGCGTTAATGGGGTGCTCAGCGGTTGACAGGTCGTCGTCAATGTCCATTCGATCGTCATGTTTGACTCCATTTACCTGAACCCCGTTTTCGTCAAGGCCTGGTTCTGTGGCAGAAGGAGATCTGACTTCAGCCAAGGAGGGCGGGTGACCATTTGCGACATCATGGTCCACGCCAGGAGTTGAGGCAGATCGATTCGCGGCTGTTGATTTGCGGCCTGTGCTGCCATTTCGGTCTGACGCGGCGGCAGGCTTACGGCCCTTCTTGGTACTAGGCTGGGCGATGTTAGGATCAGACTGGCCGTTGGGGGTATCGCGAACAAGTTTGCGAGTAGCGGTGGTCGCATTATCAGGTGAGGCGGCCTGTGGCGCAGAATCGTCGGGCGCTTCTCGGCGTGGGTTGTCGGCTTCGGGTCCAAAAAAGAACATGGAAGGATTTAATTGTTTGGACGGCCGGCCGTTCTGGAGTGGGGTTAGCGCATATGAGGTTAGTGGAATATCAAGGAGAGAGTACCTCATCAATAGTTAGGGATAAATAATGGTATCGAAGACCTTTTTGCACCAGGGACACCAGCGCATGGCCTTTGATTTGTTTGGCAAAGGACAAGGTTTCAGCGTCGACCTTCCAGTCGCGTTGAAGCTTGACGGCAGCTTCTCCATAGCCTAGAGAGAGATGTTAGGATGGGAAATCAAGTGCACTGGACTCTGCAGCCTACCTGATTCCTGAAGATATCTGCGCGAAGAGTCAGCGAAAGAGTTAACCAAGTTGGTGGAAGTACGGACCTCCAAATAAGATAATTCAATTGATCTGAACTCAGTGGTGGCGGCTTTGCGCTGAAAGTTGAGGAATTATCGGTCTCCATGCCGACATTCCGCTTCAAAACCAAAAGACCAAGCAGGGGCCAGTACCAATGACGAGTGGAGTTGATTAATAGGGATTGACAACAAAGGACGCGATGTGACGCAAATTAAAAAGAGATCTGATGATTCTGATTCTAGGGAAGTCGGGTTGGACTGATTCGAAGGTGGATCGTTGAAATGTGTGCGCGAGAGAAATTTTGGGAGGTTGTTTTGTGAGTTGATGAAATCAGGTCGATTGCGCGGTTATTGAAATGGATTGTGAAAAGGCGTAGGAGGTAGAAGTCGAGATTCTAGACTGTTTGTGAAGGTAAAGTCCGATGGTGTAATGACGCGCACTGGACAAAGACTTGATGGCTTTAGACGAACGAGGTTAGAAAGCAAATGAAGTAGATGATCTTGGTTGAATTATGGCGATGGAGTGGTACGTGTTCGGAAACATTGAAATGAGTCGCGGACATGGGCATGGAAGAGAAGAGCGAGACGAGATGCCAAGCGAAGTAGGAGAGGCAGAAGGCAGAAAGCAGAAAGGCACAAGGGAAGAGGACACAGACGCGGCCTGGGCACAATTGGCCTGGGGCCACCGGGGCGGCTTAAGCGACAAAAGGAAGCATTCGGAGTGGCTTTAGCACACACAAGGCTAAAGGACGATCTCTGTCCCTTTCTCAGGTGACAGCAAGATTAGTCCTGTAACCTGATTTTTGGTGAATATTTACACCTTGGATAGTAATTCTAAGGAAAGGAGTGATACATAACACCATGCACTACGCTCTTGGTGCTGTGGGTTAATGATTCTACTACTCAACGCACACTAATAATAAAAGTGACCCCAAGTAATTGCTGCATAAAAGGCGAAGTGCGAGGTGCATCACCAACCGCCCCGCCAATGGGCCAAAATGGGTTGCAAGAAGCTTGGCTATGAGGCAACCACGATCAGAAATGAGATGGTCATGTAATTACATAAACCTTCCTATGTTTTGCAAAGTTTCTACCAAGCAAGTACCAAGGTATGTATGTACCTACCAATCTCTCACTCAGTACCAGGTGCCTTAGGATGTAGCTATGTAGGTGATTATGGCAGCCCAAAGACATAGAATCTGGAGCACAAGACCATAGTGCAAGCTTCAAGTTCTCTTCTAATGGCTTACTGTGCCTCAGGTTTCGCTGTGTGACTTGTCATGGATATCATGTGACGATGACGACAAAACGAGAAGAACAGATGTTAGAACAAGAATGATCATTAATCTACTACTTACTCGAGAACCTCTGTCCTATACAGGTCTGTCGTCGTGATTGGACACCAGACATGTCCATCTGCCTTTCTACGGAGTTCAGGTTGCGGAAGTGGCTGACAGTTTGTTAGGTATGTACCCGAGAGCTTCTAACGGTGGGTCGTGTGTTAAGGGGTCTTGGGCACCCAGGGGCTGACAGTCCTTCCATGGACCTTCTACTGTCATGCTAATAGGCGCCTGGACTTTGCGCCAAATAGCGCGATAGCTTATTACCCTGTGCCAACATGATCTTACCAGCTCATCGTGCCCTTCGAACACTTGGAACCCATCCGCCATCTGAAATTCTTGAAATTCTTCGTGTTTCCCCAGTCGTCCCCAGTCCAACTTTTTCAATTGTCAACTCGACAACAAGGCTCTCATATCACTACTTGCGCCATATTCAAATCCACCTGCGATGTGCCCTTTCTGCGATCCGCTTTAACCAATGGCGTTGCGAATCAATCTTCCTCCAGTGACACGTACTCTGCTCGCTAGTATCCTCGCCCTCTCGTTGCTATACAATGCAGCACGATATACCCTCATGCAATCACCTGCAGACCCATCCTCTCCGAATCCCACGACTTCAAGACCATATGTCCCGTATCTAGCTTTGATTCCTTCAGTATGCATCTGGTATCCTTGGACATTTCTCATCGCGACCTTTGTCGAGCAAAATATCATTACTCTCTTGGTCAACGGCGCCACGGTGTTCCTGGGCGGCAGATATCTTGAAAGAGCTTGGGGTTCAAAGGGCTTTATATATACTTTGTTGGTCGCCACAGTCATACCAAACCTCCTCGTGGTTCCCACCTACATCTCGTGGGCCGCTATCACCAGCAACCCCGAACGCGCCCTCACCCCCATCACTGGCGGCATCACCACTCAGGCCGCATTCCTCGTTGCCTTCAAGCAACTCGTTCCCGAGCATACTGTCAGCGTATACAAAGGCGTCATCAAGATGCGCGTCAAGCATTTCCCGGCTGTCTTTTTGGCCGTCAACACCCTGTCTGGTATCCTACTTGGAACAGACACTGCTTTCATCCTATCTTGGTATGGCCTCATCACCACCTGGACTTATCTTCGCTTTGTCAAACGGCAGCCCGATCTTTCCACCTCAAGCACCGACAGTCTCGGTTTCAAAGGAGATCCTAGTGAGACATTTGCCTTTGCAACTTTCTTTCCCGACCTTGTCCAGCCGCCGATTGCGACCTTCTGCAACCAAATATACACTCTCTCGTGCCGATTCGGGATTCTTACTCCCTTTTCTGACGAGCAAATTGCCTCGGGCAACGAGCAAGCTGCTGCGCGCGGCGAAGCAGGCCTACCAACGGTGGCCAAGCACGGACGTGGTCCTCGAGGAGTGAGCAAAAGAGAAGAGGCTGAAAGACGAAGAGCTCTAGCGCTCAAAGCCTTGGATGAGCGTCTGAACGCTGCAAGCAGTCGAGTAGCCCCTCCTGCGCCCGCAACTAATGCTCCCAGCCTGGCGCAAGGTCATGAGATGCTAGGCCAGACAGACTATCGCCCAGATGCTTAATGGCTGACAATGCGAGCTAATGACCTCTTTGGGTCAACTCTAGTGTCATTTTAGCGCCCATATGACTACTTGCAAAGCATATCTGCATCAATTGTATCTCGAGACTCGACGTCTTTTGACAATGAGAGTACAGCAACCATAATGGGGCGCCCGATATTCTGTGCGTACGCCAGAATGGATGATACATGTTCATTCTTGTTGACTTATATTGGCCTCGTGCTTCGTCCCACCGGAAGCCCAATATCGGAAGCACGTTGTATTAACAAGTGTCATGTAAATTTGACCTAACACTCCAACATGTACTTGATTGTGGCCGCGCTGGCCCCCTCACCCGTATCTTCGTCTCACCATTTCTGCACGAGGTTGACTAAAACCCCAATGAATGAATTTTTTCATTGCATGGCCTTGTTCAATGCTACCAGGGAGTTGATCCTGTTGATGCCACCGTCTAACGTGCATTCTAGGTCGTGGGACGCCCTTATGGTGGAAATTTTCTCCCTGTTAATACGACTTCGAATAGCGGGTGCGCGACATCTAAAGGCGCACTTCATTATTATGAGGTGACCCGACTCGCTCAGGATTTAGCCACAGGGAGCGAGCACCTGAGGCTGAGTGATGGTGAAACAGTATGCGATGAGATTTACGCTTCTGCGTCAAGACTCGATAGATTAAGAGTTTGCTCAGTGATAGACTCTATAAGCAATGACATAACTCGCATAATAATTGTCCCATTGTAGATGATCACTGGTCACAATTTGATGAGGCATTTTAGACCGGAAACTCGGGAGTCTGGGGTAAGATGTAGGGCTGGGAAAGATGACAGAAATGACGGGGTGGTCGATTCGATACCATGGGTGCTGCAGCTGACATGTTGTGCATTGTACCTAGCAAGCAATTGGATTTCAAATCGACAACATCTACAACTTACCTAGGTAGGTAGTTATTGCGGTGTATTGTCCAAAGTCTTGGTAGGTCTAATAGCAGCCTACGCCACGGCCCGTCTGGCCGGGGAAACGATAAGAGTCTGCTTTTGACTGGTGGTGCTGGTGGCATCATTCCAATAAAGACCCGCGCCAAGGGGAAGCCTACGACTCCCTGAGAGGAGAAGAGGGGGAGGGGCCGAGGACCCAAGAGAGGAGGAGGAGGTGGTGGTGTTTTCCTTGTAGAAACGTTCAGGTTGTGACTATTATTATGAATCATGGGTCGGTCGAGATAGCCTAAGAAGGTGCAACTTGAGCAGACAGCGAAGCGAACAAGGTCACGTTGCCTCACTGCCTCACAATCTTCGTTGCTTGTACATGGTGACAAGGCTTCCAAGGGAAAGAATAAGATATCCTTCGATATCCTTCCCAGGCACCCCTCACCACCAATTCTTGAATTTGGTACATATTGACTTCCATCACTACCTACTCACTACCTACTCTTCAAGCTTGTCATTCTTAACCATCAATCAACGCTGCGTATCTATCGAATTCTACCTCTAGGCCTTGGCTCTGATCACCTCTGATTCGGCTACTCGCTGCCAAACTGATCCATTATTTGGTGGAGTTTCGTCGTCACCAAACATTACCTCAGCCACCTCAGATTCCCACCTTGCGCTACGCCACGCCCATCGCCCCGCGACGAATTCAATCCTGGTGGAAGTTGCCTACACCCGTGCCACCTAGAACCCCCCGTGCCTTAGGCAGCCACTTTTCGTCCCAGGCCCTGCGAGTCCCCCTCCCGGGTCCCCCAACCCCAATTTTTGTTGTAGTCAGCTACTGCATCGGCGCAGCACAGGACCCAGCCAGCACCCATTTGCATGACTACCTAAGTAAGGTACGTGCCCCGTTCGGACTTGGATTGCCGCGAGTGCAGTCCATTCAGTCAGAGCCACACAAGCAACTTTTGGGCAGAAGGCAGCACTAGCCTCCCGCTACTGCCACCCGTTGACACTCTATCCGGACTTTCCTCTCACCTCGATCAAACGTCAACCTGGCTTTCTTCGCCACACCTCTACTTTATCACAACCTTCCCACTGTGCGTGTAGTGACCGACTCCAACGGAAGACGATATTCGGTCACTGAAACGCCCAGCCGCTCGTTTGACGTTTATCCACACCGTCGCCGTACGGTCGCCGAAATCAATCCTACCAAATACAGCGACCGCGACCCAAATTCTCCGACAAACGTATATAGACGATCTACCCTAGAGACTGCTCCCATCTCCAAAAAGGGCGGAAACATGTCCAAGGTCGTGCGAAGCGTCAAAAATGTCACCAAAGGCTACAGCAGTGTCCAGGTCAAGGTGCGAAATGGTATTGTCATCTCACACATCCGCCAGCCTGCGCCGCAGCTAACCACCATCGATAGCGACCTCAAACGACCCATGGGGTCCCACCGGCACTGACATGGCTGAGATCGCCGCCCTCACCTTCAACAAGTACGCTCAATTCGCTGCCAGTTTCATGGTCCGGCACCTGCTAACACGCTGATCTAGTCCCAGCGACTTCTACGAGATCATGGACATGCTCGACAAGAGATTAAATGACAAGGGCAAAAACTGGCGTCATGTCCTCAAATCCCTCAAAGTCCTCGATTACTGTTTGCACGAGGGTTCCGAGTTGGTGGTGACATGGGCTCGAAAGAACATTTACATCATCAAGACTCTAAGGGAATTTCAATACATCGACGAAGATGGCAAAGATGTTGGACAGAATGGTAGGTCGACGATCACTCATTTCTGGCGTAGGAGACTAACTCGTCTCAGTGCGAACATCGGCAAAAGAACTTACCTCGCTCATTCTCGACGAAGAGCGCCTCAGAAGTGAGCGCTCTGACCGTAAGCTCTGGAAGACCCGAGTCACCGGAATCGACGAATTTGCCCCACAAGCCATTGCTGGCCCTCCTCCCACTCAACGTCATCGCAGAGAGCCAGAAGAGAATGATCAAGATGCTGATCTTAGAAAGGCTATTCAGGAAAGTCTGAAATCACAGGCAGAGGAAGACCGACGGAAGCACAATCAGCCTGCTCAGGACGAGGACGACCCCGAGCTTGCTCGCGCGCTCAAGCTAAGCACAGAAGAGGCCAATCGTCGCAAGAGTGAGCTCGAGGCGCAGAACAATGCCTCCCTGTTGTTCGACGACACTCCTGCTCCCGCTCAGCCCCAGCCAACAGGGTACAATCAAGGCTACCAACAGCAACCTGCTGTCGACTGGTTTGGCAACCCTCTACAGCAACAGACTCAGAACACCGGCTTTTTGAACAACCAATATGCTCAACCTCAACAGACTGGGTTCGCAAATGGCTTTACCAACGGCTATCAACCCGCACAGCCTACTGGCTATGACCAATTTGGTCAACCGCAATTTCTTCAGCAGCAAAACACGATACAGCCCCAGCAGACTGCATTCCAGACCAACAACCCATATGGTATGCCGACTGGTGGAGATCTATTCGGTCAACAGCTCCCACAATCACCACAACCACCAGCGATTGCCCCAGGCAATAACAACCCTTGGGCGACACAGTCACCACAGCCTGCAGAACCGATGAAGCCTCTCCCTACCGGCTCCAACAATCCTTTTGCACAACGAACACAACAGGCATCGCCATCTCCGTTCTCGCGCACCCAGACACAGCCCTCGCTTGGCACACTGTATGAATCTCAGCCCATCAATCAATTCAGTCAACCATCTCAACCAAACCCCATTCTCAACTATGAAGCCCCACAACCATCATTTCTACAGCAGCAGCAGCAACAGCAGCAACAGCAACAGCAACAGCAACAGAAGCCTGCCAACCCTCACCACGCGAAGCTCAACGCGTTACTGGCCTCTGGCGAAGGATTGGATACGTTTGGCAACACGGGAGATCTGCGTATTCCCGCACAACATACTGCACCTGGTACATTTGTCAATTCTGCTGGTCATGGGTTCGATCGTCTACGTGCAGCCCAGACTGGTACCAACCCGTTCTTTTCGCAGCAAGCTACGGGATACGGGGCGGGCCAGGCAGGGTTTGGCCAGCAGATGCCAGCTCAGACCGGCCAAGCCGGCTTTGGAGGTGGTTTTGGACAACAGAATAACAACCCATACGGACAGCGACCCGTGCAGCAGAATGGCAGTTTGATTGATCTATAGTTGGCCAGATTGGGTTGCGCGGTCGGTAGCAATGGCGGTGCGATGCAGGTGATGGACAATGGTTACAATCATTACTACGTTGCTCGGATTGAAAGTGGTTTTACCTTGGGCGAAGAAATTGTACTGTGTTTGGGCACTCTTTTCTATCCGGCGTTACACGACGTACATGTGCTACTTGGGATTTAGCTTGCACACGTCACGGTCCATTAAATGAGTCCATTTTATTCTGCTGCAGAGTGATCTTTATTTCCAGGATGAGAGGTAAATGGGCTCGCCCTCGGCCAACACGCGTTGGAGACCAGGGGGGCTTTGAAGAGTAACAATGCAACATACGAACAAGTGGAGTCACAGCAAAAGAGCATTCAGCTCCAGACTACAGTATACATAGGCACTACTTGCGGAGAATTGACCTCTCACGTCAAAAGCCTACAGACACGAAGGGAGAGTTCAAGGGCCGACGAGAACCTCATTCTTGGCCCCACCGTGATGGCATCTATCATTTGATATCAGACGAACTTGCTATCAGTCCTGATTCTTTGTTCGTCAGTTGCCAATCTTGACACTTGTGACACTGTGATACTGTCACACGTCTTCCTTCAGTGGCTTAACCGCCACCGAGTTACCCGAGTTACTCGGACTCGATTGAAATGAAAGTGATTCTGTCATCCTGTCGCTTATGTAAAAGCAAAAGATTGTCCAATACCTACCACGATAGTCACGTGATGCTATTTGCGCGTTGCTCATCGGCCCTTTCTTTAAATTAGCATACGCGTCGCGTCATCTGAGGTGAAACCATGTTCGTCTACTTATGCGTCTACGGAGTATGCATATGAATCTAAAGATCCACTGACAGTAGTGAGTGACAGACCGACCAATCAATAAATCCCATCTCTGATTTCTTGAAAAGAGTGGAACCACTCAATCACTCGTCCTTACATTCCATGAATTCTTTGTATTTTTATTACATGGGACCGCATCGCATCCCATCGCGACAAAGACGACTCGACTTGGTGACGTGACTACCTACGTGTCTAGTAATTTAACGAAGAAGTGGACACCAAAATCCATCCGTACACTCGCAATGCCCACGACGACCTTGTACATTGCCAGTGTTGTGCTGCTCCTGTTCAGCGCGACAACAGTGTCGGCGCTGAAGATCATATCGCCCACGTCGGGCTCCAGCATCGACCCAACCCAACCCTTGAACATCGTCTGGTCGGCTGAGAACTTCGACCCGGCCCTGGTCGAAATCCGTTTCAGCAACGCCGAGCCCAATGCAGTCACTAGCAACTTGACGCTGGCCACGGGGGTGTCGACATTTTCTGGCTCATACACAGTACCAGAGAACACGATCCAGAACTTTGGTACTGGTTACCAACTCCTCTTTATCGGCAATGGTGTCACAATCGCATCAAGTACCGATTTAACCCTTGGTGCGTCTAGCAACCAGGTCTCCACTGATGCCAATGGTCAACTCACCCTCCTCACCTCCACATCCACCGACAATGTGCCCGCCACAACTGCTGGTTCCACTGTCTCCGAAGGTATATCTAGCGAAGTCATCGACACTGTCACGACTTTGACTGGAACAATTACCGCATCTCAATCATCCACGACGCTGGTAGTATCAGGAACACCACAGTCTGGTTCCAGCACAGGTTCTGTGCACAGCGCTACCAACAGTGGTTCGTCAAGCGCGTCCGCAACATCTGCACAAAGTACCAATGTTGCGACAAGGTCGAGTCTTTTCGGCGGTGAGGCTTTCTTAACCGCTGCAGGCGTGTTGACTGGTCTCATTGCACTTCTCGCCTGATGCTGCACTCACAACAGATCAGTTTCGACTTCATTCCATTCACCGTCTTGGGATTCCCCGAGAATATTCGTCTCAAGTCGCGGGGTAGTAGCACGATGCTGGTTCCAGATAGTAGGGTGATGAGGGTCTTGAAGACAACGGAAAGGAATGTAGTGATGTCTTGACTATAGCGAGGGTGTGAAGGATGAGGCAATCTGAATTTATCCTCTCATCTGTTCAAGCGTCCAAGATGTGTTGTCACTTGAGTCCTCTCGGAGCCAAGTAAAAAGATCGCTCTGTCGGGGGGTGGTCTGCGATTTGTTCACCGCTTCCAAGCCTCAGGGGTATATTAAAGAGCAATAATCTCCTCTCCCCTCTTTACCGAGGTGGCTTCCACTCGTATTCGACAGGCAAATCCATCCCGACCCTCCTTGCCGTCAACCGCACTCGCTCCTCTTCATCCATGCCAGTACCGGGGTTGTAACGCTCGAGCAAAACTCCATAGAGACGCTGGGCCCTTAGATATTGCACAAGCTGTTCTAATTCCTGTCTGCGTGCGAGTGCATGTTCTGCTGAGGATCCAACTCCTGCATCAGCAGCTGCTGGTGGCGTTGAGTGTGTTGACGACGGTGATAGAGCTGAGGAGTCGGCCAAGTGGGATCGAATCGAGGCATGTAACGGAGAACGTGAGGATGATTTGGCGGTGGTTTTAGTGGATGCCAATGTGCGAGGAGGCAGCTCACGCATGATGCGTCGGTAGAGGGAGCGGAGATGGATCTGAGCTTGAGTGGACGACATCTTGTCGGGCAGGGTGAGATGTGTAGTTGTCTGATCGAGACGGAGCTTGAAGGCGAGAAATTCCTAAAGCAGGACTTCATGTAGATGATGTCGTTGATTGGCGCGAGGCCAAGACGTGTAGCCTTATCACGTGATATTCAAGTCTTAATCTTCAAGGATCTCAAAGGGAATTGGAATGCGCTTGTTCACCACAACCATGTCAATAGTCATTGGAGGGGGCCAGTGATGAAATATCATCACAATATAAAGTCTATTGCTTTTCTTATTGTTTCTAAAAACTGCTGAGATAAGACTGAAAGTGTATCTTGAGAACTCCTGCCGATCTTCATCTCTATCATGTTACATCCAGGTTCGTGCTGTACCTCTGGGTCGTCGCTGTGTTTCCAGTCGCCATCTTTCGTCCCAGCCTTCCTCATGGAGACCTTGAGTATCTGACCCATCGTTTCGAGGTCCGTGAAGTGGTATTTGTTTCCGCAGTAGAACAGGGTCGGTGCTGGAGTGGCCATTCCGTGGTCTCTCGTAGCAAGAAAATTCCATTGTTCTTTGCTTTTGTGGGTCGTTCTGTCCAACAGATTTGTGCAGCTTGCTGAGGCCACCATGCTCGTCGTCAGTGGAAATGGAGTCGAGTTGTAACACGTGATTTGACATTCCCACGTATATTGTGGGGGAGGATGGGGAAGGGCTAGAGAGTGAATAAAGTGCACCCCTGTATCTCACGGATCGGTGTGAAGGCTTGGTTGGTAATGGATCCCAGACCCTGAGTCCCATTGACATATTGACCCAGGGGTTCACGAATATGTTGATGCCACGATATGTCTGGCCCTTGGTCCAGTCGCAGGTTGCTGGGTCATAAAATTGGACAGTCTCAAGGCACTTTTGTTGCGACTGCGTTGGTTGGAAAATTTTGTGCGAATAAGGTCGTGCTCCGGTAAGTCGAAGGTCGAACGTCTTCAAACACCCATTCTGGTGGCCTCCGGCAACGAAACGTTCATGGCCGATGGGAAGGAGAGACATGATCTGACCATCATCCACCACATCAACATACTTTGCCACTGCTTTGGACGGGGTGCGCATATCATGCAACCGAGAAATACCATCTGTCCACCCAGAGAGAATCAAACGTCCCGGCTGTCCGGAAATGCTTGCGACGTCGTCCAGAGGCACTACCACATTGGCGTTATGACGGCCCACGATATCAGAATCATTGGAGGTCAATGTCTCTGTCAATGGCGTTCGGCATCCATGGGAGTTATTGATGTCGTAGACCCGAAGTGGAGCGCGTGAAAGACCTTGGAGATATTGTGAGGCGATGGCGAGGCTGGTTTCGGACAAGAATTTGACGCATCGTGTGCGTTCCACAACCTCTGAATTACCATGGAGAGCGAAAGTTTCCAGAGGAGAAATATTTTGATCGGAGCTGTGGACTGGATATAGCCGAAAAGAATCATTATCACAAAGAGCGAGGAGTGGATCATGGCTTGAATTGACATCCATGCCGGTTGGACGTGAGCGTCCGAAGTTGTAGTTGGCCGACTGATGAAAGTCGTTGACCTTTGAGCTTGTCTCCAATTTCTTGGTCTCTCCATCGGCCGTCCTCAGCAAGATTGTTTCACCCGCTCTATTATCATGCTGAGAAGGCCGAAGAAGTCGGACGTCCATAATGTCAAGGTCCTGTCGATCGTCCTCAGATAGTTTCGAAGAAGTCCATGTCGTCACTCCATCAGCGATCGTCCGCACCCTGAGTCGACCAGCTGCTCCCCATGCAAGGACTTCCTTTCCCGACGACCAAGATCCTCCTTGCCAGGTCTCATAGCTGTCTATCACCGGATGGTAGCCCGTCGTCCAGGCAGTGTGGTCCATACCAGGGATTGTCTGCCATTCTGCAGGGTCTGAAGGTGGGTGACATTCTTTTGCCACAAACGCCTTACGATCCCATGCTCGGGACCGCGACGTCAGGACTCTTGCCGCATCGCGCCACAATGGAGGTGTGCGAATTGAGGGGAACTCATTCCTTACAAAGTCACGAAAGATTGTTTGGTCATTATCAGCGACAATGGCATGGAATTGGCGACTGACTTGGCTGAGATTGGTAATGGACGATGCGGTTGGGAGGCATCCGGCTATCTGCTGTAGAACTTCTAGAGGAAGCTCGTTGAGCATTGAGATGTAGCGAGTGTCGCAAGCGTTTGCTAGAAGGGACAATATATTATAATAAACATGATCGATGGTGAGAGAAGTCTCATCGAGGAGGCGAATACAAAGAAATGGTCGTTGCCGTTCACCCAATGGCGTCATGCCTTCGAACGTAATTGACGCTAAATTATATCCAATTGTCTGACAGCTATGGCCTGCAGTTTCAGGCGGGTTTAGGCACGTGCAACACGTGCAATTAAGGATTCTGTGCCTGGTCAGGTCAATATAAATCTGTCTGACAGAATACTCTCCAAACATCTCCTAGAGGCAAACTGAACGTCGTGGAATAACAGATCTCTGGATTTACAATCATTATTGGTTAGATAGGACAAATCGTATGAAGCCATCCTGAACCATCCACTAAAGGGGCGCCCAGCAAGAATAATGGGCCGATATGGCCACAATCAAGGCCATCGAGGCCAGATCCGTCCACCAAATCCAGTCAGGTCAAGTCATAGTTGATCTATGCTCCGTCGCCAAAGAACTGGTGGAAAATGGGTTAGATGCCGGCGCAACATCGATCGAAGTCCGCTTTAAGAACTATGGACTCGATTCAATAGAGGTCCAGGACAATGGCACCGGAATTTCTCCATCCAACTACGAAACCGTGGCGCTTAAGCACTACACCTCCAAGCTGGCCAACTACGATGACTTGTCTACGTTGCGAACATTTGGCTTCCGTGGCGAGGCACTTTCGTCCTTGTGTGCCTTATCTAATTTCTCCATGACAACGGCGCAGGCCGATGAGGTGCCTAAAGGCAAGCGCCTTGAATTTGATACCATGGGTAAGTTGAAGTCGACGACAACTGTGGCCAGCCAGAGAGGCACGACTGCAACGGTGGAAGATCTTTTCGAGGGCCTGCCTGTCCGAAGAAAGGAACTTAGCAAGAATGTGAAACGAGAATATGGCAAAGTGCTTAGTCTGCTCCATGCCTATGCTTGCATTGGAGTGGGTGTCAAATTCACGGTCAAACATACGATTCAGAAAGGGAAAAGCACGATCGTCTTCTCAACCAAGGGTAACGCAAGCACTCGAGAGAACATCGCCAATGTGTATGGCGCGAAGACTCTGGCGGCTCTTGTCCCGTTGGACCTGACACTGGACTCTCAGTCAAAAATGATGTATACGACAAGGCAAGAGAAACAGACCAACATCCAAATTAAGGGCCATATCTCAAAGCCAGTCTTTGGCGAGGGCCGGCTAACCCCAGACCGCCAGATGTTTTTCGTCAACGGCCGTCCCTGTGGGCTCCCCCAGATGGCCAAAGCCATCAACGAAGTGTACAAGTCGTATAATGTCTCACAGACTCCGTTTATTTTTGCTGACTTCATCATGGATACGGATTCTTATGATGTCAATGTCTCGCCAGACAAGAGAATCATTCTTTTACACGATTCTGCTTCTCTGATTGAGAATCTCAAGTCGTCCCTCACTGAGATGTTTGACCAGCAGGAGCAAACAGTGCCGCAATCAAAATTTCGTGCTCGCAAACTGGCTATTTCTCGAGCTTCACCTGTTCAGCGACAGATCTCTATTGATTCAGCAAATGATATCAGGGGGCGGAGCTTGACACCTGAGTCTACTGCCGTTGAGGCCAAAGATGACGATGGGATTGCGTCAGAATCGCCACCAGCACATCTGTTCGTAGAACATTTCGGGAATTTTGCTAGCACCCGAGAGCGGCCTGACCTGGACAAAGTTGACGAGAAAGGCGACAGACAACAGGAAGGCCGCACAAAAAGAACCGATGGGCCCGTTAGGAAGGTCTTCGAACGAGCCGTTGGACACAAGGAGGACGAGGACGAAGAGGACGAAGAGGATGACGATGGTGATGCTCTTCAACGACACTCGGAAGAATCAGACACAGCATCAGAAGATGAAACAGAGAATGATCTGACAACAACTCGAGTGCAGCAATTTAACACAAGAATGACGGAATCTGGAGTGGACGACAGCACATCCAGGAGACGTTCAGGCCAAGCACTCGAGGACAATTCGCACGAAACTAAATCATCAGCAGATTCGGAGGATGTCCTAACCGACACAGTACCAGATGCCTTCAGTCGCATGAGAACGAGGAGAGCACCGGCAGAGGTTGCCACGATCACAATAGGTGACAAGACTGTGACCACGATACTTGGTACACAATTTTCGCACAGTCAACAAGCCAGCGCGAGAAGCGGCCAATCTGATAGGCAGACGGCGGATGGTAAGGCACCAAGTCTATTTTCGCAGTCTCTCCGACGGTTTGGTGTCCATGGACCAACAGAGGCCGAGGATGAAGGGGAAGAAGAGGAGGATGGTCTAGTACGAGGTGATTCAGACAGCGATGGCTTAGCAAGCGAACGTGGTCCATCAACCTCCCAGGAAGCCTCGGATAGATCATCGTCAGTTAACAAAGATGGCTTCCCGGTTGCTCCCGAGGAGGATTCAGCTGCGTCGTCTGATGGCGCCTACATCGACGACGAAGAAAAGAAACGCGAGGAAGAAATGCGAGTTGCGGAGCTGATCCGCGCGGCAGAGGAAGCATCAGTCATACCGACCAAAGACAACATGAAGAGAGCAGCAAAAGCGATGTCGGCTACACGGACGAGGGATTCAACAACCAACTTGCTGGCGACAGTCAACGTGACAGCCAGGTCGATCGCGGCTCAGGTATCTGCGATGCATCGATTGAGCGCGCAGACTCACGATGCACAGGGTGTCACATCGGGGGAGAGCGCAAACACAGATGCAGAGACAAGGTTGTCCCTGACGGTCTCCAAGGCCGACTTTGCGAAGATGCAGATTGTGGGTCAATTCAATCTAGGGTTCATCATCGCTGTGAGACGTTCAGACGGGGAGGAATCATCGAGAACAAGACAAGATGAGTTGTTCATCATTGACCAACATGCTTCAGACGAAAAATACAACTTTGAGCGGCTTCAAGGGGAGACGGTGGTGGGAAACCAGAGGCTGGTGCAGCCAATCAGATTGGATTTGACGGCAGTGGAAGAAGAAATCGTGCTCGAGAATCAAGATGCGCTAGAACGAAATGGGTTCGAGGTGGAAATGGATCTTAGTGGGGAGGAGATGGTAGGTCGAAGATGTCGATTGATCAGCCTCCCGTTGAGCAAAGAGGTAGTGTTCAACACAAAGGACCTGGAAGAGTTGATTCAAATGCTGGCTGAAGCACCGGTGAATACAAAGGAGTCGACCGTGCCTCGGCCGAGCAAGGTGAGAAAGATGTTTGCAATGAGAGCATGCCGGTCGAGCATCATGATCGGCAAGACGCTTTCTCTCAGGCAGATGGAGAGGGTGGTTCAACACATGGGCACCATCGACAAACCTTGGAACTGCCCCCATGGACGGCCAACGATGCGACATTTATGTAGCTTGAACGACTTTCGGCCATGGCATGAAGGGGATGATTTGTCTGGAGAAATGGAGTCAAGTGTGAGCCAGGCCTTTCGCAATTATACACAGACCAATTAGAATATAGACGAATGGACGAATGGAAAAATGGGAGAATCTATCTTGAGCCATGTATAGATGGTGCGTTCCCCCCGACCCAAATCCGGGAGACTCCGCTCTTTCCAGATTTAATATTTTTGTGGTAAAGGCAAAAGTCGCAGGAACGACTACGATTATTTGGAATGGAAAGAATTCTATGGCTACACTTTAAGGTCGAACACTACAACATCCTTCAGAGTAAACTAGGATGATAGTAGTACTGTACACTTGATAGACATAATATTTAATAGACACTACAGACTACTACTAACATTGTTGACGATGTCAGTCCTGACCATGGCTGATTCTGGAGAATCCGCTCTTCCACCGGAGATAGTGGACGATGAACTCTTGGCTCGGCTCCGACAATTTCCCGTGACTGTGGCGGTTGGAACTTGGAAGTTGTTAGTGGTTGAAAGCCGGCGTGGTATGCCCGGGTGTCTTGGGGACTCCAGAGCCTGACAGCTGAAGATCAGGTCTGGGGTCCCCTCGCCTCCGTGCTCCGGCCTCCGTCATAAGGGTCGAATGATGAGTCTGGGCAGCAACCAGGAGTCACCCAGTCACTCCAGTAAGCCCGCAGGTGGTAGTACGGAGTAATAATGTTCTGTGTGTACGGAGAATGTGTATCGCCGTGGCTCGTGACCTGCCTGCGCACACTCTTGTGAACCCCGGGCTGTCTCGGGCCTTCCGTTTATCCTACGGCCTCAAGTGTTCAAATGAACCTCGGCTGTTGGGGTTTCCAGGTCCCTCCCACCAAGTTTCTCTTACCGTGTCGCCGAACAGTATCGATCTTCTTCGTCTCTCTTTTCTGACTTGTCATAGCCAGCGCCGCGGCAAACCCCATCCCATCCCTTCCCTTCCCTTCCCATCCTCCTATCCTGGCCCATTCCGAAACGGCATCCGACTGACTACTGATCACTCTGTGAAAAAAAGTAGCCTGGTCTCTCCAAATCTCTGCTGCTTGTCCTTACTATACCATCTCATGCACCTGCTCCAACTGTAACTCTTCCCAGTCCCTCCTTCCCATACCAACACAAACCACCAACAACACACTCTCCCCTCTTTCCTCCTCTGCTTCTTCCAGATTTCTGGTTATGTTGTCCACACTGCGACTTGGACGAGCAGCTTCTTCTCTCCTCACAACCACCCGTGCCTCAAACTCGTCAACTCCCATCAAGGTATTTACTTTCTCCCGTTTGCGTTTGCCGTTGCTCCATTCCCCCGAGCTGTTCCATTCATTGACCATTGTTTCTCTCACCCAGGCTTTCACCATGGCCCCCGCCAATAAACGAAAACAGTCTACCAAGCCCCAATTTTGGGTGACTGAGGGTGAGTGAAAAATCAGCATCTGCTGCTTGTATATGTGGCTAACATGCTCTCAGAATACAGAGAAGACAAATCCAAGGGCAACATGCTTCGCTTTGAGGATTCTCTCCCCCGTCTGCCCGTCCCTACTCTCCAAGAGACCTCCGCACGTTATTTGAAAAGCATTCATCCCCTCCTCTCCAAGGATGAGTTTGCCGCTTCCGAAAAAGCTGTCGCCGAGTTCAACAAAGCCGGCGGCCTGGGCGAGAAGCTCCAGGAGCGTCTGATTGCAAAGGCACAAGACCCCAAAATCAAGAATTGGATCATTGACTGGTGGAACCACGACGCTTATCTGGGCTATCGTGACCCCGTTGTCCCATATGTCTCCTACTTCTACTCCTTCCGGGACGATCGACGCCGGAGAAATCCCGCCAAACGTGCCGCGGCAATCACCACCGCAGCTCTCGAGTTCAAGCGCCAGGTTGACACCGGTGATTTGGAGCCTGAATACATGCGCAAGAAGCCCATGGCCATGAGCAGCTATGAATACATGTTCAACACCTCGAGAGTCGCCGCTTTGCCCGCCGATTACCCCATTCAATACCCCGCCGAGGGCAACGAGCACATCATCGTCATTCGAAACAACCAATTCTGGAAAGTCCCGACCCACGTCGGCGGTCAGCAGCTAACCACGGCCGAGTTCGAACTGCAATTCAACAGAGTCTACCGAAATGCCCAGCAGACCACCCCCTTCGGTGCTCTCACTTCCCTGCCCCGTGATCAAGGCGCAAAGGCTCGCGAAAATCTCCTAGCTGCGTCCCCTCTCAACGAGGCCACACTCAAAGACATCGAGGCCTCATCATTCGTCGTCGCCTTGGATTCGTCGGCTCCCGTTACCTTGGAAGAGCGAGCACACGTCTACTGGCACGGTGACGGCGCAAACCGCTGGTACGACAAGCCTCTGCAATTCATCGTGAACGACAACGGCACCGCAGGTTTCATGGGTGAGCACAGCATGATGGACGGTACCCCAACTCACCGAATCTGTGACACTGTCAATGCCTATATTGTTCACAACAAACTCGACTTTGACAACCCTTCTGTTCGTTCCGACCTTGCCGATCCCGTCGCCCTTCGCTTCGAGACCTCTCCCGCCGTCCTCGAGGACATCTCTGCCGCACAAGCACAATTCCGACAGGTCATCGCATCCCACGACCTCCGCGTCCAGGCATACCAGGCCTACGGCAAAGGTCTGATCAAGAAGTTCAAGTGCTCGCCAGATGCGTATGTTCAAATGATCATCCAATTGGCCTATCACAAATTCTACGGCAAGAACCGCCCAACTTATGAATCTGCTGCCACCAGAAAATACCAGTTGGGCCGAACAGAAACCACCAGAACTGTCTCCGACGAGTCAGTGGCATTCTGCGATGCCATGGCTGACTCCTCCGCCCCCCGAGAAGAGGTTGAGCGCAAATTCCGTGAGGCTGTCAAGGCTCATGTGCAATACACCGCCGATGCCAGCGACGGCTACGGTGTGGACCGCCATCTTTATGGCTTGAAGAAACTCGTCCAGGAAGGCGAGGAACTCCCGGCTCTTTTCAAGGACCCTGCATATTCATATTCTTCCAGCTGGTACATTTCATCCAGTCAATTGAGTTCCGAATACTTCAACGGATACGGTTGGTCCCAGGTCATTGATCAGGGCTGGGGTATTGCATACATGATCAATGAGAACAGGTAAGAAGACTTGGAACCTTCGCTCAAATCTCCTCAACTAACTTTGGCTAGCTTACAATTCAACGTCGTTTCCAAGCATCTTGGTTGCGAGCGCATGAGTTTCTACCTCAACGAAGCTGCCAACGATATCCGAGACCTGCTCACCCCCTCTCTCGAGCCTCCAAAGGCCAAGTTGTAGTTGTGCTACCATGTCACGCAATGATTTGAATGGTTCAATTCGCTGGACAGGGCTGGAGCCAAGTCTGTGGGGGACCGTTACAAGTTGAAGATGCATGTGCACGATGATTCGGACCTCGCGCAATTGAGCATAGAGACAGATTTGCGGGGTTTGATCATGGGAAATTTGCGGGATTCATGTTGACTGGGTACATATAGACAGACTATGTTGGCGGTGTGTAGGATTCGTGTGCGGTGCCAGCAATCAGACAAGAAATGTAAAGATACCAAATAGTCCAAGTCATGTTGGGCGTCCTCGCAAAATCCGCTGTTGATGTCATTTTACTATCATATTATATGGGAAACAGCCAATCCCCATGATTGGAGTTTCACTGTAGATGGCGGGTCCGTGTTGTTACGCTATTATTACACCCTTGGTCATGGCCACAGGGACAGATTCCGGCCATATGGCCGACAATAATATACATCCATGCCCACGGGCTCCAATCACATGCCGAGAATGACCCGGCCTTCTCTGGTCAGGACCAATTCCTCAATCTCACCGTTGCCGCTACCGCATCCATCGCCGTTCTCAAGGTCGTGTAACGTTCGAGGTCGATATCGTTTGACTACATCGACACCCTCGAGCCCGGCTTCTCGCGCAGCCTGGTTCCACAAGATCTGCTTGATATGGCCGCGTTTCAACGGCGTCGGCGCCCGAAACGTTGGCGAAGCGTGTTCGCCGGCGGAGAATCCAGCTGGAGAGGAGAGAAGATTGCCGGGGGCGTCCTGGTCAAGATTCCTTCTGTTCTCATTGTCCCCATCCTCGAAAGCCTGGTCAATACGAGGAGATGCATCTTCCAAGTTCCGTTCCTGACGAGTTACACCACCCGGCGAGGATGCCGCGTCGCCAGAACATTCAACTTCCTCCAACATGACCCAGACCAATGGCCGTGTCGACCGACGAAGACTTTCCACCACGCCTTTGGTGGCAGGCCTGGTTCCCACCAGTATACCAACTACAGGACCTGAAGTAGATGGTGATAAAGCGGCGGATGAGACATGGAACTGATCCCTGGTAGTATGGCTGTCTAAATCGGTCGACGACTCATCCCCAGCAGTGACTTCATCTGAAAGGCCACTCTGCAGTGTCGAATCCCGCCCCGTCGACGGGCTTGCGATTGCAGAGGGAAACAGGCGACCAATTCTGGCTCCTCGGACTGCACCGTCAAGTTCGCGGATTAGATTCGGACCGATTTTGGCATGTTTGCCCACTAGGCGTTTGCACTGGACAAGAACACGGTACACGTCTGACGATCGAGTTGTTATTGATGTAGTCTCAGTCTCACCGGAAGAAGAGGATCCCGCACGTAGATGTATGTCTGGAGAGCGTGGCACCCTCCAGTATCCGACCAAATCGACGCCACGGTCTCCCCTTCCACCAACACGGGTCAATTCGAAGCCATAGCGACTTAAGGTTTCCAGGGTCAAGTATTCATACGCCGTGCCCGTGTAGACGGTGCTGGTCGGAGACAGGCCTGTACGTCGGGCGTCGGTGATGAAGCTGGCAAGATCGTGGTGGGGATAAGAAGAGGGGAGACTCGTAGGACTTGCAGCAGTGGCAGCGTCCGAATCTCGACGCAGGGAGGATGGAGTTGCGTCCGCTACTGCAGCGCGGGACGACGAGGAACATGTCCAGGAGAACCACCTCTTTTTCAAGACAAATTTCATAGTGCGACTGCCGTTTGACGAGCTACAACCTGATCCAGCGAGTATATGAAATTTCTGCGAAGCGCCCAGCAATCTCAGGCAGCTTTGTTGCCCTGTAACCGCTGTGGAGTTGACTCGACTGTTTGTGACTCTATGGTCTTGCCCTGACTTTGGCCCGTGGGTATTTGACCGGTCGAATCTTGCTGCGCCATTTTTTCTGCATGTTGTTTGGCTACTTGAGCGTACTTGAGCCGTGTGCCAGCCCAGAATCCGACGCCAAACAAGGCTGCGAACGTGGGGATACTGCGTGGTCGGATGCCAAACCTGGACATGGATGCGCATGCGGATTGGATGTTCTAGGGAGCTCGAACTCGTTCTTGTTGTTAGATGCGGAGAAGGGGGCGTGGCGTGAAAGAAGGCAGAAGAGTATCGACTTGAGTCGGTATCGAGGAATCAGTGAATTGACATGGGATGGCAACTTTTGGGACTGGAGAATATCTGGCTGCTTTTAGTACGATCGAATGATATCATAAATGAACTAAAAGCAGCATGGTTACACGACAAGCAAATATTCCGAACTGGTTCACATCGCATTTCATTGTCCTCAATTGTGTTACATCTTCCCACTTCCCTTGACGCCGATCTAATGAATTGAACCTCCATGTGGTGCCCAGTCATGATGTTAGACATCTTGCTCACTGCCCAGCAGTCATGCGACAATATTCATGACTTATCATACCCCGTTATTGTGTCTTAGACTTTTCGTATTACATTGCATGTTTCCATGTCTTGGATGTTGGGACAGTGGGTTTTATTCATTGTAATGGTACACCTGGGCCTGGGTTAGCGAACTGTCACACCAAAGATCGACATACAACGTCAAGGAAAAAGACCCACAAAATAATCCGGTAGACCAAAGGCTTCATAATTCAAGCGCCGGGCCATTTTGGCAAAGCCCTCGGTTTCGATGAGATGATAGAAGGGAAAAGGAGGAAACATGGCTCCATCTCGGTGCACATCCGCCTTGACCATTAGGGCGGTGCCACCGACCCCATCCAACGGCATGATTCTCCTTTCGTCATGTTCTGGTTCACCCGGGAACTTGGCAACCTTTGCCATGAGTAACCTATACGTAGGCATCTCGGCGTACCCCTCGAGGATGATATCTTCGGGTCCCAATGACGCTGCCAGGTTTTGTGCAACACTGCTGTCTCGCCACGAGTTAAAGTCGTATGGTCTCACCTCTGACTCGCCTTGATCGTTGATGAAGCGTTGCATACAGTTGGGAACAATGATGGGTTTGTCGTGGCGGGTCAGGTCCTGGATCAATGTCGGTCGTGTCTCCACCACGTCCCCGTCGAGCCACAGAACCCATGAAGTGTGAGGACCGATGGTGGTGAAGAGGAGACTGTTTCGTGCAAGAGCCATGGCGGCTCGACGTCCCTTTTGATGTTCAAGTTTGTGACGTTCTTTTTCGTCCTGGGATTTCAAGGGAGGGTCGAAATCCTGTCGAAGAATTGTGATGGACTGGAAGCGGTGCTCGATGGGGCCGGACTGTGTGATGCCAATGGCTTCTTGTAAAGCCGCTGTGGCCACATCTCCTTCTTTTGTCTTGGGGGTGATGAATCCGAGACTGATATGCTCGTGAGGGTACGTTAGGGTAAGAAGGTTGGACCAGTACTCTGGATAGAAGCGTGCCAAAGGAGTCAAAATCAGAACTTTTTCGTTGCGTGCAAGGGGATTGGGCGATGATGTGAGATTGTTGAGATCATAATGGACAACAGGAGGTGGTCTCCGGACACCTTTGGAGCCTGGTGAGTTGGACTGCTTGCGGAAAGCCGAGGTAGGAGGAGACAGGGGATTGTCGGCGGCCGCATCAGCCGTCCTTTGCAAGAGATCAGGAGACCCTGTTACTGGAACCGTATTGATGCTGTAAAGGAAATAAATAAAGACGACAAAGAGTAAAACCCCCAAGACGTGAGTCCTGTTGGTAGTGCGAGGTTGGCGCATGTCGGATTATGCCATGCAACCAGGGTATGTGATGGCCGTCGGTCGAGTCGAGTGGTGTAGCGCAGCTGGAAGAGAGAACGAGTGTCACCTGGGATGACGACGATCTGTTTGATGCATGACGGGGATGATAGGGGAGGAATAGTCTCAAAAGCGAGAGAGGGTGGTACAGAGATGTCTAGCCCAAGGGAAGCCTGAGGGAATCCTGAGGGAATCTGATGTGGTGGAGTCGATGAGCCTGGGGGGTGGGTGACGGGTTTGGGACTGTGAGAAGCAAGTGAACAAAGAATGGCAGGAGTCTCAGTACGCACGCACGCACGCACGCAGAGGCCGGCTGAACAGCTCAGACCCTTTGTCCGGCACTTCTCGAGGCTTCGAAGGGAGTTTCGAATGAGTAGGGAGAGCGAGAGAACGTTCAAAGGTGTGAGAGTGAGAGATTGTAAAGGTGTCTTGCACAGACTGCGGTGTGGAATGGCCAAAGTTCCATTCACTTAGGCACTTCCCGATTCGGCATTGACGTCGGTGCCACGATCCTCAGCCACATTAAGGCCTTCAGCCACCGCGCCGACTGGGAAGCGACTATTTGCACCAGCACGAAAGTCTTCCCTGCCACTATTACACTACACGTCGAGATTTATGATATGTTCAAAAAGTAATGGATTTTGGTCTATCCAGCTAGCCTGGGTAGCAAATCTCCACCGAGCCTGAAATATTCGTCCGTCTCACCAGGAGATCCTGTCTATATTTGGTCGTAAGTCAGGTCACATGCTCGCTCACGCTATGTCGACCCAAGCCATTCTCAGAAGGCTTGATGTGCTGACCATGTCGATCAGGCAAATGACAGGTGCGGTATGCTCTCTCGCTACAATGTGATTGCAGAGAATTCCGTTCGAGATGACGGGATGCCGTTTTGGGGTATCGTGATGCCATATTCGAAATGCAGGCTAAGATAACTCCATGTCCCCGGATTGGAATGCTAAGCGCCAGTGTGGTATTGATGCAGTCGTGATATAAAAAGAAATTCGTGAGATTGGATGTGGTAGACACCGTTGTACGGCGATCTGGAAGAAGCCCCCTCGCTCAACTTCTCAACGGCGAGCCACTGGTGTCGACATCTGATTCGTGCTAAAAAAAATGTTAGGAAGAGGATGTTGATGTCTTGACGTTCTGTAAGCGACCACCCCTATTTACCGATAGATATCAGCTTGCCTGACCTTCTTAGTGAGCGGTTCATCCTTCTCGGATGAATGGTCACTTCTAGGGCTTCTCGCTGCGGGACTGGTCGCTGGAGACGGCTTTCCAGCACCAGCCACTGCGAAGTAGTCGATGGCTTCGTCCAACTCGAGGGGAGTGACAGGACCCTTGGGGCTGCCGAGGGGATCTAGCCGAGGACCACCAGGCTTGATACCCATCGATGAAGCGGCGACTTTGGATGACAAATGCGTTCGTTCAAGAAATTCTCGTTGCTTCTCCCGCATCAGTCGGGGTGACTCGATCTGGATGGGTTGATTGACTCGGTTGACTGTGATGGCTGGGCTGGTGACAGTTGAGGTTGGAGTAGCAGGAGCATCGAGATGGTTGAAATTGGAAGGATGGAATCTTGGGAGTGTCATGTGCATATTTCTTGATGCCTGTCGGCCATGTGGTGGTGGTCTTGCACGTGACGACTGGTGAGACATGGGGTGGTGTGTTGAGGGTAAACGGGGAGACAATGGCGAGGTTGGTGTGTATCGGGCTGAGTATCCTTCTGATGAATGCATGGTGGTCGTCAATCACAAGTCACCTCACTGTGAGACAAACAGAATTGGGGCAGTGCTTCTAGCCAGTGGATGGTAGATGGGGGTACATGCGGCGGCTCTGGTTTTGGCGAGCGGATGTAACAAAGACACTCTCAGTGGCTAGGTGGGTAGGTGGGTGATATAGAACGTTGAGAATGTTGAGTAGAGGAGGTGCTTAAGTTTTTGCCTTGAGGTGAAAGTAGTGCACTTGTTGGAAAGGAGTGAATGGCACGATGATAACAAAACACGACTGAGGCGGAGGAATAGGGCCTAATAATATTATGTACCGAACTGAATCCTTTACAGGATGGTAGGCCTCGTACCCAGTCACCCAGTCACCCAGTCGGCCAGTAGAGTGGAGTGGCGGTTGGCGCAATCCTCAGGCTACCGAGGGAGAGGGGTCAACTCTAGGGACTAACCAGATGGAGTTGGGCCACGCTGAGGGTAACTTGTAGTACCAGGGGTTGCTAGACGGCCAGGCGGGAAGACCAAGGATCCAAGGTTGGCACTGTTGAGTCTTGCCCTGCTCCTGACTGGGGTCGCTTCAGAAGAGGGTATGCTTGGGGGTGGAGGCGGTGGATGGGCTGATCGACACCCAAAGTCCAGGAGGAAAGTGTGACGAGAGCGATCAGCAAGTTGATTTCGGGTTTGTTGGCGTGGGAAAGGCACTGAGAGGGCAGAGAAGGAGATGAAACACCAATTGACGGCTTTTTCAAACGCACAAGCACATGGCTGTCAAAGTTGGTGGGTCAAAACTGTTGCCAATGTGTGAATGATGGATGTAAGGGTGTATGCAGGGCATCTCAAGCATTCAACTTGACATATCCTGGTTCTCAACAGTGTTGATCACTACTGGCAATGCAGTCTGGCACTTGAATATGCAAACGAGGGAGGCGAGGATCAAGGTATCTATGGAGATAAGCAACGTGAACAGTGGCAACTGCTGGCTGAAGAATTCGGGCATTCGGCAATCCAGCGGAACATAGACATATGCATACGTCAGGATTGAGATGACAAAGTACGAGGACCCAAGTACGGGTGCGTAACGGAGCGGACAAGACCCAGAGTGTTGGGCTGGAACCAGAGTTTGTCATTGGCACCATAATGAAAAATTTACTTTGAACGGGACCATCGTGGACCGTGTCAGACTTGGTGGGCTTGAAGTTGTGCACGACGGAAGTGGCTTGGGCTAAACATGGAGTCGAGGGAATCAAAGCTCGGCCGAAGTGATAACAAATCCAAGTGAATTGCAATGGTCGTCTGACGTTCTGGGTGGGTGTTGGCAGTTTCCTTGCAACACTGTTGGTCAGGCTCGAATTCATGCAAGAGATTGGAGACTGAGAACTCGGCAGTCCCTCTTGAGATTAGGACCACTGAGGCGCCTTAGGGGGCGAATGATTGCGAGCACCTCTGGTACTGTCTTGCTGGAGAATCTGTATAATTTCAGGTTATTATGGACACACACAGGCAGGGGCCTCTGGCCTAGCCCGTAGTCGCACTGTGATTGTTGCTGAGAGGCGACCTACAGTGCAATGGAAAGTCAGGTACCTACCGTGCCTACCTAAGGTACTACTTAGGTACCTAGGTATCTAGTCTCTGGCCAGTACAGTCTATCCCTCTCCTGACGCGCCTAAGTAGGCCAAAGGGACTGACCCAAAAATCCAAGTTACCTACTTTGTACCAACCAGGTCACCAGGTCCAATGTTCTGTCCCCGCTCAGGTTTCAGGGGCGAGGACGCGCAGAAGTTTCCGTGTGGACAAAGAGTGCTTGCGTTTTCATGAGAACGCCAACAGAGAACCACCTACTTAGTTGGCAGATGGCGGCGGCGGCGTGCGGGCGCTTGACGCGGCGTCAGGGACGTCCCCGTGGCCCCTCGGCCCCCTTCCTCCCTCCCCCCCACCAACCTACCTAAGGTACCTTAGGTACCTCATACTCCGTAGTAGGTATGTAGATTCCTCTAGATCCGACGGCCGAGGGGCCGCCGCGCCCAATCTTCGAACGGCCTGGAAGTGTTGTACTTCTGTTATGTCATTGTCATTCATCTACAGAGTTCTTGTAAGAACGTAAACAGGTAGGTATATTGTGGACTCCGTAGGTAGACCATATTCTGTTACAGTCCGAAATGATCCCACAGCAGAGGATTTCTCATTGCCAGTTATAGGAAGATCTTCCTCTGATGTTTATCCACTGCCTGGGTGAGGCCTGCAGTGTTGTTGATCCCTTATTATTGTTTGGCTTGATTACTATTGCTCGCTTCGAGAGTAACCCTGGAACTCACTGTCCTGGTGACGCACTATCGCTGGTTGGTCAGGCAGTGCCGTCAGTTGCTCAGTAGTCAAATGCCTTGTCTTCCCTGTTACCATCTCCGCTCTTTGGCATCATTAATACTTTGGACACATGACGCTCATGAGAAGCTCACGTCATTTATGTACTCATCTCCACGGAAGCCCGGCAGAGAGCATTCAGAACATTGGTGTCCACTCTTGGAGTCTGAACATGGGCTGCGGCTCAACACAAGTGCCAAAAGTGGTCACGACGCCCAATCATAAATCCAGCCATGCGAGTCTACGACGGACATCCACGCACCAAATCCTCGGCGCATTCTCGTCTAGGACTATGTCCATGGTCACAGTGCTCGTTTATTTAGGTATAACACTCAAGCAGATTGACAGGCACGACAGGATCACTTTGTACTGGATAAGTACAATGACATTTTCTTCCCATACTCGGCCTTCCATTTCCCGCCTGGCGAAATAGACAGAAGATCTCCATGTGATTCCTGGTATCCATACAGAAGAGACTGTGGGAGAGCAGAGTTCTCACTAAACCAACAACTTGGTTTCTTGTGGGGTATCCAGGGATGTAAATATCAATAATGAATGGATAGAGTGTATGTAGGCACTATGCGAACGCTTTACGCGATGGTTTGAGAGGTCTGAAAACGCAGCCTGTCATCTGTCTGTTTTGCAGTCTTGGGCTGCATACTTAGCAGCACCCATTCTTATTGCTATGCTATTCTTGGACCTGGTCACATACTCCGTAGGTGGAGTCGCAGTGAGTTCAAGGCGAGTTCCATATACCACCTCTAGGCAGACACACTGTAGGTCTGCTACTTCATGCCTTGGGGACGCATGTGGAGATTTCCGCCAGACTCACAAGTACCAGCATTGGTCGTTGCGCGATCGAACCATTTTTCCTTCGGACTGAAGAGCCGGACTCGTGCCGTGTGGTGCTGTGGGTGTCCAAGCATACGCGGGTAAAACGACATCATGGCTTGTACCAGTAAAGGCACTCGTAGGTGGGTAGGTACCCGCCAGTGCCAGTATGCCTTTTGGTAGCCAGATGGAGCACCCACGGCGCCTTGTGCCTGGCTGCCTGGTCATCGACTTATGACAAGAAAGAATATTAGTGGCTTGGCATGGCCGCACATTCGTTACCATTTTTCCAGTTTGAGGGCACTTCATTTGTCCTTAAAGAACAAGTCAACTATCCAATGCGTCATCACCCACAAGTACTACCAGGATTGATGCGATTGGTGGTCTTCAATGCCAGGCCATCCTGAAGAAGCCACGACAGATAGCCAGTGTCCCAGTGGCCAGTTGGAATTAAACATTCGATCTCAAGTCAAAAACAAGTTCAAATTTTCGCCTGTGACCTGATTTTCGCACCGTCACACCGTATACTTTGATGAAAAACGTCACCGGTCTCGAAGGATCGATCGGAGGGGATTCGAGGATGGCGATGCAGAGATCGGACCATGGGTCGTCACGTCGTCTACTACTGTAATCCTGGCAGGCTGGATCACAACTCATGGCCAATATCAGCTCGGCCCAAGGATGGTCAATCCATACCTCTTTTTGCTATCCCAAATTCATATCCGTGTGGGCCGACTGTGCTGGACATTAAGTTTGTTCCTCCCCACGTGCTCCCATAGGCAACGAAGAAGTTGGATGGGCGATCATGTGGAATTGAGTTATGCCTGCTTTGATGACGCTATATCCACTGGACCAACAAGAGGTGATTGCAACGTCCCAAGGCTGTGTAGGCTGTGCAGGCTGTGTCAAGGCAGACAAATATGTCACCTGGTCCCCCATGTCGCGTCTGACATTCACCAGCCCACATGAGATCTGACTGAGAGATGTTTACCCTGCTCATGCCTGCTCCATCGCCGACTTATCCGGATGCCGCCCCCTGGTCTCCCAATACAGGCAGGCATCTCTGTCACGGGTTCGCAGGGGTGAGGTCACAGTGCCACAGTGCTTGATCATTAGGAACTGCCCATGGCCTGAATGAGCTGCAAATTGCAGATTCTGCGGTTATTGTGGTCTTTGGTGTGGACTATGGCCAATCAGCGCGTTGCTAACAGCTAAGTTATCTTAAATATATACGGAGTATGGTTCGTGTTTGACGGATTTGAGGGCTCTAGTTGAGAGAAGGACTTCCACTTTCTCAAGGTTTCAAGTAAAGATGTTGTGTTTGAGAAATCTGAACAGATGTTGAGGAGCGCATCTCTACCTCTCGAGCAAAGAGACACTTTTGATCATCTTAAATTTTGAGAACGACAGGTTTGGAGGATTTGTCACGGCTACGGGTCGCCGCTACCGAGAACAGGGCGAAGTCGATTCTTTGTACAATGCTTCTAGTTGTCGGTCCCCGCGGGGTCCGAGGGTGTCGAGGCGACTGTGGACGTTTGCTTCGTACCAGGCCACCCTCGTGCTATGCTGACAGGACCTATCTAGACTTGTGATTTACAAATAGACAGAAAGCTACTGTCGGATGTAAGAACGTTCACCTCAGGCCGTCGAGTTGAAAGGTCTCCCAATATTAAGAAGAATGCCTGAGGGATCATCAGGGCACAGCCATAACATTTGATTCCCAATATCAACATTGCTAGAATTAGTATAAGCTCTGACCAGTTGTGCAAGAGGTATGTTCGATTATTTTCGATACTTGGCCAGTCAAAACACAATGGAGGGGTAGACGGAGCCTCGGGAGCCTCGGGAGCCTCTGTCTTTACCATGGTGCCATGCCACGCGTGCTTCTGTAGAGACTAGACATCAGAGAAGGGGGATCCGGGTGGCATTAGTGATGATCTGTGGCTTAGCAGAGCGGAAGACCATGTGCCGAGTAGGGGGAATGGGCATGAGCCAACCACAGCGCCAGCACCTAAACTCAAAGGGTTCAATCGTGTTGGAGTGTCCGCGAGCTGCCCTATCGCCCTCTCATATTAGGTGCTCTTGTGGGCCTAGTTGGCTCTAGCGAGTCCGCTCGTGCTCACAATCGATACCAGTCACGCCAGTGCATCTAACCCTATCTCGGGCCTAGTCAGGGACTCTCTCATCACTCACCACTCACCATCAATTCCTGTCTCGACTCCCACGCCCAAAGAAGACTGCTTCCATCCCTAGGCCGTTACAAGCTGCCAACCTCTATCTTGACCTCGCCTTCCACATCATCTCAACGACCGCCTTTATTTCATCGCTCATTCTCTCACTTCTTCATCTCCCCCAGCCTCACTACGCAAAATAGCAATGATTCCTTTCCAGCCTCTGTCCTAGTCATAACTTTGTCCGCCACCCCCCCGCGCACCATGTCGGCCGAGCCAACTCTCGGTCTGGACTCATCGGCTGGCCGTGACTTCGACAATTGGCTTGACTGGAATGGTTCCTTGAGCGCCTCTGATGGCAAGGTCGCGTCATTGGAACCAAACAATATAGAGCCAAGCAGCCTGCTCCATCTCCCCATTTCACCATCCTCCACGACAAACGGCGACGCCCTCAATTCCGCCGCCAAATCCAGCTTCCTCACCGCTCCTCCTGCAGACATCCTCACGCCTCAACACAGCTCGGGATCTCCAGATTCACGTTTCAGTTTCGACCTCAGACTCAGCGGCGATACTCTACGCGATCAGCCCTCCCCAAACGAACGGCCAATGCTCAAGCGAAAATTGTCCCCTACGGACATTCCCACTGCCAATTACCAGCCTGATGTTCCCGTACCTGCCGCAAAGAAACGGCCCCACAATGTCATTGAGAAGAAATATAGAGCCAATTTAAATGCCAAAATCGCAGAGTTGCGAGACAGCGTGCCCAGTCTCCGTGTTACGAAGAAGTCTACCGGCAAGGACGGGGAGAATGTGGACAGCGACGACGAAGACTTGGATGGCCTGGCTCCCAGTAACAAGCTCAACAAGGCTTCTGTTCTCACCAAAGCGGTCGAGTACATTCGGCATCTCGAGTTTCGCACAAAGCGGTTGGAGGATGAGAACAAATCCTTAAAGGAGCGTTTGGAAACGCTTGACAAGGTCATTGCTCGTGGAGGCCATGATGCTCAGAGAGCTGTGGCCTTCACAAGCGACACAATCATCGAGGAGCGACCGGAATCCGGACCCGCTACAACCGAGTGTGCAACATCGAGCGACAGTCCCGCGCCCTCCAACCCTCCTCAAGGATTGGTTCCGCTGCCAGATGCCTGGCGCCGTATGCGGCAGAATCAATCTCAGGAGCATTATGGACATATCTACCAGACCCCGGCGGAAAGATCTCGCTTCAAGGGCAAATGGCCTACGCGGATTATGCTTGGCTCCATTGCCGGACTGATGATTATGGATGGATTGAATGAGCCTGACAATGGTAATGAATCACGAGAGAAAGGGCTTTTTGGAATTCCTTTGGAACTCCTCGACGGCTGGCAGTTTCTACGCTCGCCTCACGTTTATCTGGCCGCCTTCACAAATTTTTGTCGCACCGGTGGGGTGATACCATTAATGAAGGGATTTGTGGCTCTGACCTTCCTTGCATTTGTGGTCTTTTCATACCTCTTCAACTCCAAGCCTTCACCCAAAGATGATCTCGAAGAAATGGGCACCGACTCGGCGCAAATCCCCGCTCCAGCCTCCCCCATCCAGGTTCGGCGGAGGGCGTGGAGTACCAGCATGCAAGCTTTGAACCTCCCTCACCACAGCTTTTTCCCCGAGTGGCTAGCCATCACCTCGGAGTGGCTCAAGTACAGCTTTGGCTACGTTTTCGGGCCTCGGGCTTATGCCTGGCTGACAGGACGCACCGCAGATGATGACGCGGCCCGGATCAAGGCGTGGGACATTGCCATTGACGCTCAATTGGCTGGCGGAGACATCGAAGTCAGTCGAAGCCGCGTTGTCTTGACCATCTTTGGCTCTGGGACATTGCCCTACACGCCCCTAAGATTGATGCTCAAGGCGTTGCACGTCCGGGTATTATTGTGGAGCGTGGGCTCACTCGGCACCGCAACTTCCAGGGTGGCTAACCATGTTGGGAAGCTCTTTGCAAGGAGACAATGGCGCAGGGCCAAGTCCACCCAAGATGACCTCGCGGCACGGGACCCTGATCGACTGCCGCGATACCTCTCTGAGTTGTTGAACACTCCGTGTGACGATGTCCTCATCGACACGGTGTGCCAGAGAGCATATAATCTGATGTACGATCGCCCGACGCAGGAGCATTCTTCGAATTCGCTCCTGGATGTCGTTGTGGAGGATCATGCGGTTCGATCACCGCTTGACGCGATTGCTGCATGGCGGTCCACTCATTCTCTGACACAGGCGCTGCAACTGTCCTTGAGGTCTCCCGAGTCCACAGTGACTTTGCAGGGGCATCTTGACTATGCTTTGAAAGTCGCACCACCCGGATCAGCGGCAGAGACCCGTGCGCTCGCGGCTAGCGCAGTGTTCTGCACTTCCGAGCGACTGGTGCTCCTTAAACGTGTCTCCAATGCCGTCAAGACACTGTTTTGCCCAGGCACATCATTCAGTGAGCATGCCCGACCCCCGTATTTTATCGATTCGTCAACGCCAATGTCGGCACGAGCAGACATTGTGAATTGTCTCCATTGTGCAGAAACTCTCAATGTCTTGGAACACGAGGGCGCAACCAAAGCTGCAGCCTTTTACGTCTCGCAACCTGTGGACGTCTCCACCGCGAACTTGCTTACTCGATCTGTGACCAAGCACCTCCTTCGACAGCTCTCGATCCATGGAATGCCAGTAGCCGCAGGCGGAGACGAGGTTCGGAACATGCCATATGGGAACAGTTTCGATACTGACGTATTGGACCAAAGCAATCCAAAAGTACCGAGACGAACGAGTGTGATCAGTAATGATACAGGATACGAAAGTCTGGACGAGTCCATCTCCTCTTGGGGGTTTGAGGGTGACGTCGATGCCAACGAGACAACAGCTCTGCAGATAGATGCTCAGATGCTGGTGTAATTTACTGGATGATTTTTGGTGTTTTGGCGTTGATAGAATTCCATGTGGGTACTAGGTATGCATCTGCATCTAGACAGGACACCTAGCGCACTTCGTTATGAAGTAATAAAGAGTGAACATGAACGATACTTGTATCTCGACCCAGTTGTAGCAACACGAGGGCTAGTCCTCGTAGGATCAATCCTCTTAGACAGCGCGCGAGAGAGAGGGAGACAGAACGACAGAGTACTCATACTGGTCATGTATAATCACGTGATTGCATCGTTGACTCGCATGAAATGACGCACAGGAGGAACCGAGAGTGAGAGTTGCTCTTTCCTAGCCAGGGCCAGACCAAATATTCTCTACGTCGGCAGTTGCGCTCCTTGAAATTTTCCCTTGGCTGGCGACTGCGTTGCATCCGATGTTGTAATCTGTTCCAGGGCTTCCAAAATGGCACAAGGGGTTGGTGAAGATGGCGACGAGGTTTGGGAAGTTGGGTTGTTTGATGCTCATTGCCACCCTACTGACATCATGGCTTCTATCAAGGACATTGCATCCATGAAGGCCAGAGTACTCACCGTCATGTCCACCAGAGCTCAAGACCAAATCTTGGTCGAAAACACCGCATCTCAATACCCAGCAGAGTCAGACACCGATTTCTCCATTGCCAGAGGCCCCTTGGTCGTACCAGCTTTCGGGTGGCATCCCTGGATGTCACACCAGCTGATCGACGACCGCCGCTATAATGACCAGGTAGATTCAGCTCAGCACTATCAGTCAGTCCTATCACCCGTGCCTGAAGACATGGAGTTAATTCGAGCACTACCGCCACCAATACCACTCGGACACTATTTGAATGAAACGAGAGCTAGGCTCGACAAGTTCCCTCTTGCATTAGTGGGGGAGGTGGGTTTGGATCGGGCATTCCGCCTACCAGAAGCTGCTGAGACTGAATCCTCGTGTCAAGGTGCAAGGCAGGAGACTAACGGGTGTGGAATGCATCATACTGCCGGTGCTCGCGAAGGCCGCCCCCTAAGCCCTTATCGTGTCAGCATGGAACATCAAAAGACAATCCTCCTAGCCCAGCTCGAACTTGCCGCAGAGATGAAGCGACCAGTCTCTCTCCATAGCGTCCAAACACACGGTGTCGTCTTCGAGCTGCTGCAAAGCATGTGGAAGGGGCATGAAAAGCCCTCAAAGTCCGCGATGCGGAAACAGCAACAGCAGCACGATTTTCATGAATTCAACAGTGCCAGACCTCTCCCATACCCTCCGAGGATCTGTATGCACTCGTATTCTGGGCCTCCAGACGCTGTAAAGCAATTTATCAACCCCAAAGTCCCCACCGAGGTCTACTTCTCCTTTTCCATTGCAATCAATTTCTCCAATCCATCCTCTGAAAGGGTCACCAATGTCATAAGGTTAGTCCCCGATGATCGAATTCTCATAGAGAGCGACCTTCACTGCGCTGGAGAGACAATGGACAGGCTGCTTTATGATATTGTCGTCAAGATCTGCGAGATCAGAGGCTGGCCTATGAAGGACGGAGCAGAACAATTGAAAAAGAACTGGCTGAGATTTGTTTTGGGTTGAAAATATCGACATCACTTCTAGAGTGCTTCCAGAGTGTCTTCATCTCTGTCTCAGCTCTCAGAATCAGGCGGCAGAAGGAGTGATAATGTCAATATGTGGGGGTTCTAACTGCCATACGATGTTTCAATCACGGTGGGACAAATGGTGAAGTCAAAATACCTCACCCTCCGAGATGGCCATTCACTACAGGCTTGACGCCTCTTCCCTGGCTACAGCCCAGGACGCGCAGAGTCATTGTAGGTTCATCTGCATTTTACCATCTTACCTCCTGATACCAACAATTCTGCTCGATTACAGGTACAATCATGCGTTTCCAAGACCTGTTCCATTTCAATCCGCCTCAATTGCTCTCATGGTGTGACTGGGTCCTTGACTTCCCTCGACCAGAACTACCCGCGCCAACAGTTCGCCTTTGTGATGCTAAAGAACAACACCTCAATACCCGTGAGGCGCAGCTTACCGACTTTATCAAGACACGGCTTCCGAAAACAGACATCTTCTATGCCTTCAAGCATGAAAATAAGCACCGCAAGAAGTCACGTGGACAGTATGTTGTCACGCAGCTCTACGCGCTGTATGAGGTTGAGCATTGGCCTCTGGCAAAAGAACATGTTCAGTGGACAATGTTCGTCATCGCCAATCTCAGTTACGATGAGCAAGTAGGGTCCGACGCACACGTGGACGGACTTGTTTGTGAGTACCACGCAGCATTTTTCATGATATCTGGGATATCTAACAGCAACTCTCCAGTACCCTCTCTTCCTTCAGCCGCTGCGGCCATGTATCGTGAAATGACCCTTGCATACCAGGCAAAATCTGTCAGACGCACTTTGAAAAGCATCAAGCACCCTCCACGGTCTGAGTCATCCTGCGGTTCTCGACCAATGTCATCCAATCCCAATCAACTATGTCAAAGTTCAGCGCAACAAGGGCAAATTCCGGACGGTTGGCCGACTCGAGATGCCTATGTAGGGTCACCATGCAGGCGGGAAGAGAGTGTGTCAGGTCATGAGATGTCAGTGGCGACAGTCCCAAATCATAAACCGCACCAAGCGGTTACCGCAGCACCATCTGCCACAACAGAGGCAACGTTACAGCAGAACCCCAGGTTTGCGATAGCGAAGAGGCTGCGGCGCCCCAGAGTGTTCATTTCAAGTTCTCTGCGGACCGAAGTTGACGTGACAGAAAATACGTGTGTCACTCCGGCTAGTATTACTCCGGGTGCTCCAGTACCATGGCCTCACTCTACGACAGAGACTAGAACGCAACATCTTCCAGCTGGGCTACAGCACCTTATTGCTTGCAATGGCTTCTACACTCCTTCTTTCCGTGACTGGATCTCCAAAAATACCGAGTTCTATGAGTGGGCAATGAGGGGCCACGCGCATTGGGCTACCAGATCGGTTCGGCGGCAACATCAGACCTTTGTACGTTGGATCTTGTCTCACCCAGAGTCTCAGTCGTGGACTGCTCGTGATTGTTTTGACCTAGCAAGAGATCAGGTGCATCGCAAAGCTGACATGGCATATCGCGAATGGAGAAGACACTGCCCCAGCGTTGCGTTCGATGAGGATTATCCATTCCCTAACTGGTTGGATAAGATGTTTGCATACCTACTTGCGACCGTTCGACACCGCGATCCGATCCCCACTGATGCAACTGCAGCATTTGTTCGTGAACTCAACGTCAAACATAAAGTGGAAGCAGCAGCAAGGCAACAGGGAATTCTTTGGAGATGGGCCAGGGGCATGTCGGCCCAACTAGACGAGAGGAAGAAGACCGTTGGAGCAATTCGATTCCGACTCGAAGCCAGCCAGGGATTTGTGATGGATCTTTGGACTGGTGTTACCGAGGAAGTGGAGGCCTTCGTTGAGAGGATCAATGCGCGTGTGACACAGAGAAATGAAGGTATAGTCGAGTTGCCACACGTCGTCTGAAACAATTTGGACAAAGTCAAGCGTTGGGATATTTCTTAAGTGAGATAACCCAAATTAGTGAAAGAACAAATGCGTGTGAGGACGTAAAAGTACAGTGACGAAGGCATAATCAACTATGATATTGTAAAGGATCATGCTTGAGGGCTTGCTCTAAACCCTCCCAAGCATCCTGTAGCGCCCGAGACAAAGGAGGCCCTTCGCAGGCGGACAAGGTGCGATTGATCTGGTCCTCAGTGGAAGCGCCTAAGATGACGCCGTCCTGTTGACGCAGAGGAGCATGATGCATGAACCAGCGCAACGTGGCTTCGAGTAGAGTGATATTTTCAGCATCAACCGACTTTTGAACGTTGGCCAAGGCAGCAAGGACGTCTGGCCGGAGATAAATGTCACCAAAAACCTTCATCTCATGGAACCGAGACCCCTCTGGTGGAGAGGTGATATCAGCAAGCGACTTTGCAAGCAAGCCACCGGCCAGAGGGGAGAAGGCGTAGAAGACCATGTTGAGAGACCTGAGCAAGGGGAACAATGTAGTCTGGGCCCCGCGTGCAATGGGGTTGTAGACGCCCTGATAGACCGAGGGCAAGATATAGCGGTTCTGGGAGCAGATGGCATGAATACGACGAACCTCATCGTCAGCCAGGTTGGACACTCCGAACCGATCAAACTTGCCCTGACGATACAGGGCGTCGATGGCGCGACATTGCTCCTCCAGCGGAACTGTTCGGTCTGGTCCATGCAAATAGTAGATATCGACTTTGTCCTGCTTTAACGCCGCAAGCGACTTCTTGCAATTGTCGAGGATCCGCTCTTCCTTCAATGACTGAGCCGCAAAACCGGGTGCTTTGGTCGAGATGACGAATCCATTATTGCCCGCCCCAACCTCCCCCAGAAGCTCCTCTGATCGTCCTCCATTGTACACTCGTGCCGTGTCCAGTTCGCGCACTCCGTGTCGCTTGACTGCCGCAAGAAAGGATTCCACTTGCGCCTTGGTCGCCAATGACCCGCTCCCGTGAGCCACCGAACTGCCCATCATTCCGACTATCAATTTAGGCATCTTAGTTGGGGTGGGGGATTGCCCGTCGCTTTCTGTATGTGTTTCTTGGTTAGATGGTGAGAGAAAAGAGGCGAGAGAGCTATCTCAGTAATGTTCCACACAGTAGAAGATTTACTGTTCAGCAACATTCTTCAAATTTTGCTAGTAGTCTGTTCTAAAACCTGGGATATTAAAGGAAATATATACCTAATTACGACCACTTTTCGACATGTAGGACGCCTGACCAACTAGCTCAAGAGTGCTGTCAAGATAAAGTCTACACTCATAGACATGTTGTTTCTTATGCATCTGGGGCGAACTCAGAACGTGGACCTGGACGGACGAAGATTCTGGTCCATAGATATACACTTCTAGACTAGCGGAAGCGCCAAATTAGATTCATAGGCGGAGCTGGGATCATCGACTAGAACAACTCGCACTCCTATGGACGAGATCGGTCAGGGACCGGAGCTACGAATATGGCACCTTGGTTGCTACTTGGTACTTGTGATCTATCACCACCAAGGCGCCCAATGATCGTCCAACTAAATTTAATGAAAGGCTTCTAAGATCTCCAGGCTCGTATAAGTTGCATGGCGGGATGACGACATTCGCTGCTTTGGGCGGTTTCTCAACTTTGTGAGATCCGACATCTGTTCAAGCACACTAAATATATGTTGCGAAGCCCTACAATTGACTGCCAATGGAATTCCAGATTTGTTCCTACATGTTCTTGACCACGTTATTGACTTGCTTTGGCGACCATCCCCGAATAGACATACGCAATGTCGAAACGATCATTCTAGGTAGTGAACCGCTTTTACCATGGTTACGTTTGCCCTGCTCCCAGTGGTACTGACATGTAGCCCTACACTCTACAATCTGCCTGCTAAATGCTTGGATAGGACAAAGAGATTTCTCTTGCCATCACTCTTCACTTTACCGGAAAGCCCAACTTTCTCTCCCGACCATGTGGACAGCTGCTTCAACGTATCCTCATCTCCATGGTTGGCAAGGAATCTGTGGCCATTATTCAACCGACCCACCACATACCCACGGAGGGGAGTATTATCTCGTTTGAATTCCACAGTATATGTCTATGAAGATTCAGGTTAGCAACGGAGCGGTTGGGGGCCGGCTTGGGATTACATACCTCGATCGTCGCGTCCTGTTCACCCTCGACCGTGGCAGTTATCGGAGGAGCGGGAATATCAGTAATAAACTCTGGTAGAATTTCCTTTTCAGGGTATGGAGCTCCGTCACGACCTCGCATGGTTGAAAGGCAAATGACATGTTGGTACGACAGGAATCCACCATTGGCAAGAATCAAGCCATTTCGACCTTTGCCTGTGCGAAGCTGTCGTGTCATCTCCGTAATGGCCTTTGTGAGGTTCAGTCAAGGAAACCCTTCTGCTTCAATGGACAACAATTCAACTTACATGCATGGAATAATTGTTGCCCGCGCCTCCAAAACTAGTCAAACCCCCCAAAAGAGTCAATGCCTTCCTGCCCCCTGTTATTGGTAGCTTGAGATGGTGGGCAGCAAGTTTTGGGACGATTGGGAAACATCTATCAGATTTCATGAACCATAAGCCCTTGGCATCTCGAAATATCACGGCATGAGGAGCGAGGGGGTATCCTTACGAATAAAAATCGAACAAATCAATGTCTGCAGCTGAAAGGCCTGTGACTGCCAACGCGGCATCGAGTGAGCGTTCAATTGATGGACAGGAATGGAAATTTGGTCGCTCCCAAACTGGAAATCATAACCATTAGTCGGAAATCAATATGAAATGCGACAAAACACCCACAATTATCGTTGTCACGGGTTCCAGCACCTCCAAGCGTGTAAATCCATTGCTCCTGTGGGATTCCGAGCTCATATGCAAATGAGGTCGAGGTTAAGATGGCCGCACCAGCCAGGTTGACCGTGTTGAATGCGTTCATCAGCAAAGGATCTAGAAGTATGAGGTTAGTGAAAAATTGCTCTTGCAGCGACAACTCTCAGGAGGGACAGACAGGGAAAACAGATGAGTCGATTCTGCTTGGTAACAGTGCCAATATCGCTTTTGGACTTCTTGGAACCAAAATTCCAAGAATACGGCTGCTTTTCTGCCACTTCGGCAAAGTCGGCATATAATTGAGCTGATTCTTCGTTGTTGTGAGCGATAGTCTGGCCGCGATGGGCGCGGAACCCATTCTCATAAAGCGGGTATATCTGTATCGGGTCGCCGATGGAGTGAATACCACCAACAGCTGGAAAAGGTCAGTCAAAGTCGAGGTTGAGGTCAAGTCCACCTTACTCTGGCCTAGATCTCTTCCGGTCGCGGAAAACACCTTTGTAACATCCTCATGAACTTTGGACCAGCCAGGAGGGGGCATCTTTCCAGCCTTGGCACATGCCGTTACTATGGAACTTGTCAGAATTGATACTGGTGGTATGGACGTTGGATCGACCCACGCGAAGCCAAAGCTTCACCTCCTGTGACTATAGCGACTTTTGATTTGCCCCTGGAGATACGTCTTGCAGCCTCGTCTAGTAATTTTGCAGGTTTGTTTCCACCGTGATCACTGTAGAAGCGGTGCTTCGCATTGACACCCAGGTTTTGACCAATCAGACCGGGCAAATCATCGTACGGCCATGTCCATGTCCTGACCACATCAATGCTGTCAATGGCAGACTGTAGTTTCTGCCGTGATGTCGAGGATAGCTTTGTGTCGTCAAGCGCAATCTCAATGGCCTTGAGAATCAACGTCAGCGGTTCATGGGCATCATCCAGAGCAAGTGACCGGTTCACAAAATCACCGACGCCGACGATGATAGGGGTCTCGACGTTGGTAGGCATGGTTGAATATGGATGTCGAGGAATGAATTGAAGCAAGGAAATGCTCTGTAGAGAGGGGTGTATTTTAGCATTCGGCTTGTTCATAGGTGGAGCCGTGATGATGCTGGGCTTACAACCGATAACGTGGAGTGAGCCGAGGTTGAGATATGAGGGACGCCTGGCGGCGCGAGTCACACTCTACTACGGGAATTGGCGAGTCATTCGACCCAGGGTTTCTGATCTGGCATGTTTAAAGCATAGAAGAAACGTCCAAGGCACCAACAGAGAAAAATCTCGTACCGTCGACGTTGAATCTGAAGTCGAAGTATTTTGGTCGACATTTTGCCAGTGGAGACTAATGTGGCAAGTGCGCGTCAGCCTCGGGCTTGGGGAAGGCGCGAAGGAATAGTCCATAAGGAAGGCGCAACCCACCATCCAATGCGGAGCGGAAAAACTTATCCTCCAAATGGACCCCCACGACCCCCAAGATCCCTCACCTTTGCATCTATTCGGTATATACATAGTTTAGCTGCACCAATAAAGACCTCGGCAACCTGCGTCTGGAAAAGAAGTCAAAGTCAGGGATCTAATCGAACCTGTAGACTCTTACTATTACTCTCATATTAATTGACCTTAGCGGACAACAATATACTGTACATCAATTCTTCGAAACCGTGCGATTTCCACAGTATTAATAATGCGTCGTATCTGCTGACCCACGTGACTTGGAGCATTCAATAGAATATATGCGACAAGCGAAAGGTGGTCACACACCGGTCTCATCCAATGTTAGTTGATTCCGTGTTGTTCGTTTGTTGTATTATTGCTAACCGTATCTAGAGCACTGTTGCCTAGTCATGCTTGTCGCGGGAATTCTGTTGAAACTGGTAGATGGCATTTTCTAGGGTTATGAACAACAGGGTATCATTCATGGATGCAGGTTCCGACCACTAAAGTATAGGGTATTCCTAAGAGAGGTGAGATCTCTCTAATCTCGGATTGAATCCAAGACACCCAGCCTTCGGCAATTGCAAGACCTCGTGGCCATATAAATGAGGAGTGTTGGAAACATCAACCATAGGCGGCAAATCTATCAAGCGAGTTCTGTCTGTCACCTACTCTAGACTCGAACTATCTCTACCGGATGCATATTGCCAGTAGATCTGTGGAGAAGATCGCCAAAGTTGTTAGCGGGAAATCACCAAGATGCGGAGAGGCAAGCCACTCTTGACCCTCTCCCGCATGCATCTCCTTTCAGTTTTCCGAGGGACACCTCACCCCTACTCACTGACCGTGGGTCTCGCCCTTGGCCAGACATCTTTGGTACCGAGAGGCTTCAAAATTTACCCGTCAAGGTGGCCAGGTTGGCTAGACATGACCACAGAGCAAAATCGAACACGGCATAATGACCCGACATGAGCCAACTTTCTGGGGCATCGTGAATTGCCCAAGGGGTACTTCATTAATATATTTCATCGTCTTGCTTCCACATCTGAGACTTGGCTAATACACAGCTTCTATGTACTTCAACTGCCATTGCTACCGTAGGAGACTGTGAATCCATAATGAACCAAATCAGTCACATCGATGACGACTTGGGCAAGAAGAAGTCTCGACTTCAGCAATGGAGGCGATATCTGGCTGAAGATGTGGATAAATCATGGGCCGATTTGATTCTAATAATTGCGTCCTTCATCTCTGGCCTTGTGGATAGTGCAGTATTCAATGTCTGGAGCTGCTTCGTGAGTATGCAAACAGGTGAGCTACCCTAATCAACAAATCTGGCATGGACAACATGAAAGCGTGTTATCTCATCAAGGAAGAATGGATTGATTGACCGTGTATGCTACAGGCAACACTGTCTACGTCGGCCTCGGCATGTCTGGACAACCATTTAGTCAACCATATCGATGGGTCAAATCGAGCACTGCCATCGTCAGTTTCTGCTTGGGGACCTACTTTTTCAGCCGTGCGGCGAGAGCTCTCGGACCCCTCCGTCGAGGGACCATGTGTGGCTCTTTTGTCTTTCAGGCGGTCCTATGCTTCATCGGCGCCGGATTGGTTGTCAGCGGCGTCGTTCACCGAAATGCAGGAGATCAACTGCCTCACAACTTGATTGTCTTGCTCCCCCTTTCACTACTGTCGTTCCAGTCCGCGGGACAGATTGTCGCTAGCAGAATGCTCGCCTATAACGAATTGCCTACCGTTGTACTCACCAGCACATATTGCGACCTGATGCTCGATCCAACTTTGTTCACTGCCCCCTTGACCCAAAATTCGAAGAGAAATCGACGCTTCATTTCTGCTGTTGCACTGCTCGCAGGTGCAGTGCTCGGCGGCTTCCTCACTAGCGAAGGGGACATTACAGATCCACTTTGGATAGCTGGCGCCATCAAACTAGTTGTTGGGATAGTCTGGCTGTTCTGGCGAGCAGAGGGATCAATTCGTCTGGAATGAGGTATACGACATTTGACCAGGCCTGACTACATTGCCACATTTCCTGGTACATGTCCAAGGGGTCTCCTCTTTTGACTGGTAACACTTTTCCTGTGGATGTGTATCTGACGAGAACGCCTCATTCGACAAATAGCCGTTATCTTTCAAGATAGGGGTAGCGTGTTATCGTAGATAGTACAAAACACATGATTTACCTTATATTGCATATCTAGTTACCTCACTCCATGTTATCACCGCACCATCGCATAGCCCACATATCCTGACGGCCAGGTGCCAAAACCATCTTCCGAGATTGGGAAAACACCACAGATACTATTATCCTATCTCTCACCGCTCACTGAGGCTAGAAACCGGAGAACGCCTCAGGTAGAGGGTCGGACGAGGAGACATCGAACGTATCCGCCATCGGTGAGTGCTCCGTCCGGCTGATTGTTTACCAACCTCATATGAACGGGAATCTTCGGAATCCACAATCTAGAGTATCCGAGGAGGGTTGACGTGTTCACATCTCCTAATGTGTTGCGGTCAAAGTCGGGCCCTCTATAAGTATTCTGTCCAAGCTACAGCGCAGGAAGCGCAGGGAGTCGATCTCTTCCTTCAAAATCACTATAATCGGGTCGATACGGCATTTAGCATGATGACTATAGGAGGAGGAGTAGAGAGATCAGGAATACCAGGTAGGTGAGGAACTCCTTCTCTGTTGGCATATACGTGTGTATATATGTCGGGGGCCTCTTGAAATCTGACAACAGTGCTTACAACATCATGCTTCATCAATTATGCACTCGGTACGTGGATGATGTCCATCACCAACCAAATCGTTGCAACATCATTCAAGGTCATTGACCAACGTCACATCAGGTCAAACAAGTCGTAGCAACAGTGCCGGTGCACTTTGGATCTTGACATCAAGCTCTTTTCTCACTGTCGAGGTGAGTAGGGGACTCTTCATCAGAGCTGCCTTTGATGACGACCTCAAAGACCTCATCTGGAAAGCGAGACGCAGCAATGGCATCTATGACAGTTCTAAACACTCGAACTTCAGTCAATCCACTGTTGTCATTGGAAGATTCTGGCTCGAGCAAGGTCCAGCCAGCCCTCTCAAACCTTGAGCGGATGTGCTCGGTTAGGTTGGAGAAGCGAATCTCCAGCTTATCACCGCCGTACTTCTTGATCTCGGTGAAGAAACCTTTGAGGGCAGAGACAGCTGTCGTATCGATGTAGTTGACCTTGCTAAAATCGAGGACAATGACATGAATTGGAGGCAGAGCGTCGGTTGCGAGGCCCGCTTGCTTTCGGAGTCTTGCCACACGTCTCTCTCCTTCCACGGACCATATCCGATCCTTCTCAGATCCATTCACGCTGCTGTAAGCTGGAGCATGGTAGGTCTTGACATCATCCAGGATGATCATTCGAGTTCTCTGAGCGTTGGGGAAGAAGAATGATTCGTTGAAACGGAAGACGCGAGTGTCAGGAGGCAGATTCGGGGGGATTCCTCGCGAGTTCTCCAGCGAAACAGTGAATTCCGATCGTGTCTCTGCACCATAAGAACGGACACGTGAAAAGGCTTGACGAAGGAGACAAAAGACGATGTTCCACGCCACACCTGTGGCGATACCAACCTCAGTGCTGACAAACAAAGAGAGCCAGAAGGCAAGCATGGCTGCAATGAAATCGGCCAGCGAAGTCTTCCAGAACTGATAGTACGTTCTGGGGTTACCAATCAGGGGCCAAATGGCTGTGATGATGATGGCAGCAAGAGTGGCCTTTGGTATCCAATAAAGAGCGCCCGTGAATTTGTAAATGGAAAGGATAACGAAAGCAGTGGTGATGATGCCCGAAAGCGGTGACTTGACTTTGCAATTGGAGTTGACAGCAGTTCGGGACATGGCTCCTCCCACACCCATGGCACGGAAGAAGGAATTGAAGAAATTGGTGATGCCAAAATAGCAAAGCTCCTGACTTGCGTCTGTGACATAGTTGTTGCGGGCGGCAAAAGCCTTCGCGATGGCAACATGTTCAACAGAGGCAGCGACAAAGGCGGCGATACTGCGGCCAATACATTTCTTGATTAACTCGCCGTCGGGCATTCTGGGGTTCTCTATGCGGCTCGCAGGGACCTGACTGACTTCGAAGAGATAGTCACTCTTCTCCCTGCCTTTGTTGACGCCGTAACTGATCCCGGTGAAGAGAAGCAGTGCAATAAAAGCACGAGTGATTGAAAGGAACCAGATGATCCGGTTCTTGCTTCCCCAGCGGTCGCCAATCTTCTGGAGGCCAACGAGGAGAACTACTCCGCTGAGGCCAATGCCCGCAGCCCGACCGTTGCAGGTACCAAAGTTGTTGAAGACATCATGGATGATATTTGCAGTGCCGTCCCGAATGTTTTCCTCGCCAATCAGATTTTTGACTTGGCCAAGACCGATGACTATGGCCGCAGCAGAAATGAAGCCAGTCAGAACTGGGGTGGAGACGAAGTCAAGCAGGAATCCAAGCTTCAAGAAACCCAGAAGCATTCCGTAGACGCCCATCATAAGGGCGACGGCAGAAGCGACCGCCTGCTCTGTGTAGCCTTCCTTAGTAAGTGCCTCGACCACATCAGAGGTGAGCAAGCCGATGAGCGATGTGGGTCCTGTGGATAGATCTGGACGGTGTTAATGCGAGAGCATGAGCTAGGAGACACAAGTCCGCAGGTACCTTTGGTGGTTCCCATAAAGGCATACAACACCGCTGGGAGCCAACTGGACATGAGACCAAATTGCACCGGGATGGTGGCAATCTTTGCATATGCCAGACTCTGAGGGATCAGCATAAGAGCAAGGGTTAAGCCAGCGACGAAATCGTTGACAATCCATCGATAGTCATATCGAGGGAGCCACCCGATGATGGGGACCTTCTCTGTGAGATAGAGCAGGATGGCGGCTGGAGCAGCATGTATTCCACGCACGGCCAGAGAGCCCACTCTGTTCCATGTCACGTCGTTGCGGACATCATCCGCGGCTCTGGCAAGAATCTTCATGACGAGCACTTGCTGAATGGGTACAGCATCAGGTAGCAAAAGATATGTGAGGCTGACTCGGCCTTCTCGGATCAGCTGGGTCAAGCAGTCTCGAGATTGAAGAATCTAATTGTATATAGACCGTGGGCTCAGCAAGGGGAGTGATAGTACTTGTAGAGTATCAAAATTCATACCCCTCCCGGGTATGGAGTCTCGAAGAGGGAGGCATTGCTGAGGGATGCGTGTATGGCAGATCATGATGGAATCTGCGTATCGGGACGCTAAGCAGGGTGACAAAGACTAGGAGATTCGAGCCACGAATGGCGATTGCTGCTCGAATCAAGCGTGACAAACCACACAGAGCCAAGTGCCGCCCGTATCTGCAAGCGAGAGGCAACAAGGTGTGAGTGTGCGTGTGCTGGTGGGATTGTTCGTTTCTGCAACAGTGGAAATTCTCCAAATCCTGTCAAGGACCTGAGCGGGCGACCAGAGTTTAGAGACACTTCGGAGTACTTAGAGCGTAAGCATAAGCACTCCTCCTCCATTAGAAGCCTATCCAAAAGTCCAAGACTTCAAGGGCACCCCTGTAACTCCACAGTTTCAACAGTTTCAAGGCCCAAGACCCCGTGCTTCTTATGCGGGGGAGGGACGCTCGGGACACGGGCGGTCATCATCAGTTTCTCTGAACCACTCATCTTCCCCAGCTGACCATAGCTTATCCTGTCCACACCCGCATTTTCTGAGACGCTTAATCGATGAACCGGACAAGTCATGAGGATGTTGGGCAGTGTCGTCGATGATGACGCCTCGTCGCATGAAGCAGATCTCAAACTCGATCTGTGGTTACCCGTACTGTGGAGGTGGCGATTCATCAGAAAACTTCGTCTAGATAGTTGACTGAGAGGACGATGAAACAATGCCTACTGTTCCAAATTGCTGGTTACTCCGCATAGTTGAACGGGCAGGAGAAGCATGGTAGCGACAGCGAGGTTGGCAGATTTCACGGCCTACATCATATGCATGACATGGAACATCTCGATTTGGCACTTGTCGCAATGCTGTCGCCGCCGGGTGAAAGAATAACCATGAGTAGCAGAAGCACGAAAGCAAGAAAGGCGCATGGAAACTCTGAAATTGTCCTCGGTGCCAATTCCTTGCTCCCACTACACATACGTCGCGACGACAATTTGTCCCCCTGGTCAATTGTCCATGATGCAGGTACTGCAACCCTCACAAAAGGGAGTTAAATAGGTTTAGCTGGGTTCATATCAACTTCTTCTCTATTACGTCGGCGATTGGCATCAAGAACTCGCAACCCGTCTCATTGACGGTTACCACAACGGTGCATTTGGAAGACCTTGGAGTGGGGCTGAGAGCATGTATGAGCAAGCAAAGTAATCATGTAGATCTCACCTGGCCAGACTCTCTTATGGTCGGAACTTAACTTTGAAGCTGCGAGACTAGAACGGGGGTCCTCGTTCACCAACCTGCTGTCTCTATAACCAATGTCGAGTGAGAAACCCGATGCAGACTTGGGTCCTCCCAGCTTTATGCTTTTTCAAATGCTTCAATGCTGTAATTAGAGTCCATCTATCCTGCGTGCAATTCTGAAAGCTTTTTGCATTGTCAATATTGACATGTTATGGTTGTTTCCAGAAACGCCTACCCGGTGGAAGACTGTGAACAGAAACGGACAACAGATTGACGATTCCATGCTCATGTAAGGTGGTTTCGAGCAAAAATCACAAGGAGAAACCCGACGGATGGTCCACCTGTGAGAGTCCAGTACCACCGTCGTGGTCGTTCGATATTCCAAATCCATAGATTCCGAGGATACAACAGCAGGCATCGATTTGAGAACGACACCAAACCTCTGTAATGGATGAACCTTTAGCCTTGAATCCGAAGCCGAAGTGCAGTGGTTGAAACTTCTCAGGGCTTGTACTCCCAACCGCGAAGCATTGGCCGAGAATCTTGATCCATTTCGGAGCTGAAAAGCGATTGGAGTGCGCATGTGTCTCAGTATAGACCGCTGCTCCGTGATCTCTCCAAACACATAACCGGAGAATGCGTAACAGGAACACCCCAATGGAGTGGCCAACGTAGGGTTACATCCTGTAGTCCAGCTTGATGATCAAGGGAAAACAGCAATGATGTTAGTAGCGGGCAATTTGATCAGCCGGTAGCTGCGAATGCGTTGTCCTTGAACCCGTTCCACAGCCATGCGTGGATACGGGCATCCATCAGGGGGCTGTGGGGGTTGAGGCAGCAGCATTAGAGGGCCACTGAGAAAGCAGCATCCCATACGCTGACACTAGACCTACCACTTCCTTTGTCAACGGACCGGTGGGAAAGTGTAGCGGATGTTGGCGAGCAGAATGACCCGGCTTTTAGATTTCCACGCCATGTCGTGCAACCATCGAGCTGTAACAGACTTTGCGTTCACTTCGATATGTATGAATGAATGACAGTATCATAGAGCCATGATAAACGCTTAATGAATTAGCCAAGGGCGGCGTCGTGCCCAAGATCATCACAAGTACCGTCAGACTTCACGAATTTCTTTGATGACCTGTCTGCATCTGTATCGTCAAAGTTGTGATTTGAGACCCGGAAGTAGTCCATCCGAGAGTAGTCCATCAGACGAAGTTCTCACTGTACCTCAGCTAGAATGCAAGAAGGTGCCTCGCATGCATTCATCCTGCACGATGAAAACGTCTGGCGGTGGTGTTTCTTTGTGCCGACCATGACCGACTAGGTTTAGCAGGGGAATCTTCTGTTTGCGACAGCTATTCCTTTTGCTGATTCGGAATCTCTAGAGAGTATGTCTTGATTTCCACACGCATAGAGAGAGACATGATTGCGTCAAGTTCTGAGATTGGAACCGCTCGAGCAGCCCAAGGCTCTGAGGAAAAGGAGTTCTAGCTTCAAAGCGTCGTCGAGCAAGTAAACTATGCGCTAACATCCTTTAGTGCCAGATACGGTCAAGCCTTAACCGCAGATGGCTAATCAGATCTACCAAATAAATTAAGCCTATCTCATTAGCTCCAGACCTGGGCTCGACAATTGACCTCCTCTATGCCGACATCACTGGCTCTCTCACGCCCAAGTTGACGCTTATGTGAGACTGTTGTGATAATGTCACATCCAATGATTTTGTATCCCGTGTTGCTACACATACACACGCATGTAATTTCCTGCCCTGATGTCCAACATTCAGTACCACGTTCAGTCATTTCGGCGGGTATTCTCGACGAAGCAGGCTCGATGGCCCGTCATGATGACCACCGAAGCGTTCATGGCTGCTCGTCTTCCCGTGCCGCTGCCTGCCCATCGAACTGATTTCCTTGACCTCCTCTGTATATCGGCACAAGAGATTTCATCGAGTTTCAACATGTCGACCCTCCCTAGCGCGTCCCAACGCCTCGCATAAAACAGTGTCGCCGCCCTTTAGACATGTAGAGTTGAAGGTCTACTAAAGATCAATTCCCTTGGACTCGCCACCATCAGATCCCACGGGACCAACGCCGCCGGCTGCTCCCCCATTGACATTTGCAAAACCCACTCTAGATCCCTGCTGGGCATGGACTGCTTCCTGCATCATGCGCATTCCTTCCTCTGGGCCCTTCAGGCTTGCTTGCTTGAACGTATTCTCCATATCCTTCATTCTCTTCTTGAAGGCAAGACGGTCGAGGAAGAGCTGCTGCCGTCCCTTCTCAAGATCTCGACGCTCGGCTTGGACTATTTCTTCCATTTCAGCAAATTGAGCGAGTTTGAGCTCGAATTTCTGAAGAGTCAAGTTGACGGCCGCGCCAACGAGGCGAGTCAATTCACGTTCTTCATGGGATGCCAGGCCAGAGGAACGGGCAGCAACAGTGGCAATAGCGGTGGTGGCAATATCATTGACCACGGCGGATGAACCGGCAGCGCTTTCTTCGCTGGCTTGTGTCTCGTCCACGTCCATGGCATCCTCAGCCTTGAGTGGTTCCTTGGGTTTGGCCGTCTCGGTGGCATCGCCTTGCTCTAATTGTGCGCGAAGTTCTTTTTGCATGGCGGCAATCGACCGACCCGAGGCAGCCGCAATAACGCCAGGGTCCGCGAGCTGGGAAAGGAATGTGATGACTGACATGACAGGGTTCTCGAGTTGAGATATTGGGCTTCGTCCAGACAAGGCTTTTAGGGCGGCGCCAGGATTGGGGCCGTCTTCGAGATATCTGTCTTGAATCTCAAGTTTTAGGAACTTCAACACACATTCTTCCCTCGTTCTTGTGCCGACGTGCTTTGAGATCTCATTCCAGTCGGAATCAAAAAGTTCAAGAGCTTCGAGAAGCAACAGGGTTTCGCCGTCTGTCCAAGGAGCGTCCTTGTCGGGTATTGAGTTGTATTCAGGTTCTTCCATCTTGACAAAGTCGGATGACCGATGGTTACTAGGCATTCTAGACTGGAAATAACAATTGGGGCACAGGTCGTACTTGGCTTCGCTTGCCGTGGTAGAGGCGGGGTCGGACTTGGCGTAGTGAAAACGAGATCTAGTACAGTCAATGCCACATGAGAAGCAATTGAAGGTCTTCAAGGGTTCTCTGGCGGCCTCGTCCATGGCCTTTGTGGTGGCATCGGCAGAAGAGCCATTGGCAGTGGCACCTTCCCCGTTGGTCTGCTTTTCTGGGTCTTCACTCGGCTTGATCTCCTTGCCTTTGTCGTCGTAGATATTGCGCCGAAGTTCAAGATTCAAGTCTGTCTTGGATGACGGCGTGGCAGATTTGGCACGGTCCGTGGACGGATGTGGTTTACCAGTAGTGGTGAAGGTGTTTGGGCCTGGTTGGAAAGGTTGCAAGCCGCGAGGAGTATCGGCAATCACTCGAAAGTGACCTGTAAAAGGAGGACCGATGTTGGCAGGGCGTGTTTGAGGGTCGACCTGTATGGATTAGAAGGGACATGGACGAGGGTAGGATGGAATAATACCTGATAATTGATTAAGCCCCACTGCTCTAAGAAAGCATGCACTCGCATAATGGCGCAGACATCACCTGCCAGATTCCTCCTACAGGCTGTGACGGTAAGATACTCAACTGGGTTTAGGCGGTAGGTGTTGATCATGAAATCCCGATAGTCCTTGTAGACCGCAGGGGTCTTGCTTCGGTTGCGGGTGTTGAAGAATTCAGGAAGAGACTTCTTCTCCAAGGCGTGAATGGTGTGCATATCGAACCACGTGCTGTAGCTGGGAAGAATGATCTGGTGTGTCTGGGCAATTAAATGAGAGTTTGCAGCAGCTTCCAGAGCAGATTTGGACTGGGCCGTATTGACTTCTGCGCCAGAATCTCCAAGGGCTGGATCTTGCGATTCGGCGACAGCGTCCTTTTCAGCATCGGGGTCTTCAATTTTGGCATCGTCATCGACGCCGCCCATTTCAGCATCTTCTTGCTCTGCGTCTGGATCGTCCTGTGCGGGTGGGGATTTGGGCGCATCTAAAGGATTTGCTGATACGGTAGGGTCTGATTCTGCTGGGTCATCTGATCAAGGTGGAAGATTAGTCTCGCGATTCGTATGAGGCTTTGCATGTGATTGAGGGGAGAGAACATGTGGGGCTCGTGTTTAAACGCGTACCTTGTGAAGGAGGGAGCTGGGGGTCTGTGTTGGAAGAAGCGGCGCCAGTACTAGTAGACACTTCCGCGCCTACATCGGGTGTTTCTTGCTTGAGGTCGGCATCTTGAGATGTGGTATCGGCCATGGTGATGAATGGACGGGGAGGACTGTGTGACGACCAACGTATTGATGTTTGCGCCGAGCGCAATGATGGATTCAAATTCTCACGGCGGGTGGGAAAGTCGACTTGTTTTGAATTTGCGAATGGCGGGCGTAGTTACAAGGGCTCAACGATACTGAGGCTTGCTGGGCGTCGAGGAAAACGGCCTTGCCACCGAGTGTTGATTGCGTGGAGTCGACAAATACCGTCTATGGAAGGTAGGTGGATGAGACTTTGGACTCTTGACACGCTGCATTCAATAGCAAATGCGTGGAGGCTTTGGGGAAATAAAGTGACTGCGAGTTCTTGAAGCGATGGCGCCGCGAAGACTCCTGCATATGCCAAGCCACTTATTCGATCACGTGATACGGCGCGACGAGGCTTCAGCCTTGCGCGGCTTCGGTCTGTCTTACTTAAGGATTCTCTTTTTATTCTTACATGTCTTGTTGGATATGGTTAATAAAATTGAGGAGATGTGCCTCTAAATGTTCACCAACTGATGCATACTGGTTCATATCATATCCTGGCTGGTCAATCGTAGTGAGAGATCCTCACGCGCAGAACTCTTGGCGCAGGTAGGAAACACGTAGGCCTAGACTAACCAAATCTCGAGGTTCAGGAAGCTCAAGTTGTCGTAGCATTGGAGTTCGAGTTGGGGTTGGGGTCGGGTTTGGTATTGGCATTGGTGTCTGTGGATGGTTGACCGGACTCCTCGGTAATTTCCTGCACAGTCGTCTTTCCAGCTTCTGTGTTGGTCTCATTTTGTCGAGGATAGCGCATGGCTGATTGCCCATGATATGCGTCGCGGCCTGCAGGACGGCCAATGATGACGTTGGGCGCGGGCTTGTTGCGTTGGTGATATTCTTCGGCCTCTTGTTCCCTCCCTTCGTCTGCGCGACCAGTACATACGCAGCGGCACATCCAAGAGAGAGGAAATCCTGAGTCGGTCACATATTGAGATGCCGTGTATTCATGTGTGCGCCTCATGATGATTGATGTAAAAGCGGCGTGATATCATCCGAGCAGTTTTGAGAGATCACCTGGGGAAAGTGACGGGCGTCAGTCAGTATATACTGCTTTTGAGGAGGACAGATGCGTTTTTAGAAGTCCTCTTAGCATTAGGAGCTGTTGCCTGAGGTAGGAACCTCCGAGGCTCTTGGCTGGTGAGGGGTGCACACAGAGCATTTGTCTGGTGGTGGAACATGGGTTTGAAATTGTATATGGAAGAATGGGCTTACCTGACGTGTACGATAGAGTTCAATGAATACGGGCCCGAGTACAGAAAGACCTCATACATCAGACATGGAGTACGAACTGCCAGATGCTTGAGTCCATATCTTAATTATGTACCAAGTCCTTGCGCCCAGCGTTGCATCGCCACAATGGCCGAGAGGCCTATCGGGTATACTCGTAGACGGGATGCTTTAATTAGGTAGGTACCTACTTTAGGTACGAACGCTAGGTATCCTAAGTACCACGCTTGGGCATGCAATTATAGGGGCCGAGGGCCCGAGGGTCCACGGGGTCCTTAGGTGCCCCTCGGCCTGCTCTTGCGGGCTTAAACCCCAAAGCCATAGGGCTTAACGCCCCCTGGGCCAATTATGCACGACTTTGGCCTCCATTGTTGGAGTTCCACATATGGACCCACAATCCACAATCCACAATCCACTCGCAATTGCACTTTGCACTTTGCACTTGCACCCGCATAGGAAAGACTCGCGCAGTCAAACTCCAAAATTCTAGATGTTTCTTTTAGGTGTTCCTTTGCAACCACCATTCAGTTATCGACACAACTACTCCCACCAGCAATTTTCCCTCTGCTTCGCTCACCCTTTTCCGTCGAGTTACTTTACACCCCTACACTTTCAAGCAGATCATACTGTAAGTTGTACCCTCTGCGTATCCCTCTCCCAAAATGATGAAATACCAGCTGGCACCAGGCTGAGAAGATTTGTACTCTTTAAATGCGGATCAGCTTATAACGGCATTGCGCCTACAATCTGAAATCAAAATTCACCTTGACTTTTTCACCGTACTTTCTATGGTGTTTGTCACTAACTGTCTCTGTCAAGATTCCTGACCTCACCCTCCTCCGACTTGTCCAAGTGCGATCTCCCTCATCCTCTATTTTGTCTCGACCCCCGACATGGTCCTCCATAACCCAAACAATTGGCATTGGGTCACCAAAGATGCCGCTCCATGGGCCAAAACCTATCTAGATACTGAAGTCAAAAAGCTGTCGGCAGAGGAGGATGGGGTTTCTGCGAAGATCACCAAACTCACCTCCTTGGACGGCGACGTCGAAGTGAGCCAGCGGAAAGGCAAAGTCATTACCATTTACGATGTTGTATTACAGCTTGAATATGAAGGTGAGCATCCAACAACGGCTCCACTTTATTTCCGCCCATCTAACCATATGTACAGGCAAGACTCGCGAAGGCACCGATGTCAGTGGCAGCATCAAAGTTCCAGAGTGTGCATACGACACTGAAGCCGAGGAGTATGTTGTACGTTCCAGTGTTGCACCCACGGCAACATCAGCCCCATGTGGCTAACTCTCTGTCAGTTTGAGATAGACATCTATTCGGAGCAGAAAGAAAAGCAAGCAGTAAAAGACCTCGTCCGATCAAAACTGGTCCCCGAACTCCGCACTGTCTTTTCGACTCTTACTCCTGCGCTGATAGCCGAACATGGCAAAGACCTCCAACATGAGCCAGGTTCCAACCCTTCCAGCGGCTTTGCTACTCCGACCTGGCATGCTCAGAAAGAGCGAACTCCCCTCACCAACACTACGACGACGACGACGACGACCACCTCAGGCAAGTCCTCGATCAACACCACCACCGTGACCGCCACCGATGAATTTCGCACTACTGCCGATGAGCTTTTTCAGACTTTTACCGACCCTCAGCGGTTAGCTGCATTTACACGGGCACCTCCCAAGGTTTTCGAAGGTTCCAAACCAGGTGCCAAGTTTGCCATCTTTGACGGAAACGTCACGGGCGAATTTGTGACCCTGGAACCCCCCAAGAGATTAGTGCAGAAGTGGCGGTTGGCGCAATGGCCGGAAGGTCATTTCAGTACGCAGGAGATCTTTTTCGACCAGAATGACGTCGACAAAGTCACCAATATGCGGGTGAGTTGGACGGGAGTGCCTGTGGGACAGGAGGAAGTCGTGCAGCGAAATTGGGAAGGATATTATGTGCGCAGCATTAAACAGACATTTGGGTAAGTGAGGCTTGATCTGGCTGGCAAGATTTCATGTCGCTAATCCATCACTGTAGCTTCGGCACAATCCTCTAGGAGTTCAAGGGATTTGCCCACCGACTGGATTGACATTGACTGGAGCCTTGGGTTGAAGCATCAAACCTGTTGATGACAGAAATTAGCAGGTGTCTTATCGAGTGCTCGTAGTTCTGTACCCCTAAGGACGAGGGAACTACCCATTGCAGCAAAGCAAAAGCATTTCAGGAGACGAATCAATGATACCAACTATACGCATACCATGTTGTTGAGGATCGCGTTTTTACTTTTCAACTGCCCGGTTTTCATGTTCCGTGTGAATTTGTGATGGTTTGGCTGACAGGGATACCAGGGCCAGAAGTACGGGATCTCGTTGAGGTTTGTCTGGCCCCAAGCTACGTCATGAATGACAGTTTGCAAGTTTGCACCTTCCCCAAGTCCCTTCCTTCCTCACCACTCACCACCACGTGTACCTGCCGCGCCTGCCTCCATGTCTCTCTCCCTGCATCGCCACAAGGTGGCATCTTCACTTCTTCCTCTCTCTCTCTCTCTCACACACATTTTGCTGATCTCTTCGCCCCATGTCTTAGCTGCTCGCTTATCTTGATCGTCGGTGGGTGACACAGCGTGGACCGAGGCTAATTGTTGCTCCCGTTCATGAACAGATGACTGAATCAGTCCTATCACTCCAGCACTTGCCATCTTCTGCCGCCATTCTCTAGTCCAACCAATAAATTATACCCATCCCAACATGTCGGAAAACAAGCAGTCCGGACCTTCTGATGATGGCCAAAGCCCGAACAGCGACGGCCTGACCTTGACATCCATCTTGGACGATACCCAGAGGGCCGACCTAACCCTTCTTGTCGCCAGCCTCACCGAGTCAATGCGCCGATTAGTCCTGGATAATTTTGATTCTGCTGCGGGTCTCAATAAAACTCTGCTTCGACAAGGCATGACTGAGGACGAGAAAATCATGGCGTCAGATCCTTCCACCGCTGATGTTGGCTTGTATGAACGAGAACGCAAACTCAAAGAAGAGAGCGACAAAAACCTTGCCACACTCAAGATGAAGAACCTGAAGAAGAACGCCCTTAAGTCGTATGACGAATGGCGACAGGAGGTCATCCAACGTGTAGGCCAGGTTGTCAACAGCGAGCGCACAGCCCGATCTCAGGTCCACAAATCCTCAGGCAAGGTTGATGTACCGAAACCACAAGCCCCCTCGACCACAATTGCCCAAGTTCTCAATGTCTCCAACAAAACCGTCAATCTGAAATTCAGAGATCTCTTCCCTCCGACCAAGACACCCTTGACCAAGATGGCGATGAACCAACGGACCCTGATTCTCCATTCACTCTTATTACTTCTCCTGTCTCTCGAACACTACAACGCGTATTCACGCATTTTGATGCTCAACCTCACATCTTCCCTCAAATTGCCTCTCAAGACATTCGAGCAAGACGAATACACCACCGCCAAAGGTCTTCTCGAAGCCGTCAAGGAGTTGTCTGCCGACGCCGAAACTAAAAGGAAAGCCGAACAGAACAGAGAGTCTAGGAAGTGGAAGGTCTCCCTCGCCACTGCCGCTGGCGCTGCCATTATCGGCGTCACTGGCGGATATGCCGCCCCGCTGGTTTCCGCTGGGGTAGGCTCCGTCATGGGTGGTCTGGGCCTGGGCGCCACTACAGCAGCTTCCTATTTAGGTGCTGTGGCAGGTAGCTCACTTCTTGTCGGCGGCATCTTTGGGGCATATGGTGGAAGGATGACTGGCCAGATGATGGACAATTATGCACGGGAGGTGGAGGATTTTCAATTCCTACCGGTTCACAGCCGAAGCGATGGCGCAAGAACGAGCGAAGACGACGAAGAGGGCGCCACGCATGCCAGCGAACATGACCACAAGCTTCGTGTCACAATCTGTATCTCAGGGTGGCTGAGGGAAAAGGAAGAAGTTGTGAAACCGTGGCGCGTCTTGGGCACGGGCGCCGAAGTATTTGCCCTCAAGTACGAACTAGAGGCGTTGTTGAATCTGGGCAATGCCATGAACGGAATGGTCGAATCAGCTGCCTGGGCCTATGCTCAGAAGCAGCTCATTTCGAGCACCATTTTTGCCGACCTTGCTGCTGCAATGTGGCCCATCGGCTTGATGAAAGTGGCTAGGGTGATCGACAACCCCTTTAGCCTTGCCAAGGGTCGATCCGAAAAGGCTGGTGAGGTTCTTGCTGATGCCCTGATAAATAGAGCTCAAGGTGAAAGACCAGTCACATTGATCGGGTATTCCCTAGGCGCTAGAGTCATCTATATGTGCCTGATGAGCCTGGCAAAACGCAAAGCTTTTGGTTTGGTTGAGAACGCGGTCTTGATAGGTTCACCTACGCCTAGTGATACGAGTGACTGGAGAATATTGCGAAGTGTCGTCGCGGGACGCGTGGTCAACGTTTTTTCCGAAAACGACTATGTGTTGGGATTCATGTATCGGACCTCTGCTGTGCAATATGGCGTGGCCGGCTTGCAAAAGATTGAAGGTCTTGCAGGTATCGAAAATGTGGATGTTTCTGAGGATGTCAGTGGTCATCTGCGCAATCGATACTTGATTGGCAGCATCCTAAACAAGATCGGATTTGAGGACATCAACTTACAAGCCGTGGAAGAAGAGCGCGCAGAATTGGTCAAGATGGAGGCTGAAGAGAAGGAACAATCGAAGCTCTCGCAGCGTCGGTGGCTCATTCGTCGCGAGTCTGGTGGCGGAAAGGCTGATGAAGCCGCCGAGGGAGAGGCAGAGGCAGAGGAGCTTGAAAAGAAGGTACACGATCAGACAGAGAAATCTCTCGTCACTAGAGCTATCGAATATTTCTACATCCCGGGAGTTCCTGATGCCCAAGATGTTGAAGGAAAACGAGCAAGGGCCGAAAGCCTAACAGCTACAACTGTTGAGAAAACTGCAAAAGCTGACCAGAATCCCTCCAAAGGCTACGCCAGTTTGTTGTATAGCAAGCTTCCGAGCATGCCACATGCGAGCAGTTCTTTCTTGTCAGCTCCAACAAAGCAAGCTCGGCCATCAAGAACAGATGCCGCCAAAAAGATCAACAACCCTCCGGTCACAGAGCCTGGTGATTCAGCGGAACAGAAGCAAAGCTATGCTCAACAGGCATCATCTTACCTCTCATCTCTCCCGAGTGTTCCAGTACTTGGACGTGGTGCATCCAAATCTCCACCAAAAGCGTCGAAACAGAGCTCAAAAGGCACTGTCCATGAGCAAGTGAGTTCCAAGTCCCAGAAGGTGGTCAGCTCAGCAACCCGGGTGGCCCAAAGTACGGGCTCTGCCTCCACCGCTACTGCCGGTATGGTCTCTGATACTGTCACTCCGACATTTAAAAATGCATTGAACCCCATGGATAACCCAGCCGTCAAATCCGCACAATCAGTCTCAAAAGATTCACCAGTGATACAGCACACCAAGGATAAGATCCCAATACCTGTACAGAAACAAACAGAAGGTGTGTCTGATCTCGTGGGGACCACGACGCAGAATACAGGCCAAGTTCTACAACAGGGCTCAGAGGACTCGTCTCGCAAGGCCAACGACGTGAGCAAGTCAATCATTGACAAGTCTGGTGAGGTGGGCCAAACAGTAGGCGGCAAAGCGAAAGAAACTCCCAAACAAGGTCAGAGCTATACTTCTCGTGCTGCTTCATATCTGCCAACTATCCCGAGCATGCCGAGCATACCATCTCTCGGCTTTGGTACCAGAGAAGTAAAGGGAGAAGGAGTTGAAAGCAAAGACACCCAGACCACATCGAAATCGATATCAACTCAACCTGGACCACCCAAATTGGGAAAACGGACAGAATCAGGATCTCAGAAGCCTGACGACAAGGGACAATCTGCGGCAGTGTCATCCCCAAAGAAGCTTCCGCGGATCTCATCTGGACTCAAATCACCCACTGTACCCACCAGCCTTGATAGTCTGGTGAATGGAGTCAGAAGTCCACCTACAAGTGTACCGACGCCAGATCTTATCAAACGTGTCTCAAGGGTGAGTACTGGAAAGAAGCAGTCGAAAGACAGCAAACAAGGTCTGGAACAGGGCAATGACAATGGGAAAGGGTTGAAGCGCCGGCCGCCAAAGCTTGGACCTCGCAAGTCCAGTGGTCAGCAAAATGTACCAAAGGAACCATCGCCAGTAGAGTTGGGAAGGAAACTGTCAACTTTGGTTGGGCAACAGGACGGGCATGATAGTGCAGGCATAAAGTCGCCGCGTGCTTCGACGTCGACACACTCAGCTGCCGCCAGTAGCAATGCAACCCCTTCAACACCAGGCTGGAGAGCAGCCACAAAGGCAACCAAGTCCGCAACATCAACAGTAAAAGATGGCACGAGCAAGGCAGCCGTTGGTGGCAGGCCCTGAGGGGACCTTGTGGGTTCGCACAGCACCAAAAGCGAAGAGAGATGTCCAATTTGCTCCTTGAGTACAACACTTATGAGACCGGCCTCAAGTGCCTTTGGTTGCACGTCTCAACGAAACGTCTATTACAGGGATTGTCTGTTTAAAATGTAATGGGTTTCAAATCTAGCATGACATTGCTTTTTGTCCTTTCTGGATCCGCATTTGCGATATCTATTCTCCAAATTCAAGTCTCAAGCCAATGCACCTCTCCCACCAACACTCAACAAAGCATCTCGCTGCTCATTCGATACATTGACCGTGGGAAGAGGCTCCCATGATTCGTCACTAGGTGGCTGGAGGAAGCCAATGGCGACCAAGTATGCAAGGTACAGCCCGATGCTTCTCTGGGTAACCCACTTATTGGACCACGACGGCTGATCTAATTTGAGTGCGCGTTGCGCGTTGCTGTCGTCTAGCTCAGGAGACTGCATATTGGACGGGAGGTCGTTGTGCACAAAAGTGAAAAGCGGCATGAGTGCGAAATTGGTCGAGTTAGCCTGGCTGTCCAATTCGCTTGTCCACGGGTTGTAATCGGTCTGCTTGCATTCGTATCCGTACGTCTCCAGCGCAGCGAGATATTTGTTGAACGGGATGGTCGGCCGGCCAGTGACCTGAGCAACTTGGACTCCTTCGTCGGTCACAGGGTGAAACGCACTCGCCACCACAGTTCGAGCCACCTGGTCGACGGGGACCATGTTGACTTTGTTCTCGATGTTCGGTCGAGCCTTGAGTTGCACACATCCCTTCAACATTCGAATCAAAAAATCGTCTGTGTTGGTTACCCCGGTCTTCGAGTCGCCCAAGACGTAACCTGGTCGAACCACAGTTCCTCGAAGGCCTCTGCGGCCAGCTTCGCGCGTCAAGTACTCCGATACCCATTTGCTCTGACCGTACCCTGTAGTTAGACCCTCTTTACTGGAATGGAGGTCATCTGCTTCGCTAAGTCCTGCTCCACCTGCCGCTTTGATTCTTTCAGATTCGACCAAGAAGTCATCATGATCCAACACACTCGTCGATGACACAAATGCAAAGAGTTTGGGCTTTCCTTCAGCACATAGTTTGAGGGCTTCAAGGGTACCTGAGACGTTGGGAGCCTTGAGCTGCTCATAGTTCTTCAGCCAGTTGACCTCGGCCCCATTGTGAATGACAATATTGGTTTCATCCACAATTTGTTGCCACTTTTCATCTGAGATGCCAAACCGGGCAGGTCCAAGATTTCCTGGCACGTAATCAATCCGGGAAGACCAGGCTTCTGACCAGACTCCATATGCTTGACAAGTCAACTTGACCCGAGACGCTGCCTTTGCTTCATCCTTGGCTCTGACGAGAACAAAGACCTTTTGTACAAGCGGTTGGCGTTCCAAGAGGTCTCTCAAAACAAATGAGCCCAAGAAGCCTGTTGCACCAGTCAGGAACACGACAGGGTTGGGAATGTCGTCGGAAGATCCTGCATTCTTGAAAGATCCAGGTAAGGTTGCAGCAAGGGTCAGGGCATCGTTGCCATAATCGTCTACAGTCTCGGCAGTAGCGTCTCCTTCAAGAGCTCCGAGAGCGTCGGATGCTTGCAAACTTTCAATGATGAGTGCCATTTCTCGCAAGGTTGATCGGTTATAGATTTTGCTGATAGCCAAATCCACGCCAAGGTTCTTCCGAACTTGATATGCCAATTGTTGTGCCTTCATACTCTCACCTCCGATCTCGAAGAATGATTCTGTGGGCTTGATGGTTTTAGGGATCAGACCAGGAACCAGATCAGCCCAGATCTTGGCCAGAGCCAATTCTCCATCAGTGAGGGGCTGTAGCATGGAAGATTTGCGTCGTCTGGCAGATGTGAGAAGCTCAGTGTCTGGGAAAGGCAACTTGGGCTTGTCGATTTTACCGTTCGGGTTCAAGGGCATCGATCGCATGGGGACGATAACTGAAGGAACGGCGTACGCTGGCAACTTGGACCGAAGGTATTCCTGTAGCTCTTGCTGAAGGAGTCGAAATCGTTGGAACCGGGCTCGAAGTGATCCATCATCGCCTTCAACTTGATCGGGTTTTCCCTTATCGGCGAGAAATTGTGTCCAAGCCTTGAGTTGAGGCACGACGTAGCTGACGAGGGTTTGTTCTTCAAACTTGTCTCTACGAACAAGAGTGACGTTTTCTCTTACGAGTGGGTGCTGGGATAAGTGAGTATCGATCTCGCCCAGCTCGATACGGAATCCTCTGATCTTGACCTGGTCATCAGCTCTGCCCGAGCATTCCACGTCACCTGTTGGTGTGTAACGACCAAGATCTCCGCTTCGGTAGAGCCTGTCTCTGGGGCCTTGGTAGAATTCGGTCCAAGGCTGACCTTTGTATTTCGCCTCAAACCGCGCCTTATCCTCGGCTAGACCTTTTTCATGACCGGGAAACCAATTCTGTACAAACTTCTTCTGGGTTAGGTCAGGGGTTCCCAGATACTCTTCAGCGAGACCCGATGCCCGGACGTAGATCTCGCCCAGCTCTCCAATGGCACACAGTTTAGTAGGGTCAAATCGGTTCACCACAAGCATTTGCACGTTATACATGCCACGTCCTGCGGGAATGACATCCTTTAAGCCATCGAGAAAGCCGCCCTGCTCATTTCGCGAAGGGATTTCATAGTAGCTGACGGATCTCTGAGTCTCTGTAGTTCCATACATGTTGACAATGTTCACATTGGGAGCTAACAGTTGTAGCGATCTGCAATCTCGTTTGATGAGAATGTCACCAACGAAGAAAGCGTGGTGAAGCTTTTCAAATTTGGCGACGGCTCCGCCCACCAGAATTTGTCCCATGGCTGGGGTCAAGTGGGTGACTGTCGCCCCGTGCTCTCGCATCCATTCTGCTAAACGTTCATTTTGAATGTCATTCTTGGCGGGAACCAGTAATTGAGCGCCCAAAAAGAGGGGAGTAAACATATCTCGTTGAATTGGATCATGTGCAATTCCACTGAGCATGGTGAATTTGTCGTTTTCTGACAGCTTGAATGTCTTTGCCATCCAGTCAAAGTAAAATGCGAGGGAATAATGCCGACCTTTGACACCCTTGGGCTTGCCCTCGGAACCAGATGTGAATGAGAGTGTTGGTATCGAATCTGGTCCTACTACAATACCGGGTCCTTTTGCGCTGAGGGTACGAGCCGTTTCGAAGATGTCCTTTCCGTTTATCTGACCACCTTGGAGGTAACCATCATCTTGCAGACGCAAAGCGGGAACTTCTGTCCGAAGCTGTAGGTTCTCGCCGATAAACTGTCGCACCTTGTCAGACAGCTGTCCTGCATCTTGAGTGGCCTTGTCAATGATGACTAGGGCTCGAGGTCTTGAAACATCGAGATAAATGTTTTGCCGGTCAGGCGGGTACTGAGGGTCGAGGACGGAGAATGTGCCTCCTGCCTTGAGTGTGCCCATGACCGCAACCACCAGGTCGACGCCGCGATAAGAGTAAATCATGACCACATCACCGCGCTCTAGCCCGGACTCAACGAGGTGATGTGCTAAGATGTTGGAGGATTCATCGATTTGGCGGTAGGTGAACGAGCGCTCGGGCCCGTCTTCTGACTTGGTCTCCACGACACAAGTTCGGTCGGGGTGAGCTTGGGCGTTCGCAGAGAATATATCATGGATGGCACCACGAAAATTGGACCACTCTAGATCACAGGTTGGATCTGGCAGCAGCTTTTCCTCATCGGTGGTGGCAAAAACCAATGCTCCGATTGGGGCCGCGGGGGCTGCGGCAGCACTTTGAAGAAAGACGGAAATTTGTGCGAGAATACCCTTTATCCTGGCACTAGAGACCAGTCGCTGATTGTATCGTGCGCTTAGGCGGAGTTGGCCTGACTCTGAGATGTTGTAGGTGAGACAAAAGTCAGTTGTGTCTACACTGGTAGGAAGGCCAGTCTCGGCGTCAAGAGTTTGGAAAGCGGCAAAACGGAAGAGGCTCTTCTTGTCGGAGTGAGCAGGGATCAAGTGAGAACGGATGGTGTCGAGAGAGACGAGCCTCGCAGAAGCTTGGGTCGAAATGTCTTGCACTCTTTTGAGAAGATCCGAGAAAGGTTCAGAAGCGGAGGTTGAGGTGCGAAGAACAAAAGCCGGAGCATTTGAGGCGGCATTGGTGCCGATGCTGATGTCTTCATCGCCAGTCAACCTAGCCACCAATGCTACAATAACAGCCTGTACAACATTGACAGGAGGGGCTATTGAGGACAGTGTCTTCAAGGCATCTGCCGTAAGGCCTGGGGTAGTGAGAGATTCAACAGCCTCGATAGATCGCTTGGGCAAATTATCTGAGGTGACCTCTGGGTAATCTCTGGTCAGAGGGGATATCGTCTGATCTTGTAGTTGAGATGCCCACCATGCCAGGTTGGCATCACCCGTACCCAGCGACATGATTCAAGGCCAGTGTGAGGGAGAGAGTTTGGTCTGGATGCTGTTTGAAGTCCGCTTGGATGTTGAAGAATTTCTTCTTGAACCAGCACCTATCAGTTCTTTCCAGAAGGGGAAATTGTGACGGTCAGACGGATATGATTGTTTCAAGCTGTTTGATGGTGGGCTGATGTAGCTGCCAGAAAAGTGATCCAATGGATATATTCTAGCAATCAGTTATAATTAAGCAAGGCTAGAGAGCGTTACAAATCTCTGGATTAAGTAAAAAGTTCATTTGAGGCATTGATAAACAAGTTGCTGTGATTTATGACTCCCAAAGCTTCTCAGCTTCTCGTCAGACTGTTCTCAAAGTGAGTTTTTGTGTGCAATCACCAATTGCTGCTTTCTGGGCAAGTGCTGGTGAGGGATCTTTTCGGAACAAAGTCGGACCGGAAGAGGGTGGCACCTTCCACTTCTCATCCCCGGCCAGTAGTGACTTCCCTCCCGTGGCTCCTGAACCAGGAACGGCAGGCACTATGGCTGAGGTCTGGAGCTAAGGGAAACGGCGCATGCTTATATTCGTATGCATAGTCAAATGCACCTGCCAAAATTATATATTTCCAACACTGCATTACGCAATCCCCTGACACGCAACTGCCAAACTGCCACTTTGGTGTTTGTTTAGGGCAGGTGCAGGTGAAGGTGACAGTGAAGCATTCGTCTCTTGAGAGATTTCTATCTTGTGTACGCGTGGACCCGTTCAAGGTCAACATAACTCTTTGCAGAGGGTGAACTTCTCCTTTGACCATCGATATTACGGGTTACAGGTTACACGACTCGATACAAGCACCCCTGGACCACTTCACACCACACCATCCATCATCCGTGACAAGCATGGTCGATCGTTGGACTTTGGCGGATTGTCTTGTCTTCTTTTCGCCGGTTTTGTTGTTTCCAAGATTTGTGCGATAATGGCCTTGAGGCATGTCACTCGTTACCTTCTCCTGGCTGCCATCTTGCTTGTCGGCATCCTGCTCTTTTCATCCTCTTCTCCGTCGGTCGTTTCCGTTGTCGATCATGTCAGAGATCCTGTTGCCTACGTCGGAAGCCTGAAGGACACCCTCCCAGATTTTCGGTTTACCTTCCACAACTCCGCCCACAAGCCGCCGGAGCAGAAGAACAGTACCCACGGTGATAGCTCATGGTACAGCGACTGGACATGGCTAAACCCTTTCTCTTCTTCAGTCACCCTTGACCAAGATCGAATCGTCCTCCCTCCACAAGCCGACCGTCCTCCCGTCTATGTTTTCTACGACACCACCATCAAAAGAGATGCCGAAACACAAAAGGTGGACCAAGAGCTTTTGCTGACCTGGAGGAGGGCATGGTGGGCCCAAGGCTTTCGTCCTGTCATCTTGACTGAGTCAGATGCCATGGGTCATCCGCTATACCAGACGCTGCACAGCAAAGATATGCCTCCGCAGCTCGAGCAAGAATTCCGACAATGGCTTGCTTGGGGTCATATGGGCACAGGCCTTCTGGCCAGCCCGTTCTGCTATCCCATGGCCGCCTATCACGACCCGCTGCTGTCACATCTTCGAAGAGGACAATATGCGCAATTGACAAGGTTCGAAGGCCTTGGTCCAGGGCTGTATGCTGGTGAAAACGCCCAGATCAACGACGCTATCAAAGCTGCCCTCGACAATGTCAAATTGAATTCATTCAAGACCGTCTACGAAGCCATCCCCCCATCTCAGTTCCAGATTGAACAACCTACCTCGATTGCGTTTTATGATTCCCATACTATCACCAAGAAGTATCACATTTTAGCGCAGCAGCTTGTCAAGGAGCCCAATACTGGTCGACGATCTCTGCACAATTTGATCGTCGGTCATCTCCATACCGTATGGCAAAACACATTCAAAACCGGAATTGCCGTGCTACAGCCACTTGCTGCCCATACATTTACACTTGTCAAACCCTCCAAAGATTTGGCCAATCTACTCCTTCAGTGCCCTCCTTCCCTGCTGCAATCTTCATGTCCACCAAATCAACCAAAATGCAGTCCATGCGTTGGCTCCAAAATGACCGTCACGGTGGCCCCTTCGTTTCGGAATACGTCGAGCCTATTCACTATCGCCATTGTGCCACATCCTTATACCATGATTACTCTAACAAACCAGACTGACTCCATTTCTGTGGGCCATATTAGACGTCACACCCCGCGAGATCCTTGGATCACCGCCGTAACCCGAGACATCCTGGGTGATGCGCGTGGTGGACCCAGCCGTGTGGTCAGTCTCAAAGACGCCGTCGCTTCCGAATACGGTCGAAGTCGAACACTGTGGTTTACCACTGAGCACTTTCCAGAGGCATTCTGGCCACCACCGCCCCCTCCAAAGTCCCCCTCCAACGATCCCCATCCGAACCAGGAAAGAATAGCTCCCTTTCCAGATGACTGGCTGGAGGAGCTGGATTGGCACTTTGGCTTTCCAATTCCTCGCACCTCCCTATCCCACGGCGAGTCACTTCCTCCAGTGCCAGGGCCGGAGCGCTGGAAAGCTCCCGCTGGTGTTCCCCAAGAACGAAAGAAGAGTTCCGACCCTGACCCACCATCTGACGAGCAGAGAACCATCGAGACCAATCTTCTGCGAAAGGCGAGGGCCACCCTAGACAGCAAGGATGAACATTTTCGGACTATTCGTGCCGTGGCTGAGGCGTGGAACCTGGCGGATACCGAAGCGTGGAAATTTGTCAAAAGCTATCGTGCTCGCCAGATCGTAGAGCGAATGCAGTTCGAGGAGGAAGAGTCGTCATACAGCCTTGGAGGGTCTCGAGGGAACACTCGTTGGTGGCGCCAATAGACCAATTCATTGCTTAGCATTCCAGCACGAGAATCAAGATCTGTCAGGACAGACTTCTCTCGGTCATGCCAAAGACGTGAATCATTCCTGCCGAGTTCAACCATTCCACGCGACGAAACTCCCCGCTATGAGGTAAACAAGGCACATGTTAATGACTATGTTTTGTCCTGATAGTGGCGGACTCGAATTAAAGCCACTGAAGATTAGCATCTGAACATCGAGACAGATGTTTGCCCCGATGACAGCGAAGAACGTCGTGCAATACACCTCGTGTAGCATCAAACTTGGCATCGTTCTCGCTTGACCTAGGAGCACAATCATTTTCGACAGCCATATGAGCATGATACAGCGGAGAGTCATGTCGACAACCAAAAATATGGTCCTGGACTTGCCGAGAAGGAGTGGCAAAGAAGGATGAGGCTGATGATGGTTGTTGACGCTCTGCGATGACTCATGGCTATGATATGTTCGCAGGGGCAATGTGTTGATCATACTGTGTGCTGTCGACGATGTGCCTAGTTGTGAGGATGGCCCATGATTCTCTGGGATGAGGGATGTTGGAACTAGACCATCAAAGGGATGGTCTTCATTGGGCCAATGAACCCTCGGACAGCGCAGCAAATTCTCCCAGCTTCCTTCCCAAATACACGTGGCCAGTTCACGGAATACGTTGATACCTTTGAGCCTCGCCTTTGATTTCAACATGACACAAGGTCTTGACATATCTCTGAACGCCAGTGTCGCACAGCACATGCCTAGGTCGCATGGATGCCAACCGTCGCCATCAGGAAAGGGGTAATGGCCACCCGGTTGGAGATGTGGCTTGATTTCAGGCCAACGTGTCTGCACCGTCTCGTATATCGTTTCTGCATCTCGACCCGTCATTCGAGTCTGAGTGTTGGGGTATGTAGAATTAAAGGCGGCCGCAATAGTGTCAAACGAGAGGACGGTTCGAACGTGATACCAGATGACGAAACGGACATCGGACGCCAGCCATACATGGCCAGACGCTAGTTGGACGAGAAACAGTTGGCCGACTCGGTCTGGGGATAACATGGGCCTGCTTCTAAGTTTCCCTTGCCATGGTCCTGGCCCTAGCGGATCCGCATGTTGTGAGTCTAGCAGAAGTTTGTTTGGCGACATCGGAGGAAGTATCAAAAGTCTTGGGACCGATTAGAGTCTGGTGCGCTGGTATCGGAAATCTCGTACCGACGGCCCGGAGGAGCGAATCCCACAGGACAAGGTGCTCAGACTAGTGTTTATCAGCACCAATTTCTGATGATGGGGCATGGAGAGAACGATTGGGATTTACTTAAGGAACCAGGGTTGTTTGCTACAAATCCTGGCGTGGCATTCCTCTTGGTAGGCATGACAACGCAAATGTGTATAAACTTGCATTCCACAAGGCTGGTTGCGGGTGCACACATGAAAATGACGTGTTAGGGGGATGATCTACTGTTGGTCCTTGTCGTGTTGTCACTTCTAATGACCTTGGTCCTAGAGAAGTACTTGATGTCCACGAAGGTCCAATTCATCTGGGAGTATCAAAAATCCAGTGAAATGCACCTGCTTCAGATACCAATGATATCTATTTACCCCAGCTCAATATCCAATCCTATCCCCCTCCTCCACCTGATGATGTCCTTCTGTTACAGATAGCCAGAGTCTTGAGCACCAAGACCTCTAATCCAGTCATAGACGCGGGCTGGCTGAGAAGAAGTCGCCGGAGGAAAAGGACGGTGACGCTGGTCCATGGCAAAAACATTGAGACTACGTAGACGACTGAGAGTTGAGAATGAGCTTTTCTTTACGACGTTCACTTCTCGTTCAAAGAAGAAGAGTTGACAGCCAACGAGGAGATCGTTCGCGTGGAAGGATCGTAGACGCTTCTGGTGCTGGTAGTGACGTCGACCGTCGGTGGTGAGTTGATCAATGACATCCCGAATTGACTCGCTAAGAATATCCAGCTTGAGGAGAATGATCCATGCTCGTGGCCAGAAGCCGGAAAGGCGGGGGATGCTGCTGTCAAGGACAAATTGCGTGAAAATGCGAATTTCATGGGCCATGGCGGAGATGATCAGGGCCAGCTTGGTAAGCTGAGGCCGAGTCTCGTTTGATCCAGGGGTATCGATGCAGTCCAGGATATTAGAGATACTGGCGTAGAAGTCTTGATAGGTCAAAAGGGCGGCACAGAGAAGGAGACGAAGTTTTGTTCGTCTCTTCTCATGCACTGATTGTGGATCACGTGACCATAAGCCAGCAACGAGAATGGACTGATGTTCAGAAAGATCTGTTGACAGGGATAGCCGGGGCGTTGGTGGTCGGACATAGACATGCAGGCTTGGAGCATAAGTTTGACGGGATGTGCTACTGACTGAACTGGCCGACGGATGTTTTGTGAGAGCACATGTGAGTGTAGGTTTGTGAATTGGTGTACCACCTGTACCGATCTGCCCATCATGACAGGCTTGGATTGGCGTTGTCGAAAACCAGAGAGCTGTTCTCTGAAACAATTTTGTGAAGGACCATGTTATTGGGTCATGTTGGGAACATTGAGTCTTGCATAGCTCTTGGGTAGAAGCATGTGTAGCTCGTGTTTGAAGTTGAACTTGATCTGTGTGTGGTAGATGAGGCGAGAAAGGTTCTTTTTCTGGCAGCTGAAAACAAAATAATGAAGACCAAAGCTGATCTGAACGGTAAGACATGAGTCTAGAGCAAGCATGATCGTAAAATGCCGAAGGGGAGGTGATCTCTGCAAGGACGATGGTTCGGATGAATCGGATGAAGTCACGAAGAGATAGATATTCTTGTGACAACATGGCAAAGAGATCTTGGGAAAGCGAGACGAGTGTAGAGTGAGGCGGAGGGAATGCCAATGGTGAGAGTATGTGAAGATTAGCCATGTCCCCGCTGTGATTGTGAATATCAGGGCGATAGTGAACGCAGGATTTCTCACACAACCTTCACATGCGCATCATCATCCAGTTGATTGAATTAGCGCGTGCCTGTAGATGGATCGATATTGTCTGGACAGAGATAGCACTGATCTGAGCGAGGTCTTTCCCTCTGAAAGTTGCCTTTGAAAAAGGCCACAACTCACCTTGATGTCGCTGGTTGATTGTATTGGAAGGAGAATCAGAAGGGCAGTAGGTGCTCCCCACATGTTTCGTGCGTTATGAGTTGCTCAGAGCGAACCAAAACGTCGTCACCAACGACATTGAACACAAGTTCCTCATCATCTCACTGTTCCAAATTTCAGTCTGCATAGGAAAGAAAAGGAAAAGTGGGAGAGAAAAAGTGGAAGGAGAAGATGTGATAAGCATCGGATAGATGAGGCAGGAGCAAAGGAAGAGGGAACGCGTTCCTTCCTGTAGACTGGACAAGGCTGAAGTTCTTTTTCGGCAGGTGCAGACAAGGCTGTGGAACTCCGGCCTCGGCGACTCGAGGCTCTTCAAACTGACAACTCATGACTTGTATACAAATTGAATGAGTACCTCGCAATCATGTACCTTGATACCTTCATTTTAGTAGACAGAGACTGTTCCAGAAGTCTTGGGGCCGCTGGTTTCCGATACTGCCCGCGCCCCGAGCGTATCTTTCAGCGCCTTCTCTTACTCCCGAGGTTCAACCCATCAAGAAGCCAAAGCGAAATCGGGCCGTCCCTGAAGCTATCCAGTCTCTGATCGACTCTGTTCTCTTCAGTCGGCCAATGGACCAGAATTCAAGGGTTTAGACGGAGTGGAGGAGGCTCAAGGCAATTCATTCCGCCCTTAACTACCTCTTTATTACTATCACCACCATTACTATTATTATTCCTTTCTCCAACAAGCGGCAGTTCAACCATCAATGTCAAACAGTGTCTCGAACCCTGTCCATTCGTTATCCCCGCCACGGCTCACTTTTTAGACTCTTTTCCCACCGCCTTCATTCATTTTCTCCTTTTTGCCGCCGACGACAGCATTTGTCCCTTTTATCCGATCCTTTGCCTGCTTCTTCTATAGATCATCGACTGTGTTCGACATCCCAATAACGTGTGGTGGGAGAGTGGAAACATGGTCGCTGGCGATGTAAGTGATTAATTACCCTGCGACAAAGTACTGCTCAGGTACCGACCGGCGGCGCATGAATGCGGAGTTGCCTCGGCCGAGGCTGTCTCTTCGTGTTTTATTGCACTTCAATATCCACCACCATTGCATCTCTCTCGCATTCTTTACTGACAACAACTCATCTCAATCCAGACCTCGGATAAATCGCCCCTCGTTTCTCTGATCGCCGGAGGAACCGCTGGTGGTATTGAAGCCACCATCACATACCGTAAGTAATTATTGCTTCGCTCCCTCAGCCATCGCTCAATTAGCAACTACATTCTAATCCAACTCTGACTCTTCAAACAGCATTTGAATTCGCCAAGACTAGAGTCCAGCTGCATGAGGATTCGCCTACGCGGAACCCATTCAAGGTCATCCGCAATGTGATCCAGGTCGAAGGGCCTCGGTCTTTGTACAAGGGCTGTGAGACATTGGTCGTAGGCACCATCGCCAAGGATGCCATCCGATTCATCTCCTTTGACAGCATCAAGATCGCCTTCCGCGACCCAGAGACAGGGACGTTATCCCCTGCGCGCAATCTCCTGGCCGGGATTGCTAGCGGTGTCGTGGCCAGCACCCTCGCCGTTACCCCGACTGAACGCATCAAGACTGCTCTGATAGACGACGCTCGACATGCCAAGAGATTTACGTCGCCGTGGCATGCGACCCGCACTCTGATTGCTGACCATGGCCTGATACGGGCTCTCTATCGAGGCTACGTTACCACCACGCTCAAACAAGCGTCCACCACCGCCGTCCGACTTGGCACCTACAACATCCTCAAGGACTTTGAACGTCTGCGCAACATTCCCCAGACCACCGCCACCACCTTCGCCAATGGCGCTCTCGCAGGCACCATCGTCGTCTTTGCCACTCAACCCTTTGATACCCTAAAAACCCGCGCCCAGAGTGTCAAAGGCGCCGGTGTCGCCGAGGCTTTTCGGACCGTCATCGCCGACTATGGCGTCAAGGGTCTGTGGAGAGGCAGCACCATGAGACTTGGCCGTACTGTCCTCGCCGGCGGAATCCTCTTCACCTCGTATGAATGGATCGCCACCATCATATCACCCGTGCTTGACAAGACCCTGTTACCTGTCGAGAGGGCCAATTAACCTCGACCAAGCTATATGCCACTCGCCATGTTGTCACCATCGTCGTCATCATCTGATCGATTTACCTCAAGCGAATGGCCTTCTCATTCCACGGTTCGGCCCATCAGTCGAAGACATGCACATCAATCCTGCATGTGCAAACGGCGACATTCATTACTCGAGAATTGCGAGTGAACCACAGACGACTGCCACGCATTTCAGCTCCCAAGCGGAATCCTCAGTCTCATGACATCCGACCATCGAGTCTCTGAAATACACCCTTATCCACAACGTAAGCTGTCTGCTACCGCAGAACGTGTGAATCCATCTCCATTATGACGACAGAAATCAACCCGACAGCGTCACTCCCACCTCCTGCATATCCAACCATACTCTTCACATCATCTACCACTTTTCTCCATCTGTATGCTACAATCCTGTATCCTCATTCTGGGCAGTGGTTTCTGCCGGAATGACGCGGGCAAGGGGACCTCATATGACGACATGATAATTAGACATCTCATTTTCCCAGTTCAATGTCGAGTGTCAATGATATCAAAGCTAGACATCTCTTTTCACGAGCGGACGTCTTGAGTTACAGATGTTCAAGCAGCAAGTCCTGGTCTAAGCGGCATAGCAATGTCATAGTGGTAGCAGGAACATACTTTATGGGCACTACAGGGCCGAAGGCACGACAATACAACACAATACACTCCAGCCCTATTACCCCGTTGACATGATTGATCTACTTGCCCCTCATCTCCCTCAGTCAGGCCGGCTTTTATGCATGACCTCTGCGTGGTCCTCGGCCGGCGATTGTCCGCTCCCGTGCACGAGCTGTTGATTTGACTTACTCGCAGACCCTGCTTTTAATCCCCACTGGCCTCGACCTTGTGGCTGTGGAGACACACTGTCTGATCTTTGTGGTATCTCAATTTGTCCCCCAGGGCTTCGCGCCTGACTTGTTGAGCTGTTGTTCATACTGTCTTGTTTGTTTGTGACCGGTGACAAACGCCGCGAAACCACCACGCTCAAGGACTCGGCCACTGGTGACATTGTCCTTCGAGATGCTCGGGTCACATGTCCCATGCCCAGCGTTGACTCTTCCCCTAATGAGCACAGCGAGTCAACTACACCCCCAACCTTCCAGCATCTTGACCTCAGACTCTTTGCTTGGGCTCGAAGCCCACGTCGACGCTGTCGTGCTTTGTCCTCATTCTTTTTGGCTGCCGTCAAGACCCTGAAGTCCTCACACCACTTGTGTAGGTCGATCGCGAGACCTCCAACCACCTCGGAAAATTCAAACACATCGACGGGGCAATGTCGGCGCAGTAAGCGAGGATCCAGAGTGAGAAGGTGATAGAGCTCTTTCATCGAGGTGTCCAAGTTCTTGATGTATGCTGCCAACCCTGCGTCGGGACCCGAGTGTGCTGACTCCTTGCCTATCAACCGACACCATGCTTCGATGTGCTCTGGCATGTATTTGCACAATTTGTGAGCGGACCCAAGACTGCGCCGGAGGTTCTGGCATCCCTCGTCCCAATCGCGACTTTTCATAATCGGAGGCGTTGCGCATGAACTGGAATATCTTGACGGCGGACGGGTACCACCACGACTTGGGGTAGACTTGAAACGTCAGCGTCAGCCACGGGTCAGAAAGAGCACGAGACTCGTGACAAGGCATAACATCTTACAATGGCATCCGCATACGCGTGTGCAGGTGAAGCACCCCATGTAACTGGTCCACTATTCCAGCCATCTGCTGCGTAGTATGACGCTCCCACCCGCCGCGAGTGGTGGTTGCCCATTGCCGAGCCGAGGAACAAATTTGTGAGGCAGAGGTCTGATGCTCCCTGCTAAACGCCTTCGAAGGAACTCATAAAGATGATATGAATATGAAACATTGATCTAACACCATGCAATTTATGATAGAAGTTCTTGTGATGAAAATGGGGGGATATCTTTGTCCCGGGCCCAACGCAGTTGATATTTTTAAATGAATGTGACAACGAAAGTGAGTCGACAATGAAGGTAGGTGCTCATGTCTGGATCTGTTTTTCTGGAAAGAGCGACGACGCTCGACATAAGGAAGGAAAAACACCAAAACACCTCAGGCAAACAAGAAATAGCAACCGCACAAAAAGCCAGAGAGCAGAGGGCAGGTGCAACCATAAGGATGCCACAGAAAAGAAAAGTAACCAAAGACTGCCCTCATCTCTCCCACCGACTCGGACACCACATCGCCACTCATCACCACCACCCTTTCAAGATCATATTCTCCCTTTTTCTTCCCTTTTTTTCGCTTTTCCCTTTTTCAAAATTCATGCCAATAAAACGATCACCATCACCGCATCCATGATCCAAGCACCGATTCACCGTCAGTCAGAGGTTTGGTTAACTTGGACCTGCAGAGCTGGCGTTCTTCAGTGCTTGCCTCAATTTTTTCACATCCGCCTTGACCACCTTTAAGGTCTGGGTGGCCCTATCCAAACGTGGCTGATTCGCAATTCTGTATCTCCTCCAGGCCAACTCCTTGCCGAATAAGAGGCCCCGACGCGAAACTCCCATTTGCACAGCGGCATTGTATGCTGCGTCGCTATCTTCCTTGCAAGAACGGACCGCCATTTCGATTTGTTCCACCATATTGGCCTGATACGTGGTCAGTAGCTCTATCTTGTTGAGATCGCCCTGGAGAAGTTCAAGATGCGAGGACAATTTCTTCGCAGCACCGAGGTACTTCCTAGAAGACCGCGGGATGAACCATTTGGCAAAGTAATCCATGAGGCCTTCTTTGTACTGCACTGGAAATTCGGAGCAAAACTGGAGCCATTGACCTACGGCTGCTCTTGCACCACGTAGATCCCAATTCCCCGGCTGCTGGTGCACTGGCGTCACAGATCGAGGGCTGTATCGTGGTCGAATGATCTCAGTGGCGGGCCGGCCGAATATGCTCGGGTCAAAGTCGATACCAGTGCAATTTCTTGCAATTGGAGAGGAAGGGGCGTGCTGGCTAGATTGGGAACCCTGTGAGTTCACCTGAGCAGCCTGGAACAGGGGTCCAAGTTCCGGTCTAACCAATAGATGCTCCGGAGTCTTGAGGATATCTTCTATCCCAGGAGGGTATCTTGAATCGTTCAGGGACGTGACCGCACCAGTGGCCCGCACCATTTCCCGTTTAGCCTCACCATTTCCAAAAGGAGACATACATGGATTTCCATTGGCCAAATCAGAATCATCATCATTGTCCACTTCTGCGATGCGCGTGTATGGATGTTGCAAACCACTGGGCATAAAGATCGTATCCTGGTCTTCCAAAGCAGAGCTTCCCATGGAATTGAAGCCCTGAATTTCACCTTGAGTTTCATTGTCAATGTCGAAGCGGAAGTCATGGTTGAAATTGAAGCGCTCCCCAAGACGGAGAGAGAGACGATATAGTTCGAGCTCACGCCAGTTTCTTATCAAGCGTGAAGTATTCTGAGGGCGAGGCATCGCACCGAAGAACTCGGATGTGCAGTCTGGAGTCGCTTCACCTTGTTGATCCACGTCGCCAGGTGTTGCCGGTGGAGGGGTAGTTTCAGGGTTTGGTGGAATGGTCTGTAGCGACGTCCGTCCAGTGTCTACCACTGGGGAAGTCGACAACATTGACAGTTCGGAATCGATGCTGGTTTCACCAAAGCTACCGTTGTTATTTGCAAATGCGAAAGGCGTAGGTGGTCGGGGCCATTCCGCTGGCTCACTAGATGTCCGTTTGAAAAGACGAGCATTTCTAGCTTTATCCAAGATGGTACGAGAAAACCCTTTGCACTTGGCCTCTGGAGAAGCTTCCATGGAAACAGGTGGGGTGGATGCCATCTTTGTTGAAGTTCTTGTTGAAGATTTCAGCCGAGATCGAGTGTGTACCTCAAAAGGAGAGTGAGTATCTCAAAAGGAGAGTGAGTATCTCAAAAGGAGAATGAGTTTCATAACGCCTTGATCGAGTAAGAAACCCGCCAAGTCCCAAGAAGGGAAGAGATGGAAGACTGCAAGTTGACAAAGCAATAGAAGGGAGGAGGAATGGAGGGAGCGAAGATGAAGAAGGGAATTACTAGTCGATTAAATTTGATAAGAGCGCCGGCGCAGGTAGTTCTGAGACGCTAAGGAGGAGGACGGTCTCTGCTGCCGATGGAAAAACCCACTAAACAGGCTGTGAGGTACGGGTGAGGACCTTGCGGCGTTTCCTTGAAGCTAACGAGACTCTATCAAAATATCGCTGAAGAGAAAGAACTCAACTTACAGATGGTGCGCCAATTAACTGCGATGTATTGTCCCCACCAAGTTTGCGGACAGAGAGACAGGCAACATTTCACCTTGGCTAAGAGCCCGTAGCTAAGAGCCCGTAGCTAAGAGCCCGTAGCTAAGAGCCCCATTGATGGTCACGAGAACCTGTGCACTTTCTAGAGTTGGCTTATAAGAAGACCCTCGCACGCCCTTGAAGGTTTGCTGACAGTCGTCCGTCCGCATGTTCCTCCTCAAGACCTGAAGTCGAAGATCAAGCTCCCCGGACAGAAAAAGATCAGCACCCCATGCCGCGTCCAAGAGATTTTCCGCTCCCCATGTCCATGTCCACTCGGGGCTCTATGGCCGGAACATCTGCCGTCAGTACCCGACTCAACGGAAACGAAGCCCATCGACGACTCAGTGAGATTCAACAAGGTCTTCGCTACCGCAGAACCCAAATTATCAAACTGTGTCGAATGCTGGAGAAGGGCCGGAAACTCGAGCATGAACTGCATCGGACCCATATTCAAATCTACAGCAGTGTGCAGATACTGAAAGACTGCAACATCGGCGAACGCGAGGACTTGGGGACTGTGATATTAGTATTCGAATATCTCGTCGCCAGAGCCCAACACCTGCTGGGGGAGGTTCAGCGCTTAGCTCAAAGTGGCGAGGGCATCCCCAGTGGATTGTATTTGAGAGCGCATAACTTGGCTCACGACTTTGAGCGGGAACTCAAATTCTTGACTAAAGTCCGGATCGCGATTGAAGCCGAGCTTGATACCCAGGCGGCCAAAGTCAGTCATCACAAGAGGGGCTGGTTTGGCTGGGTCCGCAGTCTTCTCTGGCCGGAATCAAAGAATGCCCAAGAGCCCGTAGAGCATCACGGACCCGATCACATCTCTTCGGCCAACATGTTATTGGAAGTGGAGGGGCGTTGCAGGCGCTTGTAATATCGCTGAGGAATTCCCGCTATGCGTGGAATATTGAGAGGTCTATGCAAAGACACCAAGCTCAATACTGGGTTGAGAATCGTCGAGGTTCAAACAAAGATGTTTGAGAAAAGATGGGGTGGAGCCCATGGTTGGACACGTGTTCTTGGCGTCCAAATGCATGTCGCCGGAACCTTCTGCGGCTTTGCCTGGAGAGCTACGGAAGCCCTAAAGTATGATATACTCCGTACAGTGGATGAGCATGAAGGAGCACTAAGGGCAGAGAAGTAAGGTCACATTTGCTTCTCTCTATTGCTTAGCCATGTTGAGTTGCGCTAAACAGACTGCAAGTGTTTTCCAGTCCGCTGATTAAATAACTCTGACACAATAGCAGGATCTTTCCAAGACTCACTTGTTATTTCTTTGCGTAAATCGCCTGTGATGAGTGCACAGGGTGCCTAACCATGTACCTCGCTCCGTAGCGGCAATGGAGTCCCCCAGGCGAATACCTTGTCCGGAGTCAGAAGTCGAATAGAGGAGGGGTGGTCCACTCAAGCATCAACTCCGGCGAAAACATCATGCGCCGAGCAAGATCAAGCCTACCAAGCATTGCGGAGAGATCTGCAGGCGCATGTTTCTTTGTCACGAGGCTTCTGTTCATTGGAGCGCGTAGTTTAGCCTTGAAGTCTTGCCGAGCACCCCAGTTCATCGCCCCAGTTCATCGCCCCAGTTCATCGCCACCTGCAAACAGCCTCCACTCACGTTTGATCAACTTGACGCATGACACCGCCTTATATGTTGTGCCATGGCACACGATGTGACGTCCATGCTGGCCGCCACTAGGCGCGTCTCTTATAGCGGATTCGCTGGTCATGTATTGTAGGAAGTCAGGGGTACTGTACGACTATACCAGATGTTGGCCACTATCACGGGCTCATCGCTTGATAGCGCAAACATGATTAGCTATAGTATGAAAAACTCGAAAAGAAGAGGCAAACGTGGGACTCTATGAGATATGAGGGAAGAGTGCCAATGCTTAATCACGTGTCACCCCTCACGCGTCAGTGCAGTGACAGCCACCTGCCCACCTCTTCGTTACCAGACTGCGCATCTCATCTACCATCAAATGCGCGCGGCTGATCTTCTCCATATTCGAAATTTTGCAAGCTCTAATTTTCTTTGCAGCGTGATCGCGACCAATTCCGACCAGTTGCGATCCGGGAGTAAAGCTTCCTCCGGCAGCCTTTATCGTGTCGATTTCAGTCTCCATCCTCGATGGTAGCAGCCGATCACTTCCTATCTCCTCGATGAAACCCTTTTCCTGTTGAGCACTGTTTACTCCGTGACTTTGTCCGATGGCTCGCAATTGGCTGCACCGACGGCGAGTCTAGGTCGCTTCGACGGCTAACGTTCTAGAGCCGAACCATCAGCTGAAATGGCCATCCCTCCAACCAACCACACATTCGCAACTCCAGGAGGGCGGGCCGGCGTGTGATTCCAATCCTCGCCTGCATTGTGGGCTCTCTAGATCCTTGCGAAACGCTAGACATGACATAAACCCACAGACCATTCACGGCGGATCTACATTCATGCTTGTAATGAAGGGTCTCTATGCCCTTGCTACAACAATGTCTTTAAAAGGCCGCCCGAATTCGTCATTGCCATTCACTTTGCTAAACACTCCTTCATATCTATCCATTCTGACCTCGGATAGCATACCTGGCCAACGCCTTTGCCATACAGGTCACTAAACCTGTTCTTTAAAACAACAAAATCAAACTACACCATGGCAGCCCAAAAGGTCCATATTGATCCAGGCCAGCCTAGTGAAGAGCATGTCGGTTCAGACGATCATAGCTTTGACCAAGGATTTTCTCACAGACACATGTCGGTGCGCGAATATGCTGTGACGAGATTTACTAGCCTCAAGCCCCCAATGGCCAAAGCGCCGAACCCCATACGGTTACTCCTAATGTTGAATCGACAGCAGTGGCTCTTTTTCCTGGTTGCCTTCATCGCATGGACTTGGGATGCCTTTGACTTCTTCACCGTCTCATTGACGGTGACTGATCTCGCCGAGACTTTTGGCAAGACCAATGCTGACATCACATGGGGCATCACCTTGGTGTTGATGTTCCGATCTGTTGGTTCGACCATTTTTGGCATCGCAGCAGACCGATATGGTAGGAAGTGGTAAGCGCATTCTACACATCCAATCCTTACTTGATCTCACTAAGCCACCTTTTCTAGGCCCTTTGTCGTCAACAATGTTCTCTTCATTGTGCTCGAGCTCGGCACAGGCTTTTGTCAAACCTTCAAACAGTTCCTCGCAGTACGAGCCCTCTTTGGAATTGCCATGGGTGGCTTGTATGGAAATGCTGCAGCCACTGCATTGGAAGATTGCCCTGAGGCTGCACGTGGTATCATATCGGGTATGTTACAACAAGGCTATGCTTTTGGCTATCTGCTGGCCACCGCTTTTGCCCGCGCTCTGGTCAACACTACACCGCACGGGTGGCGTCCGCTATTCTGGTTCGGCGCATGTCCCCCAGTCCTCATCATCCTCTTCCGTCTCTGTCTCCCCGAAACCAACACCTTCCGAGCTCGCCAAGCCGTCCGTGAGCAACAAGGCAGCCTTGCAGCAACTTTTATCTCTGAAGGACGGGTTGCTTTGAAGCGGCACTACCTTCTGCTGGTGTACTTGATACTACTGATGTCTATGATGAACTATCTTTCGCACGGCTCGCAAGATATTTTCCCTACTATGTTAATCAACCAATACGGATACTCGCCAAATGCGGTGACGGTCGTACAAGTAGTTGCGAATTTGGGAGCGATGAGTGGGGGCACGATTGTGGGATACTGCTCACAGATCTTTGGCCGACGGCTCAGCATCATCTTTATTTCTGTCATTGGGGGCGCTCTTCTCTACCCGTATACATTCGTCAGTTCCAAAGGCCTCATTGCAGCGGCATTTTTCCAACAGTTTTGTGTGCAAGGAGCATGGGGCGTCATTCCAATCCATCTCATGGAACTGTCACCTGGCTCGTTCCGCACCTTTGTGGTCGGAACCTCGTACCAATTGGGAAATCTTGCGTCATCTGCATCGTCGACCATCGAGGCGACTCTTGGTGAACGATTTCCGCTTCCACCACTGGAGAAGAGCGGCAAAACTGTCCAGAGGTACGACTACGGCAAGGTCATTTGCATTTTCCTAGGGGCTGTCTATGGCGCATTGATTCTGGTCACTTTTGTGGGACCGGAGAAGAGAGGTCGAAATTTGAACGTGGAGCACGACGTGGACATGGCGGAGGTGACGCATCAAAATCTAAGGGATACAGAACGCAACGATGTCGACCGTGGCCCGGAGAGCAGTGAAGATGAAAAGGCCGTCCGAAGGGAGGATGAGAGGGTCTGACAATGTGCAATGCTGCAGCTATCATTGTTAAGCTGCCATGAGCTCAAACGCCGGTTCGAACTATGGTCTTCACATAAGTGGTATCCGAGGTTTGGAAAGCTATTCAAGTGATGAAAGAAGAGCAATGTTGGTGGTGTGATTTGGTTCGGAGACGCCGTGGACATCAATTTCAATTGGCTTCCGCAGGACTTACGTTTCAAGGGAGTTCGGGTTGACTCTGGCATGTTTGACAGCACTTCGGAAGTCTTTCAAGACCCTTTAAATTCTGCTTGACAAAATGGGGACGTTTACCCATCCATGCGAAGATGAGTACTGGTCTGTGCCTGAGAGAGGCCCTGTAAGGGTTCTCGAACTGCAACTTGTAGTCATATCATGGAATCAAGGAATAGCTCCGGAGAATAGAGATCCTGAAGTCGCGATGTGGAGTGTGGTGTGTCGGTTGGGAGCCATAGATACCTATGTGGGAGTTTGCCGAAATGAAGGCCTTCAACCATTCACACTGTCAGATCGACGAGGTTGACGATAGTGTTGATGCCCCAATCTGCGCGGTTCAACACGCCTATTTCAATACATGTTCAGGACTACAAATGGGAACAGCAGTCTTCTTCGGCTCACGGAAAGCACACTCCAATGCTCCAAGTGATATCTGTGTGTGATGGAAGAGGAAGCCATGGTACATTTGCAACAAGGAAGCATTTACATATAAAGTTCAAACCTCACGAGACCAGAGACCATATATTAGTGCTCTATTCTGGATCGGCAATCTTCAAGATACTCTTGCCCAAATTTTCTCCTTTCAGCATGCCCAGGAAGCCCTCAATGGCATTATCCATTCCGTCAGTGACGTGGTCGATGGACTTGAAGCTACCATCTGCAATCCATTGGCTGATCCTTTCATCCCGCTCTTGCTGCCATTTTACAATGTTGGGATCAAAGACAAGGAAACCTTGCCATTTTAGGCGGCGTCGGACGACTTGGGAATAGTGTTTGATGCCATAGTTGGCCTCAGGAGAGGTGTTGTTGTAAGTGCTGATGGAGCCGCAGGCAACAATGCGGCCGAAATCGTTCATGTTCTGGATAGCGACGTCGAGCAGCTCGCCGCCAACATTGTCGTAGTAAATATCGATGCCGTTGGGGGCGAGTCGTGCAATAGCGGATTTGAGATCTTCCTTCTTGTAATTGAAACCGGCATGGAAGCCTAGAGTGTTTGTGATAAAGTCGAGCTTCTTGTCGTCACCCACAGAGCCAATAACATGCAAGCCCTCGCGCACGGCAATCTGGCCGACCATCTGACCAACAGCGCCGGCTGCGGCCGAGATGAGAATGACTTCGCCTTTTTTAGGCTGGCCAATTTCGTGTAGAGAACCGTAGGCAGTCATTCCGGTCATACCAAGCAAGCCGAGATAGGCGGTCAGAGGCACGCCAGGCTTAGGGTCAATCACCTTGGTGCTGTTAACGTTGGCCTCTTGGACTCGCGAGTACGACTCAGTGTAGCTTGCCCACAACAAGACAGTATCGCCTGGCTTGACCTTTTCCGTGTCACTTTTCAAGACCTTGCCGATCACACTGACTGAAACCACAGGCTCGCCAGTTATCATGGCTGGCGAGTAGGATTTGGCCGCGGGATCTCGCATCCGCCCTCTCTGGGACGGGTCGTAGGCTGCATAAAAGTTTTTGGTAGTGAAGCCCTTCTTGGGGGGCGGAGCATTCTCGTCGAAACCAAGGTCTTCGACGGTCAAATCTTCTCCAGGGACCGGCCAACCACTGGGGATCTTCTTGTAGATGAATGCTTTGTTGGCAACCATGATCGACAGCGGCGATTGACGGAGGGGCCTTATAAACAGTGTTACTAGCGTTGAGAGTCTGATGGAGTGGGTGGATGTCTTGATCACAACGGGAGGAAGGGTTATATATTACGTTTGACTGAATATTATCAAGGACTGGCTTGAGCTGGATGGGATGCTGTTCCAGTGTTGAATTGATTATAAAACATTCATAAGGATATACAGCTCTGCAACCAATCAGACAGGCAGAAAGAGTTGTCAAGTCGATCAAGTCGAGCCCCGCTTGTGCAATGCTACAAGATGCCTCGGTAGCAAAGACGGTTTTGGTTCGCTCTGAGTTCCCAGCAAGCAGCACTCGGCAACCCCGGGGTGCAGCGATTGCCGAGTGGAACATGCTGCTAGGTAGTAAGTTGTTGCTTCGTAGATACTTATGCCACTGCACTGGAGGGTCTCCCAACGCTGGGTGGACAGAATTGCACGGTAATAGGGTCGGCCATTGAATACATAATGATTTACATATTTTCCGGTCACGCTGAGTGGCTGATGTCTGCTGCGATTGGCTCTTCTACTTTTGCACGTTTGCTGTCGTGCTAGGCACGGATAGTGAAATTCATCGTGTTCCTTGTGCAGGCCTGTGAAAGTGTGACTCAACTCGCCTCCTCGACAGGTCAAGGCGATCGTGATAGTCACGTGCTTGGGCAATCGACAACGGCAATAATAAAATAATATGATGTGGGTGTGCGGTCACCTGTGGCGTTTTGCGGAAATGCCGATGCCTAGATTTGTGGTTCTGTCGAATGCCGGCTTCCGGGCAATGAACAATTTGTAGAACGGTTTTCTCGTTGAATAGTGTGATGTTCTACCTGTAAACTACTGTCGGTATTGTCTCTACCAAATTGTGGTCAATTGCAAGACTCAGTTTTCATTCATCAGAAAGACTTTATGGGGCACGAGAAGCAACACGTGACCTTAGCTCCAACATTTGAATATGCAGTACAATGGCAAATTAAGGTAGGTACTGAGTAGATACCAAGGTACTTAAGGTACCTATCTATATTAGTTTGTTTCCGTCAGGCGCTCTCTCGTTGGTCATACACAAGCCAGTGACAGGGGCAAGTGAGCCTGCAGGGAACACCAGCTCACCACGTGTTAGCCAGAGCGTGCTAGAGTTAGGCTAGAGTTAGGCTTGCATGCCCTATGCGTACTCCGTACGTTCTGCCCGTAAGACGCTTGGTCCCTCGGTCCACTTGCACCCCCCAAACCTACCGGGGATGGGCACCAGTGCCCGAGTCACTAGGGATGGCCGAAGTAGGGCTGTTGGGCCGTTAGGAGCCACTGGAGCCTACAGCCCAAGTAAGTTCTGTATGCGGATGTGCAGGTGGTCTGTACAACCAAGATCCATGCCTCGACTCCATCGTCTCGACAATCAGACCAGCCATATGGCGGCCCACCGGTGACGATTGCGTCCATTGGCCCCTCGGCGGCCAGGAGTAGCAAGACACTGGCTTAAAACCGCTTCTGCCGCCTCTTAGACAACACCAACCTCATTGCTGTCCTCCCAGAGATGCATTGCAGCCTGACCAGCCGACTCGTAGATGGAATTCCAAGCCCAAGGCCAACCTTGACAACAAGGCAGCCACCAGGCAATTGAGTTGTTGACCGGTCTTCTTTGTCAGCCATGCACCTGACGGCCACTGCGCTCGCGGTCTTGCGAATCACCAGAGTCGCCGTCGTCCATTCCACCACTTGTTCAACATCATCTCTGTCCACTGGTTACGACTGACAACTGACAACCTGCGACCAATCCACCATTTCCCGCCAATTGTGCCCTTGTTCTGCTTGTCCTCAGACGACTTCTGTCTGCCTGGTCTGCCTGGTCAGCCTGGATTCACCACCATTCATCTTTCTCGACCTGCCGCTACTGCGACCGTAGATACCTCTCTGTTGGTGCAACTTCTGCCTGACCCTTCCCTCACTTCTGCAACTCTGCTTCCTTGTTGAGATCCGCTAGTCCACACTTGCCTCGATCTCTCACTTTTCTTTTACTGCTCGCACTGCCTTCACTGACCGACTCGACTGACCATAATCACGGCCAATATTTTGCTCGTTGCTGCCTTTCTTCCTCTACTACATCTTTTCAACTTCGTGCCCTACCATTCCCATCCTCCCACCCCCCCCCTTCCAGACTGCCTCCTACCCCCTCCAGCCGCCACCATGGACCAAACTCCAGGTGCCACGGATGCCAAAAAACAAGAAAGAGTTGATACTACTGCTGAACGCCCCCTCGTTGCCAAATCCGCTGCCATCGAAACCAATAAGGATTCACCCACCTGTAAGAAACACCCAATCGCCTCATCAAGACAAAAGCTGCAAAAGTCGACCTCTGGAAAGCACTCTCGACGAAGCGAGACTGACTCGGATTCTTCTTCCGGTTCTTCGTCATCATCTTCCCCTAGTTCCTCGTCCTCGTCTTCATCCGACAGTGATTCCTCCATTGACCCAGCGGCCCTCAAGAAGAAACTCAAGGCCGCCAAGAAATCAAAGGCCGAACTAAAGGCAAAGACTAAGCAGCTCAAGAAGGAGAGTAAGATTAGAAAGAAAAAGATTGCTGCCCTCGAAAACGAGGCATCTGACGACAGCACTGATGATTCGGATGACCGCGTTCGAGCCAAAGTGAAGGCCGTAAAGGCCAGGGCCAAGAAGAAGGCTCTACGGAGGGCCCAGCTTGACAACAACGACGACTCCTCTTCTTCGATCGAGTACGAAGAAGATCCAAATTCGGTCAGACTGCGCAACATGAAGAACCAACTTCATGATCTCAATTTTGCTTCTGGGTTCAGACAGCCAGGTTATGCCGCATCTAGAGGTATCATTCCTCCTCCCATCAACATCGACCATATCCACCCCCCTGGCCGTCGACGCATCGACCAGGTCGAACGCCCGTTACTCTCTGACGTCAAGCCACCCAAAGTCAAGCCCGGAAAGCGAGCATCCAAGGTCGCGTACAAGCGTGTCGATCAACTCTGGGACCAGTCCATCCATAACTTCAAACTGACCGAAACCGTAAAGAGCCAAGACGAGGCCGTCTGGGACCAGTACATCTTCACAGTTCGGCGAAGGTTTGACTGGGAGCAAAAATACCAATGCACTATCGTGGATATCAAGTCTGCTCCCTTGAAAGAATCCTTGCGCCATATCATGGCTGGCGTCAAAGGGGTCAGCCTGGTCGGCGAGACCGTTCACATGGACCCCAACATGCTCTTTCTCTACCTCGAGGAAATGAGAACCTATGTCGACTCTCTCAACAACGACTCAATCGGCAGGAAACGCAAAGAGAGAAAAGAAATGATAACAAAGGCCAAGCACCTGAAGGTCATGGTCAGATGGCTCGATAAAGACTTTGCTGAAACCAAGAAAACTCTCTATCCCATGTTGGAAAATAACCAGATTACCTACGATCTGTTGTGGGCCCTCTTCAAACCAAACGAGATCGCCTACACTTCAACCTACGGTGACAACGAAGAAGGCCGTGCTTTCAGAATGGACTTCTCCACCAAAGAATCCAGTTTCATGCGTGGCTCTTGGTACAATATCGAGGGCAAATACCTCGAGTATGACGGCAAAGTGTTTGGACTGGGAATCATCCAGGCCGAGGTAGCATCTTTTCAAGGCGTTCGCAAGATTTCCTCCTTGGAATGTTATCCTCTTCAATACCACAAAAACCCTGACAAGCTGCGCGAAGATCTCATTGAGCGCGGGAAAAAGTTTGTGCAGCTCCAGGGCATGAGCTACAAGTACCACAACGGCATGGCATACACCAAGCGCAAGAAACAGGTTCTGAAGATCAACATTGACGGCCGCATCATGGTTGATCCTGCAATCCACCGTCGGATCAATCCCAACTACTCGGTCAGTAACGTGAAGCCAAAAGACGGCGACCCTGGCGAAGAAGAAGCGGAAGAGGACTGTGGATGTGGCAATGATAGCAGCTCTGATAATGGCGGTCATGCCCAGAATACTCCCTCGGAGGACACCGTCCAGGAAAAGAAACGGTATAGGGCTGTCAAGCTGCCCAACGGCCAGACCGCCATCATCTTGGTCAACTCAAAAGACGACGTTGACCAGGATGGGAACCCTCTGGCAGATCAGCGACAAGGCAGCCACCATTTCACCGAGGAAGAGCTGTTGATCGCGAGTCCCGTCGTCCTCGGTTTTGCCTTTGGCGAGAAGCTCTGGCTCGAGTTCACCGTGTCAGGAATCTCCGATGTGGTCTTCAACGATCAAGCATTTGACAGCCTGGTCTTACCTGACAGTCAGAAATCCATTGTCAAGGCATTGGTGTCCAGCCACACGTTCCATGCACACCGCAATATTGACGACATCATCTCGGGCAAAGGCCGTGGCTTAGTCGCCGTCCTTCATGGCCCACCCGGAACTGGCAAGACACTGACTGCCGAGGGTATTGCTGACCTGTTGAGATGCCCGTTGTACATGGTTAGCGCCGGTGATCTGGGCACCGATCCTAGCAAGCTTGAGAAAGAGCTGCAGAACATTCTGGACATTGCCCATAGCTGGGGAGCGATCCTCCTTCTCGATGAGGCAGATGTCTTCCTCGAGCAACGATCGATTCACGACATCCACCGCAACGCATTGGTTAGTATCTTCCTTCGACTGCTCGAGTACTTCCAGGGTATTCTGTTCTTAACCACAAATCGGGTGGAAACCTTTGACTCGGCCTTTGTCTCTCGAATCCACCTTTCGCTTCGGTTCCAGAACTTGACCACCAAAGCCAAACGCACCGTGTGGAAGCTCTTTATCGACCGTGTCAAAGAACAAGAAGGCGTCAAAGTATCAACTATCACCGAAACCGATCTCAACGACTTATCAAGGCGAGAGGTGAATGGCAGACAGATCAAGAATCTAGTGCGGGCGGCCCATGCATTGGCGATCCACGAGGACAAGTCATTGAGCATGGCACACATTCGTCGTGTGATTGACGTTGCCGAGAGCTTCGAGATGGATCTCAAAGGTGGCACTGGCTACAGCGACGCCATGAGAAGTGAGCATTGGACCATGATTTGAAGAGTGATGCTAACTTTTCGCCAGGCTACACATGATTTTCTTCGGCAGTAAGGTAGAGGGCTGTTTGGATCCTGCCCAGGTGACGAGACTTTGATATGGGAGCGATTCAAAAGACTACAGACACCATTGACTTGCCGTTTTCCCCCATACATCGTCTCGCAAACTAATTGCCACGCTGAGATGAGATTAAGGTCGTGTAACTTCCAGGCGTGGAGATCAAGGTTGGGGTTTGGATTGGGACGAAACTACTCATGAGCATGGGGTTCAACGACATTGGACGCGTAGGATGAAGGTGATGACCATGGTAGTTCACATGAACCAGTAATAACAGGAATGACTACTGCATGCCACTGCTGTTGCTCCCAGGGCTGGGCTGGGCTGGTATTAATTGTTGGCACGTGATAGAGTCACATGACGCAAGGTCCGCCGCCTGTACGGAGTAGAGAAGAAAGGAAAAGGTGGAGTTCAGAGCGGATGAAGAAGTGGAAGTATGAAATGTCGGTTGCATCTTGGGCTTTGCTCCAGTTCCCGATTTGCTCCTCTAATTCTTCCATCTCACAAGAACGACTCTGGAGCAATTCTACAAATTCCAGCTATCGGGCTCTTTTCTCATTTTGTCCATGGCGTCTGCTTCGATGAGCGCTCGTGTCTTTAACGCGGCACCGCGTGCCCACCTCTTCTCCCGTAACCGCAATCGATCTACTTGCCGCCTACTCTGCACATCAGCAGTCTTGAGAGACGACTCGAAGAAACAGGCATCGTCCAGCTCACCTGTATTCCCTTCAGTGTTCGGGACTGGTCCCTCGCCGCCACGTCTACCCAAAGAAGACCAAGAAATCTTCGAAGCCCTTCAACGCCAGTCGACTGGTGCCTTTTCCACCCCTCGCACTCCACCGCGTATCAACCAGTCCCCTCATTCGACACCACCTGAAGTGGACAGTGCGCAGCAAAGTGTCAACGACAGTGTGAACGAGATGGGAACATCTACCGGGCCTTCAGAGCAGGCACTCCGTGACGAATTCCAGAAGATGATCGAAGCTCGTGGCAATGGCGACGAGTTGCACGCCGACGTGAGGAGAGGTGCAAAACCCGAGTTTGAGGGTGATGTCAATCCCAAGACAGGCGAGGTTGGGGGACCAAAGAATGAGCCTCTAAGATGGGGTGCCAGCGGCGAGTGGAGTTACAATGGGAGGACGACAGACTTCTAGAGACAACAAGGATGCTGTCCTTCCGATATTGAGCAAGCGAGATGAAACAGAAAAAGACGCATTATACAACACCATAAATGTCGGCCCCCTGCCTCTTGACTGGGAAAAGTGTACAACGGAATGGTATCATATTCATTAGAAGATTTATGACATCTGTAGACACTCTCTTGTGTGAATATGCCGTTATCCCTGGCGCCGAGAATATGCAGGAGATGGGCTCTCTCGCCATCAAGATGCCACAGGAACGGTAACTCGCATGAGACCAAGGATGGGTTGTTGCGTTGCAACCCAGTGTCAATGTGCTTTCAAAGGAGCGCCCTTATCGCACTGTCCGATGAATCGCACTTTTGGTAGAGTTGCCGATTCACCAAACATGAGATATGATTCTTTTGACATCCCAAAATTGACAAGTCCATCTCGTTGTCTACTGTGTCTTGACTTCCTGGTCTTGCTCGACGTGGATATGATCGTTGGTCTGTAAGACGCCCACCTTGTCCTCGGGGAACTCGACACTGGAAAAGAAGAAGGTCAGTTATCTGGCACGGATAGAGACGAGCTGGGAATCAGCGGAGACGAACGTGAAGCCTTTGATCAGAGTGAATTCATGTTTGATCACACCACCATCAGACACGGCCTTTTGCTTGGCCTCTGAGAGCTTATCGGGAGCGGCATCCTCTTTCAGAGTGACCTTGACGACGACATTAGCGGTTGGATGACGCGCTAGCTCTCATGGGCTTACATTGTAGAGAGGCATTTTGACGGCAAGGAATGAACCGAAGTTTTGTAATCTTGCTATTGAGGAAGGAGAAGTGGCAGGCGACTGGAGTGATGAAACCTTGGAGCAGGTCAGTCGATGACGAAGTCTGAGGAAGTGTATTGTGAAACAAGTTGGGACAAAAATTGAAAGGGCAAAGGAAACAATTCGGTCTTGCTTGAAGGAATCTAGTTTTGAGCAATTGCGAGCGCAATCAGAATATTTCACTGCAAAACGTCGAGTCGAATGGTATGAGTGATTCACACCGAGGCCTGGCCATAAGTGATGCCTAGGGAGACGTCCTTGGCAGTCGGACAATCGCTATGGAGGGGCAGTGACGTAATTCCTTTTGATCAAAGTCGATGCCTGAACCTGGGTGCCTGGAACTGTCGATGGTGGCCAAGGGGCCGCGGGGCCCGAGCTGCCCCGCGACGATTGTACTTACTGTGATACCTTACAGACACAGCATGAGGAGTTGGTTGCGCCATCCTCCTTTACGGAGTATGTGCTGCAGTACTTAGTAGTACCTAAGGTAGCCACGATGCCACCGCTCCATGCATCCCTACATTAACCTAGGTTTCATCATGAGGTGGCCGCAGACCTGGTCGGCTCCTCGACCGCGTACACGTGGCATGCCAGTAATAGACCCTATTGAATCTCTGAGGGAGGCTTCACGTCGACAATTTACGTATGTCGTGTCAATTCTGTTGTGGCTCGACAGCTAACTCTCAGATAAAAGTGTCTTGCCAGTGCCGCAGCATTCTCCACGCCATGGTTCGGTGAGGGGACGAGGCTCGAAGGGCCGAAGCGCAGGCTGTCTGCGCCTTAGGGACCTTGGCTTTAACTATGGGCTGCCCCACTGTGATCTGCCCATAGGCACAAATGAGAACCTTTTTGCGAGGCGTCCATCCATAGAAAGTACTTGATATTTCCAATCATGTTTCTCTGCTGATGGAGAGGAACGTCGAGAGGTCCAGCCATCGAGGAGGCACCGCCACGAAAACCATGATAGGAACTCGTTGACCGGTTGCACCGCCCTTGGTCGCCTTTCATTTCCACGAGGCCGCCAGGCGTCTGTCCCACGCCAACTCGGTCCACGTTCTAAACTCCATCTGTATCATCACCTTGTCGTGGCAGATCTTTAATTTATCTCCTTCCCATCTCTCTTGTTCGGATCCTATGCCGATTGTTGCACCACCGCAATTAAGACTCCCCTCCCCTTGACCACGACATGCACGCAGATGTCGACGCCTGAACCTACCGAGGGTTCCCACAGCGCTGCTCTCTTGCACCTGACCAAACGGATCCGACACCTGGGAAGATTACCCTCAAGTTGGGTGAAAGCTCTTGTAAGTAGTTAGCCATGACTCTGTCAGATCGCTGTCCAAGATATACCCGTTGACGATCTGCTCTGGGAACCAGGATGGTCCGTCGGAGCCCGAACCTGCTATCCCCTGCGAGATATGCTCACGCCTGGATCTCAGGGTCCAATCCTTCTGTGTCCAAGAGGGTGACGACGAGTATGCCATAGCTAAGAGAACACGATACTTAGGGCGTTTGTCTCAAATCCAACATAGGACACACTGCCCATTTTGTCGACTGGTCCTAGAAGTCGCCGATCGACCCTCAGACCAGCGAACTCCCAGCCTCGTTGCTGACGATGATCCGGTTGTCTATGCCAGATGGGTCGTTGATGGGCAAGAAGATCTCGGGCCCGATCCTGATCGGCCTGCTGAGCATCGATACAGGCCAAGGACGAGAAGGATCCTGATCTACAGCGAGCCACAGGCGTTTAAAGATGGTTACATTGTTCTTTTGGCCGACGACGCCCCCCAGAGGCCGTGGTTTGGCCGACAAATATCTTCTCCAGATCTGCTCGATGTTCAACAACTTCGACAGTGGTTACACGATTGCGAGTCCACTCACGGATCCGAGTGTGAGGACTCGCTCGTTCACCCTGATCTTCTTGGAGTGCCCAAGGACGTCTTCCGCGCCATTGATGTCCACACTATGAATATTGTTGAAGCACCAAGAAACTCGAGATACGTTGCATTGAGTTATCTGTGGGGCAAGAACTTCAATCAACTTTTTACTACGAGCGAGAACCTACCCACATTGTCTAAGCCTGGGGCACTGGACAAGGAAAAACTACCCAAAACGATCAAAGATACGATACAGCTGACGAGAATGCTTGGAGAGAGATATCTGTGGACTGACAGTTTGGCGCTGTTGCACGACGAAGGCTTCCAGTACCATGATGATTGGGTTTATGCTAAAGCGGCTCTGACCGTCGTGGCGGGCTCTGGAAAGGATGCAAATGCTGGGCTTCCTGGGGTCAGAAAAGAGTCTCGAAAGTTTCATCAAGAGATTGAGCGTATCGAGCCAGGTAACTTCAGGCTGATGATGTCTCACCTCGCAGAAGGTACGTTGGGCTGCATACGACGATGCCTCTCAACCCTACAATCAATGCTGACAAACTCTAGACTACATCTCGACCTCGCAGTGGGACTCGAGGGCGTGGACCTTTCAGGAACGTATGCTTTCTCGACGCTGCCTCCTCTTCGTCAATGGCCGAATATACTACCAATGTCGTAAAACCACTTTTTGTGAGGACATGGAGATGCCGATGCAGAATGGCTGGTCGCTGGACTCGATTGACATGCCCACAAGGATATTCCGGGAGAAGCCATTCGTCCAATTCACCTCTGCAATTGAACTCTACACCCGCAGAGAACTGACCAACCGAGCAGACATCCTCAACGCCTTCGAGGGAGTGGGTCTAGTGCTGGAGAAGCGCATTGGAGCGAGCATCTACTACGGCGCCTTGGAAACCATGCTGGATTCGTCGTTGATCTGGGAGTCGAGCAAAAGGCTTTTTCGACGCGACGGGTTTCCAAGCTGGTCATGGTCGGGCTGGATCGGCGAGATCCAGTGGAAATTTACCGAACCGGCAAGATCTTGGATCCAGTGGCATGCTGATCAGCAAATCGGCATCCATTCCTTTCCCCAACAATGGCTGGAACGCATCATGCCTCCGATGCCGCCTCCAGCGAGTACACAAGCCCAGACATCTCACAACATGAGCCAGATCATGCCGTTGCTCCACTTTCGGACCATTTCTGCTCATTTTGTTTTGAGTTCTGCATCTTTGATACACAAGTCCATCATCTCGCCTCTCAGGAAGCGGCTAACGGGACCCAGTGCATTGTCGACAGTGCGCCCAGCGCCGGCGGACCCAGGGTTGATTAGGGCCGGAATTTCAGACAAGCGGGGGTGGTGGTGTGGCACAATCCATCTGGATCAAGACTGGGAAAAGCGAATAGGAACGCCTCTTGAGTTCCTGATCATGTCACGACTTAGCCGTTTTTCTGATGACGAGCTTTTGATATGGGAGGGAGAATTGCCCGACGAGGTGGAAGAGATACTCGAGCAGCGAGATTATGGAGTCTTCAATGTCATGTTGGTTTCTCAGAGAAACGGGATTTATTATCGGGAGGGGTTAGGCCGAATATTAACCAGGGCGTTAGATAACACCATTGACCCGGCTCCAGCATGGAAGGACATTATACTAGGCTAGACTGTGGCGGGACGGATCTACCGCACATAGCAGACGACGAGGGAACTTGCCATAGGCAAGATCAGACAACAGAGGATTCTAAGCTGCGAAATCTTCCCAGATATAATAATAATGAGCACCAAAGCAGTCCTCAGAAAGGAGCTTTGCTTTGCACCACGCCCATCTTGGGCTAGATATGGTTTGCCCACTGGTGGAAGGCTAAATCGTGCTTTACCTGAGGGTGATTCGTCACCTAGGCGTGCTAAAAGGTAGGCTGGGGGAAACATGGATGGTATTTGGACGACTATGAGCGGAGCCACTGAGTCTGTAAAACGACCCTAGACGTGATGTAACATTTGACCAGACGGGATGCTCCTTTCATGGTTGCCTAAAGGCAGTGAATGAGTGATCTGCCACTGAGCGACAACACCACCCACGCCCACCCCTGTCTCCTCTGTCCACGATCTTCACTATTGGCCCCAAATTGCCCTTGAGGTAGATTCTCGGCCGCGTTGTCTTGAGCCAAATTGAGCAAGCTCCACCTGTAAAGTTGTAATAAAAATGATGGGACCCAAGTTCTACAACCACTTCTTCACGATGGCCAACGACCCAGGGACGCCGGAGACAACCCTTTGATTCCACCAACTTCATGTCCACTTACAACGAAATGGTTATGACCACGGTGCTACGAGAGTGATGAACGGCACCGCCGTCACCGCTTCATACCTATTAGTATCCCATCTGACCCTGTTTGAACAACAATGTCAGCGATCGCAGTACCAAGACCAGAACCTGATGACCCAGTCACTCTGATCAACTGCGTCTACGCCATCTCTGGAACGTATGGACTACTCCCGCGACTGCTCTACTATGTGACCCTTGCGTTTGCCATCTTCGGCCGCAGCCGCGAATGGCTCATTATCGGTGCGCTGGTCAGCGCATTGACGTATGCTGGAGGCGCGGCCATTCACATGATGGCTCTGGTCACAAGCAAGAGTGGCGTGTACGATTTGGACATTGCCGCGGCTTGGGCGGTGCTGAGCACTGGCGCATTGGGATACATCGGCATGATACATTGGAGCTCCACTCTTCGCAACTCGAATGCCAGAGTCATAATGATATGCTGGGGGGTTCTCGTGGGAATCTCGCTGATCTTCGGTCGCGCCGTCCTGTTCGACACGCCTCCATCCGCTCCTGAGCCGGCCTGCTACTCTTCACTTGGTCAATTGCTCGAATATCCTATTCAACTGGCTAGTCGAGAGTTCAATTGCACTTATCAGTGCTTCTCCATCTCCAAGCCGATGCGACATATGTCTGAGACAATCGCCATTCCCGAACAGGTACTTGAAAACAGGTACTCGGGCCTGTTGGTTGCGCTGGTCGGGCCAATTCAGTTCGCTGCCTATGCCGGCCTCAGTCTCGATGGGGTCGAGCACAGTCCCTCACAGTTGTGCCAACGTGCCGTCATGAAACACCTCATCCATCCGGGACATAAAGAGGAGTTCACCAAAATTGTCTACAAGGCATCAGTCGAGAGCTGGTACGGGGGTTACTTTGCCGTCCTCAGCTTCATCCGTCGCTCCAAGTGGACTCCTGCCAAGGTTGTGATCGTCTCGATCTCCCTCCCTTGGTTATTTATCGGTTTGTTGATTGATATTTTGTGTATACCACTGATGTTGGCCAACATTGTCATCAACGAGCTAGTTCTACAGACTGGTGGTTGGCCAGTCAACGAATCGAACAATAATGCTGGCCAGTGGCTGCCTATAGTCAACTCAGCACTGGTTCTTGTCGCCGCATGTGTCAGCAAATTCCTAGAACTAAGGGCGAGGTCAAAAAATGCCAAGGTGTTGACCGCAGAAGATTCCAAAGGTCAAACGACGACCTTGACGGCACACGACCTTGAGCTCGGTATGGCAGAAGGGGAAGGTCAGGTAACCGGGGTGGTCAAGCCCGAATTAGTCCATGTTCCAACCTTACAGGATATGGATTCTTTGAGAACGCACAAGACATGAATCGATCAGTCGACCAATTATGATAGATATGGATGTTCAGATCATCGCCTCTTTTGCATGGAGGCACTCGGGTCGTTGAAGTCATGATGTACACACCGCAGCGGAGGCTACAGTCGAAATCGGTGCTGTGTACATTCTTTATGAGTCACAAGTAGCAATTTCCAGGTTTAGTGGTGGATTGCCTTCTTGCTAACAAGGCTGGAGGATGTCTATCTCATCTGGCGGATGTGTCCTAGTGCATTAGCCGACATCGTAGTCTATATCCTCTGAAAGGACAAAAAGGACAGACAGGCACAGAGGGTAGAGAAGACTCTACGATATCCTAGGAAAGACATCCAAATGACTGGATTAGAAGCAAGCAACGAAGCGTCGCGGGCAAGTTTCATTGTTCACCCGAGAATATTCTCTTATTGGGCATGACAACCAAGAATACTGTCTTTAATGGCTGATTTCATGATATGTGTGGCGGGCCGAGACTGGGCAATAGCGGATGCCTCACCCGAGGGGCAGGCACCTCTAGATGCTCGGATTCTGGGCGTTGCCCAAGGTAAACTGGTTAAGGTTTAGTTAAGCATGGTAATAAGCAGGGCGTCAACTATGCTACTTAAGGGTTGAGCATGGCGTTAAGCAGGGCGCATCTGCAGCCTCGGGGCAAGCTGCCCGCACACCTAGGGTAGGTAGGTGTACAGTGCCTAGGGACGAGAGGGAGTTCCAGGCCCTTCAGCCCCGACTCCCACTTCCTGTCCAGTAAAATGTCCAGAAAATTGTGGATCCAATGGTCAGATCGAATAATACTAGTACCGTGCAGCAGCACCTGCAACTAAACCAAACCGATCTCCCATTGACAGGGCACCAGGGACATTTTCCTCCATCCGCCACCAAAATTGTTTCCCCCGACGGTGCTCTACACGAAGGCGACTCCATATCAAAACATCCCCAGTCTATTCAGTTCGAACTGCACAGACTGGAGTTGTGACTCACTTCTTGATTCTAAGCATATAGCTGGGCTGCCTCCACCTCCCTCGTTCACTCTCCTCTCCTCCTCTCCCTATTGAATTCATCTCGTCATGGCCGACCACCTAAGATCTGCCTTTGCCGCGGCAAAGAAAGATGGCCGTTCTGCCTTGGTGGGTTACTTCACGGCAGGCTATCCTACTCCGGAGGAAACCCCGGACATTATGCTAGGGCTGCAGGCCGGTGGTGTTGGTGAGACAAGATAGACTCTCTCACCCTTTGAATCTGCTCATTAACACTCTCCAGATGTCATTGAACTTGGCCTCCCATTCACCGATCCCATCGCAGACGGGCCCACCATTCAGAAATCAAATACTGTGGCCCTCGCCAATGGTGTCACCGTCACCGATACCCTTCAATTTGTTCGAGACGCCCGAAAGCGAGGGCTGCGGGTGCCTGTCCTGTTCATGGGCTACTACAATCCTCTCCTACGGTACGGCGAGGATCGCATGCTCAAAGACTGCAAAGAGGCGGGTGTCAATGGCTTCATCATGGTCGATTTGCCCCCCGAAGAGGCCGTGCGCTTCAGAAATAACTGTACCAAGGAAGGACTGTCGTACGTGCCACTCATTGCGCCCGCCACCTCAGACAAACGGATGAAACTACTCTGCAAGATCGCCGACTCCTTCATCTATGTGGTCTCTCGCATGGGCGTCACCGGAGCCACTGGGACTCTGAACACCAAGTTGCCAGAACTGCTCGAGAGAGTCAGACAGTACTCTGGTGGTGTGCCCGCCGCAGTCGGCTTTGGCGTTAGTACACGGGAGCACTTTTTGAGCGTCTCCGAGATTGCAGACGGGGTCGTGATTGGCAGCCAGATTGTCACCGAATTGGGCAAGGCGGAAAAGGGTCAACGAGCTGCAGCTGTGCAAGCATACTGCTCACAAATTACAGGAAGAAGTGTGGGTGCTTTCAATGCGACTGACGGACTCACGCGAGAGGTCGGTATCGTCGAGACCATGGCTTCGGCCAAGGAGCCCAATGGAAACACGGTCAATGGCCTTGATGGTCACCAAGTCCAGGTAGACAGAGTCATCACCGATGCTGACGTTCCCGCGGAGCCTGGTCTAGCTGATCAACTAGATGCTCTCAATTCAGACACCAACGGATCTGCTCCCAACCCAGATGCCATTCCCGCGCGCTTCGGACAGTTTGGTGGGCAGTATGTGCCTGAATCTCTGATGGACTGCTTGGCCGAGCTCGAACAGGGATTTTCCAAGGCCAAAAACGACCCCCAGTTCTGGCAAGAATTCCGGTCTTACTATCCCTACATGGGTCGTCCATCGTCTCTTCACCTGGCAGATAGGTTGACGGAAAGAGTGGGCGGAGCGCAGATTTACCTCAAAAGAGAAGATCTGAACCATACAGGAAGCCACAAAATCAACAACGCGCTCGGACAGATTCTGATTGCACGAAGGCTGGGTAAAAAACGGATTATTGCCGAGACGGGGGCGGGCCAGCATGGGGTGGCGACAGCGACAGTGTGCGCCAAATTCGGCATGGAATGCGTGGTCTACATGGGCGCCGAAGATGTGCGAAGACAAGCATTGAACGTGTTTCGCATGAAGCTTTTGGGTGCAAAGGTTGTGGCAGTGGAGGCAGGATCCAGAACTCTACGAGACGCCGTCAACGAGGCACTCCGGGCGTGGGTGGTTGATCTTGATACCACCCACTACATTATTGGATCGGCCATTGGACCTCACCCGTTCCCTACCATCGTCCGGACGTTCCAGAGCGTGATCGGACAAGAGACCAAGGAGCAACTCAAGGAATTGACAGGGAAACTGCCGGATGCCGTGATTGCCTGTGTTGGTGGAGGGTCCAACGCGGTGGGCATGTTCTACCCGTTCAGCTCAGATCCGTCTGTGAAATTGATCGGAGTGGAAGCTGGCGGAGAAGGCGTCAACACGGCAAAGCATTCTGCTACCTTGGGTGGTGGTTCGATTGGGGTGCTCCACGGTGTGAGAACCTACGTACTTCAGAACGAACACGGGCAGATCAGTGACACACACTCGATTTCGGCTGGGCTCGACTATCCGGGCGTGGGACCAGAGCTGTCTAACTGGAAGGACAGCGATCGGGCTCACTTCATCAATGCCACCGATGCTGAAGCCCTGATTGGGTTCCGAACGTTGAGCGAGACTGAAGGCATCATCCCCGCACTGGAGTCGAGCCACGCGATCTACGGAGCGATGCAGGTGGCAAAGACTATGAAGAAGGAGGAGAGTCTAGTTATCTGTCTCAGTGGCCGTGGAGACAAAGATGTACAAAGTGTAGCGGATGAATTGCCCAAGCTTGGGCCGGCCATTGGTTGGGATCTGAGATTTTAAGATTGCCTGGATCGAGGTGTTGAAGGATTGCTGGAGAAGGGTTTCCAGACAGGCTCAGTAAACGTACATAGGTACGATGCATTTGGTGTGACATGATCGAGCCTCTCCCGGCCTGGCCATTTATTTCATGATGCCCATTAAAAACTTGCAATCGAATCGAGAAAGACGTGACAGCGGTGTGGTCAAAGCTTTGGTGGAATATATTGGATGTCAAAAGGGTCAAGCTTGGGGGTGGTCGGGGGCACAAGAAGATCGGCAACAATGACCACCAACTGAGATTTTACAAGGCTGAACTCTAGAGTCTAGAGGGGCCACAGGGTGGGAGGGGCGGTGAAGGGGTGCTCCGAGCGACAAACAACGCCTAAAAGAAGGATGATTTTCTTCTGGTCACCTGGAACTCGCCCACTTTGGTAACCACCTGGCCTAGGAACAGCGCCCAAGTGCTTAATAAGATAAGATATCCACGCGTGCCGCTGCCACGCACCTTTTACCAAGCAAGAACTGTGGCACCACAAGTACTACCTAGTACTGTAATGAGTAGAATGAGGATCATCAAAGACGATAGCAGCTGCACAGACTGCTCCTAGTCTCCATCATTTCTCTCACTATTCCCAATCATTCTCCTTTGCATTCCTCGTCAAACTCACTGTATGGCAATGAATTTGTATTGTCCACTTGAGTTCCTGGCTTTTGGAGACCCAACTCGTTCGCGTTACTCAATGGTCCAAAAGCAACGCGGCGCAGGCATCAAAGACATCACACGCACGCGTCTCGAGGGCCGATGGGCGTCAGAGACCCCACCAGCTCCCCGTTTATTAGGTGCCTCTTAAATAGTAAGTAGTACCTAGTAGTTTATTAGTGTATGAGCACGCCGTGGTTGCCGTGCACGCCTCAAGGCCTCAAGATCCGTCAATCGGTCTCCATTCTCCACGCCTGCCACCCTCATTATTGGCAGTTGGCATTCTAATCTTTCAGCCTGCCAGGTGTCGGTGCCAGTATCAGGCAAAGAAGCAAAGAAGCACCGAAGCACAGAAGCCACGAGCCTGCCACAGCCTGCCAGGTTTTTAGCCTCGTCCTCCACTAAGTTAGGTACTCACTTTCCCTATTACGCACGCTGCCACCACTGTCTCTTATCCACCTGACAGGACAGACGCCGACGCCGTTCTGTACGCGTCGTGCTCCCAAACGTTGTATCCTTGCTATCCTCACCTGCTTGGACACGTCTGCTTTTATCTTGTCTACTTGTCTACTCGCCACACCGATTACCTCACACTTGCCTGCTCGCCATCGACTGCACACCTGCAAATTTGCAAGTCAGCATTCTGGGGCATGACCAATATCGCTGCACCAGTTGAACGCCATTTACACCATGCGACAACCATGCCGTCAGCTCCACAGCAACCCAATCTGACAGAAACACCCATCTCGAACCATCTTCCGCCTCACAACACTCCTTCCCCCGATCCAACATCTATACCCTCTGCATCTCCACCATTTGAGCCCTTGAGAATATCCACCCATGACCTCCCATCTTCCCATACCCATGCCATCGTTCCCCATGACGACTCTGGAACCCCTCCCACGTCGGCCATTTCGAGTTCGCTCGACACCCAGGACCTGGCTCACCCAGAGCGCTGGTTGAAGAAGCCTAGCACCGTTGATGGCATTAAGAAGGAGGTGGCTTTGGATCAAGGGCCTGGCTCCGCCTCCCAGAGTCCTGACCCATCTGCTTTATCAGGCTCCAAACGGACCGCGACCGGGGACGTCAAAAGGTCGAGTGTCAATGGGTTGGCGGATGTGATCAATTCCTCCTCCGCCGCCGCCGTGCATTCTCGCACCTCTAGTATGGTCTCAGACGGAAGTAGTGCTGGCAATGTTCAAGAAGTACGTACCGCTATTCCTTCATCTCACGCGTTTCAAGCTGACCGTGTCAAGATTTCTCAGCAGCTACGTACCAAGCTCAAGTATGCCATGCTCAAAGTCCAAAATGGTTGGCAGTCTCGAAACTTTGACGAGGTCGAGTCGTTGGCCTCGCAGTCTCCTCGCTCAGTCGTCTCTGCCTTTCACCAACCCACCGAATCCTCTCTACTGTCACCTCGGACTGTCATGGCCCGGAAGTACCATCGCGCTTCCAGCGAGAGCGACTCATCTGAAAGTACCCTTGCTGTTGACAACCGCCCTTCCACTGCCAGCCCAACCCACTCATCCGCTTCTCCACGCCGCGCTCTAGCTCCTCCAGCCGACATTCTGCCTAGTTCACGTCGACGTCCCACCCCTAACGCGTCGTACCAGAAGCCACACCCCTCTCATCACCAGCCACGCCCCCTACACCCAGATCGCCCAATGCCAAATCAACGAACGCCGAGCCAGAATGCTGTTCTAGAGGCAGATGCCGTAGAAACACTGCTATTCATGGCAAGCCCCAGCAATTCTGGTCACTACCCTCCCACCCGCTCGTCCCAAGATTCTTCTTCCCAATTCTTCTCTTCACAAACATCCCCACTTCGAGCCCAATTTAGCCAGACCTCCATGACCTCGCCGAAGCGCGTCGCATTTGCTCATCAGACCTCCGACGTGGCTGCCGCCGCCGCAGCTTCCGCCCTGGAAAGGGCTGCCACCATCGATAAAATCCTGGATGACTTATCCGATGACAGTGATGACGAATTAAGTCTGGAGCAAGCGTTCAAACTGGCTGAGCAGAGCAAGCCCGCGCCGAGCACTCCACTGCCTGCCTGATAATTATGAAACGTTTTCCACCGTCCTCAGACACCGTGGTCCGTCTAGGCTCCACGCATGTTGCCATTTCGATGGGAGAACTGATTGCATGCATATGGAGTTCTCGGCGTCAATTCTAATTCAAGGTTGGCATCAAGCGTCGGGAGTGCCCCAACACTCTTTGTGCCGTCCATGTCTTTCCGAGAATCAAGTATTACATCTCTGGCACGGCTTTGGAGTCTAGCACTGGGGACACGGACGAGGTTGACACTTTGTGGCCCCTGATCAGGCGTCGAGTATTTTGTTGTACACGTCCAGCCAAGCGCCATAGCGTGACATGATCAATAAGGCCATCTCCGCCCGCCCCAGAAAATCCCCGCACGCGGTCTGTCCGATAGGTGCCAAATTGCTGGGTCAGCCACCATCCTCAGAACAATGTCGAGTTATGCAAAAGATCTCGAGTCAGGCAGGCGACAGTCTTGTTATTGATCCTCGGCATGATCTGTAGCTGGACGCCCAAAATAAACCTTGGGTATATATAACCATGTGATCCCACCACCAGTTTCAACTCTATCCAGGAGTCTAACGTACACGGGTGCTACAGACCAGCACTTCTCGATTCGAATCTCAAAGACCTCGGTTTCCACCTTTGTTGACACCAGTATAATCTACCCAACAATGACGGCCCAACAATCCGCCAATGTCCCCGTCTTTCCCGCATCCGATTCCCCGATCGGCAACATTGCATCTCTTGAAAACAAGGTCGCATTGATCACAGGCGCTAGCACAGGCCTTGGCCGTGCTATTGCTTTGGCGTACGCTGCTGCCGGTGCCTACGTTGTTTCCGCCGATCTCACCCCGGTTCCAGCCTCTGCACCAACCGTCGAAGCTACCCAGACAGAGCTTGACCATAAGACCCCGACGGTTGAGCTCGTCAATAACAGGTGGCCAGCTTCGTCAGATCCGAAAGGAAACACCCAGGGACGAGGCAAGCGAGCAGCTTATGTCAAGTGCGATGTTACGGACGAGAGTAGTGTCAAGAACGCTATAGCTTTCACCGTCGACACCTTTGGCAGATTGGATATCATGGTCAACAATGCCGGTGAGTTGCCTGGCTTCCAGCTCTATGCCAATGCCATTCTCGAAATTCCCGTCGTTTTGTCCTGAGCGGAGCCAAGACAATCTATCCCATGCCCTTAGGGATTCAGCCAAATCTTGACGGGGTGGCAAGATCACTGCTAAATTTGCTCCTGCTGGGCCGATTGGAGATCTGCTGCGTGCCAATGGTCTCTGTTACTCAAGCAGAGGAGGATACGACACCTCGCCACGCCCCATGTGCCGACATGTATTCCTTCTTCGTGTCGATGCTAACCACTCTTATCACCCACAGGCATCTCCGCGGAAACAAGCCGAGAAGGGTTCAATGGCGTCCCTCAGCGCATCCATGAGACCGACGTGAAAGTGCTCGATAGAAGCCTCGCCATTAACGTCCGCGGCGTCTGGCTTGGCACTAAACACGCTGTTACCCAGTTTCTCTCCCAGAAGCCTCTTAACCCATCACTGCCAGATCGCGGTTGGGTTATAAACTTGGCCTCGATCTTTTCAAGCGCTGGTTACCCGGGTGCTTCCTCTTACTGCACCTCCAAGGGGGCGGTTCTGCAGCTCACACGTGCCACGGCGCTGGAGTATGCACGTGACGGCATCCATATCAATGCCATTCAGCCAGGTTTCACTGACACCCATTTGCTTGAGGGCATGTACGCAAAGATGGGCACGGAGAACGTACACCAAGCGCTGAATACGCTGCATCCTTGGGGCAGGACGGGCAAGCCAGCAGACATTGCACGAGTCGCCGTTTTCTTGGCCGGCGAAGGGGCTGGGTGGGTGACTGGCTCTGGCGTCGTTGTCGATGGTGGATATCTGGCCCAGTAGAGACCTCGCATCGCTAGTACATTACGCATGTCATGGTGACCTGGTACAAAGAAAGGGCGCACGTACGTAGACCATGATGCCATAATCTGGAAATCATGTAAGGAGGGAATTCCGCTCGTGAGACCCTCACGTGGTGGAACATTAACCCACCTGTCGTTTGTAAGAACTTTGTCGTCATTCTCCGAAAGATTTGACCACCTGTAAATGTCATAATCTGGTCAAATTCAGATAGCAGCAAGGCTGGATCGTTGTTGGTTAATGCCTACCAGTCATCAAGAAGTGGTGAACCTTGACTAAGAATATGTGTTACCTCGGTCACGCTCGGTATGCGATTGAAGTGGAGACGCTGCGGTGATCGGGGGTAAGGACGGGGGAAACACCTTTCCACCGGCCCATCGGTGGATTGACTCCAGAGTCGGTCCCTTTGGGTGTGTCGTGTATAGGTAGCAAGCATCCGTCCATATTCTGGCTTGAAGTAATCAATTCATAGTTGACCATTAGACCTGTGCCCACCACTCAAGCACCACTTCTTGTAATCATGTCGCCCAGCCTGGCAGCAACCCATGGCTGGAAATTCAACCAAATCGGCCTTCGCGTCTCGAGCATGGAAGCATCACTTGCATTTTATACCAAGATACTGGGTATGAAGGAACTCGCGCGGATGGACTTTGAGACGGTCAACATTGCACTCCTTGCTTATCCAGCCGAAGGCGATCCAGCCATGTTTGCTAGGGAGGGCCTCTTGGAACTTGTTCAGAACAAAGTAAGTTAGGTATGCTTTGGCTGATGTGATCAACATGGCAAAAATCGCTGTAACCTTCAAGGGTATTAAGAAAACGGCTAATCAACCAGTAATCTCCGTCCAGGATTCACATGGTCTCATCACCAATGCCCAGGCAAACCCAGGGATTGGATTCATCAAGTTATGTTTTACAGTTCCTGACATGGATAAGGCCATGGAATATCTCAGATCCCAAGGCCTAAAAGTCGTCAAGGACATGGGATCTCGAATAAATCAAGAGGTTATCGTCGCCGCTCTCGGCGCCGAGGATCCCAAACAAGGTCGCAACATTGGGTTATGGGATATGGTCCAACAGATTCCTTTTGTGCAGGATCCTGATGGATACTTGATTGAGCTTGTTTCGTACGGCAATAGCGAGTCAGGAGCGTGAGCATTCTGATATTCATCAACCTGTTTTGAAATTCGCTTGCTCAGACTCAATCTCCTCTATTTTTCCACGAACCTTACTAGACCTGCACAGCACGCCCATGGCCAGAGTGCCCACTCGACAGAATGGGATTACATCGTTCCAATCAAACGCCAGTCGTTGAGTTTGTGAAGGTTTTGGGGTCTGTTGACTTCTATCTTGTTCAAGCAAAGGGGCAAAGTCGGGTAGTCTTGATAACCTACGGAGTACTCGTAAGTTCCATACCTAAGTACTGTACATGGCAACGAGTGGCGAGAGTTTCCGTGGGTGGAGATGTGCGGCCCGCTAAGTCCCAAGCGTGGGAGCGGTTTTGGGACCTTTTCAATGCGACATTAATGAAAAGGCTTGCTTGGTTCTCTAATCTTGACCTATTCCTTCAATACGTTGGGTTGGCTGATTTTTGTAAAAAGATACCAAAGGATTGTCGGCGCACCTCTGCACAAATCTCGAGAAGTAGCTGAGGCATGACAGGCCGACAAAGCGACGCAGAGAGGCTTCGTGCCCGGAAACCATTGCCGCCACCCTACCCAGCCTATCTGGCGACTGCTGGTTCTCCGCTCAAGGCCAACGAAGAATTGTATAAGTCTATACAAGCGAGCCCAAGGCAGCTGATCGATTCCTTTACGCTTCCAATCCGGTCGGGGCGTGCTTGGCAGGCGCCGGCGAAGAGTATCATCCGTATCAGCACTCCAGAGGGGCCCCAGGTTGGTATGCAGTGAAGCTGGTTGATTTTCCACCCGAGCTGTACATTCTGACGTCGTACAGGAGACTTGAACATTTGGAACGCCCACAACGCTCGCGAGAGATTCTGGGCATCACGTACGAAACAACTTCATTCTTCTCACGTGACGACGGGAGCCCGGCTTTGGTCCAATCTGCCTTATATGCGGCCACTGGTGACTATCATTGGTGATTCTCTATCTTGGTATGGCGTGGACGAGACGGGTGGTCGGTGCCACGACTTGTTGGGGACACGATGTGACCCTTATATCAATACCCTTCTGTCTGGCGCCGGGGCGTCGTATGACTACCACTGTCATTCCAACCTGACGCGGGCGGTGTTGCCCTTTGGCCTCAATGAGTCCGACGTACATGACGTGATCAATCTGTTTCAGGTCACGGGGCTCGATGATCAAGGCAGGTATTTCATGAACCCTTCGCCGGCGCGGGCAGGAGACTTCATCGAGTTTTTCGCGGAGCAGGACTTATTGTTGGCGTTGTCAACTTGTCCTGGGGGGGACCTGTCACAATGGGGCTTTGGTAGCGACAACGAGAAAGAGATGATCAAATGTTGCCGGCCGCTCAAGGTGGAGGTTTTCCAGCTCGAGGACGAGGATGGAGTGCTGGGTGGAAGGTGGGAGCAGCCCGCATGCCCCAGCTACAGAGGGCAGCACGGTATGAAAATTCCCGAGGGGGAGGTTAGATAGGGACCGGGGTGGGTGTTGGGTCTCATCGGCCAGCCATCTCCTGTTGACCTGGGGTGGGGGGAAGGCTGGCGGACTGGCCAAAGACAACCTCGAGTGCCTGTTGCAAGATATCTAGGCCCTTTTTAATCTCATCTGCGGTGATAGTCAGGGGTGGTACGATTCTTAGGACGCCGTCGCCAGCAGTGATTATGAGCAAGCCTCGCTCTCTTGCCGCAGTAATGACTTCAGTTGCTTTGGGTTTGGCCGAGTCGGTTAATTGATAACCAATGATAAGTCCTCGGCCACGGACTTCTGACAGGACGGTGGGAAAGGCGTGCTTCATAAATTTGAATGCATCAAAGAACAAGGATGACTTGGCTTTGACTTGATCTTGTATGGTCGGGTCAGCCAGACGCTGAAAAACGTGATGGGCGACGCGAGAAGCGAGAGGATTGCCACCAAAGGTGGTACCGTGGTCACCAGTTTTGATAAAGGGAGTGACGGTGCGGCCCGAGACCAAGGTTGCACCGATTGGAACGCCATTTCCAAGGGCTTTGGCCGTGGTCAGAATATCAGGATGGACACCCGAGGCAGTATGGGCCCAGAGTTGGCCGGAGCGTGATAGACCGCACTGGATCTCATCAAAGATGAGAATGGCGCCGACTTCATCACACCTTTGTCGAAGTGCGCGCAGGAATTCAGTGCTGGCCACGTTGACGCCACCTTCGCCTTGAATGGGTTCGACGATGACGCCCGCAGTGTTCTGATCGATCAAACTCTGAACAGCAGAGACGTCGTTGAAGGTGCCATAGCGAAAGCCGGGCAGCATGGGGCCAAAGGGGGGCTGGTACTTTTTGTTCGGAGTGGCAGACAGAGATCCATAGGTTCGACCATGGAAAGAGTTGTGGAAGGATACAATGTCTCGCTGGGTTGTGTGGGCATCTTTTGCGTAGGTGACTTTTCGCGCGAATTTGATGGCGGCTTCATTGGCTTCAGAACCCGAGTTTGAGACGAAGACTTGACTAAGTTCAGAACCAGGCGACTGCTTCTGGGTTTCTTCGATGAGGAGCTTGGAGAGGGTGGGGGTCCAGGGATTGTGATAGAGATTGGAGGCGTGGATGAGCTGCTGCGACTGCTGTGCGAGGATCCGTGCGACGCCGGGATCTGAATGGCCGAGAGACACGACGGCAATACCAGCGGTGAAATCAAGATATTCGCGGTTCTCGTTGTCGTACAAGAGACAGCCTTGACCTCGTACTATCATTGGAGGTGGGCGAACGTAGGTGGGGACCATATAGGGCGTGGTTTGATGGAGGAAGGTGGCGGTTGGGGAGTCTTCTGAAGGATCAGGGTTTGGCAAAGATGCGTCTCGTTTGATCTGGGTAGCATTCTGTACAGGGATAGAGGACGAGGTTGGGACAGCAGTGGCAGTGGCCGCATAAGGTCGCCTGGCGAATGGAACTGATGGGAGAAGAGAGGAGCATTTGGTACGAGGTAAGAGGTGAGTCAGAACCCTCGTTGGGCGAGAGCGAAGAGCCATGGTGGAGGAGGGACGCCCGTAGGACGAGTGTGTGAGGGTGAGGGTGAGGATGACAGTGAGGTTTTGAAGGTGTGAAATACAAGAAGAAATTGAGAAATCGAGGAAGAAGAAATCAATACGAGTGAAATCTCAACCGTCGCACTTTCCTCACGACCGCCGCGTATTGAGTGGTAATTGAGTGGTAATGGTTAGAATGAGGAAGGAGCAACCGGGGCTGGTTCCTGCGCGATAAGATAAATTTTTTCACTTCAGATGATGCAATGACTGACATTGAGTCATATCTACAGGTAGGTACCTCTTTGACCGCACGCAGCTAGGTTTACGCCTCCAATCACCTCCATCTAGGCTACTACTTACACCCCGAGACCCCTCAGGGCTCCCTACGCTCGGGGCTATTTTGGTGTCACTTGGGCCCATCGGCCCCCTCGGCCAGGGTGCGGGGTTTCCAACTTTCCCTCCACCACCTAAACGGCGGCGAGCGCCCTAGAAAATAGGAGGTGGAGGTTGTATCTCGACGAACAACTTGACTGAGGAGATATAGGTACATACTTCTACCATATATTTTACTCCTATTGTTAGCTGGGACCAGCTAGGCGATCCCTTTCCAACATAGACAGACTCATTCCAACCACCTCCATCACGATCATCAAGGGTTTTGTGGTAAGATAAGGTCCAACCGCCAGGCTAGGCTAGGCCAAGGCTGGTTTCACGAGGCTCGGATGGCTGTTCCCATGCAAGCATTGTACATTTTGAATCCAACGTCACCATGAGTCCATTACAACTCCCTCAAGACTCTCGTGTCTACGTCAAGGAAATCCCAGGCTGTGGACGTGGCACCTTTGCTTCAACTCATCTCGATGCCGGATGCCAAATTCTGCAAATCCCCCAACCTTTGGTTCTCATACTTGACGTTGCCAACATCAGCAGATACTGCGACTACTGCTACCGGTCTCCGTATGACCAGACTACATTTGCCGGTCAAGATACAATCCTGAAATTGGTCAGGTGCAAGGCCTGCAAGACCGTCCGATACTGTGGCCAGGTAATCATGCCCATAGCAACTCTGACGGAGAAATGCTGACTCTCAGGGTTTGCTCAGCTGTGCCAAAGAAAAGCCTGGGATGAATACCACAAACACGAGTGCAGGGTCTATGCCTCGCAACCAAGCGTCTTGCCAACCACCAATCGAGCACTGCTGCGTCTCTTACGACGCCACGAATCTCACCTGTTGACGAAAGAGAGCTGGGACAGTTTTGAAGCCATGGAACACCATTACAGCCAAGTGCGGGCAATTGGTGGACAGACCTGGAACGACTTTTGCCTCATCGCCCAAAAGCTGAGAAGCGACTCCGCAACTGATCTCTCCCTTGACAAGCTTGTCTTGTTTGTCTGTCGCGTAAGTCGATCCTGCTCCACTTTCTCGACGTCGCACTCAGATATCACAGGTCGCATGCAATAGCTTCACCATGATCACTCCCCTCCTGGAACCCATTGGACTTGCACTCGACCCTCAGGCAGCCCTCCTCAACCATTCCTGTGACCCGAATGCCTTTGTCCGCTTTGATATAGCACCGCCCTCTGCCGCCCTGACGCCCTCTTCTTACGGCGCCTTGACCATCATAAGTCTGCGCCCCGTTGCCCCACACGAGCAAGTGACTATTGCATACATTGATCCTACGAATCCTACCCCTCAACGACAGCGCGAGTTGAAAGCCCGTTACCATTTCCAGTGCCGCTGTCCCTTCTGTCTGCGTGAGCGAGGAGCTTTCCATGGGCGGGAATGCCCAACATCGGCCATGGCGGAGCTTGATCATACAACACAAGACAGCATAACACAGCTTCGAGAATCAGCCCAACAATGTTTGCGTCAGGTCCAAGTCGGAGATGAAGGCAAACACGTGGACAGCCTTAGAGCCTCAATGTCCGACTTGGCCCGCTCCAACAGCTTCCAAATCCACCATTATCCATGGCCCCAGCTACGTAAGCAAATGCTTGTGGGGCTCCTCCAAATTGAAAGCTTTGAAAATGCCTTTATTCAATGCTCTATTCTGGTGCGGAAAGTTCACCCACTTCTGTACAGGGATGAAGTCCATCCTGTGCGTCTGGTTGAGCTGTGGACGTTGTCACAGATAGGCCTGCACCTCATGGACATCAATAGGAATGTCCTCTATGTTATCTTCGCTGCAATGCAACTTCTCCAGACCCTGCTAAGTCGAGGCGAAAGAGCCACTGGACAATTTGAGGTGATGGTCGACATGATGATAAATAAATTGAAGCTCCAGCAACACTTATGGAGGAATTTTATCAAAGACCCAGGGAGGCCCTGGCTGTGGCTCGACAGGCTGATCGAGGCCAATCTAGGCAAAGAAGCTGCACGGGAAGAGGGTTCGACTTTGCTCTCAGACAGTCTGAGCTGACCGTAAGACCCCTTACGAGGCTAAAGATCAACACTCTTGGTCTTGTTCGGCCCCACGATGCTAAAAAAAGTGTCTTTGTTTCGGGCTTAACCCAAGTCAATACGGTACCCAATGGAATCCAAACCCCCGCCCGAAAAGGCCAAGGGGCCGAGGGGCTTGTAAGCTAGCACGGCTAGGCTGCAATGAGATCACAGGTTGATTGTGCTTTGTCGGCGCGCTACCCCATCCCCGTACTTTCTTGGAACCTCAAACATGACCATATCAATACCATCTACTCAGGCTCTACACACCGCATCTGCACACCACTGCTTTCGCACCGACATTCAAACATGGCATCTCTCTCAAACACGCAAGAGGGTTCATCCAGGACTCCTAGCGTTGCAGAGGCCTTTTTCCGTCATTCTAGTGGTGCCCGCGTTAACACCGATGCAGTCATTGCCGACTCCATCCAGAACGCATATCCCGGTGTGCCCATCACCATAGTTCCAGAATACAATGCCAACCTCCAAGGCTACAGCGCTGCAGGCTTTGCATCGACACAAGCTAATGAGCCTAACTCCAAAGCTAGAACCTGGCCCGATAGCCTCAAATGGACCATTTTCATGCCGCCATTTCGTCGCCTGGATGGAGGTAGCGGGTCGCTCGGCGAGCTCGAACTGTTCCAGAGCTTCATATATAAATGGAACAACTTTGAATTCCTCGTCTATCTCGTCGATGGCCGCGATGGTGCCGGTTCTTTCCCGACCATCCGTAACCAATACATTCTTGGCGACACAGCTGCCGTTCGCTCCTTGGTCAGAACAGTTGGCCAGTGGCAGTCCCAGCTGCACGAAGAGATCTGGGTCTTCAACAGTGGGTACTGGGCCAAAGATCCTAATCTATATCAGTCCATCCTCCGATCTCGCTGGGACGACGTCATACTAGAGGAGTCGTTTAAGCATGATCTGCTCGACACCGTCGAACGTTTTTTTGGATCCGAGGAACAGTACCAACGACTACGAGTTCCCTGGAAACGCGGCATCATCTTCTACGGCCCTCCCGGTAATGGCAAGACCATCTCTATCAAAGCGACCATGCATAGCCTTTACCAACGAACTCCACCCGTTCCTACTCTCTACGTTAAATCTCTCGTTAGTTTTGCCCCACCCGAATATAGCATCGAGGCCATATTTGCCAAAGCTCGCCAGGAAGCCCCATGCTACTTGGTATTTGAAGACCTCGACAGCCTCGTCACCGATGAAGTTCGCTCTTTCTTTCTTAACGCCGTGGACGGCATTTCCGATAACCAGGGTATCCTCATGGTCGGATCTACCAATCACCTTGAACGCCTTGACCCTGGCATCGCAAAACGGCCGAGTCGGTTTGATCGCAAGTACCTTTTTTCCAATCCAAACCTTGACCAACGCATTCAGTATAATCGGTTCTGGCAGAAGAAGCTCAAGAGCAACAAGGACCTCGAGTTCCCAGAAGAGATTGTCCAAGCCGCAGCCAAAATCACGCATGGATTTTCGTTTGCATACATCCAGGAGGCGTTTGTGAGCGCCCTGCTGGACATTGCCCGTGATCAGGACAACGAGAACGACATCTCTCTCAAGCTGAGTCAGGATTGGCAGATGTTGGATCTTGCAGATGAGCCCGTGGACTCAGCCATGGACTTGAACGATTATATTCTGTGGCGCAAACTCAAGTTAAATATTGATAACCTTCGGAAGCAGCTCGAAGATGGGGGAGATCAAGATTGAGCGGAGGGCCGTCGCATGGTCTAGAATTCTGGAAAGAAGATACTGATCCCGTTTAGCGCTCCGTGGCGGGAAAAGGGACACCAGTAACCCCAGTGGAGCTTGGGTGTAAAGCAATATACAAATTGAACTGATGCCTTCTGGTGTGGGTTGATTACCCCAATGACTGAGAGTCAAAAAGCTTGTGTGGGCTGATAAGGCTTTTAATTCTGTTTATCATATTCAATCATGGCCCTGCTTGTTTAATTGATAGGTAAAAAGCTCGATTGTCTCTCCACGTTTACACGAGGAGGGCTTCTGATCTACAGCTCTCTGACACTTATGTGCTTTGATGCCATGGAAACCAATAATTAAATCCGCCCTCTCTGCAAGAACTTGTTGGGTATATCAACATGCTTCGCCCTGATGTACTCGCATAAGTTCTTCCCCAAACTATCGAAGCTGCTCGTCGAGTTAAAGCCCCGGTCAAGATGATCCTTGAGCAGGAAATGGACTGCTCGAAGGTTAGGAAACTCGCAACGGTCGATCTGTTTCCCCTTGTCGTCTTTTCCTAAAAGACATCTCAGCTTAGATGTGCTCATTATTGTTCTGAGCCAGTCCCACTCATCATCATGTCGTACAAAGAGACCCAGATTTGCATTGGATGATTTGTCCCCTGACCTGCCCAATACAATATGACCTAAGGGCGCTCGGGTCGATGGACCAAAGGATTCTAGGTCAACTGGCTGTCGTGTCTCATATGAGGGCTGCTCTCTTTCGTAGACACGAACATTCTTCGGTGGCTCGATATTGATTGTGGTGCCGTTTGGAAGATGCGCCGTTTCGTGGACAAATGTTTGTGGCATTAGAGCAACCCAGTACTCAAAGAATGGACGACCGATTGCAGTCCGCATATCAGGTGCCATAGTTGATCCGGGGTAGCCTTGCAGTAGGTTCTCGATGCAGAACCTTGCAAATGACCCTCGATCAGAGTCCACAAACGCATTTCCGCTGAGGATGTCAGGGTCGCGGGTCTGGGCGAAGATTCTCATATCAACTGTCGCTTCTTCCTGAGATTGCGGATCGTCGGGAACTTGTCCAGCTATCATGAATCTCAAGCAAGAGAATTTGTCAACGTGGTCGCCCATTAATGCTTTTGTCTGACGTTCAACCATGGCCGCCTTTTCCTCAATATCAAGACCTGTTAGGTAAAAATGAAACTCGGCTTGGTATCCACCCTTGGCTGTTATGCCCACTGGACTTGCTCAGTATCCTAACAGTGGAAGACAACAGCACTGACGTACCTTTTGTAGTCGCCGGGGCGGGTAGTCCTTTGACCCCGGACACACGAACTGTATTTTCGCTCATTTGTTCTAGCTTCATGTCCTCAATTGAAGCTGTGACGTCTGAGTTGTAGTATAGAGGGCCTTGGATTTCATACAGTAACTGGCTTGCCACTGTTGCGGTCGTGACTAATCCATGCCTACCCTTTTCCATCGTTATGATTGCCTCTCCAGACTCATCAATGGCAGCAATTGGATATCCCATGTCTGTGTCTTTAATGCCGAGGTCCTTGAATCCCGAGTAATACCCTCCAGTTGCGTACGTCGAACACTCAATGATGTGACCGACCATTAATGCCCCAGCCATTTCGTGGATGTGCTCTTCTCGATTCCATCCATGCCACCACATGGCTGCACCAATTGTCGGGCTGGCATCGGCAACCCGTCCACATAGTACAATATCCTATTTGAAGTTAGGGGTAAGGCCGTGCGAGATGTCGTAGGACTTACAGCACCACCAGCAAAAACTGCTGCTATGCCTGTACTTCCCAGATAGCACTGTGCGCATACAGGGTCAAATCCCCATTCAGATATGTTTTTATTGGCCGGAAGATTTGGGAATTGTTCCCCTAGTCAAGGATGAGAATGAGAACTGCTCCAGGGAAGGACTCGCAAACCTTTTCGATACAGTTCGAGGACCGCATCTGTCACATCATCGCCGTCGACATATCCCACCTTCAGATCGACATTATGCTTTTTGATAAGATCTTTGACAGCTTCCACCAGGCCCGACACGTCACTTGCACCAGCGTTGGCGCACAACTTGACGTTTTTTTTGGCCAGCCATGGAATAGCGGGATCTAATTCCTCAAGGAAATATGGTTCATAGCCTTTGGCAACAGATGAGCCGGACTTCATCTCTGCATTTGCCATGCGATCTCGCTTATCGGATCCTCGTAGTGTCATGTTGCATTCCGACATCCAATCTCCAGTAATGACATCAACATCCTCATTCTTCGCAATGTCATGGATGGCTCTTTTCCTGTCATACACACCTTGTTTACGGAATCAGTACTGTTCAGGAGTGTCAAACAAACAAACAAACAAACACACCTCCAGAGCATCCTGCCACCCGGATGGGTCTCTTGCTCGGCGTCGGGGGACCAATGGAGCCCATATTGAGTTGGAATGACAAAGTTGAAATTACCGAAGGCTAGACAAGGGATGAAAACCTTGGTGATTGGACCCACGGTACCATGAAGAAAAGAATCGAACTTTTACAAGACTGGGCTCATCCCCAGGTTTTATATCAGAGCCCTTCTTGGGCCCATAATGTGACGACAGGCTAATGAATCATCGCCTCGTTGAAGGCACATGTCCCGGGTGGGTCCGGCAAGGGATTGGGGGGTGGAGCTCCTGAATTGGCTCCGTCGTGTCTCTAAGTCATCTTACATGATTTTAAAGCGGGTTCATAAGTATTGAGAATATACAAAAGAACAGAGTAGCCGGCGATCGAGTCTAGTTGACAAATTGCGTCCTAGGGTCTGGAAAGAAAGCCCCCAACTTGCTTCAAATGCGAGAGGGTAAGGCCGGTGCGAATGTCCTTCGTGTTTGCAACTGACTCGGTCACTGCTTTGCTCTTCGCGTGAATATCCCAGAGATGATCTTCGTTCTGATACACTTCGACCGTATGCAAGTGGTCCAGGTTACTATGATCCTTGGCCAAGGCGTACAAGAGGGTGCCATCTTCCATTTCTGAAGAGGAGACGACATTCTTCCAATAATGGAGGGACTTCTCAGCTGTCCCGACCCTGTACTCAAGATTCGCAACCACAATGTAAGGATCCTTCACTTTTGAGACATCTGCTTTGGAGAAGCTGTAAACGGGTTCCAGCTGATACACCAAGGGCGCACCAGCGAGTACAGGCTCGGCACCAAACAAGGCAATCAAGTCCTGGACCGGCTTGCTAGCTAGATGGGCATCAGATACTGCTTGATCGGAGTACCTGAGAGGACTATCAGTCTACGTATCATATAGATATTGGTCGCAATGACAAACTCTTCGATCATGTATATTGTTTTATCATCGCTCGGGTCCCTGGGGATGGTGATGGCGTATACCAAAACACCGGGCTCGCTCTGCCTGGAGTACTCTGCAATCTGTTCGAAACTTTGAATTAACGTGTTTCTGGCCTCTTTGCCAGTGGTTGTAAGGTGGCCGATTGTGATAATCTTGGGCATAATGACGCGACGGTTTTGTGAGTGATAGGACTAGGAACTGAGCCGTCACTGGGGCAAGGGAGAGGTTATTGAAGGTAGACGACTTTGTTTGGATTCTGGATGTCTACTTAGTCAAATGTCGTTCATAGTCTTTCGGCGAAAACCTTGCCCTTAAGCATCGTTGACTCTGGGTTTGCCGTTTCACTGATCCCGGTCCGAACTGCGTTACCAGGCAGTTGTGTCTTGGGTCGTGGAAAATGCTTTCCGGAAGAAACACTGAGTCATTAGCGCTGGGTCATAGGCCTTCGGGCCCCGGCCTCCACACGAACCCCGACCTTCGACCCCGCATAAATCTGGAGGACATGAAGGTTATTGCTGTTTATTTACACCTGCTCGGCATTAGCGGGCTAAGTAGTTGAAGAGCAGTCCAGAGAACGGGCTCGCAGAAACTACCGCATCAGCTTCCCTAGCCGATCCGGTATCAACGCCTTCCACGGGGAGTCAAGATGTCATCGGAGAGAAACTCGCCCCAAGACCAGGGATCTCCGGAGAAACCACGCCGCTCTGACGAAGAAATGCAGAGGAAAAGAGCGCGAGATCGCAGGTCCCAGAAGGCGATGCGCGACCGGGCTAAGTGGACTGTCGACTCATTGACCGAGCAAGTAAGAGGTCTAACTGAGGCTCTCGAGGTGCAGACGCATCGAGCCGCCCAACTGGACTTCAGGGTACACAACTTGCAGCACGAGAATAATCAATTACGAACCGAAGTTGCCGCAATGCAGCTTCGAGCAATGGAAGCCATGCGCCCAGTCGACCATCCATCGACATTGTCGTCAATAAGCACGATATCCTTGTCCCCAGAGCTGCAGGAGTGGCAGAAATTTCCGCTCAATGTGCCACCAACGTGTCTTGCCGATCAGATATTTCAAGGGCTTCTGAGCTCGCAACTCTCAGGACACTTGTCAGAAATGATCGCAAGCTCCCCTCCAGATCTCAGTCGTCTTATTGAAAGCTCAGCTTCCCGAAGGGGCGATGCAAACGACGTGATTCTCGATATTGTGCGGAGCTACACGGAAATTGACTCGCTTCCACAGCAAGTTGCTGTTCATTTTGTCATGTTCAGCCTTGCAAGAGTATGTTCGCTGCGCGGCATATCGTAGGCAATTACTGATTGTTTCAGTGGATGCTGCTACAAAACAAAGGGAGCTGGGACGGCATGCCAACATGGCTACGACCAATTCCGGAACAACTCTCTACTCGGCACCCAGCCTGGATAGACAGGCTCCCGTGGTAACGAACCTTTGAGAATGCTTGATACTAACGCACTAACCTAGAGATTACAGGCCCAGGGTCAGGCAGTACCTCATCCGTCACCCGAGCATCCAGCTAGATGATTTCGCCGCGGTGTACAGCTCGAGCTTCGATGTTTGTTGGGGATACAACCCCCGTGCTGTACTCATCAGCAGCAAAGAAAGCGTGCACTCCAGGGACCATATGGTCATAAACCCTGTATACGAGGAGCACATCTCGCAACTGGTGAACTGGAAGGTAAGCAGCACTTTTCGTAAACGATTTCCAGAGATTGCCGCGGCAATTGACGAGGACTCTCTCGAATTTGCGACTTGTAGTGTCTAGACGGTCGAGGTCTATCTCCAAAAGGGTGGCTTTTGGGAGGGCCGGATCGATTAAATGGCTTGTGGATGGGACGACGTCAAGTTCTTAACGCGAGGGTCTCGCATGGCCACCACAGGATTGTTTATCAGCGTGGGGAACCGACGATCATTTAAGGATGCCAAGCCAGAGATCATCCCAAGGGCGTGGCGGGGAATCGACGTCAGGAGTGGATGACTCATTGACAAGTTTATCTATTTCCACACGTCCACAAGACTGGTGCATACCTCGAGACCTTCGAGAAGCTACATGTCTCAACTAGCAACTTTCGAGCTCCCCAAGGTAAGCCACACGGAGATTATGAGAGTACATGCTGCTGACGACTATTGCGCAGTGGGTTGAGGGCAAAGGCCCCAGTGCGACTTACACGCTTGCTGGAAGTGCAACTCCCGGCCTGTCAATCAATGATTTGGTAGAGATATCCAACGATAAGACGAGCACGCTCAAAGCGCTTGACTTCCACCATGTCAAGCTGGGTCTTGGTCCAATGCAGGGAAGCACAGCCCTTCGACGCGCCATAGCAGCATTGTACACACACCGAAAATCTTGGATCACCGAAGATCACATCCTGACTGCGGCCGGCACCACTGGAGCCAACCTGATGGTATTTCAGAGCCTCCTCAAGGCGGGTGATCATGTGGTGTGCACATACCCAACCTATGAGCAACTCTCCAAATACCCTCTTGCACAGCAATGCGAAGTCTCCCTGTTACGGCTCCGTCCACAGAATGGTTGGAAAGTGGACGTGAAAGAGTTGAAGGGGTTGATCACGCCGAATACCAAGATGATCGTGATAAACAGTCCCAGCAATCCTGCAGGTTCCCACGTCGACGAAAAGACTCAAGTACAGATTCTGGAAGCGGCCAAGGAGCAAGGAATTATTGTTTTGGTGGATGAAATATTTCGACCTCTATTTCACGGCGTAAAGCCAGCACCGTCATTTGTTGAACATGATTACGACCGGGTTGTCGTCACTGGATCGATGAGCAAAGCCTGGGGACTTTCAGGAATTCGAGTGGGCTGGATCACCACTCGCAACCAGTCATTCCTAAGACTGCTCGCCAACGCGAAGAGTTACATTGTGCAAGCAACTGGGTCGATCGATGAGGCAATTGCTGCTGAAGCGTTGAGCGACAGGTGCCGAGGGGCAATTCTGGGGAAGCACCTCGAATATGCAAGGGACAACCTCGCCAGCATACAAGCCTTTCTCGACAGAAATAGTGATATGTGCTCGTGGACCAAGCCCACTGCTGGCGCAATAGGATTCATCCGATTGACACAGCCATCGGGCAGCCCACTTGACGACGTGGAATTCTGCCAGTCTCTTCTGGAGACAAAGGGAGTTCTATTCAGCCCAGGCAGCTTGACATTTGGGGAGGCGGGCGATGTAACTATGAAAGGGTATGTCCGCTGTCATTTTACTGGGCGACCACAACATGTAGTTGAAGCCTTGGCCCTGGTAGATGAGTATCTGAGCGAATTGCGTTCTCGATCCTAGCGAAAGCCCACGGACGATACGTAAATCCGGTACAGGTACTTGATGCGTTTGTCCTGGTAGGAATGGGGTTATGTGTGGTGGAGATCGGAAAGATCCATTGCTCAGTATTTCTAGCATATACCTTTTGTTTTGCCGCTTCAAACTCTGGTGGTATTCTTGGTCCAAATGGCAGCCTATGATCACCGACGTCAATCGGCCTCTGAGTCCATCAATCTCTCTATATGGATTAAAAATTAGCTTGGGTCATTATTCTAAACATATGTGTCCTCTCTTTTGGGGTTGGGAAGGTCAGATATCCGCTCCATGCAAGAACAGCTTGGTGTGACTCGGTTTGCTCTCGTTATCAAACCACTCAACATCCGACGAGTGAACAAGACATAGATTGTAATAAGCAACATTAAAAACTTCTTTTCTATAGCCTGAAACCATTCTTAGTTAATTTGACCTGGTAATCTAGCCTCGGGGTCTCACGCAAAATTGCAAAGTTGATTACTACTCTAACCTTCCCCTGCTTTTCGGGCTCTTGATCGCATGACTCGGGCTCAGCACATGTACGAGCGCGTAGTGTACCGACTCGGCCCTTTAGACACTTGAGAAGGGTAGTAGACATCTTGATGCAGCTCAAGGTTCTAGAAAAAGCGTGAGATTATTGTTGGATTGGCACAGTCAGAGATCGACCCCTCCCAGAATATTGGTGTGGTGGAAGCTACTAGTCATACTGAATCATTAGCGGAGCTCGTCCTAACAAGGATGGAAGACGAGTCCCGACGTATAACAAAATCTCTACACCTTCAAGGTCTGCTGGACTTCCCAGGGAGAATGCTCACGCCGTGTATCCCGACATTTTGGGGATGGCGAGCAAGTCATCAGCTCTGGAGGGCCTTCGTTGCGTAGAACTAACCTTTGAAGATTCGCGAAAACTGTGATGCAAGTCAAAGGCCTTTGAACTTGACGCAAGAACGATATTTGGCAACGTGAAGAGTGTTTATGGAATCCAAGCAGTCTGCCAAAAGAGATTGATCTCTACTTTGTCCGATTCACGAGGTTTGGAACGAAAGGCCCATATATCGAGCCAGTCGACATTCATTTTAGCATATCCATCCTCCATCAACTCGACAGGCCAAGCCAGTTATGTAGCTGGATTCTGCTGAGAGGAGGAAGGCAATCAGAGATGCTACTTCTTCTGGCTGGCCCGTTCTCTTGAGAGCAACCTCTTCGTTGGCATTTTCCCGTGTGAGGACCATGCCTTTTCGTTCACTGGAAATGCGTCTGGCTTCATCTACCATTGGAGTTTCAATAGAACCCCTGTAACTGATTAGTTTCTGTCTTCTCGGGATTGTGAAACACCCACGGGCAAACCGCATTCACCCTGATATTGTTCGCTCCCACCTCCCTTGCGGCTGCCATAGTCAATCCAATGACGCCGTGCTTGCTGGCAGTGTAGGACGCATTATTGGGGCGACCAACCAAGCCTGCGATGCTAGACGCATTAACAATGCTCCCCCCCGGAGAAATTCCTTTCAACTGCGCCCTCATACAGAGCATTACGCCTGTGAGATTGATCCCGATGACCGTGTTCCATTCATGGAGATCCTGGTCCGCAACACCTTTGATTCCGATTGATTTTGGAATAACTCCGGCCAAATTTGCTGCGCCGTCCAAGCGACCGAACTTGTCTAACGTCTGAGTGATCCAATTGTCGACGGCTTGCGCGTCACGAACATCTAAGATGTATGTCAATGGTCGAGCCCCATGTCGAGCCTCGATATCATTTGCAACGTCGTCCAAAGCCTTTGCTTGGACGTCAGCAAGTGAAAGCTGTGCACCTCTTTGGGCCAATAGCTTGGCTGTCGCTAGCCCGATCCCAGAAGCACCTCCTGTGATTGCTACTACTCTTCCCTTCATGGAGGCCATGTCGAACTGACGGATGTGGAATCAATGGGAGGTGCGAGTAATATCGAGAATGTCAAGTTCTGCTGTCATGGGCGAGGAGAAGAGTCGAGGAATGGCCAAATACTAGGTAGGTCGTGTAAGTCGTGGGATCCACTCCACGGTCGCACGAGTCATGAAAAAGGCTGACGGGTGTGCTTCTTGTGAGACTTGCCGCCAAGTGCATTTTCCAAGCTTGATCCTGCGTCTTGAGGAGGATATCATGCTGCAAGTTCTCCTCAAGTCTCCTTAAGTTGAAGGAGCACGGTGTCGAAGGTTGTATCTGTAGGTCATGATTATCGATAGCAAGGGCTCAGAGAGTAGCTTGTAGAAATGGTAGCATACCTACGAAAGATGAACGGTGGGACTGTGACAGCCAAGACAGTATCAGGAACCGGAGCGAGATATCGGCTGACAAGTGACGTGCTCAAAAAGCCTTCCGCCGCTTTGAGGTGGTCCGGTCCTCCAATAAACCTGACAAAAGAAATCAGGGCCTGCACACGACAGTTGAATTTCGCACAGGCCAATGTCATCAAGATGACTCTATGGAGTCTGCCGATGACCGGCAGGCGACAATTTTTATACGACAATTTCGTTGCAATCATGTGAGAAGAAAGCACGAGTGGTTAAAAGGGCTCCATTGCCAACACCAGTATGTAAATCCTACGTCGGTCAAGACAAAAAGCCAGCAGCAACAGTGGTGTGAGAATTGATTTTTTCACAAGACATTATCAAAATCATAGGCGTCGTCCGAGGCGTCAAAAGTTTGTGAGACCACGCTACTTGTGCAAGATTCCAATTCAACAGGTGGTGGTCGCAGAGCCTTTGAATAGACGCAATGTAGCTATTCCAGACCACTTTATAACTTGCCCCATGACTGTCTCCAAACCGTTCCATACACCACATGTAGATGCTGTCGAAGAAAATTATGCAGATACTGTAAGCCAAAGAGATGACATGGCCGACGATTGGACTGGTCGTTGACTGGTCCAGGTCGTGCGAACAATCAAGCCAGTTATGCGCTGTAAGATGAGGAGCACTTGCCAGAACAGCTGTTCTTGTAGGAGATCTGGGCAACACCAGTGCCGGTGGGTTGTCCAAGACCGCTGATCTGCCAGCACTTGTGGTAGTCACCGCTGGTTGGGTCATCAACCCACAAAGCAGCCTCACACTTGTCGTTGTTGTCGCAAAGGGCCAAGCACTGTGCGAGAGTGGGCACGACGCCGTTGGTGGTTTGTTCCCAGAATTTGGACTTGCTATCAGGAGTGGCACGGACACCGCAGTTGACGGAGAAATTGCAACCGCAGGAGCCTCCAGCGAGGACACTCTTGCCATTGTCGGCTGGGCATGTGGCCTTGGGGGCAGGGGCGGCGGTGGTGGTAGCAGCCTTGGTGGTGGTAGTGGTTGTCACTGGAGAAGGTCCCTTGGTGGTGGTAGTGCCGGGGGCAGGCCATCCGGTGGTGGTGGTGACGGGTGCAACGGTAGTGGTGGTCGACTCCTCCCAGTCAATCCAGGTAGAATCATCTGTGGTTGTTGGGGCCACAGGCTTGGTGGTGGTGGTGGGCACGACAGGCTTGGTGGTGGTGGACTCAACCCAGTCTCCCCAGGTGGCAGCGGGGTCTGGAACCCACCATCCTTCGCCAGTATAGGTAACAGTGACCACGTCACAGGTCTCGGGGGAGACAGGGGTCAAGGGCCAGTCGCCCCAGGTGACTGTGGTCACCGCTGGGTCGACAGGCACGCTGGATGGAACCCAGTCGTCCCAGACGTGGGTTGTCGATGTTATGGTGGCAGGGGACACGGGTGTCGTGGTCGTGGTAGTTCCCTCCCAGTCCAACCAAGGCTCATCGATGGAGGTGGTGGTAGCAGGGGAGACTGGGGTTGTGGTTGTGCTTTCCCAGTCCAACCAGGGCTCATCGACGGAGGTGGTGGTAGCAGGGGAGACTGGGGTTGTGGTTGTGCTTTCCCAGTCCAACCAAGGCTCGTCGATGGAGGTGGTGGTCGCAGGGGAGACGGGCGTGGTGGTGGTTGATGTCTCCCAATCGAGCCATGGCTCGTCGATGGTTGTGGTTGTGGACTCCCAAGCCATGGCAGAGGATGCCAGGATGGAAGTCGCCACGAAGGCTGAGGTAATTTTGGCAACCATGTTGTAAGGCGAGTTGGTTCGATAAAGAATGACTAGAGCTCGGTGAGAGACTCTTGAAGAACCGATGTAACCAAAGAAAATAAAAGAGCGACGGGACACAAAGGTCAAGGTTGAGATGGAGCAGGTTGTCGAGAGGAAGAAGAAAGGAAGAGACGGGAGCAGACGAGGCGCATGGTTATACTCTTGGATTGGCGCCAGTGTATAGGATGAATGAGTTTGATTTCATGGGGCCAGACGCTGCTCCGCCTGGTCAAGCCGTGTCTCGAAAGTGTTGCTCCGTCATAATGGTGAAGCAATTTCATGGCGATGGACCCGCGCTGCGCAGAAGCGAAGGCGTTGGAAGGGGTGGAGGCGTCCGAGCGACAAGTGATAGGGCGAGGCGGGCGAGGCTAGAGACCAAGTAGACAAGACTGGAGCCCAAGGTTCTGCTGATTGGGCGGTGGTTACGGTGTTAAGATTGCATCAGGAAATGGGTCAAGGCTTGAGAGGTACCGGGAAATCAAGCATGGCCGCAGTGCGCCAATCATGCAACCATCCTGCCTTGACGGGGGAGCTCAGGAGTTTGATCACTTTGACTTGCAGATTTGCTCCTCAAGTCATCAGACTGTCTTGAGGTGTCTGACCAAAGCCATCGATTCCAGCCCAGCGGTGAAAGTGTTCTGGATCATGCCAGTAGTATTTGCGCATTTGTGATGAGGACTCGAATCATGAGCACAGAGCATTGATTCCCAATCGAGCATCATTACCAGCATTGGGGGACTCGACCATCGATCATCTGGTTTACCTACGTAGGCTGCGTGTTCGGATGCTGTGTATTATTAACGGCGGCCGAGGTGCTCTGTCTATCTTGAGCAATCTGTTCCACAGAATCTTTGGGCATAAAGGTTCAGAAGTCTACAATAGCACGTTGCGCATCTTTGGGGATAGACTCGGTGTTGGGTTCGTCATTGATGACTTGTATCGATAACAACCTGAAAGCCTGCACTGTGGACTTGAATGTTTGATGGTCATTATTCATGCGGAGAGAAGAGTCCCATCGTCCCTCCTCGCCTCTTGGACGAGGGAAGATTGCATGGCCTGTTTTCCCTGCCTAATTTTGGGAGATCGACAGGCACCCAAGTCAGGGGGTCGTGGGCCCTTGGGCTCCTTTTGTTATGATTTGTGGATCTATGTTAGTGTTGGCGTCGTGGGTGGCGTTTAGCGTCTACCTTAATCCTTCAAAGCAATACGCCTCCTCATATGTAGGTGTTCCCATTCACCCTCTGAAACGTGGGACCCAGCATCCACTTCGACTGGCTTGAAGCCTATAATTATGATTGAGTCTCTTTGTTCTTGTCCGCATTGCGATACTCGGAGCGGGAGCTGCCTGGTAATCCCCTTAACTCTACACATACGAGTACATCATGTAGTCAACAATTGATGCAGAACCTCAAGGCAAACAAGTAAAGCACGGCGACATCTGCAGCTAGGTACCTGAGCTCAGTCAATTACATCAGACATGGGACCAAGAGCATTGCTTATGACAGCCACATTGCTTCTTATAATCCGGGCTACAACCTGCCATCGACACCCCAGTCAAAAGCCTCAGTCAATGTGGATGGAAATCAGAACAAATTTACCGTCTGGAGCATTGTCAGGCTGCATGGCACTATGGCCGGGGGCCCTTAGGTCCCTCGGCCCCTCATCTTTGGACGCGCCGGACCAGGATGGCAATGAATGGCGCACAAATCTCGCGTCTTCGTGATCCTTCCCTCCCGTGGTCCCCCATTGTTTGATTGGAAGTTTCCGCGTGATCCCTGTCTTCCATGCTACGGAGTATCTACGGAGTAGTCGTAGTCGCCGTATCGATCTTATTATTATTCGTCTCCCCACCAACCTGGGGAAAGGTTTGCACTTCCGCCATATTTATGCCCCATTGGTTTACGACCTACGACGAGGTGAGATCAAGATTGCTTCGCCGTTTCAGCCACAACTTGGTTGGTTTCCCCATATCTCTTAGAGCCATTGAATCCTCTGTACTTGAGAGAGCCCATACGTTTTTGGAGGCGTGCACGCCGTCCCGAGCTGTAGAACGTAAAACCAAATCCTTTCCCTTGTTACCGTTGTTGGCGCTATGTACACTATTCCAGTTCAATTGTGAACGCAATCTGAGTTTGGGATCCGTCTGCTCACTCAAACGGGCTTGCTCGCGACTTCCATCTTGTCGGTCCTATCCTCCGACAGTGGAGACATTTGGATGGATCAGTACACAACGATGAGTCGCTTCCCTCCTAGATTCCCGGCCTCCATCAACGCTACCATCTCTTCCACTTGGTCAATCTTGAAGGCTTGACTTGGTGATTCGATGCCATGCTTCAGCGTAAACTCCGCACATAGTCGAAGTTCGTCCATTGTTGCGTGATTGTTGGCGCCGAGAATTTGATATCTTCCTAACGCCACCTCAACGGCATTGAAACTGATTTCTGCAGGGCACCCAACAACAACCAGTTTCCCACCAGTCTTGATAGTCTTTGGGGCGATGTCATATCCTGCCTTGACAGCAGTGAACACTGCAGCAGCATCTACCCCTCCCGACGTAAGTCGCCGAATCTGGTCCACGAAATCTGGGGTGGTTTTGCTGTTGAATATATGCTGGACCCCAGCAGCTTTAGCGTTGCTCAAGATGTTGTCGTCAATGTCGATGGCAATAACCCGTAAGTTCAAGGCTTTGGCGTATCTGACGGCTGTAGAACAATTAGTGTCTCTCGCCCCACCCACAAAAGACTCACATACCCATCTGACCAAGACCACCGCAACCCACCACTGCCAGCCATTGGCCATCCTGCAGACCTGGCCGGCGGACGGCGTTGTACGCTGTAATTCCAGCACAGAACAATGGTGCAGCTTTTTGGGGGTCCATCCCACGTGGCAATTTTATCGCTGAGCGATGGTCAACGATGCAGTATTCCTGTAAGAACCCATCCATCCCCCAGCCCTGCATAATGAAGTCTTTGGACTCGCAGAATGCATAGTGATTTTGGCATCCATTGCAACTCCAACATGCATGGTATGCGTTCAGGAACCCAATGACATCACCCTTGGAAAAACCAGACACACTTTGGCCGAGCCCGATAATCTCGCCCACTGCCTCATGCCCTATAGTGACTGTCTCTGTCGGGACAATCGGCGTGGAACCGTCCAAGACCATCTGATTGTCGTCAGCAACTTAATATCCCAAGCCTGCAAGATTCATACCAAGTCTGAATGGCAGAGTCCCGATGAGATTGTTCGGACTAATATCTCGTCCTGTTTGGGACTGGGGACGGGGATCTCCTGCAGTCTGATGGTGACTGTGCGAGGGTCGTATCTGGCAGCCTTCATTGATTTCGCCATATTTCATTCGAAATAGTCTTGTCTCATGGAAAGTGATTTCGCTTTGTGATAGCTTTACGAAATCTTGGGTGGGCTATCTGTTAACATAAGCGTCAACATCTTCATGCGGGGGTCAGTCAAATGTTAAATTATACGCGAGATTTCTGCGCCGCTTCTGCCTCGGTCGTGTAGGAACTCTGGAAAACGTTTTCCCGCCGCCTTTCCTTTAGACGTCAACATCTGGACGTCAAAAATTGGTATTGGGATAAAATCATACCAGGATTTGGGCTCGTCTGGCCAAAGGTGGTAGCGTACATTCATTTAATAGGTATGTCAGCTTGCACAACTTGGACATGGGGTTGCTACCGTCGACTCTAAGACAGATTTGCTGTATGTGGATTTGGCCTTGGGTTCTTGGTTTGGATTTGCAACCGTGCGACAATCAAATGCGGGCTGGGCATTGGGTTCTGTATCACTCTTCCGTGCCCACACAGAGCAATGGCACTTCTTTTTGTGGACAAATTTACAAGGGCTATTTCTGCCATACTGCTGGCATGGCTCCGTCATAATATGCACACAGTCGAGCTGAAGAGGAGCTTCGTGGCAAGTTTCGTGTTGAGAGTCGTTCCAGATGTCGTCATGTCTCGGATAGATGCCATGATAGATGCTCGATTATGTATCTTCGTGTAAATCGTAAAAGGCTGGAAAACGCCTTGGTCGTGTTCTCTGTTGCCCTTTTCAAAGCTGAAGTTGAAGAATCATTGAGATAAGACAAGTGTGATCGGCTGCGTCAATGATTGACAAACGTTAGTCAAGGTGACACATGGTCTTGAAACCATGTCGCATTGATCTGGGCTTCCAGGCTCGATATCTGAGCATCAGACATAAGTGGAGTGAAGGTCGGTTTATCAATTGATAAAAGCCACTGGCTAAACTTCGAAAGGAGGAGTGCTCGACCGTCGGGATCCAAGTATTGGAACATCTGTAGGGCATGCATATGCATGTTCGTAACCAAGAAATCAGAATCTGCGAGTTGATCCGGATAGAAATTTGCCAACACGTCTCGACGAGCACGGCTCACCATCGTCGCAAGTGCTGCACCACGAAGGTCAAATGATTTGTCTCCGAACACACCTCCGATCAGGCTGCCCTCGGATATGAATTCGACACGATTGATAAACTTTAGCGCTGCATGCCAAAGATCTCCGAACTGTCGGAGTGTCCAGGCCGTTTCAGTCAGAAGATTCAACTGCATGCTCGCAGCGAACACAGTCGGTGGCGAAATGGTTTTGGTCGATGCAACAACGATCCTACCAAGCCTGAGAGCCTTGGTCAGATATTGTCGGTACACGATATCTGTGGAAGAAGAACTGGCTTGATAGTGGAGAGTGGGCCAAGGGCTATTTAAAATGCTCAACAAGTCGGCCTTCCATTGCATTTTAACTTTCTCCAGTTTCTCAAAGTTCTGAAAGTAACATCTGCCGAAGCCGAATTGCCCACTGATGTAAATGGGTTCTACGTTGGGTGCTGCTGCCAGAACCTCTCTGAGGGATGGTTGAGATTTTAGAAATCTCTCGACGGCCGTAGCGTGCATGTTGCGGGAGTGTGTGGTTCCAAAGCGATACTCTGTCAGTCCACAGATGGTGAGCGCCATTAGAGCTCCTTGGAAATTCTCATTTCGCCTGCGGATGGCTTCGTTCAAATGTTGATACCCGCGAGCTCTCTGACGAACCAACTCCTTAGATTGTGCACCATCTCGAAAGGCATTCAAGGTATGATCAACCAAAATGCAAATCCACTCCCGCCCGACATCGGAATAGATGGATGTTGGAATTCCAGTTGCAGCTGTTGGTGAATAGCGAGGAGTATCCTTGACCCCGAACAGGCCGCCGCCAAGATATTGCGAATCTACTTGGTCGTCAGTGGAGATGTCTCCAAATATTTCTGGTGCTACTTACACACTTGAATTCTCAATCTCTCGTACTCTGTAACGTTAGGGGGCAGGGCGACAAATGGATCGAGCGAAGTGTATATATGTTGAGGAAGTGCGAACGAGAGTCGGGGAACATCAGTCTGAGGATTGGGGTCCGATGAAGTAGAAGCCCCGTTGCCTGCCGGAGTATGATATTTGTTCACATAGAAGGCAATCTCCTGGTTTGCTGACTGAAGGTCCCGAAGTTCCGTCTCATACCACGACACACCGTCAGCTCGAGCTTCATTCTGTGAGTTCTCTGCCATCTGTGGAACCCCGCAATTGAGATGGCAAGATCCCGCTCAGTCGTTGTGAGGTTGGCCATACGACTCAAAGGTGCACTCGAATAGGGAGATAGGCTTAGCACGACGAGGTTAAACAGAACAACGTGCGAGATGCCGAGCCATCAAGGTCAACGGTGATCTGATATCAACGATGATAATATGGTCAGAATAAACTACAGAAAAGGGAGCAACGGTCTTACGTGGCGGCATTTACCGGTTGGACGAAAGAGGTAAGCGTGTCGAGGGGCCAAGAACAATGCCATGCGTGGTGTAGTTGCACGCTTTAGGCGTAAGCGCATTGGACAAAATCTCATGCTCGGCGGCATAGGGAGCTCAAGACGATTACTATGTACATGAATTAACAGGTTCGAGGCCCTAATATCGCGCCCAGCGTATGGTCCCGACAACATTGGACCTAAGTCGGTACGAAGAACGGCTTCATCAGTCACCACTAATTGTTTCGCGTGGCAAATACTCTCCCAGCTTCATGTGAGGCATGGCTCTTGGGCGGTCTGTCCGCCAAGGACGTCTGCTCTCCAATTGGTGTGAGGCTCTTGTGGGTTACGTCTTTGTCATCACAACCATAACTCCCATTACCTGCTTGAAGTTAGTTTAGGGGTGATCGATCACCAAAAGACTTTGAAGGCAAGAACCATGATGCTTCGAGTGCACAAGGAGATGCACTAATTCATGATGTCGCTAGGCCATTGGGCACTGCTAAGAATCTGGGACGAGGGCAGAGGCCACCATAATGGAGGGGCACGGTGGCACCCCCTCCCAAGGTGGCTTGGCCTAAAGAATCATGGAGGGGTGGATGGGGAACAAGCGGCCGATGGGCCCATCGGCCCCCTCAGCCCTGGAGAGTAGCCGGAAAACCACCTAGATATGCGTGCAGCGTCCAGTAGTCGCTCATTTCTTACCAGGCCTGCAGTTCGCCGCCGATGGAGTTTGTTAGCCACGATTGGCAGCAACGCAATGTTTTTTCACCAAAGTTAGATTTATCGCTAGGCCTCCCCATCTCCCTGTTCCCCCATCTTGTTCATACGGTTCCCTCATAGAGATGTGCTAATCAACTCCGCGAGATCCGTCTCATTTATGACACCCAATGCCAAAGGAAGAACGCAAAACGACATTCATTGTCACAACCGCCAGCGCGCAGGGTGCCTGGTATCCAGAAAAGAAGGCCGCACTATCCTTAATCAACTCTCACGTTGCGAATCGAAAAGCCCGCCTAGTCAATCAGCGACGTGGTAATTCTGGCGCAAGTTCGAGTTCAACAAGGCCGCCCTCAGAAGCCAGCATACTGCAGTCTCTTCTAGACTCGACAAACGACACACTTGTCACCAGACATGCAGAAGCTCCTGAAGCGAGCGACACAGAACAAAACCTTCAAGTGTCCTGGACGTTCGAAGAATTAAATGATATATTCGGCGCCCAAGAACCGAGTGCACTACCAGCGACAGACACACGAGTAATAACAGGTGAATCAAGTTCCAATCGTAACTCGACGTCTGTGTCACAACCAGAAACCACGATCTCGGAGCCTCGCGATGATCGCTGGACTGTGAACAGAGACGCTGTTCTCGCTAATAATTGGCGTGATCGATCGTCTCAGCCCACACGCCCGGAGGTGAATAACCAGTCGGTCCCAGAGTTGCGGTTCGAAGGATCTGGTTCACGGTTGCCATATCGGGTAGCACGCTTAATCCCAGAGGGCAAGTTCAGCGGAAACTCCAGCCCATCCGCCCCGGGAATAAGGCCACCTAGTCAGCTCCTGTACGACTCTGCCATTTTCGCTCACATCGAAACACTACTCGATCCACGTACCCAAATTGCAGGCGAGGTAACAGTTTATGAGCAGCGATTGCTCCACTTCTGTAATATACTTGCCCGTTCCTTGAGCTAGCTGGCCGAGCTAACTTTTACCTGCAGTTCATACAGAGGGCCGACAAATCCTTTTTGGAACGGCTGCAGTACCTGCTTATTGCCCAGCCCTCCATGCTCTCAGCCGAGGAATCCTCCAAAGAAGTCCGGCATATCTTGAAACACACATAGCCATTGCGGAACACATCTTGTGTACCCAACGTTCTATCAATCTCACGGCTAATTTTTTTCGTCGGCGCGCAGATGCCTACAAAACTGTCGCTGATATGATACTGCGTGATGACGCAGACGTTGACGACCAACTCTGTGGACTTCTTTGTCTTCAACTTGCCGAACATGCAACGGGCCGCCCAGATCTTCAGGCGGTTCACCTGAAGGCGATGCACCAACTCGTCCATCGCCATGGCGGCATGAAGACCTTCTTTGGCCCGAATACGCATACGACATCCATGATAGAGCCCGCTACTTATGCCACTCACTATACTCTGGCTAAGTTTGAGGCACTACCAGGGGAAGACGTCTTCCACGAAATTGAATCCAACTTCATCCGTCATCTGAGACAAATCCGTGTCTGGACTCTTCATGTTCAAGGCCTCGAGGTGGAAGCCCCTCTGATCCCGGCTCCCACCACACAAGAGTTTTCGGAAAACAGAAGTGGTGTTATTGAAATCACGGCCTATCTTCAGTCGGCCACGGATGAGTATTTACGGAACAGCGATGCCCCTTACCACCAAGCTGCAGGCATCTTCTACCTATTGTTCAGTGTTTGCATCACATTCGCTGCCACAGAATTGGACATTGCATCCACTACCAGCTTCTTGAAATCTTTACAGGTGGCGATGCAAGAATCGTTCCGGGCAACCGATCTCCAAAGTGACATTGCACGCACAGAACGACCTAAAGGGGGTAATGGGCTCCACAGTTATGTTCTCGCCGGCGTCATCGCTCAGCTCCGTCGTAGGCTGGCTTCAATAGCGGGCCATTCAGGAACATGGGATGGCCATGAACGTGAAGTCGAGATCAGCGAGGCCTGCATCAACACGATGAAAATCTTTCCATCACTCAGTTATGGAACAAGGCTGAAGCTCAGTAGAGGCCTTCTACGATCCATCTCCGTTGTTGGCCAAAGAACTCTCGCTGAATATTTCGGAGACGCGGACCTCGATGACTTACACCACGAATTGTCGAGAATGCCCCCATGAAGACAGACATGTGGACCTTCTCATTAACTTCAGCTGTGGACTTCTCACTCGATGACCGATCGACCTATGTCTAAAAGGTGCGCGAAATCGTGGCATGAGCTTATTCTATCAGCTTTGGATTGCACCAATGCTATCGGCTGAGGGATGCAAACATACCGAATTACATGTTTAGCATAGCCTTAAAGCAGATCTGGCTTTCAGAAGCTTCAAGGAATCTTGAACCACGGTAGCTTCTCCTGGTCACAACACCCGATCTAACAAAAGTGGACTGATCGCAGTGAGCGTCAATCTCATATAAGAGATAGCCAATCATCATCACTCGAACGCTGCAGACGCTTCCGTCTGCTTCCACGACGAAAAGACCATTTGGAATAGGGTGTTGGAGGTGCTACGAATCCATCTGACCCCTACCCTGGATCGTCTTAGCGATTACGACTTTACCAACCGAAGCACGTCCCTAGCCGAAAAATGATCCATTATTAGACACCGTGAAAGCCTGTTTCCTCTGAGCCTTACTTACTCTCACCAAAGCCTCAAAAGATTCAAGCAGAAAGATATGACATGTCGATGCTGCGGGAAGAATAGCTACAAGCACAAGGCAAAGGCCATAGCGTGCACATATACTTCGCCCTTCTCTGCCTCTTCCAGACCTGCTGGACAATCTAATGGAGCCAAGCAGGTTTTGCCAAGGCACGTTGTTTTCCTGTGCGCTTCAAGACTGAGAACAAGGTGTGCCTGCATATCCATATGATACGGACCAGGTCTTTTCTACGATCTACCTATTGATAATTGTCTGTACAAGAAAAAAAAGACCTGTCGGGCAGTTTGTATGTAGGTTTAGTCTTGCATCTAGTGTGAGGAATGGTTGAGAGTAGGAACTCCATAGGCTCAGGGCACCATGAGTAAAGTTCACACGACGGAGAGGTTGCGGAACAATAAGATTTAATAGCAACTTCCATCTAGGTCGAACTGGAACGGAATGTTGTGCAGAGGTGATATGAGGGTGTAGGAATGGGGAGCGGCACGTTCTGGGTAAGCCGTTACCTCTATATCAGTTAGATGGTAAGCTCTCGCCAGAGCTTTGCCATGTTCTCTCCCGCCAAACTCTACCAAGTCGAGTGCTTCGGACAATTAGGACAATTACTCCGTCCATCGCAGCTATTTCTGCCCGACAGTACAAGATATTGGAGACACAACATCTCTTCATCGGATTCGATTCTGTTCCATTAATGGGACCTGGTCCGGTCATCCTACCCGCCGGGGAACTGCATCCGCTCTCTACAGTCCACCTTATGAGTACCAGCTGTCTAGGAATTCGCAGTCATTCGTGCCCACCTCAGACCGAACTTCACTTGTCCGTGACCTTGATACCTGATGGGTGATTCCACCGTGTTGTTGTGTATTCTCCCCCAACGTGAATTGGGAATTACAAATGTTGGTCAACTCCCAGGATTGCGCCCCTAACACATTCTTTATCCCCACATCCTCCCAGACTCCAGCAGCACCAGCGACGAACAAGACTGGAGCGAAATGTTCATCTGAGGCATGTGCTTCACGGTATGTTTGGTGTTTCATCAATCGCACCACATCAGCTCGTAGCTTAGGTCCCAAGTTCCTAGTGATGACATCCTCAACTGCCTGGCGAAAGTCTAAAGCCCAAGCCTGAGGCGGCGCTCTTTGACTGAGAGAGTCGCGGTATCGAATCATGTCGCCCCAGACATTACGAAAGAGGTTATGAACCGTGCCAACAAAGAGAAAACCTTCTTTCCGGAGAAATCGCAGTGCAGCGCCTATCCTAGTATGATAGTGGGGATCGTACCGAGCATTAGTCGACAGAACCACCGTTGGCGGGCACATGGAATCGTCGGGAAACATCCGAATCAGTGGCATGATAATAGATACTGGAACTAATTGCCTAATTATTACTCCTCGTATCGTACTTTGTTCACCAAAGTGCCGATTTTTTCGATCCAGACCCTGATATCACCTCCATCCTCGAGAACCACTCTAGGATTGTGAAGGAAGCCAATTCCTGCCGGGGTACCGGTGAGAAATACTGTACCAGCTTCGATGGTGGTACCTTGTGATAGATAGCTAATCTGCTTGGTGATCTGGAAGATCATATTTCTGCCGTGTGACGATCAATACTTTAAAAACATGAATGAAGGCAGAAGCCTGTGGGGACCTACCCGGTGTGTCCGGTCTGAACAACACTCCCATTATAGATGGCCTTAATCTTGAGATTGTGAGGGTCCATAATTGCCTCTTTGGTGACGAGTACCGGCCCTAGCGGACAGCTGCCATCGAGACCTTTAGAGAAATCCCACTGCGTTGAGCTTAGCTGGAATGTCCGTGCGGAAATGTCGTTACTGCAAGTGTATCCAAGAACATAATCGAGAGCATTCTTTTCTGGAATATCCCTTCCCGTCTTGCCAATGATGACGCATAGCTCAGCCTCGTAGTCGCTGGTTCCGTCCTGTGCGGCTTTAGGTATAGAGACGACAGCTGGAAAAGGGTCTCCGAGGGCATGCCGCGGCTTGCTAAAAAGAACGGGTACGGCAGGCAGAGGCATTCCTCCTTCCTGCGGCCTTAGCGACTTAGCTTCACTTCTCCATGAGCGATAAGGACCAAACCTCTGCGTGATCAACATAGTTTAGGCCCAAACAACGAATGAAGTTACAGTCCTCCATTGAGATTGGTGAGAATAGTCGCTGGACTGTATAGATATGCGGAGTGATCTCGGGGCTAAATATCGACCCATTGATCAGATATGCTCTGATCTCAATGCCCTCCACACTGTCAAGCCCAATATCACGACTGGGGTCAACCAATTGGCCGAGGTGGACGTGACCGTCTTCTTTGGCGATAAAGCGTATGATGTGAGTGGCTTTTCGCATATTGACTACTTTAGAAGTTCCTCGTCAGTTTTGCATGTGTTAGGAATCGAACCTGGAGTCACCAGAAGCTGACATTTCCGGTTGGGGACACTATGAAGTTTGAAAGCTCCAAGATATAGAATAAATTCCCCGGAGAATCATGCATTGTCGGCATTCATTTAGAACTACCGACGGCATTCCAGAGGACGGCTTATTTTGACGGCATTACGGGATCTACTAATTTGAAACAACTTCAAAGTCCGTACGTAGTATTGGCAATGGAATCATGGTGAAGAAGCGTGCTGCTAAATTTCTACCAAATTCTAGTCGGGCGCTTTCGGCGCGCCCTCGAGGTAGTAACCCTAACCACAAGCGGAACTCGACTACATCACACCATTAAGTCCACCAAAACGTACAGTTGAGTGCTCGTCCAGGCATGAAATGGACGATGCCGCTGCTTGGGGTGTCTATCAAGTAGTTTCCGAAATGATTGCTGGTCTCCCCAAGACGACATCTGGAGGCACTACCGTTCCTCTCCCGACCTCCTTGGCCAGCAATCCCAGTGGGAGATTAGGTCCCCATACATAAAGTGATTCCAGCACTGCAGGCTCACGGCTGGTAGGAGTTTCTTCATTGACCAGGTCGCCATCGCTGTAATGCTCTACTATGTTCCCAGAGCTGTCAAACCTGTTATGATGCGTTAGCATGACGGGTCCTATGGCTGACTGATGCTTGGAGTCTTACCAATAGTCAAAGATCTGGCTCCCAAGCACATGCCGCCCGACCCCCCAACAACTTTTCCACTCTTTACTCCGGAGCCAGTCGTGGCCTAAGGTCTGTGTATCGAAGTCATTAACCTCATAGCTTGAGTGGTGCACGTGGGGTGCCTTGGCACCCGGCTCGATTGAGAGGAAGAAGCTCTGTCACTTGTGAGTTACAGATGAGATGTTGAGTGTCCTCCCACCTACATGATGATCAGAGTACTCAGTTCCAAGATCAATATGGCAGAAACAGCTCTCGTCCTTTCCGGTCGCCTGGTCAAATATTGCGTCACTCAATTTCAAGTTGAGGACAGTTGTGTACCATGTGTAAGTGCTGTCGAACTTGTTCGCGGGAACACTGTAGCCATAATGACCGAGCTTATGAATCGGGCTGGGTGCCTTCTTGAATCTTCGAAAGGAGCCCTTCCTGAGCTTCTCCTCGACAGTGTTGGACACCGGATCATTCGCTTCAAGGGTTATCGCTGATCTCTTTCTCTCCTGAAGCTTTTGTCCGTAGACGAAGCCACAGTCGAATCCGTTAGGGTCTTTGATAACCACGAACTTTCCTCCACCAGGAGCGTCATAGTCCTGGATAGACGTCGCATTAGTGTGTGAAGCTGCTTTCTCTAACTCCTCCATGCTTTCGACGACCCAATACCCGCCACAAAAGTGTTTCTCGGAATCTGGTGACTGTTCGAGTACGTAAATGAATGGCTGTTGTCCATAGCCACCGAGGTAGATAAGATTGGCTCTTCGTTCGATTTGGACGAATCCGAAGTCGATGAGAAATTCCAAGGCTTTGTCGATGTCGACATGTTGGTAGACGACGTGTGCCAATCGTGCGACACGTACTTTATTTACGTCCATGTCATGAGCCAAGGTTCAGCTTTTCGAGTCGTAGAGTATATGGTGACTCGTATAAATTTGAACCTGGTCTTGATCTGCTATGGCGCCTCAGTCCTATAACATCGTTCATTCTCTGGGGCAGTGTGACCCACTGTTCGAGGCATCGGCCGTGACCCACTGCATCTGCGGCTCGTTATAAGGCCGGTTTCCGCTGGGCTAGGGCGGAAATTTGTCGGGATTTCGCAGGCCAATGGCTAGGGCCAATGCCAATCCGACCCCGTTGTTGCCAAGTAGTGTCGGGGTTTGAAGACCTTGAGGGTCCAACGTCTTGATTGTATCCTATCATTCTGGGGTCCGGGGAAATAGAGAACGCATGCGGGTTATCCAATTTGGCGAAAAACGCCATTACTGCGGGAGGACTTCCGATACAGTGTTATTACATCCAGTCCGAAAGTAGGCCCGAACTTCAACTGGCACAAGTCACGAGAGAAATAAGACGAATGCAATTCCCACTCGCCGTTCAAACACTCTACCCCAAATACTCGTTCCTTGGTCTCTGAATCACCATTAACATGGCATGTGACGGTACTAAAGCAACTGATGCAGGGGCCAGAGGAGTAACCCCAGAGACAGAGACAGAGACGAAAAATCATCCAACCTCCCTGCTAGAGCATGCAGAAAATGGATCTAACGATCTCCAAAACTCTGCGTTTGATGCAGACGTCGAACCGGAGCTCCATGCCCGCACATACATTGCTTTAGCGGCTATGGTTTTGTTGAACTATATTCAAGTTCTGGCTCTCCAGGGGCCTCCAGCCGTGGTATGTCACGCGACGTTAGTCATTTTCTCAAAGTGGATGGACTTGGTGGACCAGCAACTGACAAGTGATCTTCACATCAGCTTACCTTTATCGGAATCGATTTGGACAACGCTGTTCAAGCAACATGGATTCCTAACGCTTTGGTTCTTGTCCAGGCAGTCATTGGTCCCATCATCTCGAATGCCTCGGATCTCTTTCAATCTCGCAAAGAGATTCTGGTCGGAGCGTGTATACTCTCCTTCATTGGGGCTGCCATAGCACCTGGATCTACCAACATCTATAGGCTGATTGGTGCAAATATTCTGATTGGATTTGGCTTCGCTACCGTTCCTCTGGCATATAGTGTCCCAAGCGAGATCTTGCCACGAAGATGGCGTCCCAGTAAGCGGCTCGAGCTTGACGTCTGTGCATTTCAAAAGCTGATTCACATGTGTCGACCAAAGTTGCGCAAGCCTTGGTCAATGTTGCAGCCCTTCTTGCCACCGTGTCCGGGCCACTGCTTATTGGTGCATTAACTCAGAGAAATCCGCACACGGGATGGCGTATCTTCTATGTGAGTGGAACATGCGAGTCCTTCATCAACAAATAGACACTTGCTGATCACACAACTATAGTGGATTCAAACTGGAATTTGGGGACTTACAGCAGTCGGACTCGTAAGAACTCCCATTCGGCCCTTCGTTCTTATTCCTCTCGCGATGAGAATCTAGGACACATGTAGCCCAGGGAAGGAGCCTTTCTCTGACGCATTTTGATAGTTCACTGGATACCACCCCCCTAAACGACAGACCGATTTAGACCACCTTTCAAATTGGGAAAAGTTGAGATCCATCGATCTTATTGGATGTGGCTTGCTTACTCTAGGTCTTACTCTCTTTCTCACGGGTACTAGCCTTGGAGGCGTCATATATCCTTGGAGGAATGCTCGTGTCCTGGCAACTCTAATCACCGGGATTCTCGGTCTCGTGGCATTCGGGATTTACGAGTGGAAAGGTACCGAGACAGGCATTCTCCATCACGATCTTTTCCGTGGAGGTCGGCACCAAGGAGGCACGTTTGCCCTCTGCGTTGCCTTGATCTTCATTGAGGGCGTCATGATTTTTGCTTTTGTCATTTTCTATCCAGTGATGTAAGATTTCTTTGACGCCCTGAATGGTTATGGATTCTCCCTGACCGATATCCTCTAGGTCCGGCATGTTCACAACAGAACCATTCGAGATTGTTGTCCGATCAGAGCCATATTTTGTTGCCGCACTCATCACCACAGTTTTTTGGGGCTATTATAGCTCTCGGCTTCAAACTATACGGATACCTATGGTCGCAGGATTCGTCATTATGACTGCAGGTCTGGTGGGGTGGACCACTATCCAACCTGGCGATTCCATCAGCGCGATGGCGTTTGCTGGCGTATCCGGAATTGGGTTCGGTGGCCCGCTCATCCTGGCTGTCACTGGAGCTCAATTAACCACGCCACATCGATTGATCGCCACAGCGACTGCTTGCACAACTTCATCGCGCGCAGTGGCTGCTGGAATCTTCACAGCAATCTTCGCCGCCACCTTCAACAGTCATTACAGCTCCAACTTGCCAGAGTATGTGGCAAATTCAGCTAAAGAAGGTGGGCTTCCAGTGGAATTCATTCCGGCATTCACGCAGGCAATAATAAACAAGAATACTACCGGGTTGAACGAAATCCCAGGGACAGGACCTGAGATTATTGATCTGGGGATGCAAGCAGTCAAACAAGCAACAGCGGACTCGATCCGAATTGTTTTCGTTATTGCTGTGCCGTTTGGTGTCATTGGCGCTATTGCATCTTGCTTCTTAGGAGACTTGAAGAAGACCATGAACTACCGTGTTGATGCTCCTGTGGAAAAACTGACCCCAAAACATGATAGAGGGGGTGAATGCGGAGGCCACTTGTAGGGGAAATGAAGACGGATTGCGTGTCCAAGTTCTCCTACAGACATTGATTATGTCACTAGATCTAGAACTCTAAACATGTAGGGAAGCCTTCGATAAGTTGAGCATTTGCCTCATTTATAGGTCGCTAGAGTTCTTGCGGATGATTAAGCCTCGGCGTTTGCTCGATGGCATTGTATACAGATTGGCTCGGTCTCGGAAGGTATCAACCATATATACGGACAGATGCGTTCATAGCGCAATCAGAAGACTGTTTGACTTTGCGGGAGCGTTTCAATGGCTTCAGTATTGTTGATCTAGGGAGCATGATCAACTACTTGCCCACGACATTCTCCTAGACCCAAGACTCGGCGACCATTACGATCCTGACACCAAGCTGACAGAATGATGGTGTCTCCATCTAGCAAGTAACCCAGCTGAACACCATCATCTATAGTGATAAGCCGTGTGCCCATTTCAGTAGCTTCCAATAAGCTTCCCAGTTCCAACTTGCAACCTGTTGCATCTTCGCCCGGTCCAGACACGGTGCCTGTGGCAATGAGATCCCCGGACCTAAACCCACATCCAGCCGAGGCGTGCTGCGTTATTTGCTGGAACGGAGTCCAATACAGATACGAGAGATTGCTTTGGGAGAGAAGGAAGGTCTTGCCAGCTCTTTCGAGATGTACTGCCATTTTGACGTCCCATGTGCCATGTTCTGGATCGCTATACCGTAGGTGTTCGAACGGTTCGGGGCGAAGTCGGGACGGGCAACGGAAGGGACTTAGAGCATCTAGCGTCGTAACCCATGAAGAGATGGTCGTTCCGAATGACTTGGAATTGAATGCCCCCGTCGGATGCATCTCATGAGCTTGGATATCTCTACTCGACCAGTCATTCAACAAGACAAAGCCAAAAATATGACTAGCAGCATTCTCAATGTCGATTGTCTGGCCGTGCGGGACTGGGTGAGATATGAAGTAGGCCATTTCCAACTCAAAGTCGATCATTTTCGATTTGCCGTACTCCGCCCTCGCTGGGCCATTGCCTGATCTTTGCTCGTAAAACACTCCTCGAGGCCGCAATATAACAGAGGGTGAAGGCACAACGCTCGAGGCTCGGCCATTATACGCAAGGGGAATATCGTAGAAGTTGGCAGGCATTTGGCCTCCGATCATATCGACGCACTGTGAAATGAAGAATAAGTCTAAGCACAGTTAAGGAGACTTTGTCAACCTGGATACAACATTTTGACAGTGTTCGAGAGAGCACAGGAAATCGGTATACTCGGGGATGAACATGGGGAGGTGCATCTGGACAGAAGATAGTAGATGTGCACAGTCCATAGAAATAGCCCTGTCCTTAATTCCGTTAATGAGGCGCTCCCTGGTTGCTGTTCTGACTGGAGCTGGCACTTGTGCGAAGGTGTTTAATGTCGACTATTGATGGTGTATAAGTCATAGGTCTCAACATCACAGGATGGTGCGTAAGCTACCTGCGAGAATGCGTCCGCCACTACGCTGTCGGTGAAGAATCCACGCTGACTCAGTGCCCGTAGATCGATACAATACTGTCCAATCGCCGTGGCGCACCGGTGGGTTGGGTCTTCCTGAGTAGAGATCACTCCAAACGGGATGTTGTCTAACGTGAAGGGTGAGGTGTCCGAAATTGTTGTTGTGAAGTCCATCTTCGATAATAGGCCCTCTGTGACAGGTACGACCTATTGAGCGTACTTGAATATGTTTTGTAGGGCATCTGAGGCCATCGAACTGGACTGGAGGACCTTATCTACATATGGCGGATTGGCACAGAGGCTTGAACGCAGAACGGTGCCCTTTGCCGTAAGGATCATACTCCACAGTCAATGTGTTGCAACCAAAGAACATTTGCGCCGTCATCTTTTTGACTCCGGTTGAACTGCATCAACTCATCGTTGGCCGTGGTGACCCTCCGGGATGTTGGGATGGCTCAAGTCCGATGTTGCAGCTTGCCCACAAAATGCCGAGTGCTGAAAACTCCACGCTGTATGATAGGCTCTTCTTATGCCGACGGTGTTTGTCTCGAAGTTGCTCCCCAACGCAATCCCCACTAGAAGTAGCCTCCAATAGGTGACAGTGGACACCCATTCCGCCAACCCCGCATGTGTGTCGCGAGCCCCAGATTTGTGGAAGACCCTTGGCGTCGTCGCCCTGCCACTCATGTCCTCGGCTTGACGACATTTGTATCTTCAGCGCATTCTGCGACAGTTTACCTCGCATTGATAGCTATACAGCAGACTTCAAATCGTCCATGGTCACCTCAATGGCTCTGGTCGACTCTGCAGGTACTCGAGCATGTGACGCCTGTAGCCGCAGAAAGTCAAGATGTGATAAACAACGTCCAACTTGCAGCCTGTGCTTGAGACTTGACAGAGTCTGTGAATATCCATCCAAGAGAAAGACACGAGTTTGCCATACGTCGCGGAGAGACCGAGTGCGCGACAAGATTCCGTTCGCTCAACTCCCATCTCTTCGTTCACTTGAGGCTTCTTCGGCAGCGGGGGAAGTCACCCGTCATGCGTCCGGCGAAAGTCACGACGTGACTACGTCCAAGACTCATACCTCCTCCTATAGCTTTCAACCAAGTGGCAACAACGATTCCCGTCAGAGTGAATACGCACCAGATGACCAGCAGCCCATGTCACCGCTCAACATTTTCCCTATAAGTCCAATCGAATGGCAGAATCAAAACTCGCATAGCGGAATTCGTCCCGACCCGACCAGTGAGTGTTCAGGATCAACCATATCACGCGCGCAAGACGCTACAACGTCTCTGCAAGACGGAATCCACAGCTCCTTGGCTATCGAGCTGGTCAACCTTTTCTTCGAAAAGATACAACCTTGGCTTCCCATGCTACACAGACCACGATTCCACCAAAAATACGACGCGAAATTGCAGGCCAAGGGCAATGTCATGAAAGGTTTGACTAATGGGGAAGCTCTACTGCTCTACGGCATGTTCGCCCTGTCGGCGCGATTTTCGAACAACAGTGTATTCGATGGCATTCCAGATAGTGATAAGGGAAATGTATTTGCTGAATGCGCCATTGAGATTTACATCCAGAGTCACTTGGAGCGACAGCCCTTGCTGCTCCAACTGCAGGGCTACCTTGTACTTGCAAACCATCAGCACGCCACTGGTCCAACGACCTTAGGTAGGGTACTTGTAGGACAATGTTTACAAGTCGCCTATGCTCTAGGGCTGAACGACATGGATCACCCGTCCCGAACAACGCGCGGGAAAGCTGTGGATAGTGTCGGGAAAGAAGAAATGAGACGGGCTTGGTGGCTACTGTGGGAATTGGATACCTTTGCATCTTGTGCCTCAGGAAAACCCTTCATGATTGACCGCCGAAGGATTTCTGTCAAGCTCCCGGTTTCTGACGAGGCCTGGTTTGCCGGGGCAGAAATAGAGTCGACGCAGCTGACTCTGGGGCCCAATCAGTCGTGGAAGTGCTTGGAAGGTAGTTTGAATCAGGACGAACGAGCTTGGAGTCTTGCCGCTATCCATCTCATGGCCACAGCGCTCGATCGGCTGCAGCAGCCCAGACCGTTGAATATGGAAGAAAAGTTGACTCTACAAAACGAGATTGCCTGTTTTAAACTTGCTTTACCAATTACGGCCAATCTGGACTTCAAAGGCTCGACCCCTACCACAGTTGCACGACAAAATTGGGTCATTGCCATCCATTTGATCTTAATGACAACTTCATTCATGATCGATGGCGTCGCTGCCAGCGAGAATGGCGAGCGAGGTGACCCTAAAGTTATCATGGCAGCCGCTGTCCGGCAACGTGCCGCGACGCTGTCAACAATCATTCGAGTGTGGGATCCCAGCTCAATCGTTCTCCTGCAGCCTTTCCTCATGTGTGCCATGATTCCGGCTCTGGCAATGCACGAAGATACGGACACCCTCCAACCGTTAATATCATCGAGCAACGAGATGGCAGTACTAGTTTTAAAGCGGTTTCGTTCCAAGTGGAAGCTGGGTGATATTATGCTTGGTAAGTGCACAATCTTGTGTCTATTTCTCTGTCGATTCCCCTTTGTCTATTTTCTCACTCACCTCTTCCCTTTAAGAAATTTCCCGTCTACGCAAAAACCCTAGCACGTTGAAAGCCACCCAGGACCAACTCCTGCAGAGATACAAAATCTTTTTCAGAAAATCACGAACGACTAATTCGAGTGTCAAATCATCATCGGTCGAGGTTGAGGATAGAAGGGAAGATCAGGCGGATATTACCCACATGCTCTCAACTCCGGCTTCCTTGCAACAGGCACAGCAGGAAAATGATGCAGATCAAGAAGCCGACACGACGATTCGGCTCGATCCCTTTGAACTGGACTGGACTGGGTGGCGTGACCTTGCTCTCGATCCTGTAGGATTTCCTGCTATTCAATCCGATGTCTATGACATTGACTTCAATCCCGGCCCATTTTATCTTGAGGGTTCGGGATTCCAGCATAATATTGAAGATGATTGTACTCTAGATGCTATATAAGGGTACACTCTTGTTCTGGGAGGAATCATACATCATAATGGCTACCTTCGGTGACCTTCAGTTGCTGTCTAAAGTTTAATGGATTCCACAGCTGGTTGGACAATTTCTTCTGTCTCTCGCGTCTTCTGTCCTCGTTGCTTGAATCGTACAATCAAGCCCGACTGTACCCAAAGCCAGGCGGCATCGGTTTTCCACTCAGCCTCATTCGACGCCCACTCCAGATCAAATTGACGCATGATCTGAGGTAAAAATTTTCCTATCTCCAGGAGTGAAATGTTTCTGCCTGTGCATGTCCTCGCACCCTGCCCGAACTATGGGTTAAGGAAGAACAACAAATTAGCATCCCCTTTTGTGCCAGCTTAGGAGTAGGAAAGCTACGGCATGAGCCCTTACCGCAAGGAAACATCGATCCATTTCCCGAATTTGCTCAAGCGGGGACTCTAACCATCGCTCCGGCCGGAAACTGTCAACATCAGGCCCGTAGATCGCTGGGTTGTAGTGGACGGTTGGGGCGCTCATGCTGATGTTGGTACCGGCGGGCAAGTGAATGCCACAAACTGTCACTCCTCCCTCAGGGACGTATCTCTCCAGAGGAAAGCCGATACCTGGATGAATACGCAGTGCCTCCTTGATGACTGCTTGGCTGTGGCTCAATGATTCAGTCACCTGATGACAGCCAATAAACCGCAAAACCAGGGATAGCCAGAACTTGGCCTTGCACTCACAGGTATGGCAGGCGCATGGATTCCTCGTGCGTTATGTACCGCGACAATTCGCCGCGAGCATTGGCCTGGTCAAGCTCAGTCTGTAGTTTGTGGTACGCAGATGGGGTTTTGATCAGGTAGTAGAAGCACGAACGCAGGGCTATAGCTGTAGTGTCGCTCCCTGCAAGACTAATGCGAGTGTCAACGTTCTGCTTGACAGTAAATCCGCTAAACTGAAGCAGTCTGCAGAGACTCACATGTTATTAGACAAGTGATTGACTAGGTCCTTGTGGTTGATGTTCTCGCTGATTTGCTGCTTGGATCTAATTTGGGCCAGTAGATCTGTTCTTGCCCCTTCACTGTTTTTTCCTTCCTCGTCATATCGTTCTATCTCATGGTCTGTGATCTAATGGAATAGCCATTCAGTCAGTGGGTTACTTCCAGCAGGACATCGACTTTAAAGTACGCCACACAGAAATGATAAGCCCACAACTCGTCACTTGGACGAGAGTCTAACGACTTGGGTATCAGCTGAATGACAATAACATCCATACCTCAAGAAATCGGCTCAAAGCATCCGGCATATCGGGAAGAAAGGGTTAGGGTTAGGGTTAGGGTTAGGGTTAGGGTTAGGGTTAGGGTTAGGGTTAGGGTTAGGGTTAGGGTTAGGGTTAGGGTTAGGGTTAGGGTTAGGGT